GTACCATGGTAATAGGGCATTAGGTAGCAGGTTCCAGGCGGGCAAAGCCCCCGGCTAGGCTCCTTATTGTCTCTCCAGAGCCGCAAGGTAGCTTTGCTAATGCTTGCTAATCACTCCTCCGTCGGGCCTCAAGTAGTAATGTCTGCTCTGGTTAGTTAGCGACAAGACATCACGCACCACGCATCATCTTAATCATCATCATCGTCACCATGCTGACTGCTTTTTTGCCCGAATTAGGCGCCGTTCCGGGGCGACGACATAGAATGAGAGAGTGGGTGAATGACGAGTCAAATCAAGAATTTCGCTAGTTACCATTACAGACCGACCTTCTTACCTACTTCATTCTGCATGCAATTCGTTATCCCTTCCCCGCTCTCTCTCTCTTTTTCTTTCTTTCTACTTCTCTACTCCCTCACTCGTGTTCGGCGAGCCAGTTATGGAGAAATGCGGTGTCGTGATTTAGACCACTCAATTCAATTATTTTCATTTTTTCCCCTTCATACACTGCCTTCACACTCCCTCATCCCCGACCGACTTTACTACTCATTTACTTACTTACGTAGGTACCTACCCACACAAATTAAGCGACCTTACATACCTACTGTACATAATAAATGCGCGCCGAGGGGTGACCGACGTTACAGCGCCTCACATCGAATGGACTGGTGTATATGCGCCATGCGTCAAGAGTTTTTGTCTTATTAGCATCAGACCAAAGCCCGTGGCCGGGAAAGGGAGCTCCCGTCCCCGTCGGAGATTATCCGATTCGCTTTTCTCACCAATACAATTTGTGGCGGAGAGAAACAACCGGTCAATTTCTTTTTTTTTTTTCTCTTTTATTGTAGCGGTCGAGCATATACAATTCCAATCTCGTCACGGGAATGGCTAGAGTGTTATTGCTGACGGGTCGTAAGCTTGAAATCTATCGGGCGATGCGATGCACCTGTGCAACACGCCCTCTGCTAGGGTTACTTGACACCGGGATACTAGCCGTACCGGGCTTTGAATGTGAGGTAAGTGGTAACAGCAGCAAGCAGTGGCAGTAGACAGGTCGTCCACGTAAGGTAGATGAGATGCATGTCTTACCATATTTGCTCTTCTAAGGCGATATGCTTAATACAACTACTTGCTTAGCTAGCAAACCTCTCCGTTTTCCTACGCAGAGCCTCTTTTGGTGTCGATGTGACTTTGGTACTTGAGTGTGCAACAAAACAATAACGGGATGACGCACCGTTGTTCCGATGTACAGAGGGTCAGATGGCCTCGTATTAGTCTGCTTACGGCGTGTGTCGCGTGTCGTATGTCCGAGGTGGAATCGCGGTGAGCAGCAGAGTTGATGCTCGCGATTGTTCGTTTTCGTAGCGAGAACGTCCTGAAATCTTGAATTCGCTCATTTGAGACCGCATGAATTGTCCTAGATTGATGTTGGAATGCCTGCCTAGGTAAAACACGAGAACATCATATCATAGTCTTTCGGCTCTAACTCCGGAGCCGCCCGTCTTTACTCGGAGATGCTCGCAGGCCTCATCTCCGTAATTAAGGACTTCGGATATAGTCTAGGAAAGAATCCTATTTCTCGTAGCATAAGTTATGCTTTCCTGCTGTGCCGTTGAGGTGACTTGAAGGATCTGAGATCCAGGCTGCCGGGCTCGGTTAAGGATGACCTCGTGCAGGGCTCGTTATCGTTCTCTAGATCATATTCCTGCCTGATATCTTCAAAGTAGATATAACTTGATATTTTTACTATTTTAATGGCAACTCACTAGTGGGGAAGTTAATTACTTCTGAGTCACTATTGTTGAGATACTAGTTCTATAGGATTGGCTCTAGGGGATCCCAACAGAACCCCATCGTGAAGCTAGTGGGCAAATAGCGGAGATAAGGATGTGAATAACTTCCTTCTAATGATAAATATTTGTGGAAATAAAGTGCTATGATACCTAGTAGGCTGTTTGAGCATGTAGTCGTACATCGGGTGTCCGCTCATAATCTTCGTATTCGATTATCGCCATTGACTCCTACTGATAACGATCGCTGTATCAGTATAAGAGAACGACGATCAATCGTGTTTAACAATAGCGATGAACATATCTGGACTCGGGGATATCTGCGACCCCCCGAGTTCTTTGCCTGAGTGCCATATGGGAACAGTCCATTGCCCTTGGTGGTTTTCTATAGATCGAGGGTCTAATAGCAACTAAAGTCCTACTCAACAGATACCAAAATATCACGAACCCCCATTCACTTGTTGACAGTGTACTCCTGGCCCTACAGTGTGGCCGTCTTAGGAGTAGTGAAAGTAACGTCGTTAGATATTCTAAAGTCCAGGTTCGTTTGAACCACCTAAAAATATAACCTCTAACGGGGCTTTTGTAGTTGATAGTATCTGAGGCAATCAAATACACGAAGAAATATAAGGGTTATATTCCTTGTAGGCTGTAGGTATTGGCTAGATTCGCAAGACTGATGCGTACGGACGTTGGCAGATATAACAACCCCTAGTTAGAGTTCTCAGGGGCTATTCTCGTCGTGGTGTCGTCACCTAGGTGTATCAAGCTCTAGAAGAGTATTGCTTTCTAATTCAACTCTCACACCATCTGTGCGAATCTGCTTTCATTGGTTTACTAGATAGGGCTACAGCAGAGCGACCCATCGGACGAGAGCCTAGACAATCCAAGCTCATCCGACGACGGCCGTGTAGTGACTCCCATAAATTGTCGGGCCGCATGATATCTTACACGGTGAGCTGATTTCCTTGAATGAAGCTGGTAACGTCGGATAAGCTTCTTTCCATGGAAGCTCTAATTACCTTGTCCTCTTTGATAAGGTAGAACTTCATTCGCAACCATGCTCCAGGCCTCCTACCGGTTTAGTGCCCCATAGGGATGGTTTTCAATTATTACTACTATTGTCCTGCCTGCGGATGAGTCGTTTTGTAAAGGTTAGTATCGGATGGCCCCTACCGCACAATAGCAGGCCGAGTATCGTGAATGAAATGTTTATTTAGAACCTCAACTCCCTCAATCCTTTGCGTTTTGATTAATTTCCAGGGACCGATGGCGTCGATGATACTCCCTATACATCCCCGCTTTCCGAAGCATTTAAGACGTCACTTCAACTTGGTCTTTCGCTGCCTAGTTATGTTGCTCCTAATTGTCTTGATTATCCCCTCGTGGGACCTGTTGCCGGATGTGTCCAAGCAAAGCATCTTTAAGTGTAGTAGTTGATAGGATCTAGATAGCCACTAAGGTATCCTCTTGTTTCGGAAGTCTCGTTCAGTCTGAACTCCTCGGCTATGCCTTTGTATATATATCATGGCGTGTAAACTAAGTTAGGATCCTGGTAATTCTTTGCCAGCGTCGTAAACGTAAACTCTCGCATTCTGAGTATCATCGTGGTCATTATTACTAGCTCCTCGCGGAGAGTAGCCCTCGAACGGGACTAACGATTGACCTAAGTTACATCGAACGCGACATGCGGAAACGATAGAGGAATCGGTAGACTAGGTACATATGAGGGAGTTTCGTAAGGGTATCTACTGATAGTTGGGTTAGCAACTGAGACGTCCTCGGATTTCTGAATAGCACGATCCTAATACAAACAGCGCTTCCTCGGCTGCCTTCTTAATCATCCAGTCCCATGCGTTAAGGATGAGTGAAGAGAATACCTCTAATTCAATGACTTAGATATGACGAGCGCTTTGGTAGCTATAGCATCACTAGGTTGGTCGAAAGGGAACAATGACCATCTAAGATCCTCCCATCTTCGGCCGCTCATACCTCTCATATTAAAAAAATACCAAGAGTGTGGGATCTGGGAAGCTCGAGGGGATGTTCGTCATTTCTCCGGACGTCCTCAAGGCTCTTAAGGCTCATCTCGGCATGGAGCCAACCAAAGTCAGCCAGCGAGGTCTGTTCTCTAAGTCCGGGCTTCTGCTTTCATTCGATATATATGCTCTTCACGTTTGGAAGCCGAGCTACGAAGGCTACGTCCGAGCCTCTCGAAATCCCAAACGGCCTCTTTAAGCTCCACCGTTCACCTTTTGTTTGGCTGAATGGGTCGTACTCATCTGGGTGTGCCTTAAAGCTTTCCCTAACGAGTGACTAGCGGGACAATTAACCTGCTAGACATGGATCGTATAGTAACTCCCCATTCTGTCTTTAACCATGCCCTTCCTACCAAAGGGGGACATATGGCGTTGGTCCTTGGAGTAAGGGCACACGATACTACCGCAATAGGGGTTGTAGAGTATAATATAGATAATATATGGAATATTGTGAGGCTCAACATACACATCGCGATCACAGGAAATAGCGACAGATTCAACCAGAACCTGAGTCTAGGTTCACTGGAAAAGGGGGCTTCTGTTGGGTTGAGAGTTTGCCCCTGAATCCCGCGATTAATTCTTAATCTATTCTGTCATTGGAATTAGAATCGGGTTTATGGTTATAGAGGGCAAGTTCCCAGGTCTGTAATTAATAATTTGAATATCGTAAATGCTCTTAAGGCTAGTAAAATCATAGCGTCGGCCATATCAGAATCGGATGTCTCCGTCATGAGGGGGCACGTGGTAAATGGTATCCATCCACTAACGATACCTAACGGACACGTATCTCAGTTCATGTTTGTAGTTGAGATATTGAATAGAATTTGGGCCATCTCGGACTATTTTGGAATTGTTGTAAATGAAGAAGATTCGGAGAGTTTCTTCCTGAGTCTCGAGTTTAAATCGGATGTAATGATGTACCGTCGGACCGAGTGGCACATTGAGCGGGTGCCGAATAATCCGTTCAACCAATCAAATGCGATAGAGTCACCCCGGTCGCGTCATCTTAAGGTACTTCGGATCAAGTTAGCAGTTAGCTAGAAGTTGCAAGATTGCAAGTCTAATAGGTGGCATTAACGATTTGTTAGTGAGCTACTATCACGCTACCACGCTATTACCTAGGTACGCTACTTGCAACAACTACAACATTCTATTTTATACCTACGAACAAACGAGCCGAGCATTCCTTTGAGACCTCGACTTCTTCCCTCGTCGGGATGATGGGCACCTAAGTGCAATTTTCAAATAATTTCATCCTTCTCTAGATTTTTTCCCTTTAAACATCGGCTGCCAAATTCATCGCCATCATGCGACTTCTTTGGTATGCAGGGGTAAGCTTCTCCCGTTTGTATATATCTTCTTATAGCTTCAAACTGACAATATTCACTACCTAGACCTCATCGGCCCTGGCGGCTGGCGTCGTCGCCTACGCCTTCAATCAACGTGCTAACTTCTACTCTGCTATGGTATATTTATCACAAAATAACCTAAGTCTTATGGTATGTATTCTTCCCTCGCCCCACTAACCCTTATATGCTCGTGTTATACCGAGTTACTAACCTTTGTCGCCTGCTCATGTTATAGATCCTCATAAACCTCGTCCTCCTAGTCTATGGTTCCTTCGTCTGGGGTCTTCAACGATTATGTTATGGCCCTCTCCGACCGGTCGAAATCGAACAACTCTACGAGAAAGCTTGGTTCGCCGTGACCGAGACATGCCTTGCTATGACAATATTTCGTGAAGAGGTTGGAGCTTGGTTCTTGGTCATGTTCACCGCTTTGGTAACCGGGAAGGTCTGGGAATGGATAGGCGAAGGCCGCGTAGAGGTTCTGGAACAGCAACCCCCGGTAAATCCGCGACTCTTTCACACAAGACTCAGCATATCTCTCTTACTCAGCGTCATCTACGATACTTGGCTATTCCTCTATACCGTGAATGCTGTCATCCAACAGGCACGACCCAACATGATGGTCATGTTCTTGTTTGAATTCGCCATCTTAGACACCTGCTCGTTTCGCACTAGTTTCCGATACCTCCTGTCCCTAGTTGAAGCCGACATCGTATCAAGACAGACTCGACAGAGACTAGAAGAAAGGCGTAGACAAGTCCGGGAACAACGTGCCGAAATCATGCGACGTCGGGAATCTGGCGACGCCGCCGAGGCGGAAGCTGCGGAGCAGGAGGAGTTACCAAATGAAGAGGATATCGATGAGACGGATATTGAAGTACCGGGTTGGGAATCTAAGGGACAGTGGGTTCTGAGTCTGGACCTGGCAACTGGTAAGTTTCTATATTCTCGGCTCTGTGATCGTCGCTCTAACACTCTCTAGATTTTGTCAAGCTCGGTATCTATTCCGCTTTCTTCGCTATATTAATGATGTTCTACGGTCTACCTATCCACATAATGCGGGACCTCTACATGACAGGATCTTCGTTTGTGAGGCGGCTCAGGGCTCTCATCAAGTACCGTAAGGCTGTACAGGGTCTAGCTGGATACCCTGATGCTACCGAGGAAGAATTGGCTCGTGAAAATACTTGCATTATCTGTCGAGAAGATATGAGACCGTGGGATCCACATGCCGAGGGTTCTGTACAGCGTTCTCGCCCGAAGAAGCTACCCTGCGGCCATATCCTACATTTCGGATGTCTAAAGAGTTGGTTGGAGAGACAGCAGGTATGCCCGACTTGTCGACGACCAGTCGACGGGGCCGGACCCAATGGCACCGGTACTACCCAAGGCGCCAACCATGGTGGCCAACCCAATGCCGTAGGCGAAGCAGCTGCGGGCAATAGAGCTGCAAACGGCGCTCAGCCGGCACAACAACGCGGAGCAGGAAATATGAGAGTATTCCAGTTTGGCCCTATTCGATTAGGATTTGCTCAGGGCAATGCCCAGAATATCCATGAGATGGCTCAGCGGCTACGACTCCCTCTTGAGGGTGCTAATGCTCCCGCTCCCGCTCCCGCTCCTGCTGCCGCGCCCACTCAACCTGCCCGGCCTTCTCTGACTCACGGCAACACCGGCACCCGCGAATTCCACTTAGAGATGCAATTACAGCTACTGGAAATTTCAAATAGAATACAACAGGAGGTGCAAGCCTTACAGGCGAGCCAAGCTGAGGTGCAAACTCTCTATGCTCTATTGGCAGAGTTGAATCACCTCCGTCAGACACAACAGAACCCTCAAGTTGTGTCAATGCTTCATCATGGACAGCCAGCTGCCAATGCCCCATTCACACCTTACCAACCAGCCGTACCGCAACAACCCCTTCCCCCATTTCAACCTATGGCACATCATCCTCCTCAACTTGCAATCTACCCTCCTCGTGTACCAACGCCGACCATCACTAGACATGGTGGCGTATCATATTCAGATTCCATCCCAGCAGGTAGCCCCGACTTGCCTGATAGCGTTGTTATTCCCCCCGGTTGGTCGTTATTACCCCTTCAGCGTCTTGATGGTCAACCCCAACAGGCTCCAAATACCCAACAGCCTGTTCAACCAGTCGATATCAATGGTCAACAATCACAGCCAGTCGATTCAACACACACAACCACTACAACTAGTAGCACCACTAGGGTTGCTCAGTCAAGTTCTAGAACTGGTGATTCTAATGTTCGAAATATCGGTGCATCTAGTGGGCCTACAGAAGAACGCCCTACCCAAACTACTTCCCAAGAACAGAGAGAGCCCCCGACGGTAGCTGCGCCCACGCCACTGATGCCTAATTGGGGTGGTGCTGCACAGCTCTTTACCGGTTCAGCCTCTGTGAATGAACCCGAGGCCAGACCCGAGGAAGCGCCAAAGCCGGAGTCTCAACAAGAGAGCTCAGACGACGAGCAAGAAACGTCAAGTAGTAAAGCTAAAGGGAAGGCGAAAGCTGTTACAGTCGAGGATGCGGAGGATGCAGAAGACGACTGAATCAATATCAAGCCAATGTGTCATTATTCGAGCTGCGTTCCCAGCTCTGTATTCACGAAAAGGAAAATTGCATCCGGGCGAGGCGTTGACGGCGTTTAAGATTCATGTATATCCCCTACGAAAATCGGACTGGATTGTGGATATGGCATCATAAGGGTCATTCGATAAATGTGCAGGGCTAAGATGTTCTCGCTCGCCGATCAACATTCTGGAATATCTTCTGCCTTCGGTGACTCTAATTTGATGCTTGACCTTGCTTTGGAAAGGGCATGAGGTGTACATAGACATTGGTGTACCTAGGATGATAGGCAAGGGGAGGAACCCTCACCTCGAGAAAATTCAAGGCATCATTTATTGAACTCTACTATCATAGAAATCACAGCTTGCATGATATGTATCACCAAGTGGGGTCTCTCTTTCGTGACTATTGATGACTGGAGTTTGATAAGTCCGGCTTCCTAGAGGTGCGTGTCGAATGGTATCGAGTCTACACTTATGTGGTCGCTATTCTAATGAATATTCTAGAAAACAAGAGCTTACGTCCACCAAATTACGTGCGCGTTTCCTATCCCCTACTAACTCCAATAAGGGAGGGAAACGTGTTAAGATCAGTTATGAGTGCTCGTAAAAACACAAAGTGCTTACGGGCGTGTATATCTTGGCAGCAACCACGACTCATGTACTACTTGCAGTCTTCCTTGTGGGGGCTCGGACATATATTCATCATTATGGCTGTTTACGGCAATACACTTCTCCGCGGATCCAGCTATATCTGAGGCTGTACGGCTCGAGAAATGGCGCCCTATGATAAGCCTGAATTGCTATTTCAGGATCTTCGTCGGGCGGATAAAGCGCCCGGCTTTTAGCCATAACGAAGACTCCTCTCGGTTTTTGTACCGCCCTCTGATAAGCAACGACACTTCCAAACTCTCAATACGGCTGTTACAATTATCACTGGTTCTCCGTATCCAAGCACACAAGAGGCCCGACTACAAGGTTGAACAAACGGGCCAACAAAGGCGAAGGATGTGGCGTAGCTCAGCTATACACACGACTTCTCAACAATGATCTAATGAAATATGAAGCCCCTTACAGATAAAATGGCGCGAACGAGATAATAATAGGAGAAAAGTTAGAGTGGGAAGGAATCCGTACGAAGAGAACAGAACACGTTGGAAGAGTCCTGAAAGCAGTCATGAGGCGAAATTCCGCGAAGATATCGTAAAGCCAAGCCATCCGCGGCGTCATTCCCGCATCTAGATTCGGAAGTAAAAAGATCCTACCGCTAGAGTCTTAAAAAAAGAACATCAACAACAACTATCTACCCTAATCCAGCGGTAATCATCCAGAAATAATTTTACCAGGAAAATTTTCTTTCTTTCGAAGTTAAGGTTCTATACTAATCATGAGAGTAACATGGCAATGATAGTGCTTATGATTCCAAAAAGAGGTGAGAATATCGTTCTCTTGACGCAAGGGACAGAAGGGAGCATGTTTGAGGGATCGTGACCCACGTCGATGTCTAATACTAACCAACAATTGCGTACGAGCGAAATCGCAGAAACTAGAGAAGGAATCTATAATACTGTGGCAAGAACAATTTGGTCAGCCACGATAAGAGTCGTCTCTGATAGATGAGGTTAGATATTATTAGCCAATGTGTCACAATCCAACTCTTCGTCTGATAGAACGTACTAGACTCGACCACGAGGCTATTAGTTAGCCTCAGCCCGATTATTCAAATCAAAGAAGAGTTTTTTCTCTCTCTCTTGATAATACACGATCATCTTATATAAGGCTAGCGAAAAGAGAAAGACCGTTGCTAGTGCTCACTCGCTCACGTAACCCGATTCCGACCCAACACTCCGGTACGCCCGAACCCACGTGCATGGACATGGAGATGCGTGTGTATGTGTGTGAACGATCCCCCACATCACGTCGAATCACATAGGATGAGCGGTCAAGCGCCCAGACTTTCTTTCGAGGATCAGGGTTATTTCAACGCCGTTATATCCGTTCTGGGCAACGACTCCGCGGCTATTGGCTGACTACCTAGCTCCAAGAATCCATATCGGGTATACGACACATAGATATCAGAACACCTATAATACTAGAACTAAGGGATGTATGTATGTAAGTTGCTGACGCCGGAATCATTGGATAGAAGGAACAGCCTTACGCACGCAGTCGATCATATAATTTGATATTACGCACGCACGCACACCAAACCAAACCACACCATACCACCCCATTCAACATACGCACATACGGCAAAGCACGTCGTGTGACGTGGGACCCCCTGTCTCTGCAGTCGGGAAATAAGCGGTAGGGCTGTATACTGGGGAATTTTTGCGAATTTGCACAGCCTCGGGGTACGTGTAGATGAATTACCTAGTTCGACTTAATAGGTATCTCACCTACCCACACCTTCACACCTTACCCACGAACCCCATCTAGGTAACACCCACTCAAATTCCGACGGATGAGATTCGTTCCGAGTCAAGGGAAGGGAGGGAAGGGGCCTCGCGTTCGGGTCGGATCTGATTAGTTGCGTGGTACGACAGGTCAAAAGCCGTGATGGGAACCAGGATGGACACGCTCGCGTCTTCGTGCGTCTGGTTCGTCCGTTTCCTAGTCAGGGATATGTGTCAGATAGACGTGATAATGATGAAATATTGACGAGCTGAATAGGGAATTCTAAGCAAAGTGGTGGTGGGCAACTGCTACAGCGATCAGCGTTGATTTACGTTGCTGCGTGCGTAAGCAAGAAAGCAAGATGAGCAAGATCCTGATTTCGTAAGTATGTACGTACGAAGTTGACTTTAGGCACTATGAGGGCTTCTAGCTTTTGGCCCGTGGCTATCACATTATTAGAAACTAATTGAGAATATCGTGAGATTTTCACTAGAGTTGAAGAATATGGTAGTGATAGTGAATATGTGGTTTAAATTAGAGTACGTATCTGCTTGAACCCCTTATAAACTTGTATCTCAGACCTCCTCAATAAACCAAGCAGTGTAGAATGGTATACTTATGCTAAATGCCAAAACACTCCTCCCGTATGCAGCCCTAAATATGTATGTGAGAAATAATGAAAATGCCAAAAATCCACGACGCCGTTGATATGCATATATGCTGAGATGTCCCCCAGGGACAATTGAGATGCGAGAAAGAAATAATGCTATTAATCCTTAACCGGTAACACGAACCGAACCTTCTTCCGTGGCTTTGCAGCCGGTATATCTATTGGTTGCGTTTTCTTATCTTGATCGTCAGTGAGGTCTTCGATGCTTAACCCCATCTCACTCATCGTTTCCTTTTCTGGTTCCTCCTCGATAGAATAAACGTCGGGACTTGGTTCACGCCATGAATGGCGCCGTTGTAGCGACTGAGTAGGTGATCTTCCCCTAAGAGCACGTCGTGGTGGTGCGAAACGCTTCGATGGGCGCCCCTTCGGTGACCCGACGTGAAACGAGGCCGGGGATAATAAGGCCTCGGTAGTTTGAGTTGTAATAGTAGCAGTGGACCGCGTTTGGTCGAAGAACTTTTCAAACCCAAATGGTAGAGACGTATGACCATGTGGATGGAATCGGATATAATCTTCCTCGTCATCATCGTCATCATCGTCCAAAACAGCACAATCTGCTAATTTGTCTTTGGGTTTATACTTCCTAAGACCATCGAGAGTGGACGGAGATACAGTCCGAATGATTTCGCGAGGCCGGTTTGAGTCTTCTATCCCGGCATCAAATTCAAAATCAAACTCAAGATCTTCATTCCCTGGTGTTGGCGGTGTAAGGAAATACATTAAAGGATTTTCTTGAGGCCACTGGGCGTCGGCGTCATCGTCATCCGTCGAGTTGGTATCGTCTTCTAACGACGGAGGGAAACGACTAGGACTCGGCGGCCAAGTTGGGTCCGACTGCCCACGTATGGGTATATTAGTTGGTAACAAAGGCATGGTGGTATTTATCGATGATGAGACCAAATAGTAAACGATATAAAATTAAAGATCGTATTCCGTAGTGACCATTCTCTGATTAATACGGCGACGACTTGAAGGAAATAGACGACAGTGTCTTTCTAATATTAAACTCAACGAAGGTCGCCAAGCTCAAACCGGCTCAAATAGAAACTATCCTGAAGGCGAGAATATCAAGCCGGCCAACCACCTCAATAAAGGAAATTTGACGAATGGTGAAACACAAGAGTGGCGCAAAAGCGTAGAAAGCAATGAGAGCGGGGAGGCCACATAATATATACTACCACTAGGCAGAAGGTTGTCAAGGAATGGGTTAGTCACCGGCTAGGTTAAGAGGCTGCCTTGTGAGTCGCAGGCTGGAGAAGATGGTGGTCATGCTGGGGAGGTGCTCAACTGGAAAAGGAATGCCTTAGGGAACTTGACAGAGCTCGTGAACGGAGGGGCTATCTTCCTGGAATGAATCACCTAAGAGCTGAGCCATGAAAGGCTCAGACATCTAATCACCTCCAAGCTGATTACTAGAAAGGGCATCACGCGTCAGAGATGGTGTGTGGATTGGTGCGAAGGCTGGGTTGATGGTGTGGGGGTCACCAACAATGATAGAGCATAAGCCGGCTTTCTTAAGACATCGAGGCCACCAACTCGGAACTCGAGCTCGGTCAGATAGCCATCTGACAACGGTGTACACAAGCTTTGAGCCGAAACACCCGTAACTCGGCCGCAACTGTATTATTTGTGATTGCGACGTTCGCGAGGCTCGTGGTTCGTAAGTCTCCTTGTGATTTGACCAAGTTGAGGCTTGATCAAATTGACTTGCCTTTGGATCGACGAGTACGTATGCACCGTACCTTGCATGAAGCTTGATTGCGGCACAGCCAACACCAGTTCGTTTTGAATATCGAATGAGTTATCTCATTCTGACGAGTTCTTGACGCAAATGGTATTTTTCTTATTTCCTATGTTTTTTTATGTTTTACTTTTTTCTTTCTAAGCGAGAGTCCGAGTTATGCGACGCCACACTACGTTAATGGTAAAGTGATTATCGCAATTGTCTCTATTAGCATGTAAGCTCTTCTATAATATGACGGAATTAAATGAGCACTTGCAAGGAATAACTCATTAACTAATATCAATCCCATCCCTTTCCAGAAATAGTGCGATTGTATTGATGGTTGCACGGATTGTGATTAGCTATGCTATTCGCCTGACAGCACCACTTTCAATATGGAGATATCTGGATAGGTAGAAGAATTACCAAGGAATGGTACCTCGTTAAGAGGAGGATGTGACTATTTCCTTGGATTTGGGGTAACACTAAGGCCCAAACACGAAAGTAGCGTAGGTATTTCTGCACCAGGACTTGTGTCAGATGACGAGAGATTGATCAACTCCCTAGTAGAATTGGGGGGGGGGGGGGATTGTCTCGATGGTGGTAGCAGTAAAGGCGCAAACTTTGGCCATGCCGACATCTGAATTGAATTCAATGTAACTCCGGGCAGCTCCGTGTAAAAAGACCGACGGTCATCTCCTGTCTGTCGTATTATGGGTGATGATATTCTTGATGATAACTCTTCTCAACTTGTTTTTTTTCTAGAATAATCGATAATTGATGGTATGTAGATGCAGATAATACGGGAAGGAATAGGTAAGCACCTGGACTTTTTTTTTGACATCTCCAATTAGTAACACAACTAATTTAGCCTTGGTGTGGTTAAAACTTCCAAGGTTGTCTCTGCTAATAGTGCGAGATTGCCCTGTTGTGATAGCCCTGTATTTTTCTTAGGAATGTCTTTGGGCACTCGCCTATTGATCTCGTGGACTAGGTGTAAAAAAGCACCCCGCTATAATCGAGTAGATGACGTCAAGATGAGAATTGCCCAGTATTAAACGGGCATCTAAGTGTAGAGGAAATACAGAGGAAAAAATATGAGGAAAAAAAAGAAACCGAAGTCATTTCGGGTAGACAAGAATGGTAGCCCGTTTAGAGAGCCCTATTACAGATTTATCAATCAGAGCCTAAGCTGCATGTCCCTGCATATCATCCCTTGACATGCATGTTGTAGGGGAGGGGATTTGAGATCGAATTACTGCAAGGCGACTAGGCCGGCATGACTGGCGATTTGTCCTTGTCCTTGAGATATCGATGTTATGTTGGTAGGGCTGAGAGAATCTGGAGGGCAGGGCAGATTGGGTAGCTGGGAAGATTGGTGGGAAAGATAGCTGGGCAGCGTGAACCATGAACTCTCCCTAAATTAAATTTACCTAAACCTGTGGCTTATGGGCCTCGTGGCTTGGAATAGATAACCTTATAGTCACGTGCGTCTAGCTCTATTTCTAAAGCCCCCTCCCTTCATTATCGATATCTTCTAATTTCTGCCTTCTTTTAGGCATACATTTATCGAGGTTCACGCTTGAATCCAACAAGAGCCCTTAGGTCTGGACTCTACGCCTTTCTCAATATAGAAACATAGTTTTATTGCCATCGATTTGAACCCTTAAAATTTTTTTTCTTGGAAATGCCTGAGGGCCGCTTAATTCATAAGACCCACTATCGTAGGTCTCGCCGATGGTTACCATCTAGTATTATGCCCGACTAGAGGCTCCGTTGATAGGGCCGACTGGGGTTGGTTTACGAAATATTCGTCGTATTGAAATATCTTGTTCGGCGCCACAAGCCATGATATTATCTTTGGGAATACAACGGGAACGACCCCTTACAGGCTTGCTATCGACCGTAACTCCTGATATGTTCAGTTATGTTATTCTATACGTGAAAAATCTTGGCTGAGAGAATCGCATCAGCGAAATAAGCTGAGTCAATATCCAATTCTGCCTGCCTGACCGGAATTCTTTAATTGAGGAATATCCTAGCTTCTAAATGGTGGGTTTAGACGGTTGGGCACCTATCTCCTTGACTGCCTCAAGGCAGCAATCCCTAAAACACCCTTCGGAGCGACGCCCGAATCTCTATTATCGCTTGCCGACATCGCAATAAGATTCCCATGACCACTTTTGACGATCAACACTTTATCAAGGAAAGTAGTTGTATTCGGACATCATGCCTGGGCATACTCCATAACGCAATTGCGTCGAGAGAGTTCCATAATATTCTTCGATGTGGGATTGCTGCCTTACGCCAACTGAGGGGTTATGGCGTACCCTGGATGGCGAAACATGGAGAAGGATGAGGAGATGAAGGTTCTATCAGCTTCTTTAATCATAGAGTAGGGAGACAGAGACGACAGCCATCTGGGGCATACTCAACAAACCCTTGCAAACGGAACTGCCCAAGTGATAAGAGAGAGCACTAAGCTGGATGTGCATTATTGGAGTCGTTTTTTCTTTTGCCGAAAGATGGGCCGCTCCTCCATCACTCTTACATCGTCTTTGCATTATCCAGACCATCAGACCATCAGAACATGAGGGGTTCAGAAGGGGGGCAACGCTAAACGCGGGACAAACTGGAGTCGAGCGTCAGGACCGGTAATCCTAGATTACCCCATCTATTCTTCGTTGGTGACTTCAACGACTAGAACCATCTCCGTATGCCACGATACGAGGGGTAATCCATGTGGTTAAGACCTCGAATCTTGTGATCGGGTCTTAATCTTAGATTTCGAAGATACCTTTCAGTGGCAGGTTGTACTACGCATTGACCTCTTCACTCGGAATTCATTTGCCGTTCAGCGCTTCATATTTGATCTGTCGAATCAGTAGGGCAGTCTGGTGTAATGATGAGTTCAGGGAGTCATTATTGTTGATACAAAGATGTACGCCCACCAATGCAAGCTGCTTGTTCTAGTAAGTTACACGATCTCGTCCCAGTCACTCGATCCCATTGGCGTGCGACAACGCGTTGCTGCTTCGCTTGTGAGTATCAGGTTTCGAACCTAGGTACCTGGTCATGGGACACCGCGAACTTGCGTTCTAATACATGGAGTATTCAATGTCAGTGGACCAGCCTCATCACGAGCATCTGAATGAATTTTTGTGCTTTACTCCATCGTACTCCTGTGCTCTGCTTTTCTCGTTAGTGACTTGTAGGTATCGACTACATTGTCTCCTCACTAATCTAGAAAAATTATCCATTGGTGGTAATTATTTTTGGAAATTTCCGAACCAATGTACCGGAATAAGGCTGACAACTCAAGCGATATTGAGGCACATCGTGTCGACTTAGAGAGAAGAGCTGATGAGCTGGTCCGAAAAGACTTACGAATTCCACCAAGAACTTCAATTTAATCTTAGTGCAAGAGGATTGTACTTGCTAGTATATTGGGCTCGGTCTGACCGGCGTGAAGACTAAAACCGGTAGTCGCTGAGTCGTGGCAGATAGTTGTACAACATCGACGACATGTGTTCACATTCTTACGGCTCGTTATGAATATAATATACGTCAACTTCCTCACTCCTTCGGCATATCGGAAGAAAAAGTAATAGCCCAGAAGGTGTACCTCGGTGGCGTTTTTTTCCTGCTGGGATTCTTTGAATATGTAGGTGGTGACGTGAGGATCTTGACCAAAAAGAAAGGCGGTGAGCTCGCCTGATGGTGTACTGGCTGAGAATGAAGCTGTATCAATCCAATGGTATCGATTCAATTGCCAAGGAGACCCCACTAGACAAACAATCCGACTTGCTTGTCCGTGGGTATTTTGCCGGCACGCAGCAGATGCTAATTGGATTCGGCCAGGTCGTTGAATATCATTCCAAATTCTCACCGAAAAAGAAAAAAAAAATGTCGTGTTGCCGGTCGGCTTACGGTATCCAACTCAGCAGACGCGTTACTACGAGCACTACTGTTGTGTAAACGAGCCTCACGTAGAGCTGTACGACTCACGCTTGCTGCTTTCTGTTTCTCATTTGTTCAAAAGTGCTGGGTAGTTATGAGTCTTCAGTGATCTAGTTCTGGCTAGTTTCGTAAACTAATAACTTCAAACATGGGAGGATCACGCATCTACCCGTATAAGTGATAGAGATTGTCGTGCTGCATCTGGATCCTTGCATTTGCGTCAATGCTTTGTTGTGTATGTATGTTGTATGTTGTATGTGGCTATGTACGTACATCATACATAATGGATTACTCTGTGGCTACCTGCAGTGGATCATCTTCGCTGTAGGGGCCGAACCGAGCGAGCGAGCTACGGCTCTTACGGTGACTCATAAGCTGTAGGCTACGTGATGACTTTGCGCAATCACGATTTAGTGATATTTCTGCGAAAGACTCGAAAGTAGTATTGCGCACATTATATAAGAGGCAATCACCGATTTATAGTCAATCTCTTCCACGATAGGGAGTCTTAATTAGGAGGATATCGTAAATTATGTGGCTAATTGATAGTCTCGAGGACCCCAACTACCGTTGTGAAGGAATATAGAGGTATGATTGTCGCAGGTGGTGGTCAACCTCTGTAGTATGAATTTATATTGGACGGATGTGGTTTGGTCTAGGTGGATGACATGCATCGCTGGCACGGTCTCAGGCGGGATAGATTCACCAAAAAAGAGGTCCAGAATACTCTTAGGCTTATTCACGACCAATCAACTTGCATACACCAAAGAAACGTGAAATCTTTTCGCCCCCCTTCTACGCCTCGATTCGAAAGGATCATCGTTTTTCATTAAGGTGGTGTTTCCCACCCGAGAAACCGTATCGTTCCGAGACTGTCCGTTTCTGCGATACCTGATGTAGTAGTTGATATGGCATTGGTGATCTTATTATCGCTCATCAATCTTACGCCTTTTAATAGGAGGATGAAGTTATCAATGAGACATCGGGTGATACTTGAAGATACTACTACGATCTTGCCTCGCAGGGCTGCCCTACCGATACTTCGAGAGTGAGCATATGGTTATCCATTCGGCTTTGAAGGGATCAGTCACGAGGTATGCTGGCTGCTTGAAGACTCTGCATGCGCATGGCATACCATTGATTAAGAGCGTGATGCGGCGCAAAACAAGGAACAGTTATTCGGTAATAACTTTGAAAGATACAGGTTCTCGGGTATGTAGGAACCAATTGTTGTGGTGAAATGTGAAGAAGAAAAAAATAGCGCTCTAGGATATGTATCGACTTATAAGAAGTCGAATAGTTTATGCCCGATGGTGTAATGACATCTGAATTTGGCAATATCGCAACAAAATTATACATTTGGGGATGAAAAAAGGAAGGGAATAAGTAAGAAAGTGCTTACCTAGATCCTACATTTACGCAATGAAGGACCCCCTCGTCGTGGTTGACGACTTGTCCCCATCGTTCGAGTCCAGCTAGTCCTATGAGAGAGACGATACTGCTGAATCCCAACCGATGCATGCGTCCTGCATATTCTAACCGGACCAGTCTAATGGCCTCTTGGGTTTCCCGGTCCTTCTTAGGGTATCTACCTAGGTAGGTAGGTAGGTAAAATGGTTTAGGAATGGCTCGTGAGATAGTGCGCTGGCGTCCCGTTTCTGCCTGCACCTCTTCTGCCGTCTGCCTGCTGGCAAATAGCATTCCACGGGAGGAACAAAATGGACGCCATCGTCATCGTTGCTCGTTGTCCCAGAGATATTCTGTTTCTCCCTCACTCCCCTATCCACTGCCGTACACTGCTCCCATTTCTAAGCTAGGAGACAATAATTACGAATAAACAAGATACCAAGGCAAAAAACGGCCCGGATTTAACACAATTCGGACATCCTAAAACTTACCAACCTGCCTACTTCTTGCGATTCTCCGGCGCCTTATTGGTACCCAAAGCCGCAAGCTATGTAATCGGGCATTAAACCCTGGTACCTGATTAGACAGATTGCCAGCACTGCATTCAACTATTTCAATTCTTTCGGGTGGATCTTGCTGTCCTCGTTGTCCTTTTTCGCCTCATGAGAGGACGAACGACTGCTAATTTTTTTTTATTCTTCGTTTTCTTTGCATGGATTCCCCATAACGCCTCACGACCCACGCCCACCTATAACTTACCCCTAACGTCGCCACCGAACCAGTTATATCTATAATTCGTCTGGAGACAACCACAACCAACGGAAAAGTCGTTGTGGATTGTGGGATAATAAGATCTGCACTCCAAGGGTCCGCGAATTGGCGACATTGGTGTTTACCAATCAATTCCTTAGCGAAGAGAAACAGAAGAGGACAAGCCGGAAACTACGGCGTAAATTGTTAAAGGCGGTTTAAAGGAACGAGAATAACAACCTCAAGGAGAAATCTGACAGGGACCGCCTCGCCCTGAAAAGGGAAAGGTGTTTATTATAGTTGAAGACGAACGGTGACCATTGATTCGACGAGGCGACATCTTAATAGGTTAAAATCATCCAGGAACGTCCCGAAATCTCTGTCGCCTTGTGGGACTGGCTGACCCACCGTTGGGTACCGTTACCGTCTTTTTTTATTATTCTTTTTTTTCTTGGAATATTTCTCAAGGGTCTAAACTCCATACCCGGCTAGGCGTGCAGTATTGTTGCCAACTACTTCCTCACAAAAACCCGGGGGAAGACACTCTAAAGTTGCCAAGCCTTATCTTACCCTTCCTGTTTCTGCAAGCACTCAAAGGGAAAAAAGAGAGAAGCGAGAAGGAAGAGGAGCGTGGGTTTCGGCAAGGCAAAGCGTGACCAGGTCGTGGGAAAGGGAAGGCAGAGGGTAGGTAAAAAAAGAAGAGGGATCGATAGGGAGAGAAAAAGGAAAAGCGCTCCCCAGTTTTTGCCTATCGATATATTACCGTATCGATAAAAGCGTCGCAGTCGGTACGTCTACTACCCAGGTACCCCTCGTCGGTCGAGGAAACAACGGTAGACCCGTGAACCGCCCCCCCTGCTCCCCTGCTCCCCTGCTCCCCTGCTCCCCTGCTCCCTTCTCACCCTTGCTCGATCCCACAACAGAGTTTGGTGCCACCTTAGAGCGACCAGACAACCCACTCTGGGCAGTTACAGACAATTGCAACTTGCAACGACCTTTACAACGCATAACCGGTACATCGCTACTGCTAACAGCCTACACGACTTGATAGGGTACTCGCACTTTCAATCCCGTCTTTCCCTTCGTCTCTTCCCATTTTCCCGTTCCTGCTCCTATCAGCCGTTCCTGGTTTTGTACGAGTAAGATATTTGTGTGTACAGTACATTACTGTCGGTCTGTGGCTTTGCTCTTATATTCTCCTCTTCTTCATTTTTTTCTCCATACGGGTATACATATACGTATATACCTACCCTACCTACATATACATCCAAGGTATCCTGCTGCAGATACCCACCCTGTCGACCTCAGTGTACGTAAAGCACACAAGCATTATATCTATCAACGTCCACATAGGTACTTGCATTCAGAGACATTGGATGACCTATCAAGTTGTGCAACACAACAGTATAATACGTACACGTATTGTATTGTAAGTGTACAAAGACAATACACTTTCCCCAGGAGCCATTGAAGCGAATGCAGAAAGTGCCAGGGCATTTTCGGTGGTTGCACCTACCTACATATCCCGCCTGCCTACGGATCACACGCCCCCAGGTACATTTACTCAGTGTCGCCCCTTAAGTACCTGCGAGTTCCCCTCTACAACCTTATACATTCAGCTCCAGTCTCTACATTATCAACCCGGCAACACCCTATTTCTTTCTCCGTTTTCCTTATGCAACCTCCCTGATTCTTCATCCCACCCCAATAAAAAATAATTAAGAATTAAAGGAATAGGGCAAGGGAAAAAATAGAAAGGAAGAAAAAACAACAACAAATAAATAAAACGAGAAAGAAGACAACATCATCAACAAAAAACCACCCCCTTCACTGCCTCGCTGCGGATTATTGCAGATCGTCAACTGCACCTCTCAGTTGAAAACCAGACTTTCACACCTCCCAACTCATACGTCTTACCCTTACTCCTTTCAATCAATTACCTGATCGAATCCGTCCCGACTTTTTCTGACGCTACAAGTCTCGCCCGCAACGTCTGTTCGCGCGGATCCCCACTTGACTTGGCCTGCCTGGTCTACCTGGTCGATGCTTGGGGGGCCGGCCCATTCATCTAAGCCTATCTAGCTTCTCCCTACTTTCTGACCTACATACATACATACATACCTACATAACATTACCACTTTTTTATTTTTATTTTCCCTTTCCCGACTCTTTCAAAAGCACTTGTCCACATTATCAGCACTGTACGCTAGTAGTGTAGGCACACATCTGCCACGCCACGCCATTCCGAAAACCCACTTTGGTTGGGTACCAGGACAGCTCCGCCCTTCCTGATCTAGTGACTGGATTCACTTATCAGGCCCGTAAGCCCACGGCATGGCGAAGAACTCGGCTCCTTCTGTTGCATACTTTGAAGAGGCGGACGACGACGGTCAAACCATTCCTGGAATTGCACCTAAATACGCCCGTTCTACCGCCAACAGCCCCTCAAAAGAAAAGCCTAACACTAGTAGAACACGCAAAGATTCTAGTTGTCGAGAATTATCACCTACTAGTTCTTTTTCAGACTCCGACACGACCGAGCCCCCCGTGAGGAGAAACTCCAAAATCAAGATGAAGGAAGAAAAGAAACGTGGGCCTCTTGTCAAGCAGCGTCCTGCCCCTCGTTCGCACAAGACTGCTCCAGTACCCTCGTCACGGCTTTCCGACGAGGCGTCTTATTACGGAGTCCCCCAGCAGACCGTCGCATCAGCGTCGTCTGCTAGACCTCGCGCTCGTACGAGACCAGAGTCCTACTACGGCCAACGACCACCTCTCTCGACATCGGCATACGCTCATCAACCACCACATCCTTCTCAGCAACTTCCTCCGTCGTTTCCTCCTACTCCTCTATGGATTCCCGGACCTCCCCCTCCCATGGGACACCACGCATTAGTACACCAGCCAATTCCCTCTCCAAGCACATATGGGTCTCCCTCTACGCCATATGGAGACATGCCTCCCCCGCCGGGCAGAGATCTAGCCGCACGGTTTCGTCGTCCTTCATCGGCTATGGGCTTCCAGCACGCCCCGAAACCTCTCGACTACGAACCCTCAAAAGAGAAGGCTCTCACACGAAGAACTTCAGTCTCGAGAAAAGCTAGCAAAGACCACGAAGATAGCCGGAGGATGCCACCTCCTCCTCGACCGGCTTCTACACAGCCAAACCGACTAGTTTTCCGCCCACCACCGCCATCTCACACCGCCTCACATTCGGCTACAAGAAGGAAGTCTGTTGGGTTTGATGCTCACGATCTGGCCGGGGAACCTGGAATGTACAAAGCCGTGGCTCGTCGCGAAGTCGAATATGGCTCTGGAGCACTACCTGGTGCACTACCATCCCGACCGCGGACTCAGAGCTATGATGCCGAATCCCTTTACGACGATGATGACCCATACGAACTCGAAACAGCAACACGTGGTCGGCGAGGTTCCTTCTACAATTTCGAAGAGAAAGTCCGCGATGCCTCCCGATATCAAGAAGATGTTGCTGGTGGGCCAGGTCCGCAACTGACGGCCGCCGCTCTTCAACGTGTTAAGAATGAGGGTAGCAGCCATTCAACCCGTAGCAGCGCCAGTCGCGATGAAAGTGATTACAAACAATCAGCCACGACACGGACTACAAGATCCAGCAATGAAGATGACGACATTACGATTAAGCTTCCCATGGGTGCCGTCATTGAAGTTGGAAACACCAAGATTCATTGTAGAGACGGTGGCGATATCAATATTGGGCGTGGCGGGCCTACTCGTGGTGGAGGCAGTGACCACGCCGCTTCTGCCTCCAACTACAGTGATGAACGGAATGACCGGAAGAGCCGAGCGGATCGGGCTGAGCGAGCAACAACGCGAACTCGGGCTACATCGCGGGCCGGTTCATACTCCCGGACACGCCCATCGCCTCCCGCCCTCTATGCACCAGATTCTACAGCGTATTCCACTTACGATGACTATTACGACGGACGTTACGCGCCCCAGATGGGCATGGGCTACTATGATAGTCATTATGATAGTCGTCACTACGAGGAGGATGACAGCGAGTACTCTGATTAGAGGTGCTGCTAGCTTATGCTTTTTTTTGGCTTTTGATTTACGATGATTTATTGGGTAGCGATTTCTTATTTATTGCCATTTACGTTTGGATATTGTAGTATGTCATGCAATATTGCACCTTTTTTTATCCCTGTTATATCCCTGCGTTATATTTTGGTGGTGGAATCGATGCTTCGTTGTCCAGGAAAATTCGAAAAATCACGGATACCCCAAAATGGATCTTGAAAAGGTTCGCGGGATGGGAACGCTACAGCATGTTCTCTTAGTGTGTCGGATTCTCCCGTGGTCGGTGGATCTTCATCATTGTATACGAAGATATGAGTGGACGAGAAGATGAATGAATGATTGTCGGGTTTTCGGACTACTTGTTTGGATAGTCGAAGGATGTCTAGGTGGCTGTGTGTGGATGGTTAAGCGCGTGTCCGGCTTACGTTCTAATCTCACGAACTCCGATCCCCTCCAAATCCCCATTGGGGGAATATGGGGGATTGGGTGTTCTATTTTTGTCTTCATTTCTTCTACACAGGGATTGGCCGTGCCATGCTGCTGTGCGATACCCTTTTGCGCGCTCTGACGCCTAAGCCATTTGCATTGGCATGGCGTAAGAGTTTGACTGATAGAAAATCTAATCTGCTCGGCAAATGAAGTTCGCACTTCTGTTGGCAGCGGGACGTTGGTGTCCTTTTTTTGGCGAGCAAAGGAGGTGACTTTGCCGACCCTCTTCGCCTTCGGCACGGAGTTATTTCGATTGGATAGTGGATTTCTACGCCGGGAATTTGTTTGTACCTTAATCGGGAGGTCTGACCTATCTACGACTATTACGACCGCCACCTGCTGGAGGGTTGGCGTAAGGAGGACAAGGGACGGTCGATCCGCCCTATGTGATCCCTTTGGTGGTAGAAGACCGCCCTTATTTGGGGTATGACTGGTGGAAGGCCAACACGCGGTGGAGTTTGTCATTTGTCATAGGGATGGGCGTTGGATAGCATAGCATATAGGGATTTTCTTTGGTCGAAGCGCCCATTTATTGTCATCGATTCTATAGATAGATACCTACCTACATATGTGGACGACCAATGCAGTTACCTACCTATCTACATGGATCAGGATACACTCACCCTTACTTTGTTTACTTAATGTAGAAATTGTGCCGAATGAATGTTGCTTTTGATCGTCGACTTGTGGGTAATCGTCTCTAATACCGTTCTACGTACACCCACACACACCATCCTGCCACCTTAGATAATTATGTGGATATATTCTATTGTGTAGAACTGGTTACCTGATTAACGGCATCTATGGTGTTACAAGAACGCTGTCCTCGATCAGCCCATCAAGTCCGAAGGGTTGGCTGCCGCGGAATGTAGGATGATGGGCAGGGTTTCCCCGTTTCCCCACGTAGATCGTGCCACGTCTTTTTGCGTCTTATGTATCTGTATGAAACTGGGACTGAATAAGTAAGAAGACTAATAAAGCTCACATCCCGTCCACTTAACTCCGACGGAGTGTTGGCTGTCCTACGTAAGTTAATTATGCATTAGACGTTAATCGTAATAAGAGATAAAATGGAACTTTGTCGAATACGGCAGCTACTCGCGCGATGTTTTTTTAATTAGTGCCTATGTTTGTGTATGTTATGTGTGAGTGTGTCGGACCCCGAGTGAGTCGACTGATTTGATGGTTGATTAGCGGGCTAGTTGTCGATTTAATTACTTAACTAGCGAGATACGTTCGCTCGTTCGTTCGTGAGTTAGAGCTAGTGGGTGTTGGATGTGTGTGTGGATTGGTTAGCTAGACGGATGGGCGGATTCCTGGGATCGGGGCTGGCTTGTTTCATCGATCCAGTTCGGGTCGTCGATACTATGCCGATCAACCCTAGATGGAAGTTTTGGATTCTTCTTCTTTTTCGTCAGTACGTATGGTTTCTGTTCGTGGAGCTTTGCATGATGATAGGGATGTTTAGGGTCGGTCTTGGCTACTTAATCTAATCTATAGAAGTGTTGGGAACGCGTACGATGACGGGAAGGACGGGGTAGGATAGAAGATAGGTAATAGGTACATAGGAGGTTAGGGTGCTTATGGGTGAATCCTACGGTATCGTAGCCGGAATGGATAAGCTGCTTATACATAGAAGCTCGTCGGAGTTGTAGCATACTCGAAACGGCCACCTTAATTATGCCGTAATGAAATTCCGTATAGTCTACTTCTCTATACATATATATGTACGTTCATGCAAACACTTAGTAGACCTCTAGTAACTCCGGTGGGTATCTAAGATTTCTATTCTGAGGAAAAGTAGGAAGCTACCCGCTGTTCCAAGGATGCCCAGAGTCCAAGCAAAAAAAAGCTTCTAAAGCTTCTGCTGGTTCCGAGCTACTGGAACAACCAATAGGTTCGTTTGTCCAGGCTAGTGGTAATAGGATGAATCGGCGCTTGTAGACATTCAATCATATCGTCGCGGACTTAAGTTGTCAAGTTACAGATCGACCTTCCACACTCAGGGGTGAATTCGAAACGTTGACTTATGCGTTCGTCTCTTTCCGTCACCATCATCTCATCTCGCCTTGTATTACTGATATTGCCTAATAAGAATAAAACGGATGACATTCCGTGACAGACAAGGTGGATAGTGCTTATTCGTTGGTAAACACCAAACCCCCTTTCAAGCGGTTAGCGATACCAATTGGGTTTTATGAGCTCTTGGAGCGTGCGTAGACGCGTATCCATAATCATAAACACAATCATAATAATCATGATCCCATACGAAGGCGGAAAGCTTCGGAAACAGATTCGTAAATGGGTAATGATACTGGGAAATTACGCATGAACCGAATCCTTCAATCTAGGCCATTAGAACTAATAAAAATAAGGAGAAAATAACCTGTGCGGTTGGTTCGTTTCGTTCCTCGGCGCTAACGTGTTCGTGTCGACGAAGCAATCGGCAGTAGATTCTCATCCAATAGTATCGCGTTTCTAAATCGTTGAATTGCTTTGCTTTGATCGCGATGTCGTATGTTGAAGTTGTAGTTGCAGTCACAGTCACAACGTGAACAACGTGTAAGAGGTAATTTCTTGATACCGCCCAATATGGTATTTGTAGTATTTGTGGTAGTTAGATGTAGTAATAGTACATACTTGAAGATATGTAATGTTGTATTTGAATTAATAAAATGCTCCCTAACGATAACGGGTTGCCCTCCTATTCTTGGGCCCCACTGCGACCGACGGGAGAGAGCTGAGGGTGTTCTTGAAGCAAACTGAAGATTGAGATTGACCCCACTATCCTAATTGGGACGAATTAAGGGTACTTTAAACAAGTATTTTTGACGCCTATCGATAGACCAACCCGGTGGGTCCGTTGCTTAGCTGATGCTATAGTGGAGCCACTTGGGTTGCCTGGTCAAGTGGTAATTATTGACTTTTGACATCATTTGCCCAACCTCCCCAGCCACATATTTCCATGGCAATGCCACAAACCCATAGAAACCACCAGACAACCAGTTTGTTGCCAGTCACATCAAGTTTCCTTTCCTCCCATTTCCGTTACAATCAACAATAACGAATCTGTAACGTGGTCAACGACAATAATCCATCCGTCTACCAATTTCATCTCATGCATTTCAGATTGCAGCGAGAAAATTGAAATTGATTAGATACGTTTTTACATTGACTTGGCTGGGTTTCCAGCAAACTACCAGCCGAGTCTCTTGTTTTTACCTAGTTTCATTTCAATTCTATTTCCATCCCAGATAATCAGAATCTAGCATTTGGCATCCACATTCGCAATCCAAGATGGCGCCTCTGCTGCCGAGTTTAGCAGCACACGCCCGCAATCTAATCACCTCAGCTCATGGTCTCGCGACACGTTCATCAGGTTCGACCGCGGCCTCCCAAGCAACATCCGCTCTTTCGCAACTTGGCCCTCTCGCCGCTCGTTCCATCCTCTTAGCCCGTGACGATGCTAAATCCGACGACAATACCAATTCCGACGGGACACCAAAGGTCGACCCCAACAAGGGCGTCGTGCACCCGCAAAACATCAACAACACATTCGTATTCGTCCTCTTCGGTTTGATCGGCGCGGCTTTCGTCTGCACTGGTATCTGGTTTTTCTTCTGGGCCAAGAACGGCGGTTTCCACTTCCGCCAGAACGACTGGGATGACTACAAGTCCACGGTTCTACGACGAAAGGGTCCCAACGGCACTATACTCTCCGGCGCTACACCTACCACACAACTAGGCGGTGGATCAGTCTATAAAGATGTTGTCGATGATGGTGCCCCGACTGAGTATACCGGCGGTTTAACCCAGATCTCCGGCGACACAGGTAGCACACTCACTGGTATCACGGCGGGCGCATCCGACCTCAGCGCACGCGAAAAACGCCGTCAAAAGCGTGAGCGCAAGGAACGTGAACGAGAAAAGAAAAAGGACCGCCGCAACCGCGAAAAAACCAGCAACAGCCGCCGCGTCGGCGAAGACGGAGTCCTAGTCGACGAAGAAGCCGAGGCCGAAGCGAAAGACCATCTCCGAGCTTACCGCCACGAAAAAGCCGCGCGTGTTGGTGGTATCAATAAAGAAAGCGAGGGAAGTACTTGGGACGGATCTACGGCACCGGATAACTCGACTAGCGCTGGTAGTGATCTTTTGAGTAATCGCCAGAGCACGCCAACTAATACCCCGACGAAGGAGAAGGAAAGCAGGAGCAGAGGTGGTGGTATTCGCAAGGTTTACAGCACGGCGGACCGAACGGCTGATCGTGAGAATGAACGTCTGCGTGCGGAGGCTAGGCGATTGCAGAGGGAGGAGAAGAGTCGTTCAGGTGGTAGCAGTGGTGGGGATGTGAGGAGGAACTTTAGTTTCCAGCGTGCTGCGGCTAGTCATAGTAACCACCGCCGTGCTGCTGCGAGCGAAGTCTCGGCGTCGGTTATCGAGGAGGAAACACCTAATGCCGTTGGCGAAGCTACTAATAACGGTCGTTACCTACCTGCGCCTGGCGGCTGGGCTCCTAGCGCTGTAAGTGGTAGCGAGGCCCCCACGGAGAGCGATACAGGCACTAAGTCGTACCACCACGTCATCCCGGGTATTTCTCCTAGCACGGTGAGCGGAAGTGGTAGTGGTGGTACTAGTACCGTGGCGAGCAGTGACTACGCCGAGGAGAAGAGGAAGAAGAGAGGTGCTGGGAAGTATCGACGGGATTAAAAGATTTATGGGGAGTTGGGTCCAAGGAGAGTTTCTTAAGAGGTCAAGGCATTCGCAACGAAGATATGCATACATCATAATATGAGGTTCATGGAAATGGTGTGTACTACGAGAAAAGAACCAACCTCTTATCTATAGGGACTTTTCATCATTTTAATAGGTGTGCCTTTTTAGCTGTGATTGCTTTTAGTTTCTACGCACAAATGGATGGATAAACGGATGGATGTATCAATTTTATGGACGAGACGAAACACGCATGTATCTACAACACCAATGAAGCAAAGCCCACATCACATTCTCTACGCGAGACATTCAATGGGATGACACAAACGGCGTTTTCTGCCTTGCTTCGGTTTAGGGCATTATGTGGGGGTTTGCTCTACTTTTGATGGCGTTGTTCGTAATGCAATTAGGTAGATAGAGGATAACCACGATCATCGACAATAAAGGATGTCAACGTAATATGTGAAACATATAGCTTCGTGATGTGATCTCTACACCGTATACTAAAATTGACATGGCAAGGTGATGAGCGTTTATATCACTGACGAGTAGTAGAGTCGGAAAAAATCAATTATATTGATAGAATATCCTACGTCTTAAGCATAGGTAAGACATATCTGAGAGCAGCACTATGTAGGTAGTTGGAATAGCTTGGGTATAATATCGTAAGATTGCATTTTTTGCGTAGTTGGATTATTAAGGCAAATGTCATTAGAAATAACATAAGATATGACCCAAGTAAGTCCAATGACCAAACCATGGACTCTAGGAATCACAAGAAAAAAGGAATGAAGATGATGATTTAGACAACCAGAGCTCATAAACTGATTCATTTTCCAGCTATTCCAAATTATAAGAGAAAAATATCGTAACGTCGTAGAGATTCCGTTAAGATTCGTACGTCATTCTGTCCGGTTTTTGTAAGTGCCCCTTTTTGCCGAAATGCATGTCCTGCCCGAACCTAGCAGGGGAGTCGTGAAGAATGGAAACCAAAGCAAGAAGCTAACACTTATGCTTGTTGGTCCTCGCGTACCAGTGTGCTGTTTTCCAAGTCTCTATAACGTGAAATGTCGTATAGGAATGTGGATGCGATGGCAAACGGCGTGTCGTTAGAAATAAAACGTGATTTGTTGGGGAGGTTACTACGCTATCCAGTCTCTTAGTAGACAACCACCAACGAGAAGGGATAGCGCTATGAAGTAAACTCCTTAAAACGTATATATATATAGGATGGGCGCCTTCCGACACCGCGGGTGGCTGTAGGCCATAGAAGAACGTGACGTGGGAGCTGTATTTTGTCGAGGCCAGGAACGCTCATCTCCTGGTTTTCCTTGATGAACGATGCATCTTCTTGTTCCAGCATTCATTAACCGCGTAGCGAACATTGTCGAAATCGTCACCAGTAATTGATCCGATGAAAAAGACTTTGACGTTGTGCTCGATGGTAACCAATTTAGAATAGTTCACCCGAGACTCCCTAGCAAGCATCTCGCCCTCTGCGTAGACTTGAAGCGCTACAGGGGGGAACCCGAGTTCGGGTTCATTCTTTAAGAGTTTAGGCTTGGTTCCCGCCATGTATATGATTCCATGCTTGTTGGGTCTTACTCCTTTCTTCAAGCACCCTCGTCGATCATACGTCAAGATAGGTCTATATTTGTGAGTGGGCTGTAATAAAATCGTGTCTGGAAGTATACTTACACGCATGTGCTATGATGGCTTTCATCAGTCGTTACAATGATGAACCTGCGGAAACCAATGTAAAATTTATTACCACCTGCAGTTCTCCTTTTTGTTATATCGGATATGGGATCATCACCGCCAGCTTGGCCGACTTGACCGAGGGGCTCTGACCAAAGGATCTTGAACACCTAATTGACAACATTAGCACTCATTAAGTATATGTAAAGCCGGGTCTACTCACCTCGCCCGGCTGGAATCTCCCAGAATGTTCAACTCTGTATCCTATTGGCTGATTAGCAACTTGTGTAGTGCCACAAGAAGAGGGGGAACTCACTACTATCCAATACCTCTTCTTCCCCTGGCGTCCCTTGGATATAATTAGAGTAGGATGGAGCGGCCGGAATTGCTACTGGGACTGGTGAGCCACCACGAGGTGTCTGTACGTCCTCTCCATTAACTAGCGGCGGATCTATCTTGACGCATTAGTAACTGAGTTTCGAAGTTTTGGCGAATCACTAACTTAGTTCGTAAGCATTAGGATCAACAGCAGCAGTCGGCCAAGATGATGAGGTACTAGCTGTGCCTGCTATGGATGCAGAATATGACGGCTCGCCCGCGGTTTGTGTCCCATAATACTCATTGCGGCTCCGGCGGATAGCCTCATTATATGCATCTTCATCGAGAGATTGTGTTTCCTCCGGCTCATAATTGTTCACTTGTGGTTCTACACTATTTATAGATGCGTGAGCTGTAGTGCCGTCGACCGCCATATAACCAGGATTAGTGTCTAGAAAATGATTAGCATATTTCCATAGTGTGATATCTTAAAACAAGCCTCACATTGCGGCTGCGTCCCTTGATTATAGTTGTTTGTCGTTAACGGCACCCCATCGGAAACTTGGGATGGGTTGCTACCAAGCGAAGTATTACCATACTGGTTAAGTTGCTCGACCTCTGGTAGTTTCCCCTTTCCTTTGTCGTTTGGCTGTTGTGTCTGCACGTGGTCAATGTAGCTTGAGTCTTGAGGTTGGCGTGTATCGAGGGTATAGCTAGCATGGTCGACAGTAGCGGCGTGGTGGTTTCCGTAGTCGAAGGATTGGCCCGAGTCATAGACGCCTTGGTTGACACTTAGGTTCTGGACTCCTCCCGCTAGATCGTCAATGGTATGATCGGACCGTGGAATACTTTGATCTTGGGTGCTGGGGGAGTTTGGCTCAACCCATTTATACTCTATGGTACCTAATGGATGGCTGGTCAGTACGCACCGAGCCGAGGGATATGCGGAACACCAGAAAGACGTACCGTTCCGGTCTTCTCGTTCCAAATACCATTGTTGATACTGGTCGTGCCACTTGGGTTCACTCCACTTGTGCTCACTCCAAGGGCGCGACGACTTTTGCTTATGTTTCGACTTTTGCATTGTGACATTTTGTGGCTTAATTTCTCATTGGGGGGCAAGGTCAATACGCAAAGGAACGCGCGCGCAATATCCGGGCCGTGGGTAGCGGCAGCATTCACGAGCAGACCGGGAGAAGAAGATAAACGCGAAGATGCGAACCGAGCCTTAAATTAGTTATGCGGCTCTGTCACAGATGTTTTTCTGTTTTTTTCTCGTCTTTTTTAAAGATATCCTAAGCTTGCCATAAGGCCGGCTTTGGTAGAGAAGACGGTCAAGGGAGTGTGGGACAACTTTGCTGCACACACACTACGCCAACCCGTCAAAAAAAGTGTCCCTGGGGACGGAGGTAATCTATCTGATTTGACAGCTCGCAGTCACTTTATGCCTCGTGATGTAGTTGGCTAAAAGGTCATTGGCCCCCAATAACTTCCCGACAAAGGGCAAAAATAGAGATGCAATGACCTCGCAAGAATCAAATAGCGTCGACGATGTGGGAATGGGAAGATGGACAGGTCAGGGTTCGTAGGTGACCTAGAATTGGAAGTTGAAATCCCAGGTTAAGGTAGGCAGAGACTATCATGTAGGCTTGGGTGGGCAGCCAATCATGGGAAGGGATGGTAATGGCTGCAACCTCGGTGTTTGTATATTGTATTTGTATAACAGATGGATGTGGATGTGGTTCTCTTAGGGCTTTCCAGATAAGGGAACAACAACATTCAGATGAAGATAAATGGGGATGAACCCGCATCGAGGACTGGGTCGAAAAGCGAGCCGAAGACAAGGACAAGAACGAAGCCGGAGGAGAGTGAGAGAGATAGAGACAGAGACAGAGAATAAAGGAGAATAGAGAGAGAGAGACGGCAAAGGCGGACAAGCTGGATGAGCGGTCAATGATCAAGATGGGAACACAAAAGAGAACCGAGACATACTGTCGCGACGGAAAGCGACATACAACAATAATATTATTGTAAAATAAAAAGAAGACCGACTACCCTAGGTTAGCATGGCATGGTGGAAATGGAAGAGGGGGTGTGGTGCGCTCTTATCATCACTCCCCTGACGACCCGGCCCACCTCTTGTCTTCTTATTATCCTCTCTTTTCCGTCTAGGATCTTATTACTTCGCTACTCTTAAAAGGAAGAGGGTATGAGAGAATGAATGAACAAGCAAGCAAGTAAAACTCCGTTCAGTCAATGGGTAAGTGAGAGTGAGTGAGAGTCTGGGTCTTCCCAGGGTCCAATTTTTGCTTTTCGACAAGGGGAGGCAGCTCTAAACCTCTGCAACCCGACGAAAGGGATCAAAAGATCCATCGTGGACCATCAAGCGGCAGCCACTTGGCGTGACCTTGGTATGTCCACTAACACTACTGCAGAGTACGTTGTAGCAGCCGCAAATGGCCTAGCCAACGATGTAGCTAGCGATGCAGCAATATGCAAAGGACGGATCCATTCTCCATGTTCCCAAACGACACACACCCCACGGCCGAAGACAGGTCCAGGTAGCCCGGGTAGGGGGGAGGTTAGGGGGGGGTGTGCGAGAACCGGAGAAGGGGTGCGTAGGGAGTTGCTGTAGTGCGTAAGGATGCGTGAGGAGTTAGCCAGACCGCATGTGGGATGACAAGATGAGGCTCTTTAACAAGTATTGCCCATCTTGTGTACTTGTTTCTAAATTGTAAGAATGTCAAGTGGGCGATCGGCTGCGGACGTGAACATGGATGGGCAAGGGAGTTTCTTTTTTGCCTTGGGCGACGTCGTATAGCCCGTGGGGTCTCGAAGCTACATCGGATGTCTTAATAATTCATTCGCCCACGATGTAGGTATGTAGACATGTACGTACTCGCAGACTCGGCGGGTATTGTACCTCCATAATATGTAGTATGGATGTATGTGGACTGCACAGTGGTGGACTGGTGGATTGTATGGAGATGAATGGATGTAAAAGCGATGGATCTCGACTTATACGGTGGATACTAACACATGTATTTTGGTATCTAGGCACTCTGTAAAACGGGACTTCGCCCACTTTGGGATAGAAATGGCATAAACCACCGAATTTACGCCAACTCTAAAGTAAACCCGGTCCGTTGATTAAGCCCATTAAACCATAATTAGGTTAGCATCAGGTTAGCTAGAAGGGGCATATTTTTAGTTGACCCGGGGGGCATCGGGATCGGGAGATACTGCCCAGCTAAGATGGCTAAGAGTAAGGTGCCTGCCTGGGTACCTAGGTAGCTGGGTAGGTGGCCTTATTTTACCTTTGGATTTTTACTGGGATATAGTAAGTTTCGGCAACCGCCACGTGCTAAATAACCCCCCCAAATAACGCCAATAGGTAAGGTAACTTTTTAGGTACCACGCAGCTACAGCGGCACAGGAAGTGGGCTTGTGTAACTAACCATCGAGTCAGCGCGGCGAGTCTCACTTTATGTTTTTTCTCTCTGTGTTATTATTATTTTTCCTTTGCCCTACCTAACTCCTTCACCTGCATCAAAACACCCTCTCGCATCACTTCCGCGTCACCTGCTTACCTATCAATTCTCGTCCATAGAAAATAACAACAGCCTCATCTTTAATAACTAAAACTTCCCTCTATTTATTCATTTATTAATTAACGATGCCGCTCCAAATTTGCCAGATGACAGACTCTAAATGGCTGCCAGTCTCGACCGTCGCTCTGTAAATCTAGCCAGAAATACTTTGGCTCTTCCCGACAGCTTCGAACCTCGTCCTTTTGAACATGCCTGCCACAATGATGTACACGGTCTTTCTACTGAGTCTAGTAGTCAAGCATCCATCATGTCTACCGAAGATACCCCCTTAGATATGTCTCGTACGTTAACGACAGGGTCCGAGGGCTGGACTGATTCCGAAGATAACGATTCCGACTCGTCCGTTACATCTGATACTTCGCATGCCCGTATCGCTCGCCGGCCGCATTTTCCTCCCGTCCTCCCTTCTGTAAATTCGTCTTCTAGTATCTCCAAGAGTCTACCGCAGAAGCTAGCCGCTACTATTTCCGCTGTCGAAGGGTCTGGGTTGGTCCATCACCAACAGACTTTAAGCAAATCCCAATCACCTTCTGCTCGCTTTCGGCGCGTGAAGTCACCGCCGCTGCCCCAGACTCAAGGAGAGTCGCTCATTTCTAATGCTCTTCGTGTCAACTATTCCCAGGACCCGCAAAATTCCTCGAATCGCTTTCGTCTATCATCAGGTCAACAACCACAACCCGTATCGCATGGCATCGATGAAATCATATCTGGACGAAAAGGCCTCTCTGGTTCTGGGGAATCTAGGTTCAGGCCGCATATTTGGAGAGGATTTGAAATGGAAAGCGACGCAAGCGATGACGAGGAAGACAATCAATCTGGTTTACTTAGTTTTGACGATGATGACGATGATGATGACGACGACGTGTCTAGCCGTGTTTCCCGTAGCGTTCAGCGATTGGCAGGACATTACTCTAAACTCAGGGATCGAAGGACAAATCTCTGGGAAATATTTGATGGCATCCGCCACAAAAGGACCCAACTCCAGGACTTGCGCCATGTCAAAGACGAAGCCAGTCTTGCCTTTATGACTGCAGTGCAGGGTATGCTTCCAAATAATCCACATTTATATCAACTTTTTAAGGGCATGCAAGATGCTCAGCTTAGGTGTCAAGAAGCGGAACATCGTTTCGATGATATGCTTGACGAGCTTCAACACGGCGAGGCCGAGTTGGAGATAGAAGAACAAAGATTCTATACAGTCGCCGCGGGTATGGACAGCACCGCATCTGATGACGAATCTAATAATGATAATTGCTCCGAGACTTCGGAGAACTCTGTACTACGAGGAATTACAGGCGATCGCCCGGAGGATATCCATCCACTTTTCGAGGAACTCCGAGAGGCATCCCGGAATATACAGCTAGCCAAGGAGCTTTTGGTGAATACCCAGATGAAAAGGAAAGCATTAAGCGCAGGAAAATCTCATTTGTTATCTCCTGAAAGTATTGAATTGTTAGAGAAGTATGGCGACGCGGGGAAGAGACGGGCCCTGGAACTCAAGCGATTGGGAGTAATGTCGGAAGACGATATCGGGATGCTGCAGGATTATGAAAATCTGGAACGGACGGCACTTTTCGACATTGATCATTACACGAAGGAAGCTATGAAATTGGAAAATGAATGTCGCGAGAGGCGAGTTATGCCCAGAAACACGCCATTTCAAGAGGCAGGGTTTGGGTTCAATCCCGTCCACACAGACGATATCCATCTTGGAGATGGGCTTTTTGACAGAACTTTTTCCAAAGAACGACCCACGACGCTGGCACATCCTATTTTTCCAAAGCTATTATCTAATCCTGCGCATTTGTTGGAGAGGTTTCCGATGACAGCCAAACAATCGCTTCGAATGACCCTGTCACTTCCACCCAAAATGCCATCTCGCCAGAAACACATAGATGAAGCAGCTCGCGAAGTCAACATTCATTCACTACTTGAAGAAGCCGGCGACGGAGATAAGAAAGGTTATATCAACCGATGGTTACTTCATAAACTTCATGTTTCACCTATGGAAGCTGAACTACTATGGTCCACTTTTCATACCCGTCTGAAAGTTCTTAACGTCGATAGATGGCAACAGGATGTCCTCCATTTGTGGTGGAAAGACCAGGCCGCCAATTTGCCCTCGGCTCAATTTGAGGGCGCTTATGAGGATCGCAGTTCAGCGTCTATTAATCCAAGAACAGATCTCCCATCGAGACGCTATTCCGACTCTGGCCAGTTGGATCACCTCCGGCTTTGGGACGTCGAAGAAGCCTGGGAATAAACACATTTGCAATTCTATACTATAGTACAGTCTCTGTTTTAGTATACAGCCACTACATTTTCCTTTCTGGTTTAATTTATAACTATTTTCTTTTTCTTTTTCTTTTTGTCGAATCACGGGTTGGTCGGTTCGGGCGTTTGTTTGCGGGTGGCGGCATGCCAACCATGCTGGAAAAGATTGATTCATGGACTTTATATACCCCCTGTGCGATTTTTATATCATGGAGTTTTAGCCACTGGCTGGGAAGAGCCGAGACTGGATTACATTGTTTTATGTACGGATCCTACACAGTGGGCGGAGGAGTCTTTTGCTGTACAACTTTGAAGGCGTTCGGTTATACCCCCAAAGCTCTCAGGTCCAGAACGTTATAAAATCTGAGTGGGATTTTGGAGAACAACATTGTCGTCTGGGGGGTATGAGCTAATTATCTAGCTCTGTTCTTGAGGTCTCAAATATATTCATACATATATATGATACATTTTTCTACTACATATCTTTTTTAATTCTATCTTATATTGTAACCCTATCTAATTGACTTTCTAGCTTATAGCTTCATTGCATTGTACTTAGTAGGTTCTTTAGATTGGCAAGTCTAAATTAGTTCCACGGGCCGTCCCACCCGGATAGGGTACCTAGTTGCGACCTAGGTAGCTAGCCTAACCTTAGAAGGTAGAGTTTCTAGCCCAGGCATACCTAGGCAGTGTAACCTGCTATTCCTATTGATCAGTCCAGCGGGTAGGCACCCAGGGTCGCCAGGTAGGCTACTATCGATCCTACCAATTCCACCAATTCCACCAATCTTTTCAACTTTTTACCCTCCTGGCCGCCCGAATCGATGCGGGGAACAAGACCTAACAACATCACCCTTACCATCATCCTGACCATACACGTACGAATGACTACAAATGAACCCCCCCCCTTTGTACCTTTCAAAAAAGGGTACTCCCGAATATCCTGCATACATGTAGTGCTCACGTTGCACAAAGGCAAACTAGCATTTCCCTATCCTACAGCAGCTGCATGAACATTAGTAGGTACCTATTCCCTACTTCATCGCCCAACAAATCAAACGACCTCAAGACCACACCAAGATGAGGCCAAGAGACGTCAAAATGTTATAATTCGAAGGACACAATATCTTACTTTGCTCTATTATACTCGGTCAATCGTACCTATAGACCGCCGTTCCTTCGAAAGAAACGCTGCAGCCCGACTTGCCCCTATAACCTCGCAATGGCTCCGTATCGAGCCATAACCTCCGAGTTTTAGTGCCAAGCACCGCAGGATTTGCCCGTCCTGCTCTGCCCCTCCAATCCCGTCCCCGCTAAGTTACTTAAACACTGGTCATATGGTTCTAACGCCGGAATGACTCCTCTCCAGGGAGGGTCGCGGCAACACGCAATACGTCCATTTCGGCCTACGGGGATCCGGAGCCTGCATATCCTAGGGAGGGTACGACAAGGACTAGGACCCGGCCTAAGACATTTTAAAAACTCCCATGTATAATATGTTGTTCGCTACCTCTTCTTGCCAACCTCCACGTGTATGTCTAGAGCGGGAGGGCAGATATAGCTAAGGTAGGTGATAGCACCACACCCCCCCTTCTTCTTACTCTTAGACGTCTATCCGTACGACAGGAAAATGCGACTAAGTGTGGCCCACCAAGTTTTGTGGGTGGGGGATGGTCCCAAATCGGAAAATTCGGCTCTTGGGAAATTCGTGATTGGAAATTTCAAACGGATTACACCAAGCCATCACATCACAAAGTAGGAAGAGAACCACGGCACACAGGCACCATACCATGTACTACGTATGTACGTATCAACGTATGTATGTATATGTGTGTGTATATGTATGTGTATGTACGTGGTTCAGGTGTGTTGGACCGTGACGGTTCGCTCGCTCGCTTAATCCTCACCACGGTGTGGGGGTTCACAAGAAAAAATATGATATGGATGCGAAAAGTTCGGAAATTTCACGATGGTTGCTACTTGCTGCAGATGCTTGTTCTAACTAACTTACCCCTATACCCGGTTTAGAGTCGAGGTTTCATTCAACAAGCAGTATTTTCTGCAAGGTACGCGCCCCGGAAATGCTCGCCTAACCATCCCGAGCTGCAAAGGTATCGTGGGCGCTGCTGAGCTGAGAGATTTGCCTCGGCCGCACCAAAAGAGAACCCCAGGTCAATTGCGGTTTTTGATTGCTGCGCCCGACTAGAGGGGGAGTATCATTTGGCACATGTGATAGCGCCCGGTTTGCCTGGACATCAAGAACTTCTTAAATGAAGTTCGCCTTGCCAACTCAGCCCAGTCTGTCTAGTCGTCGATTTTTCTAGGGGTTCAACTCCAATACCGCCATTTCAATTTCAAACGACAGCTAAACTTATGTTGTGGCGGCATAGCCACTTTCTTTTTCACGCGTTAATACTCGCCCTATTGGAGCATTGAAGATAAGCCAGGTTTACGTGCGTCAAAGGTTAAGACGGATTCATCCAGCAAGAGGCTAGGGCAATGGTAAGTTGTCTATTTCATGCGGGCCGTCTCATGTAACGCATGCTGTGATTTTACTATTAGTGTTCACCATGAGCTCGAGTGGCGAAAACGGCACACTACTCGTTATTCGTACGATTACCGCCACATCTTCAGTATCGGTGTTTTAAAACACGCCAGTCTCAGCTAGGAACACGACATGGCTTCATCCAACTACTAAGGCTAGGCAATGCCAACAGCAAGAAGATTTGGATAAACACTCTGTCGGTCCTATGTTCTAGGCTTAGGATATTGCAGCTTTAAGCAGTCATATTCAACCAAGTTTCCGCACGAGCAGAAGAAATTGAAACTCACGATACCATATGAGCTCAGACACGTCCACTATGTGCAATTTTCATACTCTAGCGACAAGCATCTAAAGAGACTATTTCTCAAGTCTATTTGAATGAGACAGAAGATTAAATTGAGAATTTTGCGAAGCTCTCCAGCTCATCGTTCTAAATATTTTCGTTTCATATATTGGCTTAGGTACAGCTAAGACGTTTCTAGACACTACAGGAAACAAGTGTGAAGATTTCGTCTATATATCTGCATGCGCGCCGAGTGACTAGGTCCGTATATAACCGTTCATCCTTCTGTTGACACCTATTAACGTAACTCAATTGTTGTCTCATCTCTTCTGGAATATATAAGGGCCAAAGCATCAAGGCACCTTTGCCATTCAGATCACTCAAACTCGAAGAGAAAATTCCGATTAGGAAAGTTCAAAGCAGCAACCACTAGCAAGAGGCCAAAGTGACATTAAACCGGCACCTTGCCAGTAGCGTTCACCGAATCCTTTCTAGCTAGATGCGATAGAAATTTGACTATCCTCTCTCTTGGGGCTAACATAAAAAAAGGGACTTGAGATCTGATGAATAACAGACCTAAGTTTTAAGATACAAAGCAGACATTGCACAAGTTTTGGGTGGGCACATTGATCTACGTATCTGATATGTACGGTCCTTGTACTACCCCGTTTGCTTAAGTGTGGTGGTTTGCAGAGAAAACTAACTAGGTATCTAAGGTACGCGGACTATCGTCAACAGTGCTGTCGCGTCCAGCAGGCAAGTTTTTACGTGGGTACGAGGATTTTTGTTAAATTGAAATAAACAAGACTTCCTAGGTCTCTACCTACCTACCTACCTAGGTACCTAACTGTCTCGACCTAACTACCTTTTTTTATTTTTGTTTTCTCCCACACCCAAACCAGGTCATCACTTCCTCTTCCTCAAACAACCCTCTATCCGCCGTAATTCTACATAATCTTGAACTTACCTAGGATACGTCTAGGTAGGTTCTGCACCTACTACCAATCCACAGACGTCCAAAGGCCACTACAAAATATTGGAATGACCATACCTGAACGTCAACTTACAAACACGGTACGTTATTTTCTTAAAAATTTCCGTTTACATTAAATCACAACAACAGTAACCTTGATGAAACATGCTATGGCTTCTCGTCTTGAGATCCTGAAAGGCTTGTCATTCAACATCTGTTTGTTTGGAAATTCCCTTCTCTTCTCGTGAACTTTCAGATAAGACTTGGAGGATGAATTAACAACAGACGCCTAAACAAAAAGTAATTTCATATTAATCTTGACCCTCCGTCACTAACAAGTATTTTTCCTACTAGAAGCTTTTAACATTCAAGAGTTAGACCATCGAAGTTGCCTTACTTTTAAGGTCAATACTCTTGTGACATCAACGCCTTCATCTAGTTAGTGCTGCTGCTTCCTGATTTCTCTTGGGGGAAGTTGCGACGTTTTACTCCGTTTCACCTTCACCCTCGCTACTGAAGAAGGGAACTACCTACGTCATTGTTGCCAATACAAAATGGCACCTCACGGTAAGCAAGTCTCGTTATCCGATTTATCGCACTTTCCGCTCTTCACACTCTTTACACTTCGCTTTGGATTTTAACCCGACCCCCCGAATTATATTAGTATCTTTACATAGATCCTTCCATCTCACTCTACTCTGAGGAGCGACAGAGTTGAGCTGCATTATTGTGTAATATCTTACACTAGGCATTTGTATTCCCCCTTGATACCACTGCTTATTTTTTGTTTCGATACCTTAAATATTTATATCATGCGCTAACTCACCCGTGTAGTTGGCCTTACTTGGCCTGAGGGTATACCCCTCGAGATATTCTCGATGATCTTCCAATACATTCCCGACCGTGAACGAAAGGCTCTGCGCCTCGTTAACCAAGAATTCAACTCCAAACTAATCAGTATAATCATGAGACAAGTTGTTATATGTGTAAGCCCGGGTTTTAGCACCAAGATGGATGCTAGTCGCGGCCATGATGGCTCCCATACTCTGATCGACTTCACACAGCGCTTAATAAATTCTCCTATCGCTCAATGCTACGGACCGCAAATTCGACGCCTCGGGATTGCACTCGATCTGAATGAAATTGATATCGCTAGCCCGGCTATCTGTGATCTAGAAGATATCGTTGTTCGCCCCTGGGGTCCGTACAGATGGCCCATCGACCCGGAAGACAGAGGCAGTGCAGAATTAATCATGGACAACATAATTGACGAACTAGAGAAGTCTCAGGGACAATTTAACCTCTTAGATAATGCTACAAATCTTCGAGAAATTGCGCTGTCCTGTGAAGGAGGCCTGGGCTATCTCCAAGGGCCCGATGTTAACCCTCGGCAGCCTCAGAGACAGCCTCCCGTATTTGGCAAGGCCATTCCGGCTCGAGAGACTGATGATGAATCTCTCCAAATTTTATTCGACAAGTCATACAAAATAGAAATGTCGGAGCGAAAGATGGCTGCCCAGGGAGTGGATCCCTCAAAATTTCCGACCATGATCTACCGGCTTCTCATGAATGAGGAAATCAGCCTGGATGAGTTCAGTCGCGAGCAACGACAAAGATCCCCTCTCCCTCTTTATAACCCCGCACAGGCCTTCATTCCGCGAGAGAGAGTTCCTCGCGATCCCAAGCGCAATGATCGACTTCGCTTGCAACCTGGCCTTCCAGTCCAGACGCAGCTCAGATTCATATACCGGCACATCCAAGCTGAAGAGGCCCTGATCTTATCCTTCTTCGTAGGATTCATGGATAAATGCCATCTTTTGACCAATTTGACGAAGTTGAACATTACGCGCATTTCGAGCTTCCATCTCGATTCTCTGTGTCGTCATGACTTCTGGACTAGCGTTCCCTCGCTGAATGAGGTGGCACTGGGTGTAATTCCCGAATGGACGAGCCTGGAGCAGCGAAAAGGGCATCCTATTGAAGCCAGACAAGTTTACCCGACGGATGCGATCCCCAAGGTCTTTAAGTTGCTGAGCGAATACATAGGAAAGCAACGACGGATCAAGCGTCTTCACTTCGAGTGGCATTGTGGTGGAGAGCTGGCAGCTGGATGTGTTCAACGAAACAGATATATCCTCCCGGCCCCTTTCTTGAAGAACCACCGTAAGGTGATCGATTGTAGTGTGGAAAATCTCTTGTTCCTCCCATACGTCACCCACTTGTCGCTCAAGAACTGCTGGTTTGCACCACATGTTTTCTATTGTATTATCTACACCATGGGCAGGGTGATGTCTATTGAGGAATTGGTGCTAGAGTCGGTATCGCTGAGTGGCCCGCCGATACTTCAACCGGGTATCTTAGATATCGAACCAGAAGAGGACCCCCCTAATACTCATTGGAGGGGAGGCACTTTACCGCAAATTCCACTCCCGAAACCCGAGTATTTATCCTGGCTGCATATCATTGATATGCTAACGCCTGGCGTAACGGTAAAGGAACTTCAATATCTGGAAGAATGGGGTGAGTTTATGCCACCGCTTCGTATCAAGAAGGAATTGAGTCTACGGAAAATAGTCTTCATATCCTGTGGCTATGTCGAAGTTCGTGACTATCGATTCATCTCGAACCGTCGATTCCGCGACCTTAAGATGCCGGATTATCTCGAAGAATTGCGCGACGGGTTTCGAAAGGAGTTCGAGCCGAAACGTCAAGCCCTACGGGAGTATTTGCAGCTCACCACCGATAGACATCTCGCCAAGATCGTCCCTGTGATGAGTGAATATGAAAAGTATGCTATGAAACGGGTCTTTGGCCTTGAGACTGGATGGAACTTTGTGTACGATCGGACTGTCATTGAAGCCGCCCAGCGCGACGGTGTCGTAGCTCCTGGGATTGGACGCTTCAGCGGTACTATTGAGGGCGGCCCTCCTCGAGAGGACAATTATAAGTATGAACCAGACCCCAACGTACGAAGGAGAACCGTTGATTACTATTTCGACACGACGTTTTATGAACAAGGATACAACGATCTAGAGGGCCTCGATAACTTGATGCAAGGTATCGAGGCGGCTACCGGATACAGTTTTGTCGGCCCGGTGGCTCCCATGATTATTCCGCCCTGGGTGACTATGTTCTGGGATTTGGACTGGTCATACTAAACCTACGTACCTACTCCTTCACACGATTCCCGACGTGGGTCTTATGTCTACGTTATGCGTGCACGTATACCACACCACCTTCCGTACGAAGATTGCTGGGCTTTTCATTGTCTGGCGGAATACGTACACACTATTTAATTTCACTTTTCGCAAAATCTGAAGCATGATAGAGTGCTTTTCCTTGTTTTCTGGCACTCGACTTTCTCCACCCGGTAGCATTTGGCGCCGAGGAGTTTTCAGGGCGATTTTCCTACTGTGATATCGCTTTGCCTTTCGACTTTTCTATGTTTTCCTTTACGATTGTAATGGAACGCGCATTTCTCTCATCGTCACCATTTTTACACGGCTACGATGGAGGATCGATTTCGAGTTGCGCTTCACATACCACTTGGCGATGCTTTGTGATTACTGCCGACCTTGAATCTTTCGGGACTGGCGGATTACTCTCCGCTACTTGAGTAGAGGGGAGTTTGAGGGAGGAAGGGCGGGTTCAGGGGTCTTATGGCCCAAAAGAGAGGCGGCGACGTCTGTGTGGAATTCAACATCCACGAATTCGATGGTCATTGCCGGCCAACGACGATTATACGTTTTGATGTCTGTCGCACTACCATTTATATGGTGAAACCATCAGATATCACAGAATTCAACATTCTGCTAAACGACGAAGAGGAACGGCGATCTGTACTAATGTACTCATGATTACGGATTTATGAGCTCAGCACGCTGTTCTCGCCGATTGATGACATATCCGTCATTGTATTATGACTGTACGACTACACTCGGTTACTCCAGATCTGTTCTGCGAGGACCCCGATGAATGATGAAGAAAATGAATAAAAACCCATGGTAATGGTCTAAATGAGGAGGATGCGGCGGGAGAATGGTTCCTGATATTGATTTACTAGACAAAATTGTACGATAGCTCTCTGAGATATGCGCTGGCAAACAGATAGGAGCATCGGCAATGATTTTGTTTTACTATGATTTGATTGTGGTTATTGATGAAGTGATCTGAATCGTGATACCCTTAGGCGGTAATGCAGTACCTAGTAATGTGGTTGATGACAGCTCGGTTTGTCAAGCCTACATTAGATACTTCTATTATGTATTATTGTAATAAGAGATGAAATGGGCTTGTTGATAATTCCACGAGAAATAGTAATCAAGCAACACCTATGTATACTCGATACTTGAATGCGTAGGAATATTAACTAATTATCACGGTAAAAACAAGACCTAGAGAATTCATTCAGAAACTTTTGGTTGAGTATTTTTTGGGGGGAATCCACGAAGATATTGTGTGAATTTTATATTTCGCGAAGGAGTTGCATGCCAGAAACCTAGACCCATGGATGCTTTACGACCGCCTTGACACCTGGAGTGAAAAGCAACTTATAAAACCCCGAAAACCCTCCCTTTCTTTCTTTCTTTCTCCATTAATCGTCATATCAATCTGCCCCGTCCCCTAAAAGCTTACGCGGCAGTGATGGCCTGGCGGATTCTAGCACCGCGTTGTCGGGAGGAAAGGTGGGCCTGGTCTCGTCCGACAACAGCCTCCGACTTCTGAACAACCTCCTCGCCCTCGGTTAGGATGAGCTCGATGTGGCACGGGTTAGACATGTAGGGGTTGATCTGTATATATCCATCAGCAAACTAGAATTGTACCCTAAGGTATAATATTGGTAACGTACACGACCGTGAGCTCGGTAGGTTCGTCTTCGTTGCTTGGGGGCCTGGTTGACCTGGATGTGCTTGACGATCAAGTTGCTGGTGTCGAGACCCTTGGCATCGGCGTTGGACTCGGCGTTCTTGAGGAGACCGAGTAGGAACTCGGCGGACTTTACGGGCCATCGAGCCTTGGAGACACCGAACTGCTTGCCTGTTTGTACCATCGTGTCAGCATTTCCATCTACCACAATACTTGTAATCAAGAATATTTTATATCCTTCTATCCTAGTCTCTTGATATTATGCACATGTCCAATTCTCCCATAAAGTCTAAACCATCGAGTTGAGATTGATAAATCGTACCTTGGGCTGTTCGGCCAGTGCTGCCAGCATATCGTCGCATGGGGACAGCCTCAGTCTTCTCCTTCACGTTCTCGAGGAACTTGACAGCGCGGGTCAACTTCCAGCCGTTGATAGCCTGGGCGGTCTCTCGGGTGTTCTTGAAAGAGACACGTAGGTAGGCACCGCGGGCGCGGGCCGACTTCGCGGAGTCGATCTCGGTGGCAGCGTATCGGACCTGAAAAAGAGCGTTTTATGTCAGTTATCTTAGCTTATTTGGTGTTTTGTATTTTTTTTTTCGGTGTTGTTTATAATCGGTGTCAGGCGATAAACCGATAATTTAATTGTCGCGTGAAACATAGGATATTCGAATGGATATAAACGTACCATCTTTGCTGCTGTGTGTTGTTGAAGTGGGAGATGGACTCGATGTCGTTTGTTCGATTGAAGATTTTCGCGAAGTTCAAAGATTGGGGGGGGAAGTTCTCTAAGGTTCGCAATTGTGGAAATTGAATTGTGCCCTCGCTTACGGCCCTATGGCAGTACGTACTTTCCCTCTAAAGGAAAAAAAAAAGAAGAAAGTCCCACTTGGTCCAAGCTCAAAGTATTATCGATAACGTGCGTTGAAACTTTTCATGTTGGATAATCTTCGGACTGTGGAAGGAGCTCGGGCCATGTGAAGTTCCAATTGCTAGGCCAGTGTAACAGTAGCTCCGAAATTTTTTTTTCTTCTGAAGCTGCTTGAAGGAAATTTTTGGTCGAAGCTCGACGTTAACATAACTTTTCTTCCAATCTTCTCTACAATACCCTTAACGCGACAATCCACCACGAACGACACGATTTAACTTGTCGCGAGTATAAATACACCTCATTCATAATCCAATTCTTCATTTTTAAACATGGGTTTCCAACCGCGAGGAGGTAGAGGCGGTGGCCGTGGTGGCGGCCGAGGTGGCTTTGGTGATCGTGGTGGTCGAGGTGGTGGTGGCTTTGGCGGCCGTGGAGGTGGACGAGGTGAGAACTCTTTCAAGAGAATACATTATCTAGTGCTTGAGTTACTGATTTAGATTACAGGTGGTGGCCGTGGTGGCTTCGGCGACCGAGGTGGACGAGGCGGTGGTCGCGGCGGCCCACGAGGAGGTCGAGGAGCTCCTCGTGGTGGTGGACGAGGTGGCAGAGGCGGCGCAAGCGGTGGTGCCAGGGTCGTCGTTGTAAGTGAAACTTGAATCATCTTTTCATCTATTTATATCGGCTTAACTAACCGTATTTCTCATAGGAACCCCACCGTCACGAAGGCGTTTTCGTTTCGCGGGGCAAGGAAGATCACCTGCTTACCCGAAGCATCGCTCCCGGTATCGAAGTCTACGGCGAGAAGAGAGTCTCCGTTGATACCACTACCAAGGGCGAAGATGGTGCTCCCATCACTACCAAGGTTGAATACCGAATTTGGAACCCTTTCCGAAGCAAGTTGGCGGCCGGTATCATTGGTGGTATTGACAACATCTACATGAAGCCTGGCTCCAAGGTTCTATACTTGGGTGCCGCCTCTGGAACCTCAGTTTCCCACGTTGCCGATATTGTCGGACCTACTGGAAACGTTTACGCCGTCGAATTCTCCCACCGATCTGGCCGAGACTTAGTCAACATGGCTCAAAACAGAACGAATGTTATCCCCATTGTCGAAGATGCCCGACACCCTATGAAGTACCGCATGCTGGTACCAATGGTAGACTGCATCTTCGCTGATGTCGCCCAACCGGACCAAGCCCGTATTGTCGCTCTAAACGCGCACATGTTCCTCAAAGTTGGTGGTGGTGTAGTTATCTCCATCAAGGCCAACTGTATCGACAGCACAGCTGCCCCTGAGGCAGTATTCGCGCAAGAAGTTCAGAAGTTAAGAGCAGAACGAATCAAGCCCCAAGAGCAACTTACACTAGGTACTTCCTCCCCTCTACCTTTGCGGCTATTGGTATACTAATAATTGTAATTAGAACCCTATGAACGAGATCACTGTATCGTGATTGGTCAATACCAGGAAGCTAAATAAGTAACCTTATAGACAAGAGGGCAACCTTGCCTACTTTGTCTTGTATTATGGCCTTGATGCAATGGTCATAATCCATATGGTTTACGGGATGGAGTTGTTCACCATCAGGCAACGGCGACTTGGCGTTAGGGGTGGGGATTTTTGCTATTTCTGTGCATAGTTCCTATAAGGACAAATATTTGGTCAATACCACATACGCAATTCGTTCCGCAAAATTCGTCTATCTATTTTATACAAAAGTTACTCTAACCGCTAAATGTCCCGACTATACGGCGCCTAAAGCCTCATTTCTCATATCTTTAGTTTGCTTGAAAGTCGAACCTGATAAAATTTTCTGACATTGCCAATGACATAGTAAGGCAAAAAGGTGGCTTACTTGTCTTAACTACCACAACAGCTCTTGCCGTTTATGTACATTATGACTACCAAGGTAGCTCACGCCGCTCAGGGGTAGTGGTAGCATCTTCACTCATTCCATTCATCGAGGACCCTAGAGATGGTCATCTATTAGCAACCCTCTCATACGGCGACAACCGGCCCTCTTCCACACTACCGCTATTACGTCTTTTCCCGAGGGACACCGGCACCCCCGCGCCTCCGAATGAACCTATCTCCGATCCCAACCCTAGTCCCCCGCTACACGCACTCGTCATCACGGGAGGTTGGAGCGGCGCGTGAGATGTAACACAAGGCTGCTGTTGCTGCCATTGTTGGTTCATACCTGGGCCGGTAGTCATGCCACCGAGGATGCCGAAGCTGGAAATGGGCATAGGAATGACAGAATCCAGGGTCTTCGGATCGGGATTGAGGGGGGCGTATTGGGGTTGGGGGTTGTTGTAAAGAGTGCCGTTTTGATGACCAGTTGGTGAAGGCAATGTGGATGAAGTCGCGGTAGTACTCATAGAGCCATCGGAATAAGGGGGCCAGGCCCAGGGACCGGGGTATGGGAGGGGTCCTATGCTTGGGTTTGTATATTGGTGTTGTGGTTGCTGATATCGCTGTTGCTGTTGTTGGAGTTCTAGGTATTGCTGGAATTGCTGGATTACTTTCTCCGCTCCTTTGTTCATCGGTGGAGGCGGCATTTGCTCGGGGGGTGAGCGGAGGAATAGGACTTGCGTCACGGGTTCCGGTTGCCAGTCCATTTCGTCTACCGCCCCGAATTCAACGCCTGCTTCCTCCGCCCATGCGACGAAGCGCTTTCCGCATTGCCGTAGGGCTTGCGCGGCCCAGTCTCGGAAACGGAGGTTGACGCGGCGGACGGAGCTGCATTCGACGCAGAAGCGCTGGTTTGGACTGCCTCTACCTCTATTGCCCCTGTTATTGTGGTTATCATGTCGTGAGGCCTTGGGTGAGAAAGTAGGACCTTCGGGAGTAAAATTGTCGTTATCGTTCAGGTCGCCGGCAATATTAGAATTGTTATCGTGACTTCCACGACCACCTTGTCCGCTTCTTCCGCCACCCCTTCCTCCCCCGCCTCGCCCTCGATTGTTATTATTCAGGTCGAATGGGTTATATTGGTTTGCCGTTATGTGTGGACCGTAGGATGCGCGTCGGTAAGCCTGGGGTCCTCTTCTATGAGAGGGGCGAGGGCCCCTCGTGGGCGGTTTGAAGCCATGCGTATGGTTTTGGTTATCGATTCCCCCGTCCTGCGGTCCCCATTTGTTGTTTGAAGTCTTTGGGCGCCGACCCTTAGCTTTTCTTCCCATATCGCATGTAGGATCTTCACTCGCGGAATTTCCTCTAGATAACTTGGTTTATTTGATCTCAACGTTAGTTAGCTATTCGGGTTCCGATTAGTTCGAGCTTTACGATACCTAGACTCTAGAATATCACTGAAGGGAGTATTAGTAGAGATATATTAATGCCGATGAGCTGGCGCAAGGTAGCCTAGGAGCTCTTAAAGAGAGCCTCTTCCATTTTAAACCTCCATCGTCTCTAGTATCTGAAAGGGCATGGCCTATCTGTTCTAGTTCTACGAGACCAGTCGGGACGTTCCAGAAAACAAAGGAAGAGACCATCGTGGATAAAAGTAGTCGGTTTCCGACCAGCGACGAAGGTTATCCATTGAAATCCGCTCTCGTGATGGCTGCAAAATTCAGAAGTTTTCTAAGGTGAGGATATCTGAGTCGTCTTATTGAAGTAGCTCTACAAAGGAGGCCCCAAGTAGTAAGGGGGAACTCGTCAATAGCCATGCAGCCATTCTCATCATTCACTTAGCGAACAATGGTAGGCGTGAGGGTCAAGAACGTCTCGGTTGAGCACGCGAATAGCATCTGACGCAGGTGTCAGTTGTTGAAAGCTAATGGGCTTTGTGGTTTCTGGAAATTCTCTACTGTGAGACTGGGTCTCAACGCCACTGAGCGTTTTACAGCGAAAGGGCCATTATTTGCCCTTGCTTTCTAGAGAAATTCCATTCGACTGAGAGTTAGGAAAAAGCCGTGGCACAATTCCGCATCATCGCTCCGTTTCGAGGAATACGGGAGGACCTAAGACTCGTTGTTAGCCGTATCATTTTCCCCATTGTATCTTCCCGATCAAAAGCACGAAGGATCGTTTTAGCTGGTTAATTAGGCATCTAAACGTGATCTAGGAGGGTATACACCGCTATTCCGACAGATATCGACGTCTTACAACGCCACCTATCGTATTCCCAGGGAATCTTTGCATCTCGCCTGCCACCTTCAAAAAAAAAATTAAGTTGGCGGAAGGGTAGGACTTGGCGAGGCTTGAATATCTCGTAATAAAGTGCCGTCGCTTGACACAGACGCGAAGGATTTCACCTTGTCGTCGTTCCGTTGTAAGTGGGCATCCGTAGGGCATGAGGCTCTACGTAACCCTAAATGCATGATTAGTCCTACCCATCCCCAGCATCTCGAAATAATTGATGCCTGCCGCTCCCCTTGTATAGGAGGCCTAGCCATTGTGATATTACATAACGATAACGGTGACGTCGAATATGCCGTGCGCTATCCGGCCCTATAACTGTTTTTGAAATGGAAGAGAGAACATCGCGCGAACGCTTTGACATTGGAGTATATAGCTAACTTGCTTGGCGACTAGGCGATGAGACATTCGAGGCATTCCCCGGATCCGCTATTAGGCCTAAACCCCAACTCTCGCGAACGAAGACACCATCGACCTCGGGAATTATTTTTCTTTACTAGCGTAACAAGGGTTAATATGCGCTAGACAAGGTGATTACAGGAACGCTTCACCTTGGAGGTAACTCCGAGCTTTCCACACCTCGTCAGTAACAGTAGTGGCAAAAGAAACAAGCCTTTTGCCGTTTGGGGTGCGTTACATTCTTTCTCAAGATTTTTTAGGCCGCGATGCTAATAATGATAGACGTTTCGAACCTGCTACCGGGACGAGAACGGCTCATGAACACCCACACCACACTACACCGAGGTATTATCTTGTCATGTGAGTCAGAAATGCCGAAAAAGAATCCCGTCAAAGGAAGAGAAACGAGCAGTCCAATAATCTGCGACTACGCAGCTCATAAAATCAGCTTTCAGCTATTTCGGTCTAGTAATCCTCATGTGGCCTCCTTCAGCAAGCGTATTTCGTTGCGCGAGGATTGAGGAAGTGGCTTTTAATCAATTCGTAAATTCTCCTATTTTCTGCATTATAGGATATCGGAATGGCTGTCATACGTTCGCATTAGCTCAGATCTTCCCTTCCACACCGCGATCATACCCATTTTCTTTGAAGATCTTAGGAGATCTTTAGATGATGACCTCATGCGATGATAGATCAGAGGTGTCTGCAGACCAGAATGAGGCCCCGACGCAGAGCCCAGGCTGGCCAGCATAAACTATTAAATCGTGACCCTGGGCCGCTTAATAATCTGGTCAAGTGAAAGCTGTTCCAAAAAGCCAACACTTCTTGGTCCATTGGACGGCACAGTTTTAGTTATTTCCAAGAGTATCGGTCAATACCATGCCGCCCTTTCTAAGGAAAAGGCTATCAGATTAACATTAGTGCGCTCCACCAACATCACGTACCTTAGGAAGCCCTAGGAAATATTCGCCTATGCAATTTTACTTCTTTCTGGTACTAACGGGATTGGTATGGCTTGTTGGGTCTATCTTCGAGAATACGCCTTGGTGTCCATGTTGTTAATAAGGCAAACCAGTAAGTTCATACTTAAGGTCCTGCTTGGTTAAGTCCCCGACTGGGAATTGGATGGTTCATGTTGAGATCCGAAAGGTGGGAGTGGTGACGGTATCTGTTGCACAACAGCATGCAGTGCGGTAGTGCGTCGTCAGCGCAATTGCCGGTGTTTGTTGGTGTTTTGTAATTGGCTGCGCCGTAACATCCCGTGGAAGATAGCTGTAGGAAATAAGTCGAATAAGTGCCGCTATGCTTGAAGACCTAGTTTCGAATCTCAACTAGCCAACTCTTGTCTTTTTGATAGTTCTCTTGGGCTAGGATAAGACAGCAGCCGAACCACATACGAAGATTTCTAGTTCGAATTGAGGCACGGACAATTAAAGCGGAAGGCACGGACTTCTGCAGAAAAACGATGGCGAAATTTCCAAGAGTAATAGCTGAATCTATTGTTTGTATCGGCCGAGATGCTAGAACATCTCTGAGTCTCGATTTCGTTCGAGTCCGGACGTCCTGAATCCTTAAGCAGGTATTGTAAGCTGATAGCATAAAATAGACCGATGCGGTGTGACGATAAGCCCCTTTAGCTGCTAAAGCTGCCAGCTGCTGAGAGGACTAGCGTCTGAGTAATTAAGTATAGCAGTGCATAGTGATAAATAGCATAACATATAATCAATATACTTGCCAGGATATTTATAAAATAGTGCGTCTAAAAGTGAAATGGAGTTCTCAACAACGTGGTTAACTGCGTTGGCACTGACGATGATAGGCTTTTAGGCTTGTAAATCCAACTAAATCCAAGTAAAGCCGAGAAAATCAATCGAAGTCCTAGGATAATGCAGAAGCACGTGCCGTATTACTTAATAGATACTTAGTTACTTACATGTATATATGTAGATACTTATACTTTATAGCGGGTTCCACTATATCATATCAAAGTTGTGTTAAGTAATATCTGCGCTTGTACCTCGCTAACTACAGCCTAGCCCATTTCTTCTCCAAATTATCTATTCGCAGTCAGCACTAATTCGGACTTCCTCCACCCTACTACAACATTATCACCGTCATTGCCACTACCGATATCCACCTTCAATGATAATTATTGAAACCAAACATCTCTCTATACACCTCAATGCATGCCATGATCACCGCCATGTCGCCATGTGTTTTCTCCGTAGGAAATGAGAAGGTCCGTGACCGAGAGGCATTCTCATTCAGAACGCACTCATCCGTCAAGCAAACTGAAGCACCATTTCTCCCGCATATACCTACATATGTACTCCAAGACGCGTGGCCCATCTACGTTAGACTAATACGCCCAAACACGGCTCCCGCCTTGCTCTGATGTATCGACGTTGCTTTCGTCGCAGAATCCCTTTTCAATGGCAGCTTAAATCTCACATCGAGATACTAATGCCTTACGAGTACCAAGGTAATTCAGCATATCCAGTGTGATTGAATCTAACCACTATGGGATTCCCCGATAATCTCACATTATTCCCGAAGAACGGACTGTTTTCTAGGTTTGTCATTTGACATGCCAACTATTCGCTGGGCTATGTCTGCCAAGCTGGGGTAACCGGTTACTAAGAGGGTCTCATGGAGCACTGATACATTTCGGACACACGCTCCGGGGTTGGCCAAGTTGTCAGGCCCTTGGTCGGAGCCAAAGCTCTCACGCTGGTACTTACTGTGTAGCACAATACACACTCATACGACATTGGAGCTCTATGTCAACAAGAAAAGAGCCTATCGAGAGGGCCATCGACGTGATTCCCCCCTACATACTACAGCCAGAGAAAAATGTTCCCTGCGCCGTCATATATGCTTGTAATCATACACACTTATCTAACGGATGCTACGGGTTAAATTCCGGAATACTTAGCTTTCTATCCTAACCCCTATGTCTGCCTTTGGGATGGTTGCCAGTGTACATATCACAGAGCCATGTTTTTTTCTGACTCCGCATTTTTACTATCTGATTGGACCTCCATGTTCGAGTCACCCTTTCACAAGCCGGCGCCGTTTTTTCTCTAGTCAGCCACCAAGTCTCCCTGGCATGAACCACCATTCGGGGACCCTTGATTAGCGGTGCGTGGTATCCTAGTCAGGAGCCGGGAGCTGCATATCTGGTATCCTCTCTCTTCAGAAACGTTCCAGGGAATAATACCCACATCTAAGCAAGGCTTAGGCCCCGTAGTATCTTGATATGGTATTACGAGGGCGTGTGTAAGAGCGGCCTGCTTAATTATAAGATTCTCAAGAGATCCAACCCGTCGATGCCCGCCCGCCCAAGTGGACCTCGGGGCTTAAGTTATGTTCGGTGAATTGTAATTCAACGAGCTGGCTCATCTATCTCTTCGATACTTCGAGGCCTACGTTGTTTGACAAGACGATCCATACGGACCATGTTAACGTTCCGGTCTGCTGGATACTCGGGCCTTGATTACTGACTTAAGCGTTTCTACGACTTACTGTGCGCCTTTATCATACGATTGAGTTCTCGACAGGACTATACAACGTCTAGCAAAAACGGACTCGACATAGCAGCTTGATCCGAGTTTCAACTTCTTAGCGGGCTATCTTACAGCCAAACCCCCCAACTCGAGAGTACATTCATTTACACCACCTCCTTGAGTTCAACGATACATACCTAGGCGCTTTTAAAGATGGGCGAATTATCAGAAGGAGTACTCCACGCCATCAGCGTCATCGAGCGAGTTGGCTCGGTGTTTTCATTGCTAGGATGTGTCTTCGTTATTGGCACATTCACTTTCTCAAAAGCTTTCCACAAGCCTATCAACCGTCTTGTCTTCTATGCCTCCTTCGGTAACATGATGACCAATGTGGGGACTTTGATGTCGAGGAATTATCTTACGCAGATCGATTCATTCGCATGTCAATTTCAAGGATTCCTTATTCAGATGTGAGTATCGTCATATGTATACGGATTATTTCATCTTACTAAACTGGCCAAGGTTTCTGCCAGCTGATGCATTCTGGACGCTAGCCATGGCGTGCAACGTCTACCTAACATTTTACCACAAGTTCGACGCCGCGAGGCTAAGGAGGATGGATATTTACTATATCATACTGTGTTATGGTGTCCCTTTCATCCCCGCACTTACATACGTCTTCGTAAAGACAGAGGGAGCCGGCCGCATGTACGGCAACGCCACACTATGGTGTTGGGTCAGTTCGGGATGGGACATATTCCGAATTGCTACTTTTTACGGACCAGTATGGTAAGAGCTCAAGAACCCATGTCGTTCTTAACCTTATAGCAACTGATACAATTTAGGGTGGTGATCTTACTTACTATGGCCATCTATATCCGTGCCGGTGGAGAGATTTATAAGAAGCGAAAACAACTCCGCAACTTTGGTGCCAGTAGCAGCGCGCATGATCCAGACGCGTTGACTTCGTACGACCCTTATTCGACGAAGACGACTGAAGTTACAGTTACGACCGAGTCTGCCGAGGAAAACGGAGACGGAATCGATCTTGCACCATTAGGGCGAGCGGCTCCGAACAAACCCAAGGCGGCATACTCAGTGACGATCTCCTCCGACGTAAAAGACAAATCGCAGCAAGGCGATATCAAACTTCCCATCCAGAGCAACGTGCCACCGACGCCATCAACAGCGAAGGCGCAAGTGAAAACCCAAAAGCGGAAAGCGGCCTTCGATTTCAACCATGCGGCATGGTCGTATAGCAAATGCGCCCTACTCTTCTTCACGGCACTTCTTATCACCTGGATCCCATCTTCAGCCAACCGTGTGTACAGTATCGTCAACACAAACCAAACACTAGCATCCCTAGAGATTATGAGCGCACTTGTCTTGCCGCTCCAAGGTTTCTGGAATATGTTGATATATGTCGCGACAAGTTGGGAAGCAGTGAAGATCACATTCTCGGATCTCGGATCAGGTCATCGTCCAGACCAAAGTCGTTTCGGTGACGACAAGCGCAGCTATGGGTTCAAATTACCAAGCCGAAGTGGCCTGGAGAGCGACAGTATAACGGAACTTACCAATAGCGACAGGACGTCCGACTCTCACAATGGGGTTAAGGCGTAGAAGACATGAACGGCTTGGGAAAAATTAAACTTGGAACTACGAATTATAAAGCCTAAAATCTCTAATCTTCTACTTCTTGCGCATGCTTTGAAAGGGTAAAAAAATCCTTTCATCTGTATCAACAAAATTACTTGCCATATACCCAAAAAATTCATTACCTGGTTTATCGTGTTTAATCGTGCACTTCTTTAATTTGTTGTAATTAGTCTTTGAGAGTTGATACCCTCTTGTACTACGCTATTTGGTACGGCTATTGAACTCCATGGTCTAGGCCAACGAGGCCACTAGGATAGGGGACTCAACTCAGGGAAACTGGCCGGGCGTGGATATCAACGGTACCCTACTCCCGGCCATCGGAAGCTCACCCGTGAGTCGGGCCTTTCCCCTCAACGCTAGCAAGCCGAAAATATGGGGGAGTTTGGCGGCCGGAGGCTTGTATGCTTCCCTCCCCCTAACCATATTTCCTAATCAAGAACCGAGATACTTGGGTACTTGTGCAAATCTTTATATTTCTTGGGTAATTCTTACATATGTAGTCCTAACGTATCGGTAACAGTGGCAATTTGATAATTTAGAGATGTAAGATGTAATCTTAGATTTGTCGTTGTTGATATCAAACTCACATGTATGCAATGCATTACAAATGGAAATACCTATGTATTTGTTCGGTTACAAACAGCCGCGGGTCTTCGAAATGGTGGTTTGGGAAAATTACATATGCTTTTACATGTGTCGGATGCTCCTATTACCGACTACCGACCTTCGCATGAGATAACGTAAAGGGGCGCGGGTGAAAGAAGGGATGATATTTTGTGATGTTGGTCAAGGTGAAGATAGAAGATATTCAGGGTCACGGACCAGTAACGTTATGTGACCGGAAGTTTTTATTCGACCGATCTCCCAACCTTGTCACTATCTAACCAACAACTCATACGGCGTGTTGTCGCGTGCATTATTTATTCCTTCTAGCATTCCTAGCTATATAACCGTCCCTAGTGCTGAGAAAAACTAAATTCTAGGCCTTGGCTGTGGGAATTTTCTATGCGCGAGTTGGGTTAGGTGTTCATGGGATGTCGTTGAGGCACGCAGGAACAAGGTTGCAGTAGGATGCGGATCTCCACGCGAACGGCTCCTTCGGCGAACCGAATTTTTCTTGGAAGAAAGGGTTGGGGCCGTTCGTGTAGCAGAATACCAAGACGAGTCGGCGTACAGTACGCTAGACTATGTATATGCTATAATATGTTGTGTTATAGCTGGGGAGGGAGCCAGGTAATAGAAGAATACGGTCCGGGAGTAGGAAAGCTACATTATATGGTGGTATTCGTAAGGCTGGTTTGATCTGGTATAGCTTGATACTGTCAAGGGATTGAGAATTAGGTCTATGCGAGGTCCGAATGGTTGAGTGAAGTTTTCGTTGTTCTTAAGAGGGGCGCAGTATAGGTATGGACGAGCAGCAATATCTCCATCTAGAACGTCAACATGAGTTCATCTCGTCCAATGAATTTACGTATGTAACTTTCCCGATGACTTTGTTTCAAGCTTATGTAGAACCCGCGGGGTAGATCACAACTCAGGGACGTCTCTACATAATAGAGTTTCAAAGAACACGTTAGGTGCATGCCTTCGGGCAGGCATAGGATAGGATGGAAGAGAATTTTTGTTGGTTGCGCAGTTTTGGTCGAGACGTTTTTTCGGTTTCATGAAACACCCTGGGGATTTCTGACCAATGATACGTCCCGAATTCTAACTCTTCGGCTTGAATAGGCAAGGTTACTGGCGTCTGCTAGGGTCTAATTCTTAGCGTGTGAAAGTTCGTAAACCTTACCTTCTGTAGGAAATAGCGTCCCTGAACTCTCTTTCTTTTTTATTCGTGCTAGATAATTTATCGCCGTCCAACGAGAAAGCAGTGCTTTTCTCTGTTGGTTCTATTCGCCCTTCCATAAAATGAATGTGATACATTCCATCAGCGTCGCAACGAAAGGGATGAGGCGAAAGACCTTTTCAACAATGAGAAAAGTTTTTCCAAATTCCCAGAAGCCTCACCGTCGTACTGCAGCATTTACGTCCATGGCTTTGGGTCAAGCGAAATAGTCGGGCAAATTTCGACCTTGTCCATCACGGTCCAGATAGAGAAAAGATCGGAGGGGTCTTCGGTTCCATAAATTACAACCTCGACGTCGATTTACCGCATTAGGAGAAGACAGGGGCTGGGTCGAAAAGTAAGACGTGCCGAAAACAAGATATTTTACTTGCATACTCCACAGTATGTAGGACTTCCAGGAGGCACAGTCTAAAGACGCACTAATCTTTTCATTGAATAGCAGCGAGGGACCCCTAAAGTTGATCATTACGGACGTTCATGGACCTAATCTTTTAAACCCTCGTCGTATAGTGCCCTTTGCTGGTAATTTCCAGCCCTATTCTGATTAATAATGACACATTAAGAGAGTTAATGGAAGATACTTGCCGAGATCCATGGGGTAGGGAAGCAAGGCAGGCTAGAAGGTTGTATTCGGTGGTGGCTTTGAGAATTCGTCTCGCGTATACAAAATTTGTCCGCATATTTTCTGCATATAATGCACATAACATCATGTATGCAAATTAATACCCCTTTTGGAATCAATATTAGGCAGGCTGGTACTGATGAGTCGGTAATGAGATAGTGGCACCGCCTCATAAGCATTAGGAGAAACAATCGCCAAAGCTCACATCCGATGTCGATTATCAATATCTTCTTTAGGGCCATCGCTCCGGTACTAGTATCTCTTGCATTCGTGGCGTTTTGTCTGTGCTGGAAATCCATATCCATAGGGCATCGCTCTCCCGCACGTGCCTTGGGTCTGACCGTTTACCTAGGTACTCAGACTCTATAACGTATTAAGGTAGCAGTATATGCGTGTGCTTGCTACTGACATGCCCAAGTTGTCAATATCCCCGTAATGCGTGTGTATCTCTTGTTTTGAATTTTTAAGATGACAGGTCAACTGCGTCAAGAGTCAAGTCCACTCGCGTACATATGATATGTTGTACTTAGGTACCCTAAGTATCTACATATCTCCTGTAGTGTCAAGCAAACAACGCCCCGTCCGGGTCTAATGGTAGGCGGGCCGCCGTTGGAGTCGACGGCTTCAAGTAGTGTAACTGTTGGCCTTCGCCATCGCCACAGTAAATGATGATAAAAATTTAATTCGACAGTGTGGACACTGGAGAGGGGGAGCATTAAGATTAGAGACATGGGTGGCGCCGTCGTAATACGTATGCAAGGGATGATAAAAAAGCACGGTTTCTCGGTAGGGTATTTACGGAGTACGCTACAGATGAGTTTCGCTCGCTAGGCTCAAAAGCCTACAAACCAATTAATTGGTGATTATAACACGTCCTCACGGCAGAGCATGGCGGGCCGAAGCCATGCGAGGCGAGACGCGCCGGTCCGTAAGTAGGTACCGAGAACTATATCAATTGGCAGCATGTCCTACTTTCCTTTAAACGTGATTGAAACCGATCGCAGTTTAAATCGGCGTAGCCGTGTGTCTAGAGATGCGCATACTCAAGGTGCAAGTCGAACTAAGCCATCCGATACCGATCGAAACCCTCGACTAGATCCCAAGATCTATTCCAAGATGCAAGCGACTGTTCAATCGACAATGTTAAAGTTTATGTGGTTCGGCGGGAAACAGCATATCCTCCAAATGTACGCTCGCCCAATACTAAGATGCAGATGCCCTTATGTTTGTTACGATCTCGCTGTTGTGTACGTTTTTCCTTTCCTCAAGTCCGGATACCGCGGTTGTGGCTTCACTAGTGTTGCCAGAGATGTCTCGCCTTTAGAGCCGGACTTCTATAAAGCAAAAGATTCTTGTTAGGCAATCAAAATTGCGTAAGTTATCTCGTGTTTGTTTTCTACATACAGTGCGCGTCGGGCGACCAGATGCGAGACCATCACGTCCCTAATCCTCAATAATGCTACAACAGTAGAAATGATACCACCATCAAATCTAGTGGAAACTTCAACCAGAAAAGCAATTGTGAAATAGTAATCGAGGTGACGCAAGTATGAGATTTGCATCCGGGTATCTCCCACCTAACCTATTAGACAGCAGTAAAAAGTACAGTATCTCGTCGTGTTGCCGAGAATAGCGATTTTGCGTATTTCATGTTCTGAGGACTGGCTTTGGTTAGGTAAAAGGGTAGTATAAGAGCATGATAATTCGTTCCAGAACGCCGGTGCCATGATTTGATGCGATCCCCTCCTTTTGCATGTCTCGATTAAAGAAAAGTTCTGATAGGTTTGCCCCACTACGGGCGGGGCTCCTCTCGGTTATCACGTCGATGCTCTTTTGTTCTTGACAGCCACGATGTGAGAATATTGCCAATAAGTTCCCCTTTCAATGCACTCCTGGACAATGTCTTCCTCTTCCCACCACCATCGATCTGCATGGACAAACTTCCCCCAGATTTCTTGCCACAACATCCTCGCAGTCAGGCAACGGAGTTCGCTCTCCACGGACGCTTGATCCTTCGTCTCCTCGGTCGCAGTAGCGCCTTCATGTACAGCACGCACCGAGACTGTCGTAAGAGTGCTACCATACCCGCGGAGTTTTGCGACAGCTAACCAGGCTGGGAACGTGCCGCTGGGATATGTCGTACGGCACTTTTTTTCAAGCTGGATCAAGAGGTTTTCGAATAACCACTGTCGCATCTTTGGACCCATCGAGGCTGAGACCGGTTGGGGGTCAATTAAAGTCAGATGTAGAGCACCACCAGGGGCCAGACAGCGGTAGATATGACGAAGGAGCAGGGGGATCTCGCTCGAAGGAAACAATGCAGGCATAGGTAGACATGTTACGGCCGTATATAGTTGTGGCGCGAGCGGACGAGAGCCCGCAGATGCAGATATTGCTGGTACAAGGATCGGCTTTACATTTGGGAACAGATTCGGAGATATCGGTTTTGGTGACAAGTGAGTAATTGAGGCTTGCGGGTGCAAAGCTGCAAGATACGATGCAGATGCTAGTTAACACGACCAGTCAGCTGCTTGCCAAAGACGTTTCACCCGCGGAGAGGCACAAACCTTGAGTTTCGTAGAATGCTAGAAACCTAGGAGGGTTAGAAAGTTTTGGCGAATCTGAGCTTCCCGAATTCCTATCCGCGCATTCCCCAAGCGGCGTGTAACCCTCGTGTTGTAGGGCGGAGAACATCCAACGCTTCTTGGTCATCTCCAATTCTTTGTAAACGGTGGCGTCCGGCGAATGCCCCATGTTAGATTCCATGTTAGCGAGCATGAGCTCTGGGGTGGCTGCAGCCATCATTCGGAGTTCACGTTGTAGCGCCACTAAGCCCGGTGACATGCACTGATCCGAATCGTCGCTCACTAGCGAATTATGCAGCCTTTCTTCTCCTGGAGGAGTCGCATTTTCCTTCGTTGGGTTGCAGTCCCATTCATGAGGAGGTTTCCAAGCGTCTGGGTTGCCTAATCTATCATTGCTATTCCAGCCTGGGGTGTATATGACAGCATTATTTCGAGGCTCGGTAAGGGGCGGGGTTCGTAGTAGTCGGGAAGGAGCCGCTATAGACCCAGCGTCGTCAAACGCTAAAGGATTCCTAGAAAATGCATTAGTCGAGGCTCAAATATTCATCGATAAGTCTTTGGGGGCTTACACTCCCTTGGGTAAGTCTGGAATGGGTGGTGTCGAAGGTGTTGAAGCCTTTGTCCGATCAGCGGATATGTGGACTTCGGAGACCAACTGGTCGATGTCTTTCTCTGGATCGCGAGGCGAAGACGTGACTTCGGTAGTTTTAGTGACGAAAGAAGATGGTCCTAGAGACTGGATCAGATGTTCCTGTTTCAATGTGGTCGTCCCGCTGGTCACCGAAGCACCGACCCCGGTGCTGTTCGTAGCAGCAGACGGCTGTGTCCATTTCGACAGGGTGGATTCTATAAGGATAAAGAGTCGGCGATTGAGTATAATTACCAAGAAGGGTTGGATTACTTACCTGGTGAGGATAAACTCGAGGCGTCAGAAGTCTCTGGGAGTTGTACGGGAAGATGGCCTTTCTCGGTAGGCTTAACAGTAACTTCCGATTCATCTTGGTGGTGTAGTAAGGACTTGACACAATACGCCGACGTGCGGTTAACTTTGTTAGCGTTACCGGGCAACAACTTCGGCGCCTTGATCGAATCCTTAGACTTAGACGGTGTCGGTGTCCTCCTTCGGCTTCTAGCGGAGAAGATACCAAAGCCACGATCACTGGAAGTGGAGCCTTCGGTAGACACGGATTGACGGCTACCCTCCGACCTTTGCCTTTTCTCGTTTTCCTTCACCCTCGCTTCTTGCTCTTTCCTCAGGATCTTCTCGCCCATGAGCTCCCTATTAGGATCGGTCCAGATGACGTCGAACATGATGACTAACTGCTCGTGGTTGAATAGTGTTTTGGGGCTTTTGATTGGGTAAATATTTCAATATTTAACACGGGGGGTATGATATCTATTGGGATTCGTAGATGGGGAGTGATAAGGGCTTAATAGAGCTGTAACGTAATCTGAAGTAATGAGGAGCCGTGTTCCTTTATTCGGCGTGACAATTAACTCTCAAATAACTTTGAACATGCCATATCATGAATTATGATTAGAAAAGTTGCCTCTTGGATTTCTCAACTATGAGTGTAACTAGATAGGGAATGGGGCTCCCGAATTTCTAGGCCACAGGAAGGAAGAGGCGGCCCAGAATGACAGCCGACCTTTGTGTATCTCCAGGGAGTATGGGTAGGTAATTATTCAAGGACTTCGCTGTTCACTTGACTCGCCCAACTTGGGGCTTCTGAGCCAAGTGGACTACTGCGACAAGGAAAATGAAGATTCAGGTCGGATGGGAGTGGTAACAATGTATAAGACGATGGAAAATGGGGGTTAAAAAGTAAGACAAATTTAGGTGGCGACGAATAGGGGGAGAAATGGCAGGCAACCATCCCAAGGTGCGACGAAGGTAATGTAGAAACTTTAGTTTAAAAAGGTGAGACGAATTTGATGTCGACGAAATGATTTAATCCGGTTTTGAATCTCCAAGGCAGGTTCAAGGCAAGCCTAATGTATATCCAGTCAAGGCAAGTGCAGGTGCAGGTGCAAGTACACCACTTTTTGTACCTGCTTATCCCTCTCTCTCTCCTTCCATCATCCCAAGTAAGATAAAAAGCACGGGAAGGCACACTAATCAGATCAAGGGGGGAAGCGCACCTTCCCGCTAGACTCCCCTCGACTTCCTTTTCGAGCTGTACCTAGGCACCTCTATATTTCTGTTTCAAGATGCCCTCATCCCACTTTCCTACTTCTCCATCCACTTAGAAACCAACATCAATCGTTCGGATGTGCGAACGTGTTAATGTGCCAATGTTTGCCCGGTGGGAGGTACCTACGTATGCAGCTCCACGTTGTTCTTAACCATGTGGATCTACTCCATTACATATGTATGTATTCGATCCTTTCTCATCCTCCCATTGCCACGGAAACACCCTGTGGGCTTATGGTACAAGAAGAAAAAATGTTATAATTGTATTAGGAAGTAACAGTAGTAAACGTCGACCCCTTACGATACGAGTTGCGATCAAGAGGTATTTCTCCTAGTCTAGGGTCACTAGCCTCACTCTATAATCTTTTAGGTCATATACTGTAAAAAGAACAGGCAGATGGATATCGTTTTTATTATACCCCACGGCAATATTGCTAGCTTGACGATACTCCAAGTATCCTGCATAGCCGGCAGCTCGTGGGAGGACAAACCATGTAGTCGGGAGTACGGTCTCGTAGATCGAGGTTCTACCATTGACATGGGTCCCACGCATATGCCTCCTACGTTTGATTCATGGCATGCAAACAATGCGCTCGGCGGTCATCAAAATAAGCATTCGAACCTGTTGGGTTGGGTTGAAAAGCGAGCCGATAAAGGCGAACCCCCTGTCGTTCGGGTATATTGACGTCTTAGCTACCCTGGGCTACCTGATTTCTTATATCATCGTGGGTTTCTAGACTACTAAAAATTCACACATCGTAGATAACACGCCATTCGTAGATTAATATGAGACACCCTAGGACCTCCAAGGATATTATATTTTACTAGACTCTAGTCCCCTCGAGAGTCGGACAGACCCTTAGTGTATATCGTCATGATTTTTTTTTGTTTGCTTTCTTCTCTGCAGTCCGCCTAACTGTGCTTTAGCAAATGATTTGGTAAGACGAACTAGACGATATAGCTTAATTTCAAAATCCTACTACGCGGATAAGGGTCACGACTTTGTATCCCTAAGCGACGGGATTCGCCCTTACTCAACACACAAACAACGCCCGTGCATTTCTATTATGCTCTTCGCTTAAGTTGTACAGAAAATAATATCTTGCTAGCTTAGTTATATAGACTTTTATACCCATTGGATATCTCATTTATTTGAGATAACCTAGTGATATAGGCCGGCAAACATAGCTACTATATGTCGAGTATAATCGAGGCCTCGATAGGTAGCTTCCCAATACGCCCTCTAAGCTACTCTATCCCTTCGAGCGCCACAATATCTATCTATCTACCAATGCTATACCTCTCACTTCTAGTTGGGAACTTCCGCATGCTTATTATTTGGCAATGGCTGGCTTTGGTTGGGTGAATATAAGATTGGTAATCCTCCAGTTATGATCCTACTCTTACCCCGGGCGCTCGGTTGTATTGAAGATGAACCCGATTGTGATATATAACTGGTGAGCATCGAGTTGTCTTGTGAAACCGCCATGTGGCTAATTCAATAGGAACACCTGGTGAAGTCATGGTGTCCAGTTACTTAGAAAATCAAGGTATCTCGTGAAGTTCTCTCGCACCCAATGAACATGGGTTCCTTGAGGCATGTCTAGCATGCCGGTCCTGAAGGAACACCTATTGAACTATTGACACAGACATGGACATGTGCTGAGGGTTCGGAGTATGGAGAGTTTTCCGATTCGCCTGTGTGGTCTAGATGTATAGTGTGGTATGCCAACCACTGCCACTGCTCCCCATTACATCGGTTAGTGATGAAGAATCTCCTTCATAGGGGAACACGACATGCACGTCCCGGCTTACACGAGAGAGATATGATGGCATGGGCATACATACTATCCCCACTCTGTACTTCGGTAACATTATACCTTGCAATACCATATATCTCGGTAATTGGCGAATTTTCCCGCATGTCTTGTGTACTGGTCTACTGTTTAACTCAATACAGTCTGATAGTCGTAGCTGGTCGCTCGAGGGGATTGGCCAGTCGTGGTGGTACAAACTAATCGAGTTCCTTGGAAGACTCGTGTGTTTGCGGTCGCCTCATGCTGACCAATCTATTGCTGATGTAGGGATATTAGCAAAAGGAACAAAAAAAAGGGGTAGTGCAGGGCCGAGTTCGCGACAGCGGCAGGCAGGGGATACACAACGTTTATGTGAAGTTGATACTTGCACACGCAGATGCTAAACCATATTATGCGATGAAGAGGCTCAAAATTAGTAGAGGGATATCCAAGTATAATAAGAAAAGAGATCGGCAATCCGCATGGCAATTTGCGTGCTTGCAGTTGAAATGCTTGCATCCGATAATAGGATAACCCTGGCAATCACCACATAGATTTCCCTACATATAACCTCCGTAACCAAGCTGTCTTCGTTCCTGGAAGAACCTTGCGACTTTAATAGCAATTCAGCGCATCGTGAATGAGGGCCTCTCTTAATTTTTCCCAAGGTGTCTCAGACGCTGGGCATGTTACGGCAGAACAAGGATACACCAGCATTTGACGGCCAGTCTGCTTTCATTCCGTTCACTTATCCACATGGCCACTCGGTAAAGCGACGAGAAATAACTTTTTTCTTCTTCTTTCCTTTGGTATAAGGTGATCGACATTCAAATCCAAAGTAGAGAGGTGCATCTGCATTGATTCGGCGAATATAGAAGACACGACATCCTCACTTTGTTAGTCCATACGCGATTGGAAATTCCACCGCACCTAATGTAGTGACATGTCTGATCTATGTTATTAGCAGCTGTCCAACAAGACACTACTTTTAAGCACCTACCTACCGAGAGCAATTTCAGACGAGGCCGTCCATTAAGGTCCTTCTGTCAGTTATATGCACGGTATCGACATTTCGTTTCATCTATTATTTTGCTGTATGTTCAGTGGGGAGTGGCTTCAAAAGAGCAGATGACATCAACTTCAAAACACTGGAGGAAAAGAAATCAGAAAGCTCAAAGTCAAAAACGTCCAATAAGAAAACTCAATTCCTTTTTGGGTGGCCTGACTAGGATAGTAACTTTGTGACTCTATCTGATTGCATGTATGCCAATCGAACCCAGTACGTACTTCCCTCAATTGAGCAAGCACTATCGGCACTGGACACTGAGCACTTGCCTCACACGCCGACAACCAGTGTACATACCTCTTTTCGTCCCATATTCTAATGCACCTGCCGTCGTTCTTTCCTTTCCTTACTCAAACATTTGCCTACCTCGGGACCCACCCCACAATAGGTACGGCGGTTTTGAGATACCTTTCACTGTTTCTACTTCTTGCCAAACCATCCTAACCTTTCCTTACACAACTCTTCTTCTAATTTTTCTCTCCTGCGTTCCCACAAGCACATCACTGACAAGAACGCGCTTTAATGTGCAGAATCGGCAGACACATTATCGTGCGACTTTTCATTTGATCTTGTCCTCTCTCTCCTGGACCTGGACCTGAATCGTCGAGGACTTACTACCGCGTTTTCGTGTATCCCCGCCTCTCTTTTTCTCTTTTTGTATCGCCAATACGGCCAAACTTCCGGTTGGAAGATCTAAATTCGTCATTCATATTCACATCGCTCATTGTCCTCGCCATCGGCGATTATTCTCTCTAGTTTGTTGATTTCGACCTGCCATCCTTTTCGATAGGCCCTTTTACCTAGTCATTCGCCTTGTACTTGGTTTGTTTTGACGCGACATTCTGTCGCCTAATCAAGACAACATGGGTCTAGGCGCATTCATCGACAAGGCGATGAACAAGATCACCGCTCTTGAGGATCGCATTAACGCTTCAACTTTTGGTCGGGTCTTTCGCCTTGATGGCTCTGGTCATGTAAGTTATCTCTTTGATATCGCCCCTCATTTCCTTCCACCTGCTTCTCGACAATATTTATTGACGCGGTGGATCTTATTTCTATCGTGTCCATTTCTTACCCTCGGAAACCTATGACGCGGGGCGTCTTGATCATACCAGATGAACTATTATGCTGATGATTACTAGCCGAAAACCGTCCGGGGCGCATCTTTCTTCCGAGAGATTCGTGCCGGTTTGACCACCTTCGCTACTATGGCCTACATCGTTGCAGTCAATGTGAGTATCAGATATCTAGGGTTTCTCTTTCCAGATTGCTTACGTAGATTGAAAAGGCTGCTGTCCTCGCAGACTCGGGAGGTACATGTGAATGCCCGCAAGGAACAGAGCCCGGCTGCCCTGGCAACGTTGAATACGAATTGTGCCTGACTGGTAAGCCGCTCGACTCGTGAACAAGTATCAACGCTAAGCTAATACACTTCGTATAGGTTTGAAGCGAGATCTCATCACAACCACTGCAGCCCTTTCAGGTCTCTCTAGCATCGTTTTCGGATTCCTTACAAACCTCCCTGTTTCTCTAGGGTATGTCGATTGTTGACCCATAACTCTCGCTTCTTGTCCTTCTAACACTCTTGAAGACCAGGTATGGGCTTGAATGCCTACTTTACCTACCAGGTCGTCGGCTGGCATGGTACAGGAAGAGTGCCCTATCGGATTGCCCTTACTGCCATCTTTGTAGAAGGCTTCATTTTCGTGTTCCTGGCACTGACCGGGATGCGACAATGGCTCGTCCGAATGGTACCCGCGACTATCAAGACGGCTTGCGGTGTCGGTATAGGTCTGTTCCTCACTGAGATCGGATTGTCTTATTCCGCAGGCATTGGAGCTATAACTGGTGGATTCTCGACCCCTCTAGCAATTGCCGGATGCCCTGCAGAGTATCTTGACAGCAAGGGAGAGTGTGCTAGCCACATTATGACTAGCTCTGGGGTAAGCCTTCCTAGAGTAACATCGCATATCTCTAGCTAACAATGTGTATTAGATGTGGATTGGTATCTTCCTCGGTGGAATCTTTGTGGCGTTCATGATGGCCTTCAAGGTCAAGAGTGCCATCGTCATTGGTATTGCTATTGTTTCAGTTATGTCCTGGCCGTGAGTGACGCACCTTCCTCTCCCCTTCCGAACGTATCGCGAACAAGTAGCTGATATTTACCAGTCGCAATACCTCCTTCACCTACTTCCCTTACACAGAAGCAGGTGAGGAACGATTTGCATTCTTCAAACAAGTCATCGCATTCCATCCGATCCAGTCCGTCCTGAATGTTCAACAGTGGGATCTCTCTGGAGCCAGTGGTGCCCAGTTCGCTCTTGCGCTTATTACTTTTCTGTACGTCGACATTATCGACTGCACGGCGACACTGTACTCGATGGCCAAGTTTTGCGGCGTGGTGAACGATGATGGAGACTTTCCTCGATCAACAATCGCTTATTGCACCGACGCCATCATGATTTCGATTGGTTCTCTCTTTGGTAGTTCGCCTGTTACTTGTTTCATTGAGAGTGGTGCAGGAATTGCTGAAGGTGGTCGAACCGGACTTACCGCGATCTCAACCGGTGTCTGCTTCCTGGTCTGTCTCTTCTTTGCTCCAATTCTCGCTTCTGTGCCTCCCTGGGCTACGGGATCAACGCTCGTTTTGGTAAGTTTATCTATGAGTGCAGACATCTGAGGATAAATCGCTAACTTTTTTTTCTCTGAAGGTTGGCTGTCTGATGATCCGTCAAGTCATCAACATCAATTGGCAGTACATTGGTGATGCTGTTCCGTCCTTTGTCACCCTCGCCTTCATGCCCTTCAGTTACAGTGTCGCCTACGGATTAATTGCGTAAGTCTTTCTTCCTAAGAAAATAGTTAAAAAATCTAATTAGAATGATAGGGGTATGATGGTCTACATCGTCCTCAACACCATGATATGGGTCGTTGTAAAATCTACTGGTGGGAAAGTTACACCATCGAACTGGCACGACAAAGAGGTATACGACTGGGGACTCGGAACTAGGGATGTCCCTGGATGGGTAAAGATTCTCAGGCGAAAGATTCTGCCAGCCCACCTTCTAGTAGACAACCGAAAGGACGGTGTGGAATTGGTCGACAACGATAGTGCCATTAACGCCGCCTCGCGAGGTAATTCGGCTGACGACGGAAAGGACATGCACGTCTCACAGAGTCACTCCCTGCGAAGTCACGCACTGCGAACCCACACCCTGCAGGCTCAACGAGCACACGCAATGCAGAATCAGCAGGCACCACGTTCACCAAGTTCCCCCCGACCTTACACAGGTTGGTTACCTTCTGTTGAATAAACGGACGGCAAGAGAGGCGTGGATATCAATTGTGGACATTTAATCTGAGTCGTGGCCAGGCTGTCCCTTTGGATGTGTCGACCGCTATCTACGTGGGGTTACGAGGGACGAGAACGAGGGGAAGGAAAATTTGCTCCAGGAAAAAGAGGGATACGAAAACTACATAATACGATGATTTCTGAGATGCCCATGAGGATCTATTGCTTAACTTCGCAAGGAAAAGTTGGAGGAGGCATAGCCTTAAAAGTAATGATGCAGAGAGACGCAGATGTACAAAATACCCACCTAAGTAGCCGAAATCCGATGATCCTATCTAATCTTATCGCCGTATCGACCGAGGCATAAATAGCTTACGTAAAATGATGTCTACAGCAAGCTTCCAAGACGCAGGTACCCATGTAGCTTTACGTATTGATTCACATTCACATTTACACTCTACAAACTGCTTTATAAACTTGACATCATACGCCAGAACTTCTATTTGATCCTCTTACACAAATAAGAGCTTCGCAAACACGTATCAAGGCTACCTTTTGATAGTAATTGTCCTTTAAACCCCCATGAGAAATACTTATCAAGATTTCGAGGTATTGAGTCTTCTACGCAGCTAGCTTCTTCATCTTGAACGTTCCCGCGGGTTGTCGACATATCCACGTTTTTATTACAAGTTCTTGTAGCCAGCGCGTTGCCCGCTTTGGCAACTGTAGTTTACGAAATATGAGTGGTGGATGGAATACCAGTTGAGTTCACTCTATTGAAATGCTCCTAGGACGAGCAAGGATTGCTAATCAAGTGCTTGAACGTAGTTGAGTCGGATGCTGTATGTGAAACCACCGACGTGTCTTTTATTATTCGGAGCTAAATAGTATTGCATAGGGCGTTTTCACGTTCCTCCTCAACAACTTAGGCGTACAGAACGTTCAGTTCGAGGAGCTTCTTACCCTAGAACCCGAGTCGCTCGCCAGTCTCTACCCCGTCTACGGCGTCATCTTCCTCTTCAAGTATCCGACAGACCAACCATACACATCGACCGAGAAGCCGCTCGACGGATCCTTCGACCACAATGCTGGCGACCAGCTTTGGTTCGCTGCCCAGACCATACAGAATGCGTGCGGTACACAAGCATTGTTGTCGGTTCTTATGAACCACGCAGATGGAGAGCTAGACGTGGGCGGTCCACTACAAGAATTCCGAGAATTTACAATGGCGTTACCACCCGAGTTCCGCGGCGAGGCGCTGAGCAACAGCGAGCTCATCCGAGACGTACATAATAGCTTTGCGCGCAGCAGCCCGTTTGTGGACGAGACGCAGCAGCGGGGTGGCGAGACCGAAGATGCCTTCCATTTCGTAGCTTACACGCCGGTTAACGGTAAGCTCTACGAACTAGATGGTTTACAACCAGCGCCGATCACGCATGGAGCATGTGGGCCGGAGGAGTTCCCTCAGAAAGTTATGGAGGTGCTACAGCGACGCATCGCACGCTACGATTTATCGGAAATCCGATTTAACCTCATGGCAATGGTCCGCGACCGACGGATAACAGCGCGCGAGATTGGCGATGCAGAGATGCTAGCACGGGAGGAGCGCAAGCGCCGCGATTGGCAATTCGAGAATGCGCTGCGACGGCACAATTTTGTGGGGTTTGCGGGTTCGGTGTTGAAGGGCGTTGTGGATATGAAGTTAAAGGAGAGTGGCGGCAGCGAGGATGCTTACAAAAAGTGGATTGAGGACGCGACGACGAAGACAAGGCAACGGCTCGAGGCGCGTAAGAAAGGAGGTGGGGAGGATATTGAAATGGAGGATTAATGGATGGTTTCCCCAGCGATAGGTTTAAATAGCAGTTTAATCCTATGGTTTCTAACTCCCCCCGGATACCCACGACCGCGAGCCACCTGGTGGCTCAGCGGTCGTGGGTATCCGGGGGTGGGAGTTTCCAGTAAAAACCCGACCCGCCCGGTTTTTCGTAGGCCGATCAGGACGCTGATCGAAAGCCCCATGGTTCGAGTCGACGGGCTCCCCATGGGGTGCCGAGCTTTTTTGCCATTTTTTAAGAAATCATTTTTATTGCCACCATCATTTCACCCTAGGAATTATTTGCGGGCGCGTTTTCTTTTTTTAGATCTCGCAGCATTGTCGGTGCCAGTGCGTATTCCCAGTGCTGGGGTATAATGCTTCCAGACAAAAAATGCCACACCCCAAAGCCACGAGTCACACACATGAAGCATTCTAACAGACTACCTACCTAACCACCGCCATTAAGCGCTAAACGGGCAAAATACGAAGCCATTGGCCCATTCTTGAATTATACTCCTAAATATTGAGGTATATCTTCTTGTGATAGTGGCTTACATATAAAACAGATGCTTCAAAATTGGTTTACTAAAATCAAGCATTTTACGACAATTCCACATCCGAAGCCTCTTCGCAACCGTAGCCGGACTAGCCTCCTGCCCATACAATTATCCTATCAATTCCCGATGCGACTGGTTATTGAAATCCCCTACATTATCGCAAACACGTTAGGCGCATTATGTAACCAATGCAAGGGACGGTGGTTTGTGCGTTTTTTAATGTTTCGAGTTTGTTCTCGCATCCTGAGACGGCAAGGGTTGCGGTCTTCATCGATTAGGAGCATCCCCGTTAACAAAATCACAAAATGACATCTTGCAAATTTGTTCACCAATCAATGGCAGCATAGCAAACAGCTATGCCATGCCCCCCGAATAATGACAGTTTCGGCCTTGGTATAACAGTTGAATATAGGGTTATTATTGCCCCCTAGACGAGGTTACGCTCTAATAACGTGGCCAAGACCGTCGCGTAGCTCTTGACGTCAACGCCCGCAATACGCCGTTCCCAATTCTTATACTAACGATTAGTATTCCGAATCGGGTCGCCGTCAGTATCCACAACCCGGTAATTTCGGCAGTCCGGTCAATCACGCAAACCCGGAATAGGAACACTTTTCGTTCGATATAGGTCTCTTCGAGTTTTCATGAACAATTATCGTCAACACGGAAAATTTGCAACTTTTTCGGAGTAATACATAGTTGGGAATAATCTCATCAAGGTCAATCCCCGCGACGAATCAATGCCGCACTGTTACTTTTCCACAAATTAGCCGGTGACGATATAGGGGGGTAAGGTGAGGGAGGAGATACAAATAGCGGCAGATCTATTGGTGGCCCCTTTCCCCCAGAGGATCTGCCGACGATCGAAGGATACAATTTATGGGCCACCTCCGTCAATTTAATTAATAGGTTATTGACGGATTAGGTAATGTATACCAAGCTCCGAGAATTGGGGAACTTCCCCAGCTTGTGGATGAAGCCTTAATGTATTTTGGCTAGCCTTGGGGATTGGCTGTCAATTAGGCTGGTAAATTGAAAACACTCCAAGCCAACCTGGGAAGACTATTCTAGTATATTCCCCTACGTAAACCCGCGCTGTGTATATAAGTCACTCCCGTCTTTCGAGTCCCCCCTATGGCCCCGATATGACGACGTCGAGTTCTAGCGTTATACGTTATACCTAATACTAAGAGTTATTTAGTTACGTAACGAACATCCAAGATGCTGACCACCACGCCCCTTCTCATGCTGGCGTTCGCCGCGACTGGCTTCGCCCAGGCCCCCGAGGGTTACCGTACCGTGTACATCACGTCGATGGTTGACTCCAAGTTCGTCGTCGTTCCCAAGTCGGCCGCCAGCGGTAGCACCGTCGTTGTGTAAGTCTTAACCTTTTGGAATCACCCGAAAACATCAAAGCTGACTCGTTTTTTTCCTATTCGTTCAGCCAGACAGGTACCCAGAAACCCGAGCAGCAATGGTACCTTAAGACCGGCAGCTCTAAGATCCAGCTAGCTGGTACCGGAAACCTCTGCCTAGATGCAGGTGCCCAGAGTAAGACTTTCATAGGGTAAAAAATACTATGAGGCAACAAATCTAATACGCATCTAGGCAACTGGAAGGACATGGCCTCCATCTCCCTTAAGGAGTGCTCCGACACCGAAGACGGCCAGAAGTGGGAAGTTAAGGAAGATGGCCGAATCGCTCTTGAGAAGTCGACCCCCCGTAAGTATTCACTCAACCTAGTAAATACGGAAGAGTTTGAGTTAACACAAGATACAGAGGAGTGCATCGACCTCCAGTACATGAGAGCCACCGAGAACAACCCCGTCGGTCTATACAGCTGTGCGGGTCTAGGAAACACCGGTGCCGCCGACAAGGGCATCAATTGGCCCCTCGTCGACGCCACCAGCCCCTAGATTCGAACACTTGGGTATTATGCGACAGAAAGACAATCATGGGAAACCGTCAGACAAAATCTATGGACCCAGGAGCTTTCATTCGCCCCGAAAGCCTAGTGTTACTTATATCGATACCAAATGTACATAGCTCGTGTGATCTACGATAAAAATATACTTATAGGACACAAACTTAACTGTCGATCATTTCTGTGCTACACATGCTTCGCAATAGACTAGTAAAACAGAGGCTCTCGAGGATAATTTGCTACAATCACCAGCAACACGAAATTCACCCTATGGAGGCTTACGTCCCGCGTTCGCCCCCTCTCTAAGTTAACTAATAAGCCAAGATCTTAGATGTCAGTAGTAAATTAACAATGAATATACATAAATGAAAATGACGATGCGCAGATTTGTCATAGAGTTCTAGATCGAGTCTCGTATCAATAACACATATGAGCGTACACGTCATTACTTATTTATAATGGCTTGTTTGTACTTCATTGGTCATGATATTTTCATCTCGGATACTGTAGACATAAGTCAAAAACTCTTAAGGCCAGGGCGATTCTAACCTTGATGATATTCCGATTGGCGCCTCATCACTAGACCCTTCCTGAGACACTATAAAGCTTAATTGGACCCAAGTCTAGACTTCATCAATCAGGACAGCGCGCTCAGACCTCCCCCACCTGTCACAGATCCCTTCAATCGCCCTGACTGCGCCGCCGCCATCGCCTCCACAGGAAGGAGTCAAAACCAGCTCCTTCGGGTCCGGTAGCCGGATCATCCTAGCGTTCAAAACCGGGGAAGCCAATCGCTAATCTACGTAGATTCCTGATTGAATCCTGTTCGTAGGCGCTCTTGAACCTGGCTCTGATCATTTTCGTGTTACCGTGCGTAACTCATCGACAGTGACGTTTCAAGAAAAAAGAGAGTAAGTTGCGATTTATGTAGCCGTGGCGGACGTGGTAACGCAGTGATACTGTCACAGGGTCATAGCGATCCTTGTATGGTAGATCCGATCGCCTGTAATCCCAGTCCTGCTCCCCAGGGCATGCAGGCATGTCATTGGGGTGATGTTTCTTGAAACAAAGCTTAGCATCAATCACACTTATAACCACATCACGAAATGATCTTTCGCAAATGGTACGGAAGGAATTTGTGAATTTTGTAAATTTATTAACAAGGTGAAATAAAAGTAGTATACGAGGAGAATAGAAAGAAATAGGTATGAATCGTAATAAAAAGAATATCCCATCGTAGTCTCATCGTTCAATAGGAAGTATGAAGAAGGTATGTATGCATGACTTGGTATCCCCGACGACTTGCGTCCGCCTCCGAACACCCTGAGAAAGATAGTGGTCCCGTATCTACCCAACAGTGCCCCAACCGTTGGCTGGATTGACACCTATCCTTCCCTCTATTATGGAATACTCCTATGCCCCTTTAATTTTTCGAGATTTGTACAATTTTACTAGTTTGAAGTTGGTAATCTTGCTTATGATGAAGATTGACCTTCCCAGAACCAATATCTATTATAGTGTTAGTGCGAAACTCAACAGAAATCGTGATGATGGGTAAGAACATACTGTGCTGAATATTGCACCTCGAATGCGGCAGGTTGGCCTTGGCATGTCGCTGGAGCGCTGCCACCGGCCGTTTGGATTCGGTAAACTTCTTGCAAGTCACCAGTGGAGCCGACGTGGGCCTTGAGCTTCAACCACGGAACGGCCTTCTCGCCTTGTTGACCCTTGGGTGCGTCGGCCGGTGCATCTGTTTGGTTGTCTTTGGAGCATCCTGCCTCACCAATCTGGTATTGAGTCGTGTCGAGGTTGAAGAACGGTGTCGTGTTGTTGGTAAAGAAGTGGTGACCCGAAATAGCCAAGTTCGTGGGGCCCATGCGTGAGTCTTCTTGCGCCGTAAGGTTGAACTGCAATGCCAGCTTTGGTAACATCTGGAGCAGATCCGGGTATGTCGAGGCAACACAGCTAGCGTTGAAAAGAGTTGCAACAGCACCTACGGCTGTGGGGACAGCGGTGGCGTTGGTAGTATCGCATGTGTAGTTTTGTGTTCCACGACCAATAGCCACGTGCTTAAGAGTTAAACCGGGAGATGGAGGAGTCAGCGGATTAGGAGCTGGCGCAGTGTTAGTTGGGTGGTCATGATTCTTTTATTAGAATATGAAAACAAACCTGTTGTCATCTGGGCTTTCGAGAGATCGCAGACAGGTGCGGCTGCCATAAATTTCCCCAATTCGACCTTCTGTGCCAACATGTTGAAGTACTCAGAAACGGTTTCGAGACCATCGGGCTTGGCGGCGTCCCAGTTAAAGGCGGGCCATGTTGGAGCAGCAATGACGGTCGAAGCGCCGAGAAATGATACCAATAACGTCGAAGCATACATTTTGATTGATGTGAGTCGGAAGGAATATGTGGAAGATGAGGATGAAGATGTCGTATATGTTGGTTGGAGATCGTATCGATGTGGTTTCTTCGTTTGATGATTTCTTAACGTAGTCTTAATCGTTATATGCGTAGTAGACTAATAAGAAATAAGAAAACCCAAAGAACCCGACCCAAGTAGATAGACAGAGATAGATGATGAAATCAAGGAAATAAGGAAATACTAAGGAGACAGAATAGGAAAGCGTAAAAGGAAAAGATCTCCCCTAGGAGAGAGAGCTATATAGGATAAATATGTGAGGATGGTATATACAATGGTAGACATCTTCAAGAAGCGGGATGCGATGGGGTTTATTAAATCTGCATCTAGGAGATGCCGCCAGCCTACCTGCCACGCCTAACCCCAGTCCAGCGGTACGGATAGGGTGGTACCCGTTCAGGGTCTAAATTGGGATCAAAGAAAAGGCGAGGGTAGCTGAAGAATGATCATTTTGCCTATGGTTCTGCGGTGGGCGAGCGCTAGACGCAAGGAGGGAGGGTAGTATTGTATTTTGAGAACATCCCTGCCGTCAACCGAACAAGGGCTTCTGAATGGAGAGCCAAGCGATCTGCAGCTAGGACCCGTGGACAGGGATTTAAACCCGCGAACGAAGATCTGACTGGCTGATCAACCTGGTCCGCAAGCGCCAGGGCCGCCTTCTCTTCGGCCACCCGCTCAACGCTTGGTGGTCATTTCTTGGTATATCTTTGAGAGATGAAGAGGGGTACAGCGGCAAAATGGCTGGTGTTTTGAAAGAACTAAGGTCCTGCTCAAATTAGGTCAACAACTATCGTTAATTATGAAAAGATTTGCGTTCTGCAAGGTTGGAATATCAGTATGAAAAATATGAGTTTACAGCGAACAATTTGTACTCTACTGCCTTCGTCATTGAGCAATGTTGGTACGAAATCAGGATAAGGTGTCACGGACGTGCAGGTCTTCTGACTCCTCCCTGCGGCTGCAAGGACAGCTACCTGCATGAAGCTTGAATCCGAGTAGAAAAATGCTCTGTAAGGAGTTATATGACCGGACAAGTACTTGGCCGAAATTCGATGATTGGATAATGACGCCAGCGAGGCATTGCTAAGTAAATGAAATGGAATTATCACTTAAGGTGAGATTGGTAGGTGAAGTCCGAGATGCGTAAAGTCCGGCTAAGAAGACCCTTGTCCTAGATCTAACGTTGAAGAAATCTTGAACGTGGTTGTAAATTACTAGGCTCTTAGTCTGGAAAGTGGTAGATCCGGTTGGCGAAGCTATCCATTGTGACTCTTAGACCAACCTAGAACACTCGAGGTCATAGCTAGCTTCGTTGTGTGTGATTGGGTGATTCGTTGTAGAATGAAAGAAAAAGAAGCTTTGGAGGGATCTGGGTTGCCTGCAGCACGCGCCATCAGATCATTGCTACATAGCACTCTCGTACCTTCCCAGCCATCAATAAACAAGTACGCACTAGCAGGGATTGGGAGTAATTAGGTTATTAGCCCACGATTCTCCAAAGAAGGTGGGTTAATTTAGAAATCAACTAATAAATCTGGGCTAATATCTGTTCCCCACATATCGCTACAGTTTGGCGGTTAACCTCCCGAAATAGCACTAAGAATAGCAACAAGCGCGACCGGCACCCAAAAATAAACAAAATTACCCCTCTCGCTTAAGCGGGGAAAAGCACCATACCCGTTCCGATTAATTTGCCCAGAATACGCATTTACCAATCATCGCGCATCTCATACATCTTGACCACTTTTTCTTTTTTCTTTCTTTCCGGGAACTAGAGCAACCGACTGGATATCTGGAATTGCGAGAAACCGGGCAAATTTATTAAAATGCAATGCCACCCTACATTACGGACATACAGTAGTGTGCGAATTAGCTCGCTATGACAGATCATAATCTTTAACAACTAAAGATTCGCCTCGTCTCAGGTGGTGCTGAAAAGAGGAATTAGAAAAGGCGTCTCGCTCGTCCGACTGGCCATATTATCCGTACATTACCTGCGTACCTATGTATCTATCTAGGTAAGTCATCCACTCTCATGTCTTCGATGTCTCGCAGAGCTAGTAGAGGCCTCCCCATTCTTGACCTCTCTTCCCGCCTGCCGTACTACAGCATCAGTCTCGGGTGTGGGTTGCACCCGCGGCCAAAAGAAAAAAACGGATGTAATTAGCCTTCTCCCATTGGTGTCTCCCCTGCGGTGAAAGTTGAACAATGTGTATCTCCAAGGCAAACCATTGCACTTGTGACCCGGTCAAGCAAGCCATTGATATTAAAAACCCCGTGGGCAAATCGGGGAGGCAGGTAATGACATGACTGTGGTTACGTAGCCCCCCACTATACTTCAACGATGTGTATGTCTGTAGTACGAATATGCTGAATAGGAATCCGGTATTAACATTGGTCAATACCGGGTCCAGGGATCTCTAGCCAATTAGGACAAGTCCTCTTAGACAAACTAGGGCCTCTTATGGGCGGCCCATCTGCAGATTGCGCGCATCATATCCAACGTGGCGGCTCGCCGTCTTGCCCACTTGTCTAGACCCTGAAGGGTAGCTTCGTCTCGTGATATGGAACGAATGAAGAAGGTTCTTCTTATTTATAGAAAGGCGACGAAGAACTAACATCCAAGATTGGCTTCACGATTCTGCTAGCCTTACTTAATTTCGACGTAGTTCATAGGTTGCACTTCTGATGTCCTTGTTTTGATGTAACGATGCGCCTAGCTTATGTCTAACCGCCGACAAATATCATTTAAAGCGTATATACACTATGAGGTAGCCTTAACGTCCAAGCCTCATGGAACGCAATGTAGATAGAATATTTAACATAAACGAGTTGGTATTAGATGTATGACACGTGCCGTATAAGACAAGACCAAGGCCGGCTAGTAATGATACAATAGACGTATTATCCTGCGAACGTGATCATCAATGACCATTGAAACCCTCTTCTTGCCAGCTTCCAGGATGGGCAGCAGCCTGGCCTCTCCCACCACCACCACCATTACCGCCGGCCGCCCCCGCTGCTGCTGCAGCGGCTATACCCTGGCTCAGATTAGTCGAATGCTGCTCGACGTCTACTGTGCCCAGCCAGTAGAGCGAGAAAAATACTAGGATGTGCAATGCAACGCAGTAAGCTGCAAATAGGTTTCTACTTGTTCGCGAAGCCAGAACCATCCGCGTCACCGAGTACACCATCCTCTCCGGGAAACTCATCCGTTTATACGCTCTTGCTGACTCACGCCCTCTGAATGCCGCAAAAGGTGAAATATTCGACTCGTACGCTTTTTTGTAACGGTCTAGCGTGATCCCTGGATTTCCCGTACCGCCCATAGCAACGACGGACGGATTTGGGTTTGACGAGTACGCCGATGACGACGATGCTGATGGTCCATTGCGATTGTAAGTCGACACATATCGTGTCTTTTCATACAGCTGAAGGTTGTCCTTCTGCAAGGCTGCGATTTCTTGTCGTAACTGCGACACTGTGCGATGGGACTCTGACAACTCCCCTTCAAGTTGGGCATTCCGCTTTTTAAAGCGGTCACGTTGAGCAGTGATCATGGGCAATATACCCGAGCCACCACCCATTGGTTCTCCCCCTGTAGTTCGGGGATCAAAGCCCGATATGATAGAGGATGTCGGCGATGTCCTTCCGCCCCTTCTTCCTGGTGCTATAGACGGCGCGTATCTTGTGTAGGTGCCAGCTACTGATACTCCTGATGGGAAAGCATTCTGCCCTTCGGATTGAAGATTTGCTAGGTCATTTTCTAGCTGTGCATTGAGGTTCTGTGACCTCTCTAGATCTGCGTTTGTTCTTGACATTTCCTCTTGCAGGTTCTCCAGTCGACTCTGGAGATCTTGATGAGATACTCGTAAGATGGTCAACTCATCACTCAACTTCTTATTCCTGGCTAACAATAATTGTTCCAGGGTATCACCCTTCCCCTTGGGAGCGGCACCATTCGATTCTGCCAACACATCGTCGTCGTCCCCTGTCGCGAATTCAATACTCTTGAGTACCTCTAATTCTTGCTTGATATCGTCGTAATCGTTCCATTTTTGAATTTTCACCTTTAATCCATCGCGTTCTTCCTTCAAAAGCCCAACTTCTCGTTCTAGACTTCGGAGTTTCGTATCGATATCCCGCTTAAAGGCTTCCTTCTCAACTCTGGCAGAGTCGAGTTTGCGGATAAGTGACGAATTCTCCGATCGCATGCGCATATATCCAGGGTCATCTTCCAAGACTGGTGCCTGCGCTGGGACTTGCGATTTGGATTGGGCGAGATCTAGTCGTAGTTGTTCGTTTCGAGCCTCAACCTCAGCGAGCCTTGCGCTAGTTCGTTCTAAATCAGAATGAACCATCTCCAACTCGGCGTTCGTGACATGACCGTGGCTACCCTCAGCGTCCGCATCTTCGGATCCCTTAAGACGTTGGTTTACCTCATAGCTGGCCTTGATTTCGTTTAGGAGCCTATCCTGACTTTCGATCTTGTCTTCCAGCGCCTTCTCTTTTGCTTCCCAGTTGTCTTTCTTCTCATCCAAGACTGCGATCCACGACTCTTCCACCTCTTTCACCTTTGTCTCTAGATTGTTTTCCAACTGCTTGCGGTTAGCACTTTCTGACTGTAACCTCGATTCGGTTTCCTCTAGTTGCGATGTGAGTTTGACGACGTTTTCCTGTAGGTGTTGGTTTTCATCGGTGAGCTTTGGTAGGGTATCTTCGGCTACAAGCATAGAGTCGACCGACGCTTCGAGTAGAGGGTATGGATCTGGTGCATTTTCGAGGGCAGAGTAGACCTGTAAAAATGCGGAATTGGTGGATTTCGAATGATTGGTGAGGAGGTCGATGAATGTTTGGTAGGCTTTTAAAAGGCTTTTGATTTCTGTCAATTTGGTCGCGTCGTCTAGTTTTCTAAAATCTTTTGTTTTCTGCGCAAGGTCTTTTCGTTGAACGGTGGAGTCTCGTTGGAAAGCCACGATATCTGAGGCCGTATTGTCAAGGGTAGACATTAACGAGCCCAAATCGATGTCTATAAACGGTTAGGACCCAAATATGATAGATCCGATGCAGCAGGGACCTATAATTGCGTACTTCTCCATGCTGAAATAGCATGTTGGAACTGGTTCGCTCCATCTAAGCCAGAGGTGTCGGTATGTCCATCTTCGGTAGGTTGCGCGGCCTTGGGTGACCCCGACACAGTGGCCATCTTTTCTTTTCTCTTTCGGCTTCGACAGATGTCGCTGCCACGGTTATCGGGTCATCAGGTAGCGGAAATATGTAGCGATGCGATCGAGAGAATCTAGCTAGCGTTGTAAAGAGTTACGGAGATAAAGTATGTTAAGGGTAAGAAATAAGAAAGTTAATTGAAGGTTAGACGTGTTCGTTCCAAAATTGATGTATCCGCTGTATCGTCAAGTTGCATCTGCTAAATGCATGTGCAGGGGTCCCGTAAGCTCGGTAACTCGGTTTGATTAGCGGGTTTAGTGCTTTGAAAGAACAATGTTATCCACTGTAGCTGCCCCAAGCTGCCCCTGAGGCGCAATTAAGGTTAGTACATACCCTCTAGACCCTCCCCTATGGTACCTAAATACGTAATCCCAGCTGAATCTTTAGCTGATAATAATAATAAACTCTCCACTTCAGCTTCCAACATTTCCAGAACACCAGGCTGCTATCTTCAAACTTACTTCTACCTCTAATCTTTCGCAGCCGCTTACGATTTGTGGACATACAAGGCATTAACATGACCAATCCCAACCATTTATGATGCTGTTGCTTCCGTTATGGCTTCGGGTTCTCAAGGCGACAAACAGTCGCTAAATGAGCTTAGTGTTGGTCCATTCGTGCTTCGTACTCTTTTCGCGGATGTTCCGCTATCAGAAGATGGCACCAAGGACGATATCAAGATCAATTGCGTTGAATATTTAGGTGCGCATACCATATAATGCCTTTAATCAAGAAGAATTACCATTTAAAATCGAATAAAACTAATATTATCTTTAAGATGACCATCTATACGTAGGCACTTCCGACTCGGAACTTCTTCACTTTTTCCAGATACCTCCAGATCCTGCCGACAAATCTGGCGTCCCGACCTTTATTCTCGCATCGAGACTGCGCCCAGCCTTTTCCGAACCCTCCGGAACATCCAAAGCTACAAGACCCGGTGTTCAACAGATCTTATTATTACCTGCAGTCGGCAAGGCTTGTATTCTATGCAACTGGACTGTCACCTTCTATTCGCTTCCAGAGTTAAGCCCGGTATTTGGTACAACACAAGTAAAAAAATGTAGTTGGGTGGGCGGCATAGACCTAAACGCGGATGAGACCGATAACGATGGACGAGGAGTCGCTATACTGTTGTCATTAAACCGGAGGATTCAGGTCGTTCGCATAGCCGACTCCCCCCATCCTATCAAGAACATCGATTTTGCGGGAAGCACAATATCCGTAAGAAGGGACTCGATTGCCTGTGTAGCCGACTCGCGACGCTATGCGCTACTCGAAATCAACCAACAATTGAAAATCCCTTTGATGTCTATCTCTTCTCTAGATGAGGCTGAGCCGGGTAACATTGTTGGACAGGCCCAGCATATTTCGGGCAGCTCGGGTGGGGTGCTACGAAGTAATTCCTCCGCTCAGTCTCGTCCCCAGACTCAGAGCCCTGACCCTCCCGCTCACAGGCGAGGCACTAGCTTGGGTGACTTTATCACGGGAGCTAGCAGGAGGCAGGAATATCGCGCTGAAGATGAAGATCCTATCTCCCGACAGCCAACTCCTGAATCAACGGCGGGCCAGGCATCAACCGAAGAAAATACGGGAACGGGTGCTCTGACGCCCGATGGTGCGGCCAAAGGTCAAACGGGCCAAGCGGGTCGAGTGACTCCAACCAATAAGCCATTACCGACCGTGCTTAAACCGCTCATCGCATCACCGAGTCCAGAAGAGTTTTTGCTAGTCACTGGTACGGGCCCGTTAGAGCCAGGTATTGGTATGTTCGTGAATCTAGATGGAGATCCAACAAGACCTACTATTGAATTTGATCGATATCCTAAAGAGATCGTCGTCGATGGAGGTTCTACGGATATATCCTCGTCACGAGCATCCCTCGGCCCGGAGGAAGAAGGATATGTTCTCGCATCAATGGGGAGGGAATTCCCTGATGGCGTCCATTGTGGCCTTGAGATCCAACGTTGGGATATGGATGTGGCCGAGGGTGATACGGCGAAACATTGGCTCGAACCACCAAATACTGGGTCAGTTATTAAGTCTCCACAAAATATTGGGATTAGGTCCCTTCATGGAAAACAGGATACACACTTCTCAGAAATTGTGAAAAGATTGTGTCGGCGGAGGTTCAGTCCGTTCTCGTCAGGCGGCGCAGAAACCCCCACGATGTCGCTACGAAGTTTCGACTCAAGAACGGCCTCTACAATGGAAAGGATGTCGAAGGAGAGGGAGCTCTTCGATAGGGATACCGACTCCCAAAGCGAAGACTCCTTACCCGGGGGATGGCAGGCAATACGCAACTCCGAAGAGGAAGATTTTGCGCGCCGCCTTGCTGGAACCACAGCCCGTTTAGCCGTATGGTCTGGAAAGAATATATGGTGGGCTGTTCGAAATCCATTAATACTACGATTAGATGCGCAGCTTGAGGAGACGGTTGCCACGCCAGATAGGGCTGCTGCTGAACGGCGAGACTTGTTTACTATATTGAACTCTTTCCGTGGTCAGGATGCTAAATCGGAATTAGAGTTCCTAACTTTCAGCTATATACGACAACGATTAGGAATACTCTTGTTGAAAAGTTTCTTAAAATCAGAAGATACACCTTTTTCGGAATCGGAATTACGAGCTATGGAAGAAATATTGGTTGATAGCCTTCTAGATCCTCGAGTTATTTTGTCCCTTATACCTGGGGTTCGTAACGAAGTCATCGAAACGAAACGAGGCATATGGATATTTGGTGGTGTCAAGTCGACTGCCGAGGAATTTATCTCAAGTAGAAACTTCGACAAAGATACTTCTACTATGAAAGCGCTATCACAACCTGTATTACATTTCCTTCGGCGTTTTCTGGCTGCCTGGCGGCGTAAGAAGGGTTTCGGCAGCATACCTGACGAGAACGAGGTATTTCGTACAGTTGATGCGGCCTTACTTGCTGTTCTTCTCGAACTCGATCAGCATTCAGCCCCTGGTCCAGTCAAAGCAAAGTCGATCCGTGCGGACTTGTACGAGCTTGTAGACAGCGGAGTCGACTGTTTCAATAGGGCAGAGACACTGGTTGAGTCTTATCACCGCCTTTATGTGCTCAGCAGGCTGTACCAAAGCCGTAAGATGATTGCAGATGTATTGGCTACTTGGAGGCGTATTATTGAGGGTGAACGAGACGACGGAGGAGAATTGAACGATGGCGAACAGCGCGTGCGCGAATATCTTTCGAAGATTAGTAACCAGGCCTTGGTCCAGGAGTATGGGATATGGCTTGCGAATCGCAACCCAAAACTCGGTGTTCAGATCTTTGCTGACGACAAGACCCGCGCACCGAAATTTGAGCCTAGCCAGGTGGTCCAGCTTCTTAGGGAGGAAGCCCCAGATGCAGTTAAATATTATCTTGAATTCCTCGTATTCGGCAAAGGACATACTGTATACGTAAACGAGTTGATCACATATTACCTCGATATTGTGATCAGTCACCTTCGATCATCGACTGAAGCCCGTGAGGTAGTGATGTCTACCTATACGGCGTACCGAGCTCTACATCCTCCGAAACCGACATATCGCCAATTTTTGACGGATAATGCTCCCCCTGATGACGAAGCATGGCATAGCCGGCTACGACTCCTACAATTACTCGGCGGTAACTATGATTACGACTCGGCAGTAATTCGTGACCGAATCTCAAGTCTAAGTAACACAGCCGACGATCTCCTCGTACCCGAGACAATTATTCTCGATGGTCGGGAACGGAAACACGAAGATGCCTTACGCTTATTGGTCCACCGGCTCGGAGATTACGATACAGCTGTGGCGTATTGTCTCAGAGGCGGGGCCAGTATCTACACCATTTACCAGGCTCAACAAAACCAACCTCCTCCAAGTCCAGAAAGTTTCAAAGCCCCGAAACGCCGCGATAGTATGCCCCCGACACAAGACCAACAAGCTCGGCTTTTTCGTGCCTTACTCGGTGAATTCCTCGAACTTGAAGACGTCAGCGACCGAGTGGAACAGACAGGCTTGCTCCTGGAAAAGTTTGGCGGGTGGTTTGATGTTGGCGATGTTTTATCAGTGATACCAGATAGTTGGAGCGTGGATCTAGTATCGGGCTTCTTAGTAAAAGCACTAAGAAGGATCGTGGTTGAGAAGAATGAAACTACGATCGCGAGGTCCCTTAGCTCGGCGCAGAACCTTCAGACACAACACGATTTAATCGTCCGGATTGAAGAAAAAGGGCCTAGTATTGAAACATAGCGGTGGTGATAGCGTTGGTAATGGCGTAAAGATAATGACAAGACGTTTCGAGAGTAGTTGGTGTTGTCGAGGGTGACTACTTGATATAGCACAAGTCATGAATATACAAATCATTTCAAAGTCACTGTGAGTGTTCCCAGATATACACTAAACCCGGTTAATAAACATAGGATACGTAATAGCAAGCTACGTCGTCCCAAAATCGATTTTCATTCGGGACGGGCGTCAACTACTCGCCTCGTCCCCATCTAGGTACAGACTCATTATGCTCCGAGAAGATGCTAATATCAACACACCCCTCAAAACCGAACTCCAACCAATGGTTCCTCGAACGAGCAAACAAATCAACCTCTACAATTTCCCGGTGCTCCTCTCCCCGTCTGCCCACCCAAATAACGTATGCACCCAAGTATAATGTGTATCCCAGGCCGGCCCCCTCTAGTCACCCACCTACCCACGCCTAAAGAAATATCAAGGGAATACATACATACATACCTACGTACTTACTGCACCTGCATAATCTTAGTCCGCATCTTCTTCTGCCTAACCAACCCATAAACCCACGAATCCGCCTCCTCAAGCGCCTTACGCGGCTGCTTCTTGCGCTTGAGCAAATACCCCTGGATCTGCGCGGGCGAAAATTCACCCGGCGGGATCTTAGCCCCGAACGCCTTAGCAATAGCAGGTAATTCCGAAACCGAGATATCGAGATCGTTATCAAGCATTTCCACCGGCGCACCATTTAAACTCAGCGCCCCATTCTCCGCTCCATTTACTTCCAGTACCGGTTTCTCGGATGAAGGAGATGGGGGAGGAGAGGGTGGGGAAAGGGCTTTATCACCCTCGTACATGCGCACGAATAACTGCTCCGCTTGCTCCTGTGTTGCGTTGGTGAATGCGACTTGTAGGTCTACGCGGCCGGGCCGGATTAAGGCTTCGTCTAGGGTTTCCGGGGTGTTGGTTGTCATTATTAACACGCGGCCCTCGTGGCTTGCTACGCCGTCGATGGCGTTTAGGAGACCCGAGAGGGAGATGCCGGATTTATTGTCGTCGCCTTCTTTTTTGAGCGCTTTGGCTAGGTCACGCACGTCCCAGTTTTCGGGGGCGGTGGTTTTGGGGATGCCGTTGGGTTTGGGGGATTTGGTGTCTTCGGTGTTGGTTGCGGTATTACTTTGGGAGGGGGAGGGGGAGGGGCGCCGGAGGCCGGCTGTGTCGATGTCTGGTTGGGGGTTAGCAGGTTGGTGATAAATTGTGATTAGATCTCCCCATTTGGGGTACGAAAGGGGGGGCTTACCTTCCAATAGCACAATACATCGTCGTGGAAGCGAAGCAAATAGGATGCTTAGATCCTCCTCGGTCAAGCTCGGTTCGAGAAGCGATATCACGTGGATGTCAAGACCGAAGATACCAGCGAGAGCAAACGATAGCGAAGTTTTGCCTGTCCCGGGAGGCCCGTGGAACAGATAGCCTCTACGTAATGGAATGCCGCGATTAGAATACCATCTCGGGGTCTCGGGGTGTAGATACTCGTCGATATCAGCTAGAACCTGAAGCTTTTGCTTCTCGTCTAGAACAACGGTCTTGATGTCTCTGACTGGTCGGTTCGCAACCTGATGCCAGCCGGTGCGTCCGGGATACCGGCGACTGTTCCACGTGGTGGGCCGCTTAACGACCGTCCGAGCCTGGTGGTCCTTATAATACCGCTCCTTGGCGTGTGCTAATAGCTGTTTTATGGGTTCTGACAAGTTTGCGTAAGCTTAAAATTTTCTAGAATGCGGCTGAGAAATAAAGGGCGAGAGGGGGGGAAGTTTTACCTGGATTCCTCCAGAAACAGGATATGGTGATGTCTTCTTGGTCTCTGAAAAATTGAGCTGAACTCATCCCGTCGTTGAATATGGACTGCCGTTTGCGCTGAAGCCGAAAATATTGCCCCTTCCACCAAAAGCTGTGCAACCCCATTGCCGGACTGTACTGCGGGGGCTATTAATTGGATGTTAGCAAAGAAGCATCCTTAGTGTCTGGGATATAAGAGCGATTGTTGGTTGGTAAGCTTACCGCTCTAGCTTCTTGGTTTGAGAAATTCAAATAGCGACCAGAACGATCTCGACCCACAGTCAGGGGATCCTCGTCTTCCCACCCTCTCCTGCTCCCAGTCTCGGCAAATAAAGACCTCGTATTAACCATTCGGGGCTGGGTAGCCAACCATTCCATGAGATACATATATATATCATCGTTGTTCAGAATGTGGATGCTGCTCATAAAGTACTCGCTGACGGTGCTGTTAATCAAGGCATACAGCTGACGGAGTAGCTTGTTGAGCGCCCAGAGAACGCCGATGGCCGTAAGTAAATAAGACGGCTCAATGCCGAGCCAGCCCCCTATGAATCCGTAAAAGGGAGCTAAACCACGGAGTCCGACGAGCGTTAGAACGCTCTCAACCGCTTTGACATGATATGTGTTGTCGGACGTCGACGTGTTCCCTGTTGCGTAAGAAGTATTCACGCCCATGCTCGGGAGCAGATTATTCAACACTGCACTATAATCCATCTTTATCCGGCTTATCCCGTGTTGTGTTCACCAAAGGGCTGAGTTTAGATTGTGGCTTAAGAGGACTCTGAGAAATTTGGCCTCCTTTTATAGACCATAACTAGGCAAATCGTGTTCGGGAGGCAATGAATTGCCCTTTTTCAGCCTTGCGTACCTAGGTAAGGCAGATATGGAAGGCGGCAGATAAGCGGTATGGTAGTCATCCGGGGTATAGTCATGTGGGTGGGTGCCTGGGGATCGCTCATATACACGTACTAGTAGACGCGATTTAGTGGCAAGAGGCGGTTAACGGAGTCATTTATTGGCCACCTAGAGACTGCTCCGGCTTTTAACTACTAGATAAGAGGTATGTACGTGTATGTAAATCCCTTAGACCCCGCCTTCATATGCCCGATAACGGGTTATGTGAGAGACGTCGTGCTTGGAAGTTCAAGTCGTGAGTAATTACACTTACGGATACCTTAGGTAGGTACACGACAAATCAAACCAGTCCCATTTTTCTACTAGGGAGGGCTCAGGTTAGACTAAGTCTAACCATTCCACGTATATATATTAACTGACAGCGAGTGGTAAGCTGTCAGGGTTCGTCTCTTATATAGTCTGGATTATAAGCCAACACTTATACGTGTCTTGTGCCAGTGAGGTTGGAGTAGATGGGTGCCAATAACTACTGTTGAATCAGTGCTACTGTGATAAAATCCAATTAGGCCTCCCCATTGGAATGGTAACATAGAATGACCATAATTCCTAGGCATACGTATCTAAAATTTTTGTTCGAAGTGTGAATATGTGGTACATCACAAGATTGAATTGTCCTATCATATTAGCTGCATAACATAGATATTTGATGTAGGTACGGCCAATGAAAAGCATGTTAGGCAGCTATACTGCGATTGCGGACTATTAGTTGCCGTGTCTAGGTTGTATTGGCTGCGGGTCGGATGCTGGTCTCAGCAAGATCGCCATATCAGCACTAACAAATAGTCCCATAGCTAACTACTAACAGGACAATTCCCAAAGTCCTCATAAATAGGTAGTAAGACTACTAATCCGGTAGAACGCCTTGCCAAGTAGTAAATCTTTGTTGCTAAAATACTAGGCAATCTGGTCTATTGAATTGTCAGTATGAGGAATTCGGCGATCCCCTCGTTCGCGGACACGCTGATACGACTGTTAGGTTGACAAATCTGTGCAACAAGAATAGTTCCCAGGAATTCCGCGGAATCTTACATACCTAGGTATATACCCCTCGATGTGCTGTTAGTGCAGTATGGAGTTTTTCTTGCACACTTAGTCCCAACATCGAGTTATACAACATTACCTAGGATAGGACCTAGAAAGAGATCACTAGCGATACGGCATCCAATACAACACGTACAACCCGACATTGATCAATTGAATTGATAAATGAAATCGAAGAGTGCGGCTCGAGTCAATAAGATATTGACAGGTTGAAGTGGGTATGACATACCGACCTTGAATGTCCCAAGGAAATCTAAGGTTGGATGGTGGATGGTGGATGGTATTGCCACCCCTTCACTTTTGTTGACAGCTTATTCTGATGGCTTTAGATGGCTGTAGTGATACCAACGAGCTGTCCAATCCAACGAGACATGAACCTTCTTGCATGAAGTCGTGGCTAGCTGTTCGGACGATATCGGTCAACGAGGCCGGGATGGCGTCTGATTTGGGTGTTTACGTTAAGCCCGCGTGCTATCGGTGTTTGATGATACAGTAGCTTAGTCTCGCGATTTGAAACCCTCCGCAAGTGCTTACCTAGATAAGTACGCCTTTGGCTGGGGTATAACTACTCTTTGGACAACATAGCGGTGGAAGAGTTTTGGATGGGTTTGGATTTGAGGGTGGTAAAGGGAAAAAGTAATGAAATAATTAAGAGCTAAGAGTTAAGATTTGGAGGGGAAGTGCGTGTATCTGAAACAAACTCAGCGCACTATTAACTGTGTGGCACATAAAGTGACACTTTATTGACACCGTATTAGGAAAGTCTAAACTGTATAATGTATAATGTACATTATGTAAGCATCTATCCGCCGCCCCTTACGACATTTATACTTCACTCACAATGCCTAAGTGCCTAAGCCACCATTACCTAATCTTTTTGCTTTTCTTGATCCTGCGGCATTTCCTTCTTCGTCCTCGTCCTCCTGTGTTCGCGATATAGGCCTTTGAATGCATACATTGTCTCCCGCCAAACTAATACCGCAAGAGTGAGAAGTAGAAATGCAATAACACAAGCGACAAGGAAGAGAGTGGAGAGTGCAAACCCCCGGGCCACCCTAGCGAATAAAATCCAAACATCGCTAGGCTCAAGAACAGTTCGAACATTGAGAACAACCTGAATAGCACTTATGACGGCCGAGAATACCCCAAAGACGAAAAGGAAAGGAGCGTAAAACTGTTCAAAGTAGGCCGCGTATTCCCGCTTTACATGGTAATATGTTGCTTTCGAGAGAAGGATTTTGCTCCAGAAATTAAGACGCGTGAGACGCAACTCGCCAACTTGATAGCGCGGCGAAACAAGTTCGTCCCCAAATTTGCAGCGCTCGATGAAAGCTGCAAATTCAGTATATGATATATCCTCCGGAATAAGGTGGATTCTTGGCGGTTCTGTAGCCAACCGGAAGTCGGATTCGTGCTGGATGAGGTACGAGTACGAGCGGAGAAACCCTCGTGCTGCCCGAAGAAGCTCCTCCCTCTGGCCTTGTTGTATAGGCGAGCTGGCTGAGAGGAGATAGTATTTCCAGAAGTCATGCGAGAGAAGATACTTCGGTAGGGGTTTGATGCATATCCGACCGTTGACCCATACCAGGTGCAGACCCGGCATCTCTGTGATAGTAATCTCACGACCCTGGACCATTTGTTCCGTGAGAGATAGAATATTTTCGCTTTTTTGTGTCGTCATTAGCCAAAAATGTCGCGCGAGTTTATTCAAAGTCTCCGTCATTAGCTCTCTCTGGAGATATGCACACATGTCCGGGTCTGTGAGTTCAATTCGGGGTTCTCCAGGTAGTGTTTCTCTCTGCGTTATCATCGTGTCTAGTGGACCGGTAGATGGCCTGAGTCGAATCTCAGCAGCCTCACCCTCGATTATCTCCAGTTCTTTGCATAGTTCTTGGCATTTTTTGAATGGGGCTTCTTCCATATTATTCAGCTGCGTTATACAACTAAATCTAATTGTAAAGGGAACAGAACAAGTGGTTTTTATCTCCTAAAATCATACCGTATCAAGCCATGAGGATGGAGTCTCAAACCTGTCTATTAATGTGCTGCAGAGGCGATTCACATGTTTGGAAGCGGAGGCACACCAAAACTAGCGGCCTTGATCAGCTCCCACTTGTTATGTCAAATTTTTCGCCTGGGTTTAAAGCCACCCCTTAACACATAACGTGAGAAGATAGTGTGTGTGAGATGAGGGCATCTTATCCTATAGATCCTAAAGGTGCGTGTCTTTTCGGGAGTATGCCTACTTGTTAACTCGGTATAACAATTGGAAACTAATTGCGCTGTTTGGGATGGCATTTGCGGACTTAGGGGTGTGAGCCCTCCCCGGCAGCGTATCGTATGAGGCGGCACTTGGTCTATATCCTATAGTAATAGGAATCTACACTTTTTCTAGTGGCTGCTTAGGTGGCCAGCCATAGGCGGCGGCGATATCCAACTCTCCGTACCTATATACACTTAGAATCGAAGTAAGTTGCCGATATGGCCGTCACATTTAATCAGCATTTCCTCTAGCAATCAAGTTTAGTAGCGAACTAATCACCACAAAATGCAGACATACACAACAAGTTCTCCTCGAACCCTAGGCTGTTCCCCCCATATTGCGCCGGAGGTACTTGGCGCGTTCCAAATCTCTCAACCTAAGTTCGATTGCTCAAGGTCTCCTATCCGGCATGATCATTCGGAGCTCTCATTCACACGAACCTACAGTACCCCGGACAAGTGCGGCTTGGTAGTACTATGTTTCATTGTTGCATTCGCAAGTTTAGCCTGGGCTAACTTCTGCGGGCAATTGACTGTATATGGTTTCTTCTTCGTATACTGTTATTTTGCGTATATCCGCAGCTTCTTAAATTCCACTGTTCAGACATCCAACCTGTTACAATACAGATTAAAAGTTGCATTTCACAGCGTTGCTTTAACCATTTCGTTGTTATGTCTTCTCATAATATCACCAATCCACGTCATTATGCCGACACCGATGGACCTCTTGGTACCTTACGCTACATCCCCCGTCTATCGACCTACGAAGGTTGTGTACGATGCGGGAGAAGGAGCCGCAGTTGAGTTAGTAGACCTTAAATAATGGGTGGGAAAGTGTTTACTGACGTTATAACAAGCATTTTTGCCATCCACGGTCTTGGCTCGAACGCAGAAAGCGCCTGGACCCATAAGAAAGGCAATGACGCCGAGGTCAACTGGCTCAGCGATCTCCTACCACAAGTTGAGGGCCTCCAGAATACCAGAATTGTATTGGTCAACCACCAAACACGGTGGGATTCGGATGTCGCCGAGAAGGGATTTCATGATCATGCATCTGAGCTACTAGAGCATATCCAGGATATCCGTAAGGTGAGGACCGAACACCGAACAGGAGCAGTACTATATACTAAACGTTATACCCATGTAGGCTCATCCTCGGCGACCCATAGTCTTCGTCGCACACAGCTTTGGGGGGCTGCTACTAAAGAAGGTAAATACGACATCTAATTTCCTAGAGGATCAGCACCATTATATTCCCACCTCAGACTGATTAACGAAGTGGCTTAGGTCCTGCTTCTTGCTAAAGCCAGACCAACCGATATAGCGTCAATGACGAAGGGAATTATTTTCCTAGGTGTGCCTCACATAGGTAGCAGATCTGCCTTCTTCGGGTCATGTTTAGCCTGCATGGCATACTATCGCGGCTCCTCGTCAAAGCTACTACAACTAATGACCATAGAGAGCCATAGCCTCCTAGACCTTGAATCCGAGTTTTACGACGCATATGTGACCCGGTATCATTCGGAGGACGTCCAGCCGTATATCTGCGATATTTTTGAAAGGAGACCAACAAAGGTTGGAAAGCTCTCGTTGGGTCCGGTAAGCTTCGCGCATCCGATTTTTTCCCCCTCATTGGCAAACTAGGCCTAACACTGTCGTCTGTTTAGATAGTCAGTCCGGGACCCGGCCAGCCTCGCCACGGCAAGTTGCTCGCTCTTGATACCGATCATCGTGGCCTGAATAAATTCCAGTCGCACGACGATCCGAATTTCCATACCTTTCTGATGGTCCTCCGGCAGGCATACGAGTACGCATTACACCGAAGTAAGTCGGCCGCAAAATGCCTAAAATCTTGCCCACAAGCTTACCAACTCCCACCCAGGCTTTCCCCCAGAGAAGGAATCCCCTCCTCTAGTGAAGCCTATCCCGAACGAGTCTATTCATACCAACCATACGATAGCGAAGCAAGATATGCTGGCTACAGCGGGAAATGGCTTGTCTTGGATAAAGATGAGTGCATTTGCTGTCACCTGTCTGTATGGCCTAGAGGAATTAGTGGCCTCATGGTTGACTAGAAATGGAGAGGTGGCTGGCATCGACTTTTCATACGTAATAAGACTGTGCGCCCTGTGGTTCGAAAGAGATAAATCTCTGTATGGCAATCAGTTCATTGTGCGCGTTTTGAAATTGGCAATTTACGGGGGGCTCATTCACGTACCGTTACGCGACACCCTGCTATGGATTTTGAACATATGCTTCCAAGGTCATACGGACATGGCTTCCCAGGTTCTCCGGCTGGGTATTATCAACCTGTTGGTATGTAACATCCTTCATCAACAAAAAAATGCATCCCATCTCTATCTAACAAACTCGAGGGCTAATAAATTACTTTCATAGATTGTTCCTTTTATGAGCATAGTCTACATCAGCGCCATGGCCTATATTCTCGGCTCCCGCGACGCCCAAAGCGTCCGTAGCACAATACGCGCCCGATTTTGGCATATACTGGTTATCACTTGGCTACTGCGGTTCGCCGATCTGTATATTCGATACGAAGGATCTCTCCCTATCGACTTCTGGGCGCCCTGTTATAGCGTCGTGTACTTCCTCGTTAGCATTTATATCAATGCTATGATCAAGGTAGCGTGGTTATCGATACCGCACGGAAGCGAGAGGCCCCCGGGCTTAACAACGCCCCCCAAAACACGATCCCGTCGCTGAACCAGGACCCAGATAATAAACAAGCCGAGCCTGATACACAGGCGACATCATGGACTTGCCAATTCACACGCGCAGGCCTGAACTGAGAAGGGGTAGAATAGGCTTCCGTTATACCAACAATTAAATTGATAGAACGCCAATACCTTATCAATACATATTTTTTATACATAAGACCTTTATAGATTTCGATTATCTGGGTATATCTTAAAACGGAAGCGAATTCCTTATTCTAGACCTATCCACTCATCCTCAGATTCGCCCTCGGACAGCATTTGCTCGTCTGAACCCAACGCTTCCCCTGATGCCAACATCTTCATCGACACATCACCTCCAATGAGGCTCTGTCCATTTGTATCTGTCTTCTTGCCGGCTTGTCCGAGTAGATAGTCTACCATATATACGTTTTCATCTGCTAATCGCTTGATTTCGTTTCGCATTCTCGTTATTGCCCTCGCGACAACCCGGAGTTCAACGTCTACTTTACTCCGATTTGCTGTAAGCCAAGACCCGTGCTTATCAACCAGCGCCTTGATCCACAATAGACAAAATTCGATGTGCGGGGATTCCTCGGTCTGAGCTGCGACAAATCGCAATAGCCTTGCGACGTATACGGTAGGGAATTGTTCTACCACCAATGGGATATCTGTATATGGTACCGCTTGGAAGACTCGCTTGATCAAGCGCGCTTCGTTAAGTCGGAATGCCATCACAAGAGCCTTGAGATAATCTTTTTCGTTCTCAAGGACAGCAAGAGTGGATGCGGGCGTTATTTCCATGTTCAGATCGAATGGATCGAATTGGAGATCGTTCTCCACACTATATATGAGGAGACCCTCTGTTGATGCAGCACAGAATGCAGTCCCGGTGGGCGAGAAACCAACACTTGTCACTCTCACCTCGGGCAACTTTTTCCTGGCGGATGGATCACCACCTCGCTTTGAGCCAGGTAATGACTTGTCCCGTCGAGCTTCACGGTCTGAATGGTCAGCCTCGTCATCGAGAAGTCCCTCGGGTCCCGCTTCGGTTAGCAATTTGCTATTTAGGAATTCTTGTGTTCCTGATAGCGAAAGGTTGACGCTGACGGTGAATTTCTTCAGTAGCACCATTGTGCTTACAGAGTAGAGGCATATGTATTTGCTGCCACCTGCTGCTAGAAGGCAACTCCCGTCAGTACTGTATCGGATAGTATTAAAACTCTTGGTGCCGGCTACGTTAGCGGCCGTCCTTCGGTCAGTGACCTTTCGACCTCCTGATACGTCTCGTCGACCGTCCAGTCCGGACACTTGCTCCGCATCGGTAACCGACCAAAATGATAACTGGCCGTCGAGCGTGGATATCGCAAGTTGTGCGGAGTCCGGTCGGACTGCGATGTCTAGGACGTCGGCTTGTAACTGTAAAGGCTCACTGGTCTGTGTGCGGTTGAATATTGACCACATTCTGGCTGTGCGATCCCAACTTCCACTGAATAAAAGACTGCCATTCGGCGAAAACGCTAATGAGCAGACGGGACCTTCATGACCAGCGAGTTGGTCGAGCAATTGGCCAGTTTGAACAGACCAGATGTGAATATCGAATGAATCTAGGGATCCGGCAGCAACTACCTCTCCACTGGGATCAACTGCCATGCAGGAGAAGGAAAGTCGGCTTGGCGCTGTGAAGGTTCGGAAGTTTCGATATCTGATCAAATCCCAAGCTCGTATGGAACCGTCTAAACTTGAAGTAAATAATACATTGCCCTTCTTGGCAAATTCACACGCTGTCACACCACTTGTATGCTCGGTGAAGGTGACTATGCAGAATCCGGATTCGACATCCCAGACTTTGATTTTGCCATCGTCAGCGGTAGTGATAATCCGCTTTCCATCTGGAGAGTACACTAAAGAATTCATGGAATCGAAATGTCCCTGTTGTTTTAATATGTAAGACTCGGATTGCCATTCCCAAACAAGTAATTGGCCTAATTTCGAAGCTCCAAAAGCTAGCCATTCTCCGCTTTTATTTATTGTAACGAAGTCGATTTCGTTTTGGGATATACTGAGGGTATGTATTGTGTTAAAATCGGGCATTTCGTATAGGCCGAAAATTCCATTGGAGAGCCCGGCAACTAGGAGGTTGGACTCGGGGTGGAAAGCAGCGCATCGGACGTGGGCGTTATTTTGCATGAAGTAATGCCTTTGGACGATCCTCCAGCGCATGTCGTCGCCGTCAACATCCATATCATCTTCATCTTCGTCCCTCGGGGCGGCATTAGGATGCCTTGTGTATTGCCAATCAAAGACAGCTCCATCTTTGCTGACTGTGTATATTGTTTCTTGGTCCCTCGAGAACCAAGCGCCTATGACAGCCTGTTTGTGACCCGACAGAACTGTTGGGGTGAATCCTTCCTCGGCGTCTAAACTCCATATCCGGACTGTCAAATCTTTCGAAGCGGTTAAAAAGAAGCGTGAATCTGTCGACCACTCAATATGACGGACATCGTCGAAATGGCCCATATGTGTGTGGTGTCGAACGAATGGCGCAAATTCCAACTCGCCCTGAGCGTGCGAGTCGGGAGTTGAGGGAACCTGCCATACTTCTGTCTTTCGTCCTAATCCGACGGCGAAGTGGCGTCCCGAGGGGGAGAAGGCGAGAGCTGTGACTGGGGATCGGAAGGAGAAGTGGTATATGGATACCCGTCGAGGTACGTTGGTTAGGATCGCATGGCCTTCTTCGTCGACGGAGAGTAAAAGATTACCCCGCGGTGTAAGGCCGATTCTCGAGATATTCTTCCTATGCGCGAATGGAAGTGTGTAGGATTTATTACTATAATGGAACTTAATCAGTATTCGATTTGTAACCAATTGAAGTCAATATGCGAACAACAGCTTACTCTACAAGATTGAATACTGTGACCCGATTTCCTACGGGTGAGAAGAGGCATGTTCCATCAGGACTATACAATAAATTGCCCTGGCAGTAGACGGTCCCAAGGAGATTGGAAAACTACCCAAACAGTTAGTAGGCCCCCTAAGTAGGTAAAAATAGTTATATGGAAGCATACTTTAAAATCGGTCTTCATTGTCACGATAGAGCCATTATGTAGCCACCCTTACTAAAAAAGTATGTCTTATATGCGACCGAGAAAGATGAGCGTATCGACGACCCGGAACTTTTTTCGATTTTCTTATCGGCGATAAGACGATAAGATAACACTTTTGAAGCTCAGGCAGTTACGAAGTGACTGCAACCAATCAAACAGGAAATGTTCCTTTATAATGGGGACCTCCAATTAACTCCATCGATAGCTAGCCTAATTCGGTTAGACTATGGTCGTAGTTTGTGGTGGGCAGGCGGTCAAGGCTTCAACGCTCGAACCACCGCTGGAAATGGGGAAAGGGGCCACTGACGACCAATTTAATCCTGGTCCCCTTTCGGTTGCCCTGCACTTTGAGGAATTGTGCTAGGAAATTTGTTTGACCAGCAATAACTTTCCCCTGAAGCAAGCCCCAAACTTCTTTTTGTCCGTCAACATCAACGTCGGCCCATATACAACCAAAATCTACATCCTCCCCGACAAGCCTTCATTTCCAGGTCGACTCTTGATTCATTTCTTGGGCCTCATAAACTTATACCCATTTCACGCAATTCTTGTTCTATCCCCTGACAGCTACCGATAACCTTCACGATGCCTCCAGCCACCGCCGAAAGCGCGTCGCCAATTGGCATTGCTAATCTGCCAAACCAGCGACACAAGATTGTTGCCAAGAGGGGTGCTGCGTTTACTATCATGGTACAATATCCTTCAAGCTTAGGGATTGCCAAACACATCACTAACACGGTGACGATAGGTTGCTGGTGAATCTGGTTTGGGAAAGACCACATTTATCAACACTCTATTTTCGACTACCATCAAGAACTATGCCGACCACAAGCGACGACATCAAAAGCAGGTTGACAAGACTGTTGAGATCGAAATCACCAAGGCTGAGCTAGAGGAGAAGTTCTTCAAGGGTACCAATTCCCCTCCCATAAGCTTGATATCACACCCTTTGCTAATTATCATATTCTACAGTCCGCTTAACTGTCATTGACACACCCGGCTTTGGCGACTACGTAAACAACCGGGATTCGTGGATGCCCATCATCGAGTTCTTGGACGACCAACACGAGTCTTATATGCTTCAGGAGCAACAACCCCGCCGTCAAGACAAGATCGACCTCCGTGTCCACGCTTGCTTATACTTCATCAGACCCACCGGTCACACCTTAAAGCCTCTGGATATTGAAGTAATGAAGAGGCTGTGCTCAAGAGTCAATTTGATCCCTGTTATTGCCAAGGCTGATACTCTGAGCCCTATTGATCTTGCTAAGTTCAAGGCTAAGGTACGTTTGAGCATTGCAGATACATAGTTTCCATTGACTAATAAAATATGTAGATCCGTGCTGTCATCGAGGCTCAGAGCATTAAGATCTACCAACCGCCGGTCGAGGAGGACGATGAGGCTGCCGCCCAGCACGCGCGTAGCCTCATGGCCGCCATGCCATTCGCGGTCATCGGTTCGGAGAAGGACGTCAAGACTGGAGACGGCCGCATTGTCAAGGGTCGTCAATACTCATGGGGTGTTGCCGAAGTCGAGAACGAGGACCACTGTGACTTTAAGAAGCTGCGTTCGATCCTGATCCGAACACACATGCTTGACCTCATCCACACGACCGAGGAACTACACTATGAGGCGTACCGTGCCCAACAGATGGAGACTAGAAAGTTCGGCGAAGCCCGTCCCCGCAAGTTGGACAACCCCAAGTACAAGGAGGAAGAAGAAGCTCTTCGCAAGCGCTTTACTGAGCAGGTCAAGATCGAGGAACAGCGATTCCGACAATGGGAACAGAAGCTCATCGCCGAGCGCGACCGTCTTAACAAGGATCTCGAGCAGACCCACGCTCAGATCAAGCAGCTCGAGAACGACCTCGAGGCGATGCAGGGCAGCGTTGCTCGCAGCGGCCGCCGTTAAAATTCTTCTATATACCCCCTTCGCCAACGAAAACGATTTGTTGATTCCGCTAGCGCTAGTTGAAAGTTGAGAAAATGCTTCCGCCTAATTGGGGAGTATGGAGTTGAGATTGCTGGTTCATTCGGCATCTCCCAAAATTCTACAGGACCAGAGGTCGTTATTGATGGATGGATGGATATATGCTTACAAGCTAATTATGTGTTGTGTGCCAAGGAGGGTGTGGATTGACAAATATCACCCGATAACACTTGCAGATTTTTGCTGATGGCAAGGCTGTGTGTATGAGGGTGATGATGGGTCGATAGGCGTGTATGGGGGTTCACCTACGATATCAAAATATTCTCCCTTTTTTTGGAGGTCGATTGTGCATCTCCGTTTCTACAGATCAGTTAGGTTTAGTTTACGATGTAATCGCAAGTTTCTATGATACCAGTAACAAGCCAAGACATTTCTTCGTTTACTCCGTGACCATTAGTTCCCACAAGTATAATTACACCGAGCCAACAAGGCTCCTCCAATGCAAAACATGTACGCCATTGAAGTCATACCGACTAATTCGAAAATGCAATTATAGTAAGCGGCTTAATAATTTGTCTCAGTCGTTAGACTGCATCCATCGTCGCTCTCGTAGTTAATTGCTCATTCTTGTTTCCTAGTTTTGAAATTTGTAGGAAAGCATCGACACCATATCCCTCGAGACTATGTAGCTCCAGGCTGCCGGCCCAGTACTCGGCATAGACACGGCTTAATGGCAGGCCCATGCCGAGACGAAGGTTAGGCGGACGCAGAGATAACGAGGAGAGTGAACTATCGTGGGCTCCGACGCCGGATCTGTTATGGGCCTGCAGAGCAGCGAGGTTCTTGTCGTCGACGCGGAGTTCTTGGAGCGTGGCAGCCATGAATGGGACTTGACCTAGGTTTTCTAGACGCTGGTTCTTGAGGGGTCCTTTGCCGAAGGACCATAGGTAGGGCACGACGTCGCGGGGGACGCCGCCGCCTTGGTCTGAGATACGGATTATGACGTGTTGCTGGGCCTCGCAGACAGTGACTTCGATGGGTGGGGGTTGAGCTGCCGAACCCTGTTGTTGGTGTTTTTCGATAACGGCTTGGACGGAGTTGCGGAGGAGTTCTCCGATGATGTACTCGAGGTGGCTGAGGATATATGGGAACGAGGCGTCTAAGTGGCCGTTGACTCTGATCTCTGGGACTTTGGTGTCGGGACCGTTGTCGGAGCGCGCGAGGTCCTGCACGGCTTTGGCGCAGTGGTCGATTACGTCTTTCGCCATGCATTTTATGAATACCTCGCCGATGAATTCGGACTCTGAGAGCTTAGCTCCGGGGGAGAACCAGTGCGAGTTGAATGTCTCGGTTAGAGCGAGGTGTTGCTCTGCGATGACTCTACGGGATATACGCTGGGTTGAGAAGGGATCAATTAGTGTTGATCCTTCTCTAATTGCCTATTATAGGTACTCACGGATCGTAATATGGTGTTCATGAATTGGTCCAGCTCAGCGGCTGGCATCAATCCGCTACATTCCAGGATGCCCATCGCCAGCTTGGGGATTACGGTCAAGTGGGCGCGCAGCATCTTGGCTATCTCCCTACAAAGACGTTCATTGTCATCGAGCGTCTTGATCTCTTTAACGCGCCGGAAGCTGTCGAAGGCGGTATAGTACAACTCGTATACGTCGCTGATGTGTGGGTTCGTTACGACTACGTAGGGTAGACGTTGCATGTCGCGGATGCGGTGGGCGATTCGGGTAGGAAGCTCGGTTCGGACGTAGTTCGCGGAGCTGATGAGTCGCGCTTCTGTTAGGGAACGCCCGAATACCATGAGTTGTCGCAGACTGATCGGTCGGGCTTCTTTGGCTACCCAGCTGTAGGCGAGGTGTCAGTCATGACGTGGGGTAGATTGGTGTAGAGTACTGGGGTTGCCGTACTCATCCAGGACTTGGACTGGTCTCCATTTCGCTGAGTGTGTCCATCGTCTACTCGGTCTGTTGAAGATGGATTTGGGATTGAAATTGTTCTGGTCAATGACTACGAGCCTCGGAGTCGCTGGTGACGAAAGCAATGCACGAGCTGGTTCTATCGAAGCTGAAGCTCTTGGGCGCGTATTCAACCGGAGGGCTTTGGTGGCATTTTGCACCGCGATTGGTAACATGCCGATTCTTCCATGCCAAAGTGAACCATACAACAGTGGAATTAGTGATGATGTCGCTTTTTCAAAATATACAAATACAAGGAGAAGTCAGTTTTAAGTATGTAGTTTTTGTTTGTTCTTAGGAGATGCGTTTGGAATTAGATGAGACCTTTGCCCTCGCGTCCCTGATAGTCACCAGGAGCCCATACTCCGGTTTCGCTAATAGGTGGTTACATATGGGTGGGTGATAATAGATTTAATGGGCTTTTAGGAATAAAGGTAGGGGAGGTATAGCTCTATAATTACAGGCGTTGCTATTTTTTGTAACAGTGACGAAGGTATGCTAAAGTCTAATATAGACCGGTGCTGTTTAGTGTTGGAAGGTTGACATGTACTCTTCGGTAGTAAGCTCGCAGGGCGTATACCTTTACCCCACATTTCCCTAATCATCAATCGTTCAAGTTGACAGGCATCCCAGTCCATCGCTACGATTTAAAGTAGAAGTACATCCATGGATGTACCTTTCTAGTTAATCATCGATGTGGCTATATGCGGAATAAAGTAATATTAAGCTTCTTTGTTAATTCCATTTGAAAACGCAACTGTTTTAGTTTATTCATGAAAGTACGTACGTCTTATTGGTACAGATTCCCGAGGGCTCGGCTGTGCTATGTTAGGGGGGGATCGTCATCTTAATAATTTTTGGTAGGTTTTTTTGCATGTGCGCGTTCTGGTGATGTATCAATTCGAAAGAAAAGAAAAAAAAAAAGAAATGGGCTAATGAACAGAAAGCTTGCTGTTTGTCTAAGGGGCAGAGGGGTCAGATACGACTAAACTTGCTTACGCAGGTAGTAATCTCTCATTATACTACTACAGAAATACTGTATGTACCTTTAAGGACGCATATACAGACATACTAAGACATGTCTCACAACAAACCAACCTTGTGTGAAGAATTTCCACCTCGATGTTTCGGCTTATATAATATAATATAGTTACATAGGTACAACCGGAGGTTGGCGGTGGTATGTAACGTCATTGCCAATTGGGAGGCTTGGTGGGGCTTATCCATCATCATTTTGAACCAAAAATCAAATGTAGGTACTAAATACCTAAGTGCGATGAAATTCGTAGGAGATGGCCGACTGTTGCCTAATGGATTTATGAGAGTTTTGGAAGGTACATGCTACATAAATACCTTTCGAAGCATCTCCGCATCGCACGTACCCGAAAAAAAGTAACTCACCCAGGCACCTAAGTACCTACGTGGGTACATCTATGGCAATTGCGCCCCTCTTGTGTAGTAACTTAACTGCCCTAAAGCCTAGAGCCTAGGCTACAATCCCCCAATCCCCAAGCACTCAAGCACTCAAGCAAGGTACGCTACTACATGTACATACATACATTAAACACGTACGGCGACCCGAACAGTGTCACAGCCCACTTTCCTTACTCTTAGCGGCTTGTCGACCTTGTCAATGAAGCAATTCCTTGAAGCTTCATCTTCCGTCTCTTTTCCTTTCTAACATTTTTATTCCTTACACCTCGTCCATTCGACAAACCTGCGCCCAGTCGCGTATTTTTCTTAAAGCTATCTTGTAGCTTCCGACTGCCTTTGCTGCAGGGCGTTAGCACAGAGCTTGCCTTTCCTTCCGTCGTTTTTCTTCCTTCCATTCCCACGCCACCCTGTGCAGCCCCGCCGAGTTGCAGCTAGGAAACTCGAACGCTGCCTACATTTTTCTTCCTACGGGTTTTGGGGAGGACCATTTGGTATTGAATCAGGAAGTCGGCAACCACAAATCAACCCACGTACCTCTTTCCCTATACATTTATACACCTAGAGTAGTCACGATTAAATCCTAAATCATGGTAAGCTTATCCGATTCAACTTTACGCTATTATCTTCGCTTCGTTACTTTTCCAACCCTACCAAAGAAACGCCACGCGATAGTCCCTCTTTATCAAAGCAACACTTCCCTATTTGTGCGCCGTCAATCCGCTTGTCTTTACACATCTACCTACCCGTGCCTTAATAGGACCATTCTCTCCGTTGCATCCAATTTCTAGTGTCATAAGCATAAATCCAAAGCCTACCTATTAGAATTCTCTCCCATTCCGCCCTCCTCGTATCGGACCCATCTAATGGTGCTTATTCTCAAATAGAGCTACGACTCCGAAATCCACTCGCCGAACGAGATGGTGGTCGACACCCAGGACGAGATGGTCGTCCAACCCACCCTTAGCGAGAAGGATCAGATCGCTGAGATCAACCCCGAGCAGTTGGATAACGACGCCGAAAATCTCGAGAACGTCATCTTAGCTAATGACTGTATGTACGAACCCGGTGTGATAACTAATAGGGACCGAGGTCCAGCAAATGAATACGCCACTAATAAATATTCTTGCGTATTCTAGATGATGCTATGAAAGAAACGGTCCTACAACCACTCCTAGACGAACCCAAAATTTTGGAAGATGTAGTCAACACATGGACGGTGGAAAACTGGAGAACGCTGTCTAAGAAAGAGCATGGTCCTATATTTGAAGCTGGCGGATATCCATGGCAAGCACTATACCCAATCCTGACTTTAAAGAGTCGGCTGGCTGACTTGGCTGGATAGGCGAATCCTCCTTTTTCCATTCGGTAATAACGTTGACCAATCCTCAATATATCTTGAACATGGCTTCCAGGATACAAATAGCATACCGGACGATTGGAGCTGTTGTGTACAGTTCGGGTTGGTCATGTGGAATATCAACGACCCATCTCTCTTCTACCATCATACTGCCCACCACCGTTTTACCAAGGAAGAAAGTGATTGGGGTTTTACGCGATTCCTGGAGCTTAGAAAGATGTTCCAGCAAGGATGGGAAAATTCCAGCCGCTCCCTAGTGGAGAACGATTCGGTCAACATCACCGCATATGTTAGAGTAGTGGAAGACGAGACAGGTGTCTTATGGCACAACTTCAACAACTACGACTCCAAGAAGGAAACCGGCTACGTCGGCCTCAAGAACCAGGGTGCCACATGTTACCTTAACTCCCTCCTACAATCATTATTCTTCACCAACGCATTCCGAAAGGTCAGTAGAGTCGATTTCAAGAATAAATACTACTTAAGGGAAGACCACTCACTAACATGTTTTAGGCCGTTTATGAAATCCCAACGGCAGAAGATGAGAGCGTCACTAACAGCGCTTACACTCTTCAAAGATTATTTTACCAACTTCAGATCTCTAACACAGCTGTGGGCACCAATGAGCTCACGAAATCGTTTGGCTGGGACACCCGACATATTTTTGAGCAACAAGATGTACAAGAACTATCCCGTAAGTTGATCGAGCGTATGGAAGAGAGGATGAAGGGTACAGCAGCCGAAGACGCGCTCCCGCGCATGTTGAGTGGTAAGGTCAAAACTTACGTGTCCTGCATCGACGTCGAGTATGAGTCCAGCAGAGTTGAAGACTTCTGGGATATTCAACTCAATGTCAGAGGAATTCCAAACTTGCAGGAAAGCTTTAAGGATTATATCCAGCAGGAAACTCTTGATGGCGACAACAAGTATTGGGCCGGCGACGAGTTCAAGTACCAAGATGCGCGCAAAGGTGTAATTTTCAAAAGCTTCCCCGAAGTTTTACATCTACATCTAAAGAGGTTCGAGTACGATATCCAGCGCGATACGATGATGAAAATCAATGACCGTTTCGAGTTCCCCGAAGTTCTCGATTTAACGCCCTTCCTCGACCAAGATGCGGATAAATCTGAGCCATGGATATATAAGTTACACGGTGTCCTGGTACACAGTGGAGATCTGAATGCAGGCCATTATTACGCATATCTCAAGCCAAATAAGGATGGATGGTTCTATAAGTTTGATGATGATAAAGTCACAAAGGCAACCATGAGAGAAACTTTGGAGGACAATTTTGGGGGCGAGTACCCCGCATCGCTGGTCCAGCCTCGTACGGGCATTCAGAAGAAGACACCAATTATGCGCCAGATGAGCGCGTATATGCTTGTCTACATTCGAGAGTCTCGTTTAGATCAGGTTTTAACGCCGGTTCAGAAGGAAGACTGCCCACCTCATCTTCGTAAGTTTCCCTTCAAGCCCAACAAAGCAAAATTTAAAACTTATTCTTTACAGAGAAACGACTGGATGAGGAAGCAGCCGCCCGAGAAGCGAAGCGAAGAGAACGTGAAGAGCAGCACCTCTATTTACCCGTCAGAGTTATCACGGAAGAAACGTTCAAGCATCATGGATCAACTGACCTTACCAATTTCGAGATTACCCCTGGTGAAGATCCCGCAGCTCCTAAATTCTATCGCACAAAAAAGCAAACCACCATCGAGGAGTTGGTTGGGCTCATCGCTCAAGACTTAAATCTCAGCCCCAGGCGAATCCGCTTGTGGATCATGGTTAATCGTCAGAATAAGACAACCCGACCGGACCAACCAATTATGGATCTAAGACCGACAATAGAAGAAACATACTCACGGATGGCCACTACTAACCGAGATTACGCGTTGAGAGTGTGGGCCGAAGTTGCGGAAGAGGTCGATTCAGAGGGAGAGGCCATTTGGCCCACTTATCAGAGCAATGCCAATGGCGTTATTGTCAAGAACGACCTGATACTCTTATTCCTGAAACATTTCGATGCCGAGAAGCAAACCCTCGCGGGTGTTGGTCATATCTACGTCAGTAGGGAGAAGAAGGTAGAAGAACTGGTTCCCGTGATCGCAAAGAGGATGGGTTGGGGCGATAAACTACCCTCAGGGGAACAATTGGTCATGTGGGAGGAGATAAAGCCGGCTATGATTGAGGGTCTTAAGGCGAAACAATCTCTGAAAGCGGCTGAGCTCCAAGATGGAGACATTATATGTTTCCAAAAAATTGCCGAGCGGAAGTCGGGTGAGATTCTTAACAAGATTCCTCGCCTTGGAGACAAGAGCTCCGATGAGAGCACAAGGCGTTGGGACCGTTATGACGATGCGGTAGGATTCTACGACTTCCTCTGCAACAAGAGAGAAGTTCGCTTCGATCCTCATCCCCGCTGCGAGAAGTCGAATTATCAAAGCTTCATTCTTACCCTCAGCACGAGGGTCTCATATGATTATCTTTCCGAGCGAGTCGGTGAACAGCTAGGAGTCGAGCCCACTCATATTCGCTTTTTCACAGCAAACGCTTCCACAGGCAGTCCCAGGGCACCGGTGAGAAGGGCAGTCGCCCAAAATCTCGGCACAATACTCAATCCAAATGGTTATACTCAGCAAAGTATGCAGACCAAACCTAATTCGTTGTTCTTTGAAGTTCTAGACATGAGTCTTGCAGAACTAGACACCAAGAAAAACGTCAAGGTCACTTGGTTGAGCGAAGGTATCACAAAGGCTGTAAGTTGTCCTACCCAAATTCCCGCGTGAAGTATACTTATAATTTTGCCAGGAAACATTCGATGTCTTGGTAAATAAGCAAGGCCATATTGAGGATCTCATCCAAGCATTCGTAAAGAAGGCCCAGATTCAAGATGAAAGCGAAGGTGGCCGAATCAGAGTCTATGAGATTCATCACCACAAGTTCTTCCGCGAACTTTCACCGACATACCCAGTACTTAGTATAAACGATTATGCCGACGTTGTCGCTGAGCGAATTCCAGAGGATGAGGTAGATGCCCTTGAGAGAGACTTTATTAAGGTCATTCACTACCAATCCGATCCCAGTCGGGTCCATGGGATTCCATTCAAGTTCCTCCTCAAAGAGGTAAGAAAATGGCTAGACATCCGAATAAGGCCAGTGATTAACATTAGCTAGGGCGAACAATTCTCTGAGACAAAGAAACGGCTGGAAAATCGAACAGGCATCAAGGGCAAGGCCTTTGAAAAGATCAAGTTTGCGGTTGTGCGACGATTCCAAAAGCCGGCTTATATCAATGACGGTAAGACATCTTTGGAAAATGAAGTGAGAAATTTCTGGGGAACAGCGCTAATATGTTACAGAGGATATCTTGTTTGATGAGGGAGGCACCATTGAGGACGACATAATGCTTGGGTTAGACCATCTGGATCGCTCCAGAACGACACGGAACGGGGGAGAAATGTTCCTCAAGTAGATACCCTTACAAGATCTATTTTGAGTACGTATACCCTCACTCACCCCTAGGTCTCTGCGGAGCCTAGTTGTAGGACGACGGAGTAAATCGGCGAGCCTGGTCGGTGGCTGATGACCAGCAAGCCGGACACGTCTTTTGTATCGAGTAGTATTGGCTTTGTGTGGTATATTGTGACAATTATCCCAAGCCCGGCGAGAATCAAGACGTGCAGCACCAAGTTAACCGGGAATCAAGAAGGGGTGAGGGCCGATGAAAATATCTTAGCGCAATATCTTCGGGGACAAGACTTTGCGAAAGGCGTACATGCAGAAATGTGCCCGGAGGCATTGATTGGAACAAAGGTTCTTAGGGGCGAAGTCAGGCGTATTCTCTATTTGGGCACAAGGCAGTTGCAAAACTGGCTTACGAAATTCGTTCCTGGCAAATGAATTCATGGATCTAGATGCTGAAGACCCCAGGGTTTGAGCGACTACTGAACCTACTTTACGTATACATTGAGTTCTGTATTCTTTTAAGAACAAGATCGGATCGGCGATCGTGAAAACATTAAAGAGCTTGTGTGAGGAAGATATATTTTATTTAAAGACCCGCTAACATGATCACAGAGTCTCTTCTCTAATTACAGCGCAACGCGAAAGACGAGAGAGACGCGAATAGATCCCGCAGTAAACTACCAAAAATCTAGGGCATATATTCCTCCTGTTCTCTCCTCCATAATAAACCTGCGGGTTTCGCTCCGACGGCCGCCATCGTATTAGTAACACTCCTAGCGCACGGCTTAACTTCGGTAAGGTGTTAATTGAAAGGGGTGGGGGCTTTATGCTCTCCTATAAAGGACCGTGTTAGCGTCGAGGTCAATTAAGACGAACTTTCTCTAGTAGTTATGCTTACCTAGAGTAATCTACCATTTCAATCGCAGCAATGGTATCGGCGAAAAAAAAAAACAAGCGAATAGCGGATAACAATGCGAGGGTATAGAGGGGCATGGGGTGAGAGAGGAATCGGCTTAGGACTCCTCAGACGTATCGACATCATCCGTGGTGTATACATCAACAGCTAAACCCCAGTAGCAAGGAGGGCTTCGCTGAAAGTATCCGGAATCGGTGTCGGCGGTCTTGTCCTTGTCGGCAGAGGCAGCGGGGAAGCCGTACGGGAACCGATCTTGGAGGGAGGGGCCTTCGGCGGCTTTGTTGGATTGTCGACCACCGCGAGCACCACGGGCGCGAGATCGAGTGCCGCGACCTCGCGAGCGGGTGGGGGGCTCTGGGACGCGGACTATGAGGGGTTCGGGGGTCTCGTTGGGGGGGTTGGGTTGGGTGGCGTTCTTGACGTCGGTGGCGGCTTGGGCTTGGGCGAGGTCCCACTGAGATTGGGTGTTAGCAGCGGTCGGCATTGGGGATAACTTCAGGAGTCCCAAAAATGCGTCGCAAGAGTGAAAATTCATACGGTGATCAATTTTCACTTCCGACACGGCGAAAAGGAGAAAAAATGAATTGGAATGAGAAAGTTACTTACCTCGGCTTGCAGCTCTTGGAGAGGCTGCTCGAAGACCGTTACGAAAAGATTAGCGCCGCCGCGTTTGGATGCCTGACTCTGGCTCTTGGCCTTCCGAGCCGAAGTGCCGGCACCGGAAGCCCTGGTCGTCGGCATTGTCGGCTTCAGTCTTCTTCGTAGCCGTTGGTAAGGTCGCCGTTGACACCGTTGACACCGTTGGTTAGTTGACCGTTTACGACCGGGTCGTTGTCGTCTTGACTGTCGGATTCGCTGTCGTTTACTTCACCGTTGACAGCTTGGCCGTTGACTTGACCGTTCACGCCCTGACCGTTGATAGTGGTTTGGCCGTTTGTAAGATTATCCTGATCTACGCTTTCGGTGTTACTTTCAGTATCACTGAAGATAACGTTGTCTTCGTCGTCGGTATTTTCGTAGGGAATGTTATCTTCCCCTTCGTTGTTGTCGTTTACTAGCTGGCAATAGCTGCACCGAACTCTTCGTTTGCGTTTATGAACTGGGTCGACCCAGCGAACCCCAATTCGGCAGCGACCTACGTGCCTAGCTGCTTGTGCCTCAGGGCACTAGTAGCGGTATTAGCGATTGCTTTACTGGGCTATCCTGTTGCTCGGGGAAATAATTTAAGGTTTAACCTTTCAGGTACCGGCCAACCGCCGATTGCCCGAGGCGGTATACGGTCAAGAGTGGAAAAGGGGTAAAATGAGAACCGCGCTAAGATTGATTGACTTACCAGATCGTGTCTTTCTCTGCGTGAGATCTCCTGGCCGCAACCAGGTCGTCGGCAGTATGTATGGTACCAATATACCTGACACATCTTGCCTAATTATTTGGTACTAGAAATGCCCAGTACTTTAAGTAGGTACGACGAAGTATCAATTACCTTTCAAGGTAGCTGTTCCTGAACTCAGTTGAGGATATTGATACTTGGTATCGTTAAGGAATCAAAGGAAGGTAGAAAGGTAAATAGACAATTATAAGAGTGAATGTGTTGAAAGGAATATGAATATGGAATATATGTAAAGGATATATGTGAAGATGTGAGGAAAAACTGAAGATGGGAAGTCTATAGAAAAGGTCGAGTACATATAGAAAATTAGGGGTTGGATCTGGGTTTGCATGCCTTCATAGTAGTATACTCAGGTCAAACATCTGCAAAACTTTTCAATAGGCATGATGTGATTCATAGTCAGTTTACATTAATGTTTGATACTACTTTTTCTCTTTAGAGTGGCAGCTTCGCTAGGAAATCACTGTTGTAAGTGGGTTTCAATCAGCGTTCAAGTGTTGAAGCATCTGTTTGTTCCTCAAGAGCTGTGCTCGTGGTTTCTATCCTATTGAATTAGAGGCGTGAGTGCTGAGGCTGATGACTACTACTCCTAGGAATTGGCGACAGTATAACAGGCAAACCCCCCAAACACTTAGAGCTCTCACCCCTTTTCCGATGTTTAGGGGCTAGGTAGCTTTCTTAATGGCGCACCTGAACACCTTTTACTTAGTTTGCAAGTGAAGACAAAATATTTTGTTAGACATCGGAAAGGCTCAGAGGCTAAGAAAGCGTCTATCCTCCGGTTTCGCTCCTTCCTAAAGAATCAACTTCAACTTCTCTTCGGATGATAGGACCTTGTACAAGCCAAACGTACCAGCATTACCAAAACCCTAGAAAGGTGCTCAGCTATTATCACCTGGACAAACCATATACTCATGACTTCTCTTCCTGTGCAGATTTTGAAATAATAATACTATAATGCAAGGTCTATTTGAATCAGTCACTTATATTTGGCTCTTTGGGGTTGATGAGTGACAATGAACGATAGACATGCTAAAACCACCCATACCCTGGGCAATAGATGGGTAACCTAGCGGGCGTATACTAACGAATGTTTGAAGGGAAATTACAAACAAATGTTAAAACTAGTTAAATTCATACTTGTTACCACGTGAGCCAATTCAATGTGAATGATCAGATTAATACTTTGTATCCCCTTCACCCGTTTTACCTTGTGGTCATGGTAGAATATCGGCAAGCGTATTGATTATGCTAGTGTATAGCAACATTAAGAACAGAAGCTCACGTAAAACCCTATTTCAATCATACTAGCAACCTTTGAAGGCCTTTAACCAATTGAAAGATATCGTAGGGTTTAGTATATCACATTTCAGGGGCAAGCTACCAATCTAAGAGACAAGGTTAGATTTTTAAACAATTGATATCAATTGACATATACGTCTGATAATACAGCTCTACACATAAGCAATATACATCCAGGAAGTAAAGACGTTCATATGATGTATTACCCAATCCTCCAGGGCATGCCGTCGCTACCTATGTACTTATACAGTTAATCATGTAAGTGCATATATACTGATTGACGGATATTTCGAATCAATACATACCCTGATAAGTACCTAGCCAGTAGAAGGCGCTGATGACGTCACGTATACGATCACCATTGTAAGCAGGCTTATTAAATCATGGGACGGGAATGGCTCGCCTCTTCATCATAATGCCGAGCAAAATATTACACACTTAAATCCGACTTGGTTTCATTAAGTAGACCAGGCAGCAGATCAACTAGATATGTATTATTTAAGAATTATACATGCCTAGGTAATCATGATTGAATGAAGGTATGCAGAGTTGTGAAGCCAAGCTCTTATCCAACCACACGGAATAGTAATACGAGCTGTCATTTCCCCCTCAAGTGCTGGTACAAGTCCTACATTCCTAAGTTATACACCATTCCGCAATCCCTCCGACTGGATGCTCAGGTATAATTTGTAAGCTTCGTCACCAGATTCGGAGTCCGAGTCCAGCTGGGTGAGGGGCTGGTCGAATCTCCAACGGTGTTAACTGCCAGGTTGGATGCCCATGAATTCTCTTATATCTCCCCTACGTTCTATACGAGGTAGTCTAAGATTCAGTAAACACATAACCTACAGGAACATAGCAAGCATGGCCACATCTCATACTATCCAACTCACACCCGACAATACTGGGCTCTGGCAAATTCAACAGGACGAGTCTGCCGCGAAAAAGGTATCCGAGTTGCTACAGCAGGACCTCCAGGTATGCCAGTTTCTAATCACTACTAAATAGCCGATGATAACCGATTCTAGAAATATCACGTCTTCTTCAATGACGACGGGTTCCATAACCAGTAAATCAACAACTGAATTCAAAATTACCTCGAAAGCTAGATGCTAACTCAATTCTCAGTATAAGTCACCATTTACTCTCTCTATACGGCACAGGGGCTTCAGCAGAAGAGTTGAAGGAAGCCTACGATGTGAATGCGACCTACCAACGGCCAGCCTTGAAAACTCATGAGAAGGTTGTCGAAGAACTCAAGGACTGGGAGAGCGCCAAAAAGCGTGTTGGCAAAGAACAGTAAGTCGCAAAGTGAAAATGCCCTGAATTCATAATTACCTAAGTGAACACCCAAAAGGGTACCACTATTGATTTCAATACAAACTCTACAATTTCCACCATAGCCGCTAACTCCCGTTATGAAGATACTACCCCGACTTCCTCGCCTTCTTCCAGAATGAGATTGACAAGTTAGGCTGGCAAGGGGTATTGAGCGAGTATATGTTCAAAGGTGATGAGAAGAGCGAGGATATGTTAATGCGGATGCTTGCCGGTCAGTCTACACAATACTTACAATGCTTGATAATCATTCTTCTAACGTCTCATAAGGGTTCCTCCATCCATTAATCCAACTCATGTATGGCGTGGAATGGAAACAACCAGCTATAGTCGCCATGGGTCTAGCCGAAGCAGCTGTCCACCAGGACAATCTGAGGAAATTCCTGCTTGCCTCCGAAGAAGCCGCTAAGTCAAACCCGACACCCATGCCAAGCATGTTGAGCCTCCTTGAAGAAGTCAGATCAAATAAGAAGCTTGCTACATCGGCCAAACTGCAGGATGGTAACAAATTACGTGACGGGGTGTTTGCCAGAGCATGGGACGAAATTATTGAAATCGCAAGCCGAGTCAAAGTCAATCCAGAGGAATTGGACGAAAGGACTGCTGAAATGTACCACATGAATGTTTACGAGAATGCTTCTGCTGCTTTCCACCCTGGCAAAGAACCGAAGTTTGATTTCTTCTTGATGTGAGTCTTTCACAAGCCCCGAAACATGAATATTCACTTACGTTCAAAAGACATCACATCAATGTCTGTCCTATCTTTGTGGCTATCAATAGTCAAGACTGGATCCCGATTGAAAGTAAGGTGAGGCTACTCGAATGGAAGATCAGAATGGACCTTGTCCAGTATGTGGCCAGAGCCTGTCCTCCCCTTACGCTCAATAACATCGCTTCGTATATTCCTAAGGACAAGAAAGTGGGACCCTTAAATGGTAAGTCGACCCAATTTGACCATAAATATCATCACGGTAACTAACCAAGCACCTATAGAATTAGCCCATCGCCTCCACGTCCTCGAAGAAGATGGCCACGCCATTAAGCTCTTCCGCGCCGTCGGCCTAGGTCAAACCATAAGCGAGAAATACGAAAATAAGAGTTGGATCAAGATCAAGGGCGACTTATGGACCAAAATCACCCACCTTGTCGTTGATTCCGCTGAGTCGCCTGGCCCGCGCTGGGTCCGTGGCGCAGGTGACCCGGCAGCGTGGGACAATATTCCCGATCGAGCGAACGGCGTGAATGGCGTCTCGGATAAGCTTGAACAGACTCACTTGTAAGAGAACTCAAGTGCCAAAAATATTGTGCATTTCATGTATCAATATTGTAAGAAGGATATGGGTATCGCAGCTCACTTGTAATATGACATGTACTTGTATGTGTGTAACAATAGGGGCAAGCCATAACCGACCCAGAACAACAATGGCTAAACCCTTTCGCAACCATCCTAAATCAATGAGTAGTGACAAAAACTGATAGAAAATTAAAAGAAATAGGAAAAAAAAAAAGAAATCAAGTCGCGACAACGACAGGATTCGAACCTGTGCGACCGAAGTCATTAGATTTCGAGTCTAACCCATTAACCACTCTGGCACGTTGCCTTATCATGCGATGGTCAATAAAAAGATTGAATGTTATTTGCAACTATATATATTACTGGATACCACTGAGAGACTATCGTGTGGGCTTTTCCTCGCTTAGTTAGGAAAAAGGGGCCATGTAATTCTGATTGGGTGCGTATTTTTCGCCGTATTTTTTTCTCCATTCGCTATAATCCACTCCGAGACCCAGTAGGCGAGCGCTCGATGGGTCGAGTAGGCTATTATGGAGCAGGTCGCAGTAGAGTGGGAATTGGCGATGTTGGGTTTGAGTTATGAGGTGATATAGATGAATCTGACATGTTATAGTATGGAGCAAGACTGTTATACGTCAAATTGAGTTATTATTGTTAACTGGTATTAAGTATCAAAATGATAATCTATCATGACGTTCGTAAGGAAAACCGTCTATGTAGGAAGAATGTTATGATCCTTTGGAAGCCTTTTCCTTATGATGCAAATTGCCTCCGTATTATACAACAGTCCAATCCACACTCCTGGTATCTCTCTCTTCCCGCTCGCTCGCTCGTGTAGCTCAAATTTTCAATCCGACAACCCAAAAATGTCTTAAAAAGTATCTTTCACGAAGTAAATCATTTGTCAATATTCACTCATTCGCGCGTTCTATGCTAATTCGTACGTCCTCGTAGGGCCTTCGTTCGGCGGCAGCTCAACTCGGCTCATGCCATCCATTTCTGAATGAGCTGGTGTCGTTATTTTCGCCGGTGTCATTGGTGTGGCGTCTTTCTCAACATATGGCGTGTATTCGACACCGTCATTCCCGGCTTGGCTTTTCCTCCTTCGAAGAAAGAAAAATATGGCCGCTGCGATAATTGCGATTGCTGCTACTCCTCCAACTACACCTCCTACTATCGCGCCTGTGTGAGAGCCGCTACTACTCGAATCGGAAGACGGTGATTGTGTTTGCGATGGTGTCGAAGTCGGCGACGCTGTACTAGATGAGGACGAACTCGGGGACGGTGTAACTATACGCAAAACAGCAATTTTTAGTCCAACCCACACCCACAAATTTCCCAATTCTTCCCACATACCTTGATCAATGACCGCAAAGGGCGACGCGCCATCCGGCAGCTTCGCACCAGATTTAATGCACCCATCGGAACCACTCATATCATACCCAACCTGGCCCTGTTCGCAGCAGAAATATCCTCCATTGTCGTACATGATCCATGACGAGTTCGCGCAATGCGGTTTCGTGACAAGCGCCGATGTGCAGTTCTTGCCCGACGGGCAGCACGCGACGTTATACTGACTCGGACATTCCGTCGACGACGGACAGCAGGCGTGAAAGTCCCCCGCTGTCTTACCGCAGTCGACTTCTTTCGTAATAAGACATGTATTTTCACGGCGAATAGCCCAGCCCGCATTATATATAGTAGTATCCGACATCTCTCGAGCGTTTCGTTTCGTTTCGTTGCGTCGCGATATTTCAACGTGAAGTAGCGAAGCGGAGTATACGAGAAGAAGTCGGGGATGATCCTTTCTAGCAGGAAATAATTATCTAATATCCTTACCTAGACAAACTCGAACCACATTAGCTGTTTAGACCGTGGGCTATGTGAGAATTAATATGTGCCAATCCTATCTGTATCCGGTGACACTAATAGGAACCCCAGGCATTGGCTTTCTATACGGTAGGACTTTAGGCCAATCATTTTGAGGTCCCTTTTCAGCTCGAATGGATACTTATTTCACAAGCCAGTTATGGGGAAGTGAGAAGTACTACTAGAATTAGATCCGCTATCTTGGCGATCACAGGGGTAAGAAAAGGATACTAGACAGGGTAGTTATGTAACATGAGAATATACTTCAATTCGGCCTCAATGCATTAGTACCTACCTGGTATGAATGCAGCTCTAAATAGTTAAAGCCGTTTAAACATGTTGAATTTTCGTTTTGATAGATGAGTTAGAGTACAGCATAAGACGACAGGTCGAAAACCTACCTTGACATCATGATTGAACTTTTGGACAAGTCTGGGCTATTTTGAATAAGTTCATTCTCTAACGTTTCAGGAATGCTGAGACATTGACAAGTCCGGTAAGCGTAACATTCATTGAGGCATTTGATGCCGGTCTATATTCTTGGGATAATCTTCGCCTATACATACCACAACTAACCAGAACATCTGTGTATCGTGAAACGCCGCTGATCCAGTCTACCCATCTATGTATGCGACAAGATAGTAAGTCGATGCTATCCGCATCAGGCATTTTTGCCCGCGCCCTCTTCTTCCCAAAGTAATGCCCCCGCCTCTTTCAAGATATTGATACACTCCGTATTCCCCGTCTGTTCTGCGAGAAACAACGGCGTATTATTCGCGCGGTTCCGTGCATGTACGCTTGCCCCACGCACCAGCAGCTCTTTCAATACCTCCGAATTTGGACCGACAGCGGCTAGATGCGTAGCTGTGTTACCCATATAGTCGGCTTGTTGCAGGAGCGGCGTCTCCTCGTGTCCTAACTCCTCTTCTCCTAGAATCTCTATCATCGTCTTTAGATCACCAGCTGCTATCGCGTATCCCAGCGCCGCAAATGCCGCCTCCGCCGCGTTAAGACGCCCATAACCCGTCCCTGCTTGGTCGGAATTGCCGGCTATTGACGGAGGGTGCGAAAATGACGGTGTGGATAGTTCTGTCAGTTCTCCACGTAGGGATTTGCCCATACGTGCGGCGATTTCCGCAGGATTATCGCCGATTCCTGGCAGCGCGAGGAGGTACGAAAGCTTAGTCAAAGCAGCTTCAGAAGTGAGGTCGTGACCGAAAACGACGCCCGCTTTGCCGAGCGCGAATCCGGGGGCGTATAGTGGTGATACGGAGCCGCTGGTGCACTGGCTTACGTTGACCACGATGATACCGCGACGAACGCCCTCAGCGATAGCTTTGGTCAGACTGCCGTCTACACCTTCGGGCGCATTTCCCATGCCGAAAGTCTCAAGGACGAGGCCGCGCAGATGAGGCACACGGAGTACTGAGTCGACCATTTCGGGTTTGATACCGGGGAAGATGCGGACACAAGCCACGTGCGCAGTATCGAGATACGATACGGCGCGGAAGCGGGCGATTCGATTAGGACGGCGGACGAGGGACCATGCGACGTCAACGCCGAGACTAGTCACTTTGGCGAGGGGTGCCAGGTTGGGGCTGGCAAAGGCTTCGAAGGAGGAAGCGGATACCTTAGTAGTTCGGTTTCCGCGAAACAATGTGTGGTGGAAGAACAAACACACTTCGGGGATTACGAAGGTGCCTGCAATTATGAGAGATCCGAGCAAATTGTCCACTGCATCTGATTGAAGTGCGAATATGGACGCCTGGGATCCTGTTAAGATGACGGGTTTGCCTAGGTCTTCCTATGGAACTGTGAGTACTATATCGTTCAATTATGCGTCCCAAGGGTTACATCAACGTACCAACATGAAAGACAAGGCGGAAGCTGAGTAAGACAGGGAGTCGGTTCCATGGAGTACAACGAAGCCGTCGAATAGGTGGTAATTCTCCTTGATAGTGGTGGCGATCTGAGTCCAACCGAAACTGCTTATACTAGAAGAGTCGAGTAACGGTAAGAACTCAAGAGCACCATACCGAATATGTCTCGAATATGAACTGGGTGGCGTCCGTAAACTGTCGATAGTGACCTTAACGCCATCTTTAACTACACTCAACGGGACTACGCCGAGTTAGCTATCACACTTGGTGTTAGAGTGATTAGTCTCGCAGATTGATGAATCGCCAATACAAACTCGTAACTTGCATAGTCCCTCGTCTCGATACTATCATCGCAAAAGAGAATCTCACGTACCTTTTTCAGACATATCATTGAACGACGGCCTCGGCGCCATCGCATTATCCAAAAATCCATCAACCGGTACAAGGCCACTGGCCGATGGTTGCATACAGATCGTGCCTCCAGTAATGATGATAAGTACCCTTGATTCGGGGTACGTGGATTCGGCACTGCCGTTCACAACAGCTGTGAAGGCCCCCATTGCGAAGAACCTGTAGTTTAATAGAAGCTCACTTGATTCCTTGCTGTAGATGTATCACCCAGGTTTAACTACAAACACTAGGACTTATACACCCGCAAATGCAAGCGACCGAGGATGCGTTTGAATCGCGTTCCTTAGGCCATCAATAAACCGCTTATATCGAAACGGCGTCCAAACTATCAGTCGCACAGTAACAGCAGGACAATATCAATCAAACGATATTTCCCACAATCACATACAGACTTATAAGTCACTTCCCTCCCTAATCACCTAAACAACAAAATAAATCGTAATAATAACAGACAATAACGTAAAGCCCCAGAATCGGACCCCGAACCCAGCATCCGCCAGGCCGTTTTTACGTCAAAGAAAAGCCGAGAAGAAAAGTCTGTAAGTACCCAAGGCCTAAGATAGTAGGTAAGTTCGCTAGAACAAGGAACCCGACTCCACACGAATCTTGAACTAAAGTAAGAAAGTATATATACCTTTTAATAGTATACACTTAAAAAGATAAAAAAAAAAATACGAATTGAATCTTACTCGTATAGTTTGGTAGATAGAACCCATCTACCTGGTTGCTTACCTTGTTATCTGTTGCTCGTCTCGCGGCTTATCTCCCACGACCGGGTTCTAGATGAAAAGGAAAGGAAAAAGGTGAGCTAGATAGATAGGCGGCGGCATATAAAAGTCAAATAAACCTACAGCCCCCCTAAATTCCGATCCGACCCGATACGCCTACAGAAGCCGAGCCAATCAGTGCAAGGTCCGATGACGGAAGTACATGACAGCATTTAATAAGACTACGCCATCGTCTACGAATCTGAATATTGACCGAGTAACAATTCATTACTTATTCTTAAAACCTCTATTTGCAAATGCTTTATTCGTCGCTTTCTTGAACTTTGGATAGTATCCCTTCTTCGTAACCCCAACCATCCAAATATTAACCAGTCCAGCCGTTTAAAACTCCATCCGTCTTTCTTTGAGGGCGGATCTTCATTTTTGGTCATGCCATATCATAAGCCATCAACGTAAGTGGCTTCTCTATTTCGCTTCCACTGGCTTCGCTCGCTTTCTTTTTCGTGGAGATTATTAAAACCCCTCGTTCTCTACTTTATTCTGTCTCTGGCGCAACGTGTATCTGAGCCAGGCGTTGTTGCTACTTTTCGTAACGCTATCAACTACTATTGCTGAATTGGACTCTGATAACTCCTTTTTGCGGCTCTTTCGCGTATCAGTCTTGTACTTGTCTCTGCGTCGTACCCAATAATTTGTGTGAGATAACGAGCCCTACTTAAAATTAGTAACTACTGAGGCATTAGAATTTTATTAGGGCCACTCACTTCTCTGCATTCGCCTCCTTCTCCTTGAGGTTTTCGAAGCGCTGTTGGCAGTCCGCCCAAGCCAGCGTCCGCTTCTTAGGCGAGATAGACTTAACAGTATACCTGAATTGGCCCGTCACAGGTCGGTGATCTGACACCCGGACCTCGTGCCGCCGATATTCAAGCTGTTTTATCCTGCCAAAACCTCGGTGAAGGAGGCGATCACACCAGGCTGGCGAACGCTTCTTCTCGCTTGTATCGTAATTATCGGTTCCAACGTCGTACTTGTACGTGGGTGGGAACTCAATCTGCATCTCATCGAAAGCTCGGAGTTTGAAAGCTGGGTTTCTCCGGCGAGCCACTAGGAGTTGATCACGTTCGAGTAGCTTAGTTAGGTTGTTTTGCTTTACGGCGATCACTACTGTATCGCGCGACATAGTGTCGATACGGTAGTTTAGATCGCCGTTAAGTAGACATAACTCATGGTCAAGAACCATGGTGCCGTCACCACCTCCTGTATAACTATCGATTCGAACGCCTGGGTCCCGTTCTACAGGCAATAGAGAGCTTTCCATAATCGCTGCAATATCGTTGTGTCGCTGACTTGCCGATGATTGTCCCGCCGCAAGATGGCAATTGATGAAGCAAAGTGAACTATCATCAACCATAAACCGTACGAGGATAGCACCCTTGTTGCCATGTAAACCTCCCATTCCGCGTTTAATCTCAGCGGTACCAATATTTCGTATGCGATCGCGAAGAGTTGACTTCACAAATATGCAAGTGAAAAGGCCTACTAGAGTCGCTGTATGTAGTAGATGGTAAAGATGATCGGCAGGCATATAGTCGTCTAAACTCCTGACAAGGAAGTCCCTCCAATCTCGGTACTGGTGACTCATCTTCTCTTGATCTGAAGCATCTTTCTTCTTTGGTTTGAAGAACCGCTTTGCCGTTGCAGTTTTATCCTCTAAGTCAACCAATTCTTGAAATCCAAAAACAAGAATATCCGGGGAATCGCTTGACTGTAATAGATTTTGTATAAATATCGAATCGGATTCGGAATATCTCAGGCTGTTGGGTGTTGAGGCTCCTGCATTCCACGTCATTGCCATGACTTTGATATTCTCGAATTTGCAGTATTGGGTATCGAGGGACTTCATCTCATTTTCTAGGAAGTCATCTTGCAACAATCCATCCCAGGATTTAATTACATTGTCCGCGCCAAGGGAAATAACCTGGCAGCGATCAAGCTTGTAAAAGCTCGCTGGATCGGCGATAATCTTGATAACCGGGTTATTATGGGCTTGCCAGTCTTTCTTGATTATCCAGGGTGTTTCTGCGATGTCGTATACGCAAATCTTTCCAGTATTGAAGGCTGCCCATATGTGGCCTCCTACACCGGCTAAGGAATTAATTTTATACGAGCTAACATTTAGCACGCTAAGACATGTGAAGTCTTTCTGGGAATAAATGCTGACTTTGCCGTCGCTATGGCCGAAAAATACTTTGCCGGGTTGCGATTTGAGGAGGGTTCCGGACGTCACTTCGCCTGCCCCCTCCGAGACCAGGGGCCTCATAAGCACCTGTAGCTGGTTGTGACCACCAGTGGTGGGTGTGAAGATGCGTATTTCCTTGCCTGTCGCATGCCATAACTCTTCGCCAACTATCATTGAAAAAGTATGTCCTTTGGGCAGCCTGTAAGTCTGATGAGGATTGAGACCTAGGCTTGGCACCCCATCATCATCTGGTCCCCAGACATGTAAGGTTCCTCCTTCGTCTAGAGTCCACATCTCATTGAAATGCCTAAATATCTTGACAATTTCATATCGTCCGTGAGCATTGGTCTTGTTATCGGTTACGCTCTGAGTTGTAACGTCGGCCTCGATTATTTCACCAATATTGTTGCCGATCCAGAGCTTTGTACCTTCTTCGTGGAAATCCGCCGTCGGCTTGAACGCCACGGCAGTTGCCTTAATTCCCTCTCCATGAGCGAAACTCATGACAAGTTCCCCATCAAGTAGACTCCAGACTCGTGTAAGATGACCGCTCGTACACACGTACTGCCCACAAACATCAAATATCCTAGTGTCATATTTGGTATAGATTTCATGAGCACCTTGCTTAATGAAGGGTGGTCGGCGGTTTATCCTGGTTGAGTCGGGGAACTGTGATATAATCTCTAAATGACCCGCAGAATTTGAAACTGGGGAATTAGGACCGCGATCTGTATTACTTGGACCCGGTCTCCTTGCGGGCTCGTGAATATCAGCTGGTATCCTGTCAGAATTCTGGTCTACCGTCAAGGATCTTCCATGAGTGCGCGATGGAGGAGGAGCAAATTGTGTAGTTGGTGTAGAAGCTACACGTTTTGGTTGAGAGTATACGGGATTGTCTGTAGCTACAATATTAGTGGTCACAACAGGTCTCGGGGGTCGGGGCGGTGGCTTCATAGCCGAGCTCGCTGGAATCCGGACGGCTGCGGGATCTGTTATTGTTTGCGGTCGGTTTGGGAGGGCAGGCCGCTCTTCTATAGGCCGATGTGTTATAGGCGTTGTATTGCCTCCATTAATGTCGTGATCTCGCCGTATAGTTGCGACTGTATGGTGCTTAGGAGGAGGTTCAAAGTTCGTCGTTAACGTATTAGATCTCGGCACCGCCTTCGGGGGCGGAGGCCGTGCGGGTCGAGTTGGAAGTACTGGAGGCTCTTCATTCTCAGGACTTGTCGGGGGACTATTAAATGGCGACCGCTGTTCCGCAATCTGGGGTGACAATTCCAATTTGGGCGCGGTTTCTATTAATCTAGATAGTCGATTGGCTGGTTTCTCGGCGCGGTTCACGGGTGGGGGGATAGGCGGCGACGCCCTGACCTCGCGTTCTCTCCTTAACTCAGCAGACCTTCGCGGAGGGGGTGGTGATGGTGGTTGATTGGTAGCGCCGAGTCTGGGAGATCGACCGGGTTCAAGTATCGGAGTGTGGGGTCGGCTAGGGATTTTAAATGATCGAGGCGAGGAGACACCTGGAGTGTTGGGAGCTTTAGATGGGTCTGGAACAAGATGGGCACTCGTATCGCTCTGTAAGGGGAACGGTCTTGGTTTCGGTGGCGACTGAGGCGGCTCGATGAGGACGGAAGGAGGCTTGACAGGCCTAGGACTTAACGGCGAAACATTCGTAACTTGTGTAGAATGGTGACCTGAGGTATTCAGGGGCTTGGGCCTTCCATTCTCTGGTGGGATATTGACGCTTCGACTAGGCCTCGTGTCTGGGACTGGGGGAGGTTTCGGAGAGGGTGACTGGTTTCTCGTGGGCGGGGAATGTGAGGCCGTTGAAGGTGCTGAAGGTGCTGAACTATCTTTGGGTTTGTTCATGCTCTCGAAATGGGACCTCAGAGAGGACACCGGTCTCTACCATTCCAGTTAGTATATCCCATGGTATATAGCTATGGAAGGCGAGGGATAATCTTACTAGGGACGAGTCATCAGGCCCGTTTTGACCGCTTGACTCCATGGTGACGAGGGGTCGTCTCTATAAGCCTACAATATCTTGAACCCTCGTCCTCCCACGGCATAACTGAACGTGAACTAATCTTGCAGGGTCATCCAACAAAGCAATTCGGTAGCTCTTAAAAATGCTAGATGTTGAACCATAGAGATCTAAAGCTGTCGAATATTCGGTTGCAGTCGGTTCAGATCCAAAGAATATCTAATATGAATGAGCACGTGGCCGTTAAGACCCTGGGATTCCGGTTGGATAAGAATGGTGAAGCTGTCAGACCAAATTCTGTAAGTATCAATGGAGAGCCTCGGCTGCTGACCGTAGTCATGTTCTGGACTCCCTTTGTCTATTTATGATTTTAGTATCAACAACCAACTGCCTTTCCTTCTCAGAGTTGCAAGTTGCAAGTTGCAACACTGTCACCTACGCACGATGAGGCGCAGTCTCAGGAGAGGGCAGTATGCATATGGTCGACACGGTAAGTAATGTAGTAAGTTTCAATGTTGATTATTATTTGGCGGTCGGAGTTCTAGGTTTCGTTACGTATGAGTCCCTGGGTTATGGGGGAATAAACGAGTGTTTTTAATTTGGGTTCTTTGGAGTCGGTACCAAGCATGCGAAACCTCAAACCTTAGTCTGCTGGCACTTGTGCAGTGAGATTGCAGATCTTAGGTGCATAGTACGCTACATGTACTACATATGAATTATAATGTTTCCCGCCTGGGCTTTGCTGGGTCTGTGATGAGAGGGAAGTACATGAATGATACGTAGCTGCACTACGTAATTTTTTCCAATTTCAGGTCAGTCCCCGCCATGGTGGATACGACGGTACCTACATCTAAGTACCTCTGACTTGTACTCTGTAACTGGAGCACTTTAAAGTTCGAAATCCCGAGACTGGCGACACGCCCCGAAAACCCTGACGCCACTTGAAATACAATGAGCGCAGGTGCTGGCCCTGCGGCGTTAATCCATTGATACAAGGGAACGCAACTGCCACTGCACTGTTATCTTACGCTGCTAGCACCCGATTGCTGGGTACTTCTAGACAGCCCCCAACAAGCTTAGGCCTTGAACCCGTATAAGCAAGCTAGAATAGTGCTTGATTATAGAAGCTACCACGCCCCAAGTCAGAGGCTAAAAAAGTCGGCCATCGGTATCAGACACGCTAAAATAACGGGAATACTTGCAGGGTTGTATTCTTTTCCAATAATGATCTGATAGATCATAAAAGAACGTACCACTTTACAATTAGTATCCTAATCTTTTTAAACTTTTGAGATTTCCACGCCGACTTACTACCTATTCCTATTTTATCTTCTCTACACATCATTGCGAAAAGAGAGAGCCGTATCTGTGCACTCCATATTCAATTTCAACAATGAATACGGTGAGTTCCTAGCGAGAGTATATGATAGCTACCATATTGCGCAAAAAGCTAATGATCGTTACTCTTCCAGGTTAAGTCATTCTGGTAGGTGATTTGCGACGATGTGCTGTTCGATGGATCATATTACTGACAGGCAATTCCTTTGCGTAGGATGGGATGGGGTTCCCTCTGCCTTGGTATGCTCGCATTCAAGCTTACGGCATTGCGGGTTTTTACTTACAGATGATGTGTAGCTGGCGCAGGAGCATACTACTTCGCGAAGAAGAGCATCAACGCAGACCGAGCTGCGCGTCTCGAGGAAACCCGCCGAAAGAAGCAAATGATTGACTCCCTCGAATACTCCAACAACGTCCCTAGTCGACCCCTCTCTGCCTCCACGATGGGTGGCTCTGCGAACGGCAATGGTACACCTGCACGAACGGACACAGCTGGTTCACCGAGCCAAGAAGCAAGCAGTGATCCGGCCCCGACTCGACATGCTCCGGCTACCGAAGGACAACAAGTGGTAGAAAAGAGCAAATACGAAAGTAGCACACCGTTTAGGAGTCCAAAAGGAGATCGGTTTTCATAATCTCATGATTATGGGTCGTCGTGATAGCCGGGATAGAGCATGTACCTTTTGATGAAATCATTATGAGAATTTGATTTTTCTTTCCGTGTATACAATTTCTATATCGCAAGGCGAGGAGTCGACAATAATTAATAACACCACTCCTAAGAAATCTGCCGGTGTGCAGTTGATTTGACAACTCTGAATCTTGGAGATTTGTATGCGCCATATGTACATAATTATTGAGGACCCGTTGTATTTGAGCAGGTTTCGTACTCAGCCCATAGCAATTGGGGAAGTAGAGCATTTACCTCATAAATGGACGTGTTTGCTCTTGAGGGTTACCCTGATGCCGAATAACGGACTAAAAAGGGTAGGTCGAGAATTTAAAAGGGTCTTTTCAATGTCACCAGCGCAGATTTATGACGATCTTGTCTCGGATAAGAAAAGCTTGGGATTTTAGTACAGCAATGGATGTATTTAATCCGACACCCGATACAAATATACATAAATACGTAACGGCTCAAGTATCCGCTGTATCGCGTCAATAATCCACTTGTAGAAAGTGGGGCCGATTCTGCATGTTCGAGACAACCAATTAAGTTAATAGCCTTGCGCCTCTGCTGAGCTACTCAAGTTCCTTCCAGCTTCTTCCCTCAACAACTTCAACTTCGCAGTCACCGAGCTCGAGAGCATGCGCTCTACTTCTCATATACCCATCATATTCTAATCAAAATGGCAACTCCACAGCTAGCAATAGCTAGAGTTTCCTTTTCTGCCGTCCTTCTACGTCCAGATCCGACTTCATGCACGCGCAGCGAGATCGATGAGTTCCTTCAGCTACTCGACGCGACCATCTCGCGATGCTCCCCTCCCAATGTTCAGGTTTGAGCAACACAATCTTATGAAATTTGGTGTCTTGTGCGACGGCTAAACGGTCGTCACATAGAATTGCAAGCAGTGGATATTGAAGAACCTGGTCCAGTCCCCTGCTAGAATTACGGCCCTAGGAAAATACTTGACGGCATTGGCCAAGTCCTTCACCTTGGATCTCGCCGCCAGTAGACAAGCTCGCGAACCTTCTTCGAAACGAAAACGGCTACACATCCTCTACGTTCTTAACGATGTGCTCTACCACGTCCACGTTAGGAATCGGGATTCCAACCTTATAGAAAAGCTAGAACCAGCTATTCCAGACCTCGTTCGAATCGTCGCAGCGTTTCCGAATTCACCAAAGCACGCCAAAAAGGTCCTAGGTCTTGTAGACCTCTGGGGCGAAAAGCGATATTTTCACGTTGCCTTCGTTCAAAAACTTCGAACGGTCGTCAAGGAAGCGCCTGATTCGGTCACCAAATCCGATGCGACCGCCGACGGAGGCCAGCCCACGAAATCTTCAAAGGAAGCTCCCTTCATAATGCCAGCTATACATGGCGACGCAACCGTATCCTGGTACGACTTACCCGCGGCGAACTGGCTACCCGTCATCGAACCCAACTCTACAAGACCAATGAATCCGGACATGATCAAGCCTTTGCAGCTCACCCCAGGTCCTGCAGAAATTGATTTGATTAAGGCAGTACAAGACTTACTAGCTGATGTCGATCGCATCTACCGCAAAGACCAATGCGACGGCGCCGAAGACATCGACCAACTAGGGCAACGCGTCGTGCTTGACGAGATCACTGGAGATGTTATCAATGGAGAGACATATTACGGTTGGTCCCGCGCCTTCTGTGAGAAGATGAAGCAGCGTCGCAAGAAAGCTAGTACTCCCGGAAACGACCATCGCGGCCGAAGCACTTCGCGCTCACGATCGCCAGGCTCATCTCGTAGCTCATCGCGGCCAGCTTTTAAGCGACGACGGGTATCTACATCTCGAAGTCCAAGCCGAAGCAGGAGTCCGAGTCGCCGACGAAGTTATAGTAGAGAGCGACGCCGCAGGCGTTCATATAGTAGTTCAAGATCGTCCTCGCGTTCGCACTCTCGGGGAAGACGTTACGATACTTCGCCGAAACGAAGTCCTCTCCCACGGTCATACGACGCACCTCGCCCCGTCGGTTCCAACGGAAAGCAGCAACCAGGTTTCCCGCCTCTGCCACCACCGAATCCTCAGTATCAACCTCCCTTCCCACAATCGTTCCCTCAAATATCCCCGGAGCTCAACCAATACATGGTACCGCCTCCCCCTCCACCGCAGAACTACCAAGGCCAATGGCCGCCGCCACCGCCCCCAATGCCGCCAAATATGCCACTGAACTGGATTCAGAATATGGCCATGGGAGGAGGATGGCCAGTGAATCCACACCCACCCCCGCCGCCGCAACAACAACAGCACCAGCACGGTGGCTACCAGCAGTATGGAAGAGGTGGAAGGGGAGACTATCGAGGTCAGGGATATCGTGGAGGATGGGATCACCGGGGTCGTGGCTGGTGAGTTGACGGGGTTATGAGTGTGCAATACGACGATTCCAGCATAGAGAGGACGCCTAGTGTATTGCATATCTACCTAGGCAGGTAGCGAAACATGAGGGCATTGTGTGAGATAATACCAAAAAGCAAAATATTACATATCCAATTGCTCAAATATGGTTATAAACGCATTCTACTATCATCTAGAAGAGAAACTCCCCAATAGTAGCTGCGAATCGTCACAATAAATAGAACCCAATGTTTGAATATTGCTATCTTCACTCTCACTATCTAACAAGAGCCTTCAATAAATTCATCACACCAACCTCCCACCCTCACATACACACAAATCAGAACCCACCATCTAGTCCCCCATTATCACCATCACCACAACATCCATGCATTCACATAATATTTTTCTCTTTCCCATTCATTCAAAACCATCATCATCGTATCAAATCGTATCTCTCTTTATCTAAGCAAAACCCCTCAAAACACCTAAACCCCCAAGGTTCAAGGCTCAGGGTGGAGAAATTTTTGCTACTATGCTATCATCTATCTACGTTGCTATCTACTTAAGTTTAGGTGATTTGGTTTGTTAGTTAGGTATGAATTGGCTTTTCTTCTTCCCCTGAGCGTAGCAAAAGCTTCTTCTCTGTCCGGTATCTCACTTCCCATTCCATGGGCATGAAATGTTAAACAGGTCCGTCCGGCGGTTACATGTCGTTTGATGTGATGATGTCGTCGTCGTCGTGCCGTGTCCACGATTACTAGTTAGATCCTCATGCTCATGATGGCCGCCTCCTCTTCTTACCGGCCGCAAATAGCTAAAACCATTTCGTTCCCCTATTAAAAAGCCACCTAACGTTATGCGCCTTACTCACTAGGCGCAGCCCTGTTTTACCCTTTCCTCCGATTATTTTCCCTTTTCGCAAATACGTGCATTGAGATCATGAGCCAAGGCTGCATAGACCAATGCACAACTCACTGCAGATCTAAATCCACACTCCCTGGCTATTGTTGAAGTGGTTGGCTTGCTAAACTGACATATCTTCCGTGGAAGCCTCCGGTGCTGATATCACCTTGAACTTAGACATGGGGGGAGCCCACCCATTATCGCCGTGTGCCATTACCAATGAATTCTATCTCGTCGCAGTTGTTCAAAAGACATATGTTGTCCGTAGCGCTTGTTGGTCTTGAGGTTGTAATCGACCAACGAACTCATCAAACTGGGGAATTAATGAGCGATAGAGCTCGAGTGTCTAAAGATCTCATTAGCTTCTTTACTTTTAGTTGAATCGGTTTTAAAGGGTACTTACCTTCTGGAAATCCTCATGCAGGCCATTCTTAGTTTCGCTGCGTAATTTGAGGTCTCTATATCGAGCAATCGCGGTGAAGAAGTGCAACAGAGATTTTTCCATAGCCATGGGATTCTTCTCGACAATAGCGGTGAAGCCTCGGAATGCAGTTGCCTTCTCATCAGAAGGGTCAACTTCGTCCATGGAAGTGAGGAAATCATCGGCAAAGTTAGCCAGTTGCGGAGCCAACACTTCGCCGTTGCCAATTCCGAGACGTCCTAACGCAATTGCCGCATTCTCAGTGACCCCCTTAGGAATACCCGGGTTTGTGATGATCTCGATGAAACGTTGGAAAAGCTCGGGTACGTAGGGCGCCATATCACTCTTGTGCCGTATGGCTATCTCTCCTGCGGACCAGCAGGCATTGTTAACAACACCAAAACCACTCTCGATATCCTCGTCGACTATACTGTCCAGATCCAGTTGCCTTAGGAGCACAGGGAAAATGCTTGACAGGGACGATTGCAACTGCTCGAATACGTATTTCGCGCAGTCGCCAAGGAGCGCATAGGCCGATTGTCGTACCTCGTCTGTTGGATCTTCCATACAGAAGGTAAGGAGTTCGAAGAATGCTGGTTGAGACTCCTGGACAAGCTTAGAAGATTTGGCTGGGTCTAGTGCCTGAATGATAGCACTAAGAAGATCCAAGCTAGTAACTAGGAAATCCTTATCCGGAGCATCGAGGGACGGGTCATTTGCGACTGCAAGAGAGGCTTCCAAATTTTGGTGGATAATGTTAACACAGCGGACAAATATCGGCTGCGCGTAAGGAGTAAATGCGTCATTCAGGGCCATCGCAACGTACGACAGGCACTCTAATAAGGGGAAGAGTTCTCTGGACTGGTCAGAGACCTTAGTCCATCTCTCAATGAGAGCTGGCATTAACTCGTTAACGAGTTCGGGTCGAGCTAGAACCGGTCCTATATGCTCGGCAAGGGTCTGTACACAGTCGTAGAGGATATACATATTTCGGTCCTTGTACTTCTTGAAACATCGAACGTATTGTTGAATGATTGGAAGACTGTAGGGCTCTAGCTTTTTGCCAGCCTTCTCTTCAAGATTTGCAAACGCAGAAGCGCCCGCCTCCTGGACCTTCTTGTTGCTATCCAACATCTTTGTTAGAATGCCCTCCATCATCGGCTCGAAGTAAAGCTGCTTTTGGTTAGGATCCGATAGATCCGCAGCCCACGAAGAATATCGGCCCAGTGTCCAACAGGTGATCTGTCGGACTACGGGTTCGGGGTCGTTGAGAAGGGAGATCAAGTAAGGAACTAATTCGGGGAGGTGCGGCGTAACAACATTAATACACCCCTCTGCTACGGCACCCAATGCAAGTACCGCCGCCTCTCGATAAGGCCAATCGTTGTGCTTAATGTGTTTGGTGAGGTACGGCAGGATGGACTCAAAGACCGGGTCTCTGAAATCACGAGCGAAGACATCCAGAGCAGCTGCTGAACACTTCCGTAAAGTCCATCGTTCATCTGGGTTGGCATCGTCGCCATCCTCAAAGTCCTCAATCTCACCTTCCTCAAGGTCGTCGTCCATATTTGCCAACTTTTCGTACGCATTTCCGTTTTGTGCGGCATCCGCGGAGCCTTCTCCATTGGCTTGACGCGCCGCCGCCTTCTTCGCAAACTGAGGTTTAATGTCCTTCTCCAGATCTTCTTCGTCCTCATCATCAGATGCTCCACCCAAAAGAGCGATATCCTCGGCACTATATACCATGGACTCAAGAAGAACAGGAATAATCTTATTGATGTACGGCGTCAATGAATGCCAAAGGTGTTCATGTTCACCGACCGTAAGCCAGAACTCGGCTGCGTCGGTGGCCAAATCCTCATCGTCACTCTGTTGTTGCGTGATGATGTAATTGACAAGATCGGGCAGATGAGGCTGGATTTTATCCGGACGAGATTCAACAAGCTGAGCAAATGCTCTACATACTTGTCGTCGCACGTCGTTGTTGTTATCCGACGCTAGCGCAAACAAGTGTTGGAGCAGGTCGTCAATGTTGTTAAGCATGGCCTGGGATTTTCGAGCGGTGAAGACATTGATAGCAGCCAAGGCGTGAGCGCGGACCTTGGGCAACGAACTCTTAGTGGCTTGAATCAATTTCGGGAGAATGAAGTTCAGCGGTCGCTCTCCGTTCAGTTCGCGCTCCAACATCTTGGTGTTGTCTTCACAAATCTTGGCCATGGCTGCAACAGCACCTTCCTGCGCTTCGTTTGAGATCTGACCATTATCGTTACCAATCATCTTCAAGAGTTCTGGCAATAACTCGGGCCAGCTCATTATACCACCTCGTCGGATCATCTCAGTTGCGATAACTCCCGCATAGTTACGAATCTGAGAGTTCTTGTCCTGCAAACACATAGGAATTCCCATCTTGATCAATGCGACACTGCTCTCGGGAATCTGCTTGGTAGCTGTCTTGATATTGTTCTTCAACATAATCGCGGCAGAAGATCGCACAAGGAAGTAGTCTTCGGCTGTACATTGTAGGCCTGTCGGGGGGTCCTGGCTAGAGAATAGATATACGAGGTAGTTGTTGATATCAGGAGACGCCTTCGCTTGCGTGAGCATCTGGAAACAGAGAAGCTTTGGTTAGCTTGAGTCGACAGACAGAATTACTAAGCGGATACAATTATTGTTGCCGCCCATGATTTCGATACAGAAGTAATGAATTAACTTACAACTTCAGCTTGTTTTTGCGCAGCTTTATCAAAGCCGCTGAGAGAGTCCTTGAGACAAGCAGCGAGAGTGCTCAAGGACTCAGGCGATGGCTGCCACGCCATGATGGGCGGCAGGCAGGGTAAAGTCGAATTTCGATATGTGGGCGTTCGAAAGTCTTGACGTAGATCTAAGTGCGCTTTGAAGATGTTCTAGATCCCACAATAGTAAATGGTGAAGAACAAGAGGTGAAGGGAGAGAGGGAAGAAGTCAGGTGTTGATTGTCAGTAGCATCGGCTCTGGGGATATGGTGGGGTTCGTAAGTAGGGTGGTGGATGGTGGATAGGAAGAAAACCAACTAGCTTGGTGATATGAAAAATAAAAATAAAAAAATATGTAAGATGGGAAAAGTAATAAAAAATAATGGTTAAAAAAAAAAAGAAGTGCTAGCTCGAAGTAAGGCACACTCTTCTAATTTGTCAGTTGAATTTTTTTGGAGATCTTCTTTACTACTTCTTTTTTTTTCGCCTTCTTGTTAGTGATTGTCGCGACGTTACAAGAAAAACCCACGGCAAATGATCTCGTTGCGATCGACCTGGTTTCCTGCTGGTTTGTAGAGAAAGAAGGCCGTGACCCTTCCAGTCATAAGTCTACTGAGCCATGATTTGGAGGGCTAGGTGGGCTGGGCGGGCTAGAAGGGCTTGAATTCCTCTTTTTAGCAAAGTTCAATGGTGGGGTGTGGCACTTCTTACCTTCCCCCTAGCTCTTTTTAGAAGGGCGAAGCGTGGGTCCTTTTAGCACCCTAGTAGGTACTTAAGTACTTAAGTATTTCAAGTACCTATAGCATGTACAAGTCCGCGGGGCGTATAAGCGTTCAGGTACATCCCCTCTTTAGAGTCAAGTTTGTTCAGAATACTCAACAGCGACCTAAGAGCTTCCAAGGTTGAACTTTCAAACTTTCAGGTACTTGGTATCGATAAGCATATGTTGAGAACATCAAATTCAATGACTTCAATGATCTACCCCGTTCCATGTTTCTTTAAAAGTACGTAGACACATGTCCTTAAAACAACCAGATCTTGCAACATGCCAAAGGAATTGACTTTGTATGTACATTGTATTTAGAAGGAATTTGTTACTCCGTAACAAGTACATCTCGAAGTATCTAGATACTTACGCAGATATCTACAAGTACCTTAAATAGCTAGACCGATATGAGCACAGGAAAAATTCAAGCTTTCAAGTCACCACATCTCAGCCCTCAGAGACAATCAAGAACCCTTAGGTTGGTAAGCAATTTAAGAATAAGTTTTACATATATAAAGGATAAATGATTAATTACCTAGGTATATTAGATATAATACCGGCAAGCCTAAAAAAATTAGCTAACCCCTGACGATATTCAACAGTAAAGTCATCCGAACTTATTGTCCTCGTCCATATTCAGCATGTGAAAGCCATACTTAAGTCGCGGTCAAAAATCGTCCAATTCTTCGTGTACAGATAGTACTGTGCTGTTGTAAACAGCAAGACGCCAAGTCGGAGTAGAATACGAAGCATGAAATCAATAGCAATTGGTGAGGTGAAGTGCTACACGTAATAAACCTCTGTGGAACATGGTCTAATATCCGCGTGGTACTGAGTCAAACTACTTCTTCAAAAAATAGACAGTCTGAATACATAATGAAGGGTACGATCAATGGGGACAAGGTTATCCTGCATCTACAACGACACCATGCAGGAGCATAAGACGCTAGGTACATTGGCGAGATAAACGAACCGCCTTACGGGTGCCTGTCGCCTTTACCGGTCAAGATGAGATGGGTGGATGGTGGCAACAATTTGAGAGACATCATGACGAAGGAACTTGTTCTTCGCGTAGGACGACAGCCAGCAATACAATCCTATCATCTCCAACCTCCTGAAAAACTTGTAGGATAGCTTGGTTTCACGATAGGTGGCCCTGGCGCCACGGGATTTATATTTACTGCCAAGCGTGTGAGCGGATATGTATGTGGGTGGGTTGACGTTCCACGAAGATAGATCGATACGTGTTGTGACCAAGTGACGGAACGCCATAAGTTTGTTACGATTTATTCAAGCCACCTCGATGGCGGATGTTGTGTAACTCGGCGATCTGCACAGGAGATAAATTGTTCCGTCAGCTCTGAAAAAGGCATCTTGCTTGGACCCTGGATATCACGGCTCTCAGGGTGGTTGGGTCGCACGTGTGCTAAGAGGATTAAGGATTCATATGTATGCAGATACCCGCGCCGAGCTACCGATTTGACGCAGTTCAGCCACTGCCCTTGATAGATGGTGAGAGTACCTAAGTAGCAGACTCAAAATCCCATCTGACCACCCAGGTAACAGGTACTAAGCTACAGTAACCTCACTTCCATACATATGACTTGTATATCGCGATTCTGTTTCAACTCCTTTCTTGGTATTGAATATCCATTTCCGAGTTTCTTAGGAATCGTAGCGTATAATCCTACTAGATCAACAGATATCCAGGTCATATTCTGGCCAAGGGTCGCGAATTAAGCTTAACTCGTGCCCTTCCTCCTTCTACGCGCGTGGTGCGAATTAGTACCCTCTGTAACGAGGGGGCGCTGGAACAGTGGCTTGGTCTGGACTGCGCCGACTGAGCACAACGGTAGAGTTGATGTGCTGCGGAAAAGAGACGCAGCTCTGTTCATATGTACTTTAGTCCAAGATGTCGACGAGTTCCTTACGAGCTGCCTGTTCCATTTGGTAAGGCTCCTGGCGGCGACTTAATGACATCCTGAAGTTTGCTGAGCGTGACTTCGACAACCTTTTTGAAGGCTTCCATTTCCTCCTCTACTGTTCCACCCAGTCCAGTGTTTGCGAAGCTGATGGAATTTCCAACATACACAGGCATCTGTGTTTTCTTGGCTAATATTTTTGCCAGCCGAGTTGTCAACTCCAATGTATCTTCCCTGGAGTAAATTGTGGTGGAGAGTGGCTGGTCTGGGTTATATTTCTAGAATAGACATATTAGCTAGAAATAAACGGATTCTAAATAATAATCACTATACATACGTCAGGTAACGCATAAATGAAAGACCCCATTGAACAAGGCTGGTTCTCTTCATCAGCACTTCTTGTTGTGAGGAACAAGGTGATGTTTTTCGACTTGATAGTTAACCGTAAATGAATCTTGGTATCTAAGGATCGCGGTAGTGGGAATGAGAGCTGAATTGCTCCGTCGGTCTGTTGCTCCATCGTCGTTGATTTATGATGTGATGCCTCCAAATATTGTCCGTTTCTTTAAAGAGTGAACGATATGGGAGTAGACTTAAAGATGATTTAATAATCAAGATTAAGGTATATTTTTGAGATTATAGAATTGGTTGTAGGTTTTACGATACCTAATACTGTAGCATAAGAAGCATAAGATGCGCCACCCCACATTGAATTAGTTGGAGTAGGGGGAAGCTTTACCCTGTGCTAGGTGGTAGATACGTACCTAGGTACCCTATTTTACTGAAGGATAGCGGCGCTTCGGACAATCTCAACACTAAACCTTCAACTTTACATCTATCTGCCTTGGCACAACGGACCTTCAAGAGCTCGCTCTGCTTCTTGTTTGTTCTACGTTGTGTTTTCCTACGGATCATCGTAGATCTTCGGAGACACAAATAAGCCATCATGCAACTAGTATGAGTATTATTATTTTTGGCTTTTAGTAAGATGATGTGCTAGGGTGAATAGAGCCGTTTTTAAGTCTCTCATTCAACTTCTCTCTCTCGAATCCATATCACGCGTGGCGTGCCCCTCCGCCCGGAGATACCCATCCATCCTTATAAAGACTGGACCACAGTGGCCCCCACCGTTATCACAGGTTTGCTAACCTTGGGTTGGCGATTATCTAAGACTCTTGTTCATTTTCGACTCTCTTTCTTTCATTTACTTTCTTTTTGAAAAAGCCAACCCGCCGCGCCGCCGTCATGGAGCCGGCGCACAGGGCTTTTGGCGACGATTCCCAGTGGAGTGGTGTCGAAGATGCCATCGAGGATCCGGAAGAAATCAGAGTTATATTCTGCGCGCTCGATTCATTCAGGTTAGTACTGTTAACAAGGTTACTGCATCGTTGAGTTGAGCACATCTTGCGTCTGACGGGGAGGGGGCGCGATTTTGCTTCTTGTAGGCTTCATATACCTTTCCTAGTAGTTACCCACTCATCTGCACATAATTTCAACTCGTCACATATGCTGACGAATCCAACACAGCCAATATGCAAAAACGGCTCATCTAAATTGCACCCATTTGCGTAGACAGGCATTCTACGCCCTCCCTCAAGCACACTGGCAGTTGCTTGCTCAACCGCCATTTTCGTACTTGGATGTGCTGAATCGAATAGATGACGCCATTGAAAGTAATGCGGAACTGGCTCGCATTATTGTCAAGTTTGGCCTACGATCGTTTGGTGTAGTCGATGTGACTTCCGAGAAGGAACTTACTATGCCTGAAGAATGGTCCGGGATTGCTAAGTACAACGACCTGGACAAAGCTAGAAGCACCATTCGACAGTTCTATCGTGATTGGTCCGCTGAGGGCGCCGTTGAGCGCGATGCTTGCTACGGCCCTATATACAGTGCGCTTGATGCCGAGAGAGCCAAATACCCAGACAAGCAATCTGCAAAGGTGTTGGTACCTGGCGCTGGGCTAGGACGCTTGGTATTTGACCTGTGTCGAATGGGATATCACGCCGAAGGCAACGAGATTTCTTATCACCAACTCTTGGCTTCGTCGTACATTCTCAATTCTACTGAGACTGTTGGCCAGCACACCATATTCCCATGGATCCATTCCTTCTCTAATCACCAAAGCCGTGAAAATCAGTTCAAGTCTTATAAAATCCCCGATGTCCACCCGCAGTCTACGCTTGCCGAAACGCAAGGAATTGGTTCGATGCAAATGTGCGCCGCGGACTTCCTCTGTCTATATGGAGACGAGAGCCACAAGGACACATATGATGCAGTAGCCGCTGTATTTTTCCTTGACACGGCACCAAACCTGATCCGTTACCTTGAGGTTATCCGGAGCTGCCTGAAGCCTGGTGGCATTCTTATTAATGTTGGCCCACTTCTGTGGCACTGGGAGAACCATGTCCCTGGCCATCATGGCTATGATGGCGACGGGGATTATGATGAGAACAATTCTCTAGGTATTGCAGACCCAGGAAGTTTTGAACTCACGGATGACGAAGTCGTCGCATTGGTGGAGCGACTAGGCTTCACCGTGGAGAAGAGAGAATCGGGCATATATGCCCCTTATGTGCAGGATGCGCAGAGCATGCTGCAGACGGTATATAAAGCTAGCCATTGGATTGCGCGCAAGCCTATCTAAATTATTGAGTCTGAGGTTTGAGCTAGGATATAGGCTTCACCCACAGCATTTCGAGAGCATTGCATCCTGGAGTCGTGGCTTGATTTTGCGGATACCATTTGCATGGGTACTATGCGCAGGAAATTCACGATGCAACGTCCACTTTCTACACACCTACTCATATAGCATTGTAGACTTGTTTCTACCTTAGATGAATATATGATGAATGAGAACGTATTGGCATGACATTTAATAACGGATACAAAATCTCGTTTGCTTGCTTCCATTAGGTACTTTACAATCTCTCGCCCCTTATCACGATGACATTGAGTAACCAGCTTCATGACGGCGCGAATTGATAGGACAAGAACTTACAAAATAAACCTGATTAAATTTAAGTATCTGCACTATTAATGACAAGTAATTAACAGTGCAAATTTTAAAATTTAATCAAGTTTATTTCATAAGTTCTTGTCCTATCAATCGGTGCTGTCATGGAGCTGGTTACTCACCTACAGTAACCTAGGTAGGTATAGGTATATCATAACTTGGATTCAGGCTCCGGCTCTAGGAAACCACCTCTTTTCCACAGCGCACCGCCGTCAATCTCTATAGCCGCGCCATTAACATGCGAACCTGCCCGGCTAGACAAATAGACCACCACACCCGCGATATCCTCCGGCTTTCCTAACCGTCCCATCGGGTTCCCAGCAGCGTGCTTCGCAATACCGCCTGTCATCTCCAACAACCCATTCGCCATCTTCGTAGGGAAGAAACCTGGGCAGATGGAATTAACGAGTATATGTCGCGGCGCAAGCTCAATAGCTAGATTACGGCCTAAATGGATCGCAGCTGCTTTACTCGCGCTGTATCCATAAGTAGCCTGGGGACCCAAACTCCCGACTCCTAGACCAGCTGTACTCGCTGTGATGATAACGCGCGAGGGGTCGTCGATTGTAGCTTTTTTACTAAGGAGAGGAGCGAATTTTTGTACGCTGAGGAATACGCTTTTCACGTTTAAGTCCATGACTTTCTGGAACGCGGCGTCGGGGTGTGTGTCGAAGGCTTCACCCCATGTAGCGCCCGCATTCGCGAATAAGATGTCTATGTGGTCGACATGTTTCGATACTTGCGAGACGAGGGACTCGATACCGGCTAGTGTGCTGCTGTCTGCTGGGACGGAGATCGCGCGGGCGCCTGGTTGGAGGTTGGGCAGGGCGTTGAGTTGTGCGACCGCGCGGTCGCAGCCCGCGGCTTTGCGCGAGGTTATGAAGACTTTAGAACATCCGGCTTGGAGGAAACTGTGCGTTTTAAGGCGGGGTTGGTTAGTATGGTGGTACAAGATTGGATGGTTGGCTTGTAATATGATATACGGGAATACTTACGCCGAAGCTGCATTCAAACCCAATCCTCGCGAGCCACCTGTTACGACGGCAATCTTACCCTTCAAGGAGAAGAGCGAGGGGAAGTCCGTAAGAGCTGTTTCGTCGGCCATTGTGATACTTCCCGTGTATTTTTCTTTGTATATATGCGACGAAATAAATTGTTAATTAAAGGTATAAAGATCAGTCACAAAATCCAACCGAAAGCTCCAGGGTAAATCGATGTAAATGGTTCTGAGTTCGATCGAGGTCTGGAGACGGAGGAATGTCTTTGTATACTCGGTACATACAGAACTATCGATAATGACGACCGAGGACAACGGACTTGCCGAGGTTCAATGCCACCCCCAGCTCCAATGATGACATAATCAAATGAGACATGGTCCCGTCCCCCAACTCCGATCCGACTGGAAGCTGGCTGATTACCTAGGTACTACTAAGATAGTAAGGGCCTAGTTTCCGTGGGTTATTAGCGAGTCCTGATATCCTATTGTTCCTTTCTCATGAGTGTAGATATTTGGTAGCTATTCAGGTAGCCGTAATAGAAAGAAGAAGAGGAATCGACGTTCAAATAAGAGGACAACACGATCGTCTTCTTTATCTAACTAGGTAGTTATTTCCGAATTGTCTCAGATTTATGTCTGAGGCCGATGCGATAGGGTTAGTCTCTCTATTCATCGTCATATGTGAGGTTGTCACCCATTGTCGCATCTGCATCTGCATCTTCTTCCTCTTCTTCGCCCTGTTCCTGCTCGGCCTCATCCTCTTCACCTTCACCGTACTCCTCTATGTCTTCGTCGATATCAGAGAAGCCGTCATAATCTTCCATACCACCATCTCCATCTCCATCTCCGTCCTCGTCCCCGTCTTCATCCCCCTCTCCATCATCATCTTCATCTACTTCTATGTCTACGTCATCTAGATTGCAGTCTAGCATATCGACCTCCCAGTCGTTCTCTTCTAAGGCTGCTTCTTCATCGTCGCCTGGTACGTCATCATCATTGCCTGGTATACTTTCGGACTCTAAATTGTCCGGCGCTTCGCCTCCTTGGCTTGATGGGGCATCCGCTGTAACAGATTCGAATTTCTTGGTCGGTGCTCGACGTTTGCGCATTCTCGTATCGACCTCTTCGATTGGCCGTAACAACGGCTCAAGCGTTAAACCAAGTGGTTTGTCACCCTTATCAGGCCATTGCCGGAGTTTTTCTTCGAGGAATGAGTTGTATAAAAACCCTGGCTTCTGCGGATTATCATCGTCCGAGCCCATTCGTCCCCGTTTAATAGCAATCATCTTCACCTTCATCGCTATCTTGACTTTCGCCCATGTGCCACTGTAAAACCAGCCAGAATCATCCGGGTCGCAAGTTTTCCTCATAGGCGCCTGGTTGAGGAGCTTGCGTACAAAAGGGTCTGTTATGTCGCAAACTTGCCAGAACTTCCCGTCCGTTGAATAGCGTTTCCCGTCCCAAAAGTGACTGTCTCTATTTTCTTTTGCTTGTTTCTTCATTTGACTCTTCCTAACCGCCTGCCACGACGTTTTGTTTGTACCGACTATATTTCTCTCTAGCTTGAAGGCTAAAGTCTGGTAGTCCCGAAATTTAGGATCACGACGAGGATCGACGCCATATTTGACGAAAGCATCTCGCCAAGGGCCGCCTCTGAATTGATAACCGACGATCTGAAGGCTGATTCGAAGGACCGTGTCGGAGTACCTACCCGTCACACGATTAAGAATGGCCCGTCGTGTCCATATTGGTCTTTCTTCCATTAATTCATGGAGTTGACTCATTAACTCTTCCGGCATTTGTGTTTCCGGTTCCCGTCGAGGCTTCTGAGGCACAGGGTATTTGCTATTGTTAATGAAATATCCGTACGAATGTTTTTTCCTGCCTTGGATATTGATTAATTGCCGCGCCCCTGTCATATGCTCTTCTATCTTGGTGTTTGGATTCTGTTCATAGTTGTAACTAAATCCAACAACTTTGTCTGTGAAGTGCGGCGGAGGTATTATCTCCTGGCCAGGCTCCGTCGCTACACCAGAGGCCAGCTTGAGATCTCTCAATTTTGAAACTAGTAAATATTACACATGTTAGCAAAACAGCAATATTTGACGTTGAATTGATGCGATATATTGATTTTTTTTCTTTCGTACCTTTCATTGGAAGCAAATGATCCGCAGCTTTCGCTAAGAATGATCCATGCGCGTTCGCGAATTGGAAATCTGCCAAACCTCGGTATCTATGGGTATCCTGAACGTTTCCGACGGCTTCTACTTGATAATTGTCGGCGTTGTCTTGCATTTTCCGAAGGATAGATTTTGGCGTATCATGACGGCTTACGGAGCTCACTTGATCAGCTTCCGAGGAGACAGATGTCCGATCCGTGATGTCAACGTCGCCTGTGAATGGGTCATTACTCCCTCGCTTCCGCTTCCTGTCCGTTCTTTTAGGGACGGTGATCTTGAGTAGAATGTTGTTTGTTGCTGTATGATGTGATACAATAGGTTTGGATGTAGGATTATCTGGCCGAAACCACAAGGGGACTGAACTAGGCTCTGATGTATCCGCAAGGAGCTAAAATAATAGTTAGTCATATATCCTGATCATGATATCTACAATCACGATAAGAGCACCTACTTTATGGAAGTCAGGATCTTGTCCGAATGTGGCGAGTCCCTTGTCGAGATTGAGTAAGACGCAAGGGTGTTCTATAGCGACTATTTTCCTTTGGGGCACCTCGTATATGGGAGCACCTGCTGGCTCGTCGGCATCATCTGAACTATCATGTTGGTATGAATCGTCTTCGACTTCCATGATAATAGTCGATTACGGGTGTACTTCAGCAGGGTATTTTTATTAGTGCGAGTAAGAGGCATTTAAAGGAGAGTCGGCTCCCTATTTAGAATCTAGTAATGTTTGCGTTGCTTCTTTAGATGTGAGAAGGGTTGCGATATTCGTGCGACCGCTTTGTTCACTTTTGGGGGCCGAGAGAGAATCGAACGAATACAACGTATATCGCTAGATGTGATATTTTTCTTGCTGGTCTAGATTATTCCTTATATTTGATTCTCGGATGAAGCTGTTGTACAGTAGTCGAGGGTTTGCTATCTCGATCGTGGATTGATTCGTGACTTGATCATGAAATCCGTGTAAATCCGATCCTCATGATGAGTTAAGTGGTACTCGTAACTTCTTTTTACGTTTGGAGAATATCTATCTAAGGCGACGGCTATCGCAACTTCGGTGTTCGATAATTTGTTGAAGCAGTAATATCTTTAGAGTTAGGATTGAAGGAAGTAGTATTGATACAGTGTGGATACGGTATAAGCTGGGATGAGGTAGTGAAAATTCAGCCTATGAGCGGGACCCAATTAAGTACTGCACGAGTAAAGTTACCAATCAACACGGTAGTCATCTGAAATTTTAAACTGTATAGGTCATCGCTTCCGAGAGTTGTAATTTCCCCACCAAAGTACCTCATAATAATCTGCGGCACTTGCTATGGATGTTGTTAACGTTACTTACCCAATTTACCAATTTTTAACAGAATAGATTAGAATGTCTACTTCTTTAATACAACTCCATATTGAATGGTTTTTAATGGTTACCGTGTCCATTTACTGCCTAGAATCATATAATATTGACCTGCAAACGTATGTTGAAATCTGTAAATACAAGCTGCATATCTACGTACCCAAGTACTCTATTTATGGGACTTGGCCAAACCCTGTAGCGTGGAGCCTATGTACATGTACGTAGCTCACGAGACATCCATGAGCACACTATACCCCACTCACTAGCTTCTGATTCGACGTGGCTCCGCACTACCAGAGCGACTGGCATGTTTAAGTCAATTATGCGATTATATCACACAAAGGAGTGACTTGATCCCTGCACAAAACGCATAGAAAATGCATAATACACACGTCCCGCAGGCACAAGAGCGACCTGCATAGTCCCAACCGCCAAAGTACTTGATTCAACGGTCAACGGCCACAAAGCTTAACCATAACCACTGAATTAACAACTTCGCGATGCTACCCGAAAAGAGAAAGTAATATTTTAATTGGATTTACTTTTTTCTGTGCCTGCGACGGTAGCCTGGTTGTTATCTGGCATTGTTTATGATATCAATTCGTTGCTGGGGTGCCCGTTCCGTACCGTCGCTTCCTGCCGTGCAGGTATGTACAAGATACAAAATAGAAAATAGAAGGCGCTGATGTACTTCTAATTGGTCGGACTTGTGGCTACGTACCTACATTGGGTGTACATATGCCGTCTCCTTGGCCCTGGAAGATCACCGGAGTCCCTAATCAAGCCCCTAAAAGCACCTAACCAGCTAATCTTTTAGAATCTCAGGCGGACTACCAGACTATTTACAGCAATTAACAGGCGCTTTTCTCCACTTCCACAACGACAACTCAAACTTGGTATCCTGAACCCATTTCAACATCGATCATTCATTCGTCTTTCTCAAGCTAAGAGGCTCAATTTGAGCTGTCTTGTTGCACGAGATATTGCTACCAATGCTTTTCTTGTAAGCGTTGCTATACTTTTACCTATCTACCGTATGCGACAACCCGAAGCCGCAAGAACAGTCTATTTCGTCACGCCCAAACTTGCGTGAATCTTCCCTCGCCCCAAACAGACGGTGAATTCACAACATAATTTTTACCCTACTGGACCACGAAATCTCGACCTCGATACCAACTTATAACTATACACATTGAGGCTTATCGAATTATCACGAAGCGACGCGTTTATCGGTACTAGTCGAAAGACTATTGACCTCGGACCTCTTATACAATTTCTTAAGGAGACGAGAGTCGGGCGTCCCCACCCCGCCATAAGTAGGGGGCTGTGACCTACGAAAATGAAGCGCTTCAGCCGAGCCGTATGTTTGTCCTGTTATTGCCCTGTTGTTTATGATCGGATATCACTACTGTAGAAGTTGGGTTGCTAATCAATAAAATATTCTATAGCTCTCGCGAGGTAAGAGTGACAGCAAGTCCTCTAAGAAGAATAAGGACTCCAAGGATGGCACTGCTTCACCCTCCTCTAGTGGCTCGAGAGAGACCCAGTCGCCTGTATTGACTCCCTCTTCATCAACCTCGACCCTAAACGATATCAGAAACAAGCCTCTACCCCCCAGCAATGCTGGAACACACGGTGGTGATCATGGTAGTCCTGCTTTGCAGGGCCAGGCTGGTCAAGCGTCAGGCCAAGGTGCTCCCGACAGATTTACTAGTTTGGCATCTCAGCAGTCGCCAAATGGTGCCGCTACTCCTTCTCGACATGGCGGCACCCTCCCGCCAACTGTGGTCATTAGCCCAAGTGCTCCAGTATGCTATCCCTTACCTTTAGTTGCCGGGAAACCAGCTAATTCTAATTTTCTATAGCATATCCCGCCCCCTGGTGCTGCCGAGACTATGCCCCACGACCTTGCTCCCCCTAAAGCCGGCCAGAAGTCGATAATGTTCGATCGCCTCCACCAGACGCCGAAAGATGTCCCCGAAGGCCTTCGAACACCCCGAAGACAGAACTCTTCACGATTCGACATATCGACACATCGTGAACTTGAGAAGTTACCCGGCTTCCACGAGGTACCACCTAATCGACGACAGGAGTTATTCATGCAGAAGATCGACCAGTGCAATGTCATCTTTGACTTTAATGATGCTAGTGCTGACATGAAATCGAAGGAGATCAAGCGTCTGGCCCTGCATGAATTGCTTGATTATGTAGCCAATAACCGACAGGTCATTACAGAACCTATGTACCCTCGAGTAGTGGAAATGTTCGCCAAGAATCTTTTCCGCCCAATTCCTCCGCCTATGAACCCTCAAGGAGAAGCATTTGATCCCGAGGAGGACGAGCCTGTCCTCGAAGTGGCTTGGCCCCATATCCAGGTTGTCTACGAATTCTTTTTGCGATTTATAGAAAGCCAGGACTTTAACACGAACATAGCTAAAGCTTACATCGACCATAGCTTTGTGCTGCAGCTCCTAGAGCTGTTCGACTCGGAAGACCCGCGTGAGAGAGACTTTCTCAAGACGACATTGCACCGTATCTATGGGAAGTTCCTGAACTTACGTTCGTTTATTAGACGTTCGATCAATAATGTCTTCTTTCAGTTTACTTACGAGACCGAGAGGTTCAATGGTGTTGCTGAGCTTCTTGAAATCCTGGGATCCATTATCAATGGATTTGCCCTGCCCCTCAAGGAAGAGCATAAGCTCTTCTTGACTAGAGTGTTACTGCCTCTCCACAAAGTCAAGAGTCTTAGCATGTACCACCCACAACTAGCTTACTGTATCGTCCAATTTCTTGAAAAGGACGCCTCCTTGACCGAGGAGGTCGTTTTAGGCCTTCTGCGTTATTGGCCTAAAGTCAACAGCACCAAGGAAGTCATGTACCTCAACGAGGTTGAAGATATTTTCGAAGTAATGGACCCTGCAGAATTTGCAAAGGTTCAGGAGCCTTTGTTCCACCAATTAGCGAAGTCGGTCGCGAGTCCACATTTCCAGGTCGCGGAACGTGCGTTGTATTTCTGGAACAACGAGTATTTCTGTAATCTTGTGAGCGACAACGTGGAAATCATCCTTCCCATCATGTTTGCGCCGCTATACGAGAACTCTAAGGGACATTGGAATAGGTAAGCCACATACAGCAAATAATGTGTTTTCAGAGTTAACAAATTGGTTATAGGACAATTCATGGTATGGTGTATAATGCGATGAAGCTTTTCATGGAGATTAACCCGCAGCTCTTCGATGATTGCTCACACGAATATACGGAGCAGCAAAATAATGCTGCCGCGAGAGAAGCACTCCGTGAGAGGAAGTGGGCCGCTATCACAGAGCAAGCTAATAAAAGGAAATCAAATGGTACTACTGGAAATGGTACCCCAGCCGCGAAGCCGTTGAACATATTACCACGAGTTGAAGAGGCCGATTCGGTTACCGAGGATAACCAGAAAAGGTTGGATTCGCTTAAGTTGCAGGATGCCGACCGAGGGAATCGCCGTCCGAACGCTCACGAACGACAAAATTCAGTGGGTTCTGCTAGAAGCCGGTGATTTTTGGCTCTGCTTCTGCTTGCTCCACGGGCCTTTCGCATGAAAGGTATCCCGATGATCGCCTTCTCATAATAGACCTCAAAGGCGATGGTGGCCTGGTTTACACAAACCCAAAATTTCTGATTCAATTCGCATTACCATACTTTTCTTTTCAGCAACCATAACCTTTCAGCTCGACTACTACAACACTCGATTTTAGCCATGCCCTTTTGCGTGAAAGAATTCAATTCTAATCGCGATTGACTGAAGCGGATCAAATATTTCTGCTTATGCCCAGATGGTACCATGGCTGGTCAATAAGGTAGTTAAGGTCCCGCTGGGGGTTACTTTCATTTCCAGTACATAATTGATGGCTCTATATGCCACTCAAACTCGCCTGGCATCTACCGCACGGCATTTATTGTTCGATGGTAGTCTTTGTCACTCTCTTATGAGGTCAAACTAGCTTACGAACATGATGTCTCAACAAAATGGTAGTGGCTGTAAAGGGAACACATTTGGAGACAAGGAAAAGGAGGATGTCCATCTTTAAGATGTGTGTGTCTGTTGACGAAGGGAGGGCTGGATTAGTTGCTAGAAAGATGGAAAGAAAAAGCCAATTCGAGGAGCAAAAAATGTGTTTTTTTTAGCTCCCTCAAATGTATGGGGTTTTTTCTTGGTGTCGATTGTCAGTCAGCCAGGGAGGACCGATGAGAGTCAGAAAGTTAATTCTTGTGTTGACTCCCTTTTTTTGTGTGGCGTCTAGAGGAGGGAAATTCCAGGGCAATGAGACGACACGGCTTTTTACTTTGCAAACGATAATGCAATCTTGATAGACCTTGCTCTTATATGTCGGTGCTTTGAAAAGTGTTGCGTGTACTAATAACAGAATCCGGGTTTGTCGTTGAGTGAAAATGGTAGGTAGGGGTGATTAGTATAGGATATAGTATCATGAGTGTTGCCAATATGCTGATGTAAAAGTGGATTTGTTATGGTCAAAGCAGCTGAGAAGTAGAGTTGTCTAGTAGCTACACTATGTATCATTTCTTAGGAATTATAGAAGAGAAAAATAGGAAATAGTCATGAGTTTATTCTAATCTACTTGCAAATTATCTCAAAGTGAAATTAATAGATATATTGGCCGGTAATAGGATATTTCATAAATATTCTAAATAATTCACCAATAAGTAACAAGTAATTCATGATAATATTTTACTTTCTTCGTTTTAAACAAGCGAGGCTTGCCGCGTACGGCTAGTTGTATGGTTAGTGAGTTGATATGTACATTCCTTTTCTTTTTCTATATCGTATTTCACATCACTACTCTTCTACAAACCCCAAAGCTTGCCCCATCTTAACCTTCTGTCCCTTCTCAACAGCCCACGCAAAGCCTCCCTTGGCCCCAGGGTTCTCAGCTACAGGTGCTTCAAAAACAAGCACAATCGTGCTTCCTAGCTTGAAACCGCCCATTTCATCTCCACGCCGCAACGCATGGCCACCTAGGACCTGGCTTGCGGCACCGTATGTGGCCTCCGCGAAGCCGGCGTATGGCTCGCCACGGGCTGCCGCCTCTTCGGCTGCACGATCGGCCGCGGTGTCGGTTAACAGGGAGTTAGTGCGTAATTCGCGATCGAAATTGACCATGATGGATCCAACATTCGTTGCGCCGACGGGCACAAAACTGAAGAAACCCCAACGCCAGCGTCCTAGAAGAACGACTCGTTCGTTGAGTGTAAACAAGCCTGGGAGCGTGCGTTGGAGGTAGGGGGAGACTGAATACAATTCCCCTGCGAAATGTCGCCGCCTTTCGACGACCCAGTTAGCGGGAGAGTGAAATCGGTGGTAGTCGCCGGGTGCGAGGTATACAACGGCGTAGTAGAGCGCTGTGCGATTGCCCGGCGACAACAGGTCGTACCACGGTTTTTCGCCGAGGGCAAGATCCGCACGAACTTCGGAGACAGCGCCGGGGCTTGAAGGCCTGGCAGCCTGGTCTTCAAGTTTCTTGGGCTTGTCGTGGCTATCGGGGCCTGAGAGGAGGTTGGGTAGCGTATATGAAATTCCGTTGACACGTGCAAACTCCTCATCCGAGGAAACTAGCTCTTCGTCACCGCGTGTGGGCGTCGGTTTAGGCGATTGGTCAATTACATCGGGCTTTTTGTCTGATAGGCTGGATGTAGGTGTATTTTTTCCTAGAAGCGCATCGATCGTATATGTCATGCCTTTGACTTGTTCGATATCGTTTCCTTCAATCTTCCCGAATTGCAGCACACGTCCATCAGCGGGGGACAATAATGCGTTCGGGTTCGGGTCTAATGGTCGAACACCGGGTTTTAGCGTCCGGTAGAAGAAAGCCGAAAGATTTGGATATACGTGCAAGTCCGGCTCCGATACTTCATCCAAATTCACCCCAAAGATCAATGAGTAGAGCTTAAAGCCTGGGATCCGGAGATAATATGGAATAGTGAGTTCGTTAAACTTCCCCCATAACCTCGACATAGCCTTTAGTGGTAGTGTCGACATTACTTGAACTTGCCTATCGAGAACGAGTCAATCATAATTGTTGTAATAAATTCGTTTTATTTTCACCAATTGCATACCATGGTCCGTCGGGCCGTATCCGTGCCCGTTTCTTGGGTCGAGGGCCATCGCCATCAGCCTCCCTCTCTAGCCTCTCTTTCTCGCGAGCTTGTGTCTTATAAAACTGCACAAAGCCGAGAAATCCAATACCTAATCCGACGGGTATAGGATACCATCGTATTTTTGTGTCTTTAAGCGCAGTCCGCAATCTTGACCCGAAGCGTTCCTTATACTGGTATTTTTGCGACGATCGATGGAAAGAGAGTCTCGGCGTAGAGGTGAACTGCCTGCTCGACTGCTGTGTCGTAGCTTCGAAGGAGTGTCGGAGTCTACATGGCGATAGTAGTGGGCGTTTCAATACAGACATATGGCCTCGGACCGGCGCCGAACACAGACTTGCCATTGACATGTCTTATGGCCTCGGAAAGATATTCTAGAATAGTCCCATTTAAGTCTCGGATATTTGAAGCACACGCTAGATGGTTTAGTCCTATGTGGGGGTATATAAAAAGTAGGAGAAACGATATATTAGATACGATGACATTCGAATGATAGCGGATAACTGTAAACTGGGAAGAGGGGAAACGAGTATTCTTCCAACTGGAGAATTCTAGTAGTTTGAATTCAAGAGTTGGAAAGGTTTAAAGTCTTGATCGGCCCAGGCTAGTACGGCCAGTTTCGAAGACCCTCAATGACGCAGGGCTTAGTGGAGCTAAACAACATTGAAGCTATCCCTTTTCAGCTTAAGTGATAAGGGCGGTGGGAGATGGCAGATTCTAGCGTAGATACTTCTATGGATCCTTGACTCTGGGAAAGGGGTACGTACCTAGGTATCTAAGCCAGCTAGCATGAATCTAGCAATATCGATAGGCGACGGGCAACGTGGACGTTAGGAAGTTGCTATCCCGTTTTTAGTGCCAACATGCAAAATTAAAACCCCATAAACTCCACCAAAAAAAGGCCAAAAGGTAGCTGCTAGAACGCCGTGGTTGAACATTTACGTAAGCAAATGACATGACAACTTGCATCGATACTTCCATCTGTGTAATGATTGTATGTAAACGGGCTGACGACGAGCAAGAGCGAATGTAAACGCCCTTTCCTTCCCTTTAGTTAACTCTTGTTTTCTTCCGAAAGTTCTTTTATTAGGAACTTTCTTAAGTTCCGATTAATTTAATTCAATCCTTTACACTCAACACCCTCCTTATACCACCATCTCCGTACTTTACAGTACATTAACAAGCTACGTGTCTCTTGCGGGAAATCTTCACTCTTGCCTGACATGCTTCCCACCATCACTTGACTACCAAACCTTAGCAGGTAGATGCGCAACTCTATTTAAGAATTTACTACGCGCCCTGTCCTCTCATTAAGCATATCGCGTCACTTGGAGGGGTTGTTTACCTCCTACCCTTTGCGGCTACCCTTTGCGGCCGGAAGGCCGTTGTGCTTCACGATGGCATCCGATCAAGTCGACCCTGCAGCAGCCTCGAGCTCGACGACCTTTACCTTACAGGTCATTTCGCCATCTTTTGGCATACCGCAGCCACTAGCGCTTCAAGATATTCCTGCCGACTTAACCGTCAAACAATTGAAGGAGCGAATCCGAAATGCTATCAATATGAGACCAACAGATCAAGCCCAGCGGCTCATTCACAGAGGACGCTTGCTAGCTCAAGACAGCGAGACAATGACGGATATTTTTGGGCGAGAAGCGGTATGGATCATGCTATTATATAAATGTGGGAGCGCATCAACGTAGCTAACCAACAATTCTAATGAATAGATCCGCTCTACAGACCGTCAGTCGTTACATCTAGTCTTACGAGATCTTTCCGACGTTCGACCAACTTCTACACAATCCTCCTTTCATAACGGAACCCAGACGCCCATCACGGGTCAACAACCCATAGGAGGTCAAGTTCCTCCACAAGGGCAACCACAACAACGTCGCCCAGTCTTTCAGTTGAACATGGGCGCTCCTCCGTTTCCTCAAAATCCTGTCCCTGGAATACATTTTACTGCCCCCTTTATGGGCCAACCGGCGAATCCCCCGAATGTTCCGCAGCACCAATATAATCAGTGGTTACGAGCGATGAACCACCCTCAACCCCAGCAACAAGCCCCGCAAGGGCCGCAAAATATACCTTCGGCTGGTCTACAGACAGGTTCAGGAACGAACACACCTGGGAGAACAGGTTCGCCTTTCCAGTCTGATAACACTCGTACCACGTTTCGTGAAGGTAATGGACCCAACGGCTTACAATGGCGTGTCACTCTTAACGAAACGTTTATTAACCCTCTACAACGACCGGGACGAACGGGATCCCCCTTCTCGGCTGCTAATAATGCAAACCCATGGGTTCCACCACCACACCCTGCGCTAAATTCGGCTGGACGCCAATTATCCGATAACGAAGTGGAGGGCCTTTTACAAGCTTTGGAGGCCGGCTCAGCCACGAGAACCATGACCGATGCTATGCGCAGGAATGCTAGCAGCTCTTCCTTGGCAAATCTTCCAACTGGTCAAGTACATCCTATTCCACCAGGAGTTACAACGCCATTGATCCCGTCCCGAGTGGGGAGTGCTACCGCAACTCCTGATCCTTTCAGGGGTCTCAGGCAAACCAGAGGCCCACCGGTAAATCTATCCCATGCACAGTCGTCACAGGGCACGCCGGAGGTGTACATTTTAAATTCTCCTACGGGACCACGCGCCATTCTACTCCAGAACGGCTCAGAAGCGTACTTCACGCCTCAGAACAGAACCTTGAATCAGCCTATGAACCTACCATTAGGGCAGAGACCGTTTCCGTCAACATTATTCAGCCACTTGAACCCGCAACACACAACACCAACACCGACTACGCAACCGCAGATAAGTACAGTTGGACGAGGTCAGCAAGCAAACAACGCCGCTCAACCACAACCCCAACCGCCCCAAGCCCACCCACAGGTTCAGATCGGTCATGCTGTAGCCCGTGCGGATAACCCACAAGTACAGGCGATTAGGATAGCGCAGCTATGGCCTCACATAAACATGGTTATTCGTTTAGGCCTCTTCATCTGGTGGTTCACATCCCCGTCTTCTAGCTGGACACGTTGGATTACGGTTATTTCCATTGCTATCATCCTTTTCTTGATTAATACCGGGCTTCTAAACCCTCTTGCCGAACAATTCTGGGTCCCTCTTCGTCGACACCTTGAGAACTTAATACCACACGGTGACGGTCATCAGCAAGGCGCACAAGCACCCGCGCGAACTAGAAATGCTCAGGGTGCGAATGGTGATGCTGCCGCGAACCCCGCACAGCAGGAGAGGGAATTTAGTCCTGTGGACACAGCTGCGAGATTGGTACAGCAACGACGAAATGCCAATGCGAATTGGTTGATGGACCAAGCTAGAAGGCTTGAACGTGCTGGCATCCTGTTTCTCGCTAGTATCGCTCCAGGAGTCGCCGAGCGACATATTGCACAAATGGAAGCAGAGGTGCGAGCTGAACGACGAAGACGAGAGGCTGAGGTCGCTGCGGCAGCTACAGCCGCCCAGGAAGCTGAGAGAGCTGAAGGTGCAGAACAGAGTACCGCAAACGGCACCACCGGGGGAGAGTCAGGTGAACAGAGCAATGCGGCCGCAGATGAAGGAAGTAATGAGAGACCGCCTGCACCGGAGGAGCCACTCATTGCTGTGTAAACTCCGCACATTCAGCCCACGAATTGAATTTACAACATTCACGTGAGGAAGTTGGACGATATCGTATTGGATGGACGAATAAATGTACGGAATATTAGAGTTCTTTTGTTGCCTTGCCCCAGCTGAAACGAAACAACAGCTGCTCTAGGCTCACAAGAGAATATCTTTGTACCTTTGAGATTTTGTTGTTTTACACAAAAGTTCAAGACTTCGGTCAGAATGAAAGGGCCTCAGGGCCACATTTGGTACTTCTAAAAAAAAGACGGGCTTCTTTTCTCTTCTGTTCTACTTCTTGCACAGCATTTCGCATGGAGTTTTGAGTGTGTATGGATGTTTGATTGTTGGAACTGAGGAAGGAAACGAGGAAAGGATAGGAGGATGGGTGGACGGAATTATATGAAAAGTCAAAAGTGATGTAAAATACCGCATCATGAAAATGAAGATAAAGATAACATGTCAAATCGTGTCGTACAAATTTTGCCTTAAGTGATTTTAGAATGCGTGATTAGTCTCGGTGTAAACCGAATTTAGACTATTCAACCGTAGGGTATGCAGTATAAACTTATAATTCAATTGTAGTTCGCAACACTACCGTAACACTATTTGATGATGACATGAGCATATGCTCGATTTGTTTCTCCCACTTTCCTACTCTCCACTTCGCGACCAGACTCATCTATGCATGTATGTACACAAGACCCAACAGCTATGAAACATCGAGTTTCAAGTACCTTCTTATTCGTCAATGACAGACGCGAACTTGTCCAGCATGTTCTGTTGGATGGTCTCGTACTATAATCGGGTTAGCATCTACACTGTCAATGTTATAAAAGAGGAAAGAATAAAAATAGGCATACCTTCTTACTAATAGCCTCCTGTCCCTCACTCGGCAGCTCAAACTTCAAAGATCTCAGCTGCGCCTGGAGATCACTCGTAGCCTCACGGACCTTAGCCCAGCTCTGGCCCTGAGCAATCGCCTTCTGCGCCTCATCATGGAAACCAACCATGAGTTTCATCATCCACTCCGTCTTCCACAGAGGACAAAACTGGTCGTAATCCGAGTAACCATTCTGCTGTAAGAAGTCTTCCTTGAGTAGAGTAGCTAGGTCGAGGGTAATCTTGTCTGGGTCGGATAACGCTGATTTACCGACGAGCTGGACGACTTGGTCGAGTTCTTCGGAATCGGAGAGGAGCTGCTTGATGCGGTCGCGTAGCCGCGGGAACTCGGGGTAGTCCTTTTCGTACCAGCGGTCTAGCGTGTTGGTGTACTTACTGTACGACACGGATGTGTTGATCGACGGGAAATGCTTTCGCTGCGCCAGCCGCTTGTCCAGACCCCAGAACACTTGCACGATACTGAGAGTTGAACTCGTGACGGGATCGGAGAAGTCACCACCAGGGGGACTGACGGCACCGACAATGCTGACACTGCCGTCGCGCGCGGGAGAGCCTAGACAAGTTGTCTTACCCGCACGTTCGTAGAAACTGGCTAGCTTGGCACTGAGGTAGGCGGGGAAACCCTGATCAGCGGGCATTTCACCGAGACGACCGGAAATTTCACGCAGAGCTTCGGCCCATCGCGACGTTGAGTCAGCCATCATGGCGACGTTCATGCCTTGGTCACGGAAGTACTCAGCGACCGTGATACCGGTGTAAATAGAGGCCTCTCGGGCGGCGACAGGCATGTTCGAGGTGTTGGCGATGAGGGTAGTTCGCTTCATGATAGGCTCCTTGCGGCCCTCGACCTCGATGGACAGTTCGGGGAAATCCTTCAAGACTTCAGCCATTTCGTTTCCACGTTCGCCGCATCCGACGTATACGATGACGTCGCTGTTGGAAAACTTGGAGACGGATTGCGAAATGACAGTCTTGCCGCATCCGAAAGCACCAGGAATGGCTACGGTACCACCTTGGACACTGGGGAAGATGGCGTCGAGAACTCGCTGGCCGACGATGAAGGGGCTGTCGGCGGAGAGCTTCTCGGTCGTCGGTCGTGGGACTCGGACGGGCCAGGTTTGCAGCATTCCATACTCGGTCTTTGTACCGTTGAACTCGACCTCGAGGATCTTCTCATCCACGGTATACTCACCCTTTCCAGCGATCCTTGTGATGGTTCCCCGTGCTCGTGGGGGTAGTAGGATCTTGTGTACCTTGATAAACGAGTTCTCGAAGACAGTTCCCCATACGTCACCACCCGAAATGTGGTCGCCGACCTTGAGGGTAGGTGTGAATTCCCACTTCTTCTTTCGGTCGAGGGCCGGCGCTGCGATACCGCGGGGAATGTAGATACTTTGGGCCACCTGGGCAATGTTTTCGAGGGGTCGTTGGATACCGTCATAGATGTTGTGTAATAGACCGGGGCCGAGCTCGACGGATAGAGGCTTACCAGTTCGTTGGACGGGGTCGCCAACGGTTATACCAGCTATACCCTAGTATTAGCTTTATGTCTATTTTTGGGTTATCAGAGTTCTAGAAGCTTAGAACTTTAACGCACCGGTCTCTTCGTAGACTTGGATAGTAGCTTGGTCGCCGTTGATTCGAATGACTTCACCGACTAAGTTATCGTGGCCGACCCTCACAAGTTCGTACATGGCAACTCCGATCATGTCCTCGGCCACCACGACAGGTCTATTATAGTGATGTATTAGCTTCTCAAGGTTCGACGAGGGTTATATGGAGGGGTGGTGTAGCTTGTACGAACCCGGAAACGGAGTAGATCTTGCCTGTACACACCCATTAGTTAGTTTAAACAAGTAGCAACGTTTGAGATAGTTAGAGCTACATACCACTATTGAGCGCTTCCGAGTCGCCATTTGTGGCTTTCGCTGACTATGTAGATCACATATATTAGACATCGAGGTTGACAAACTCGTGGAGTTGGACAGATTATAGCTATTTGTTTTGTTGCAGTTTTTGTTGTACTGCAGATGTGGATTGGACGAATGAATGAAGCTTACCGGAGCCATCTTGAGAGGTTGTTTCGAAATAGCAGGTGGCTCTGCAGCTGTTGGAGATATAGATGGAGCAGATATTTCAAAGACGGGGACAGGTGAAGTTAGAGGTGATGGTCCCGACGTTGATTTGGTCGTAGATGTAGAAGTAGTTGTAGTGGTAGAGTTGTCGGTGTTAGCGTTGGCGTTAGTGGGTGTTGTGACGATAGCAGCGGTAGCAGCAGTGGTGGTGGCTGTATTATCGTTAATGCTAGTGCTATTACTAGTGCTAGAAGCGCTGTAGGCAGTAGCTGGTGACAGTACTGGACTGGGGGGTAATGATTGATTAGAAGCTTCAGCTATCAATGCTGTGGCTTTAGCGGCTTTACCAGGGCTGAAGCTGCCAGGTGACGCAGGTGACGCAGATTGTTCAGCAGCAGGTGTACCCGGCCGACTTGAACTGGGGCTAACACTTGGACTTTGTCCGTGGTTTCCCCGTCTGATTAGGTCCACTAACGACGGCCGGGCCCGCAGCGTCGGTCGCAAGCCGAGCATACAATCTGTAGTGAACGCGTTTAATTGTAGCGTAAACCTTCTTCCTCAAAAAACAAGGTTATCGCTGGCGAGGTCGACGAGAATCAATTAATTATTACTTAAAGAATCATTCAGCTGCTTGATCCAAAGTCGCATACGTATGTTGCATCCGGGAGATGGTGTTGATTACGACAAGTTACGACAGGTTACAATCGATACCGAAGATTATCTGATGTAGGTATAATAATAGCCTGAAGCTACCTAGTATCACCCCCTGAAACCAAAACTTGGAAGTGAAAGTACAAGTACGAATTCGCCAGCCTCACCACTAAAATTCCCTCATTTGTGGAATACTTTAGGCTCCTTGGCTGCCTCCCTCGCTACGATAAGCACAGACATGTTATTGTCACTTCTATCTTATTTCTCACCACCATTATTCCCTTTCCATACCTAGGTATTAGCTACTAATCCAACGTTGGATCCAACGATGATGCTATTCCCACCTTTGATATTCATCTCTCGAACGTTCTGCGACTAATTGCATTAGCTACCAACAGATGCATACGCACCCACATACAATTACCCTATCAAAAGCACCAAGAGAACCGGGGCACTCCTCTCGTATGGGGTTATACCAACGTCATTTGGTTGGCGTAGTATCCCGATTACTCAACTTCGTCTACACTCACTTTTAACATAGGTCGCGACGCATAGCTTCCTTGGGACGAGATCTTACCAATACGTGTATAAAGCCAGCAAATGTTGATGTAATCCTTCAAAGTCATGAAGCTTCAAGCCGTGCTCAGAAGTCGTCAAACCCAAACTTTCGAATATGACCATGCACAACATATCCTGCTCCTATTCTATTAATCTTCCGAATAACAAATAAAATCGAATCTCAATTATTCTAGCTCATGGGGGGAGAATGCCGAGTTTTCCCTTTGGTGACCCCTGCACATCTGCCCCTTATCGAGGTGAAAATATTGTTTGAACATTAGATGCTTTCATAATACTTCGTCAGGATAGGGATATCATATATCCTCAACCATTAATTGTACCAAATAGCTAATTTTCCATCTCATAGATTCCTCACATTCATTCGTGTATACTTTTGTCTCATGCTTGTTTGTATAGGGGACGTTTCGCCAGGCAAGAAATTTCTACGCGTATTTACACTGCCGATCAAATATATTCGTTCGATTTTATTGGACTTCATAAGATTTTCATTGAAAATAGTATAAACTTGTCCAGGTACACAATGTCATGTTTGCTAATTTGGTAATATGCAGGTGCAAGTTATTTACCATGCGTATGGTTGAAGCTATTCCGAACGAGGGGGCGAGAAGAAAAGGGGAAGAGAAGCAAAAAAAGATTGAAATAAAATAAATAAAAAGGGAAAGGACAGAAACAAGATGGAAATAAAATAGAGAATAAAAGAAAAGAATAAAAAAAGACAAAAAAAAGCTCGGTACTGGATTCCCTCACCCCTCCTCGAATCCAGGACCTACGAAAAACTCGCTTTGGACGGTCGTACTGTCAAATTACGCCAATTGTCAACGCTCCAAGCATATGACCGCCTCATGGTAGTTTGTTCATAGCCATCAAGTCACCAAGGGTTACGTCCATCTAATTGGGTCGGCTTGAGAAATTCAACTATTATTTTACTATATGAACCTTTGGTCGGTTGTCAGGTACAATAGGGAAGTACCTTGGGATTTTCTTTTTAATTGGCTGCACCTACTTGCCCTGAGCATCAACGCGCTTTCCACGTTGTTTTCAAGCCGGGATTAAGGGTGTAAGAAGGTTGGTTTGAGTGCACGGTACTCTGGAACACCCCTCGTAGTCTGAGAAGCCATTCGCGAGTTGAACTCAATACCCAATAGTGCTATTTTCACCAGCTTTGACCTAGAATAGATGGACAGATTCCCAATGCGTGCAGTTATGTAAAATACGTACATAATTGACTCCTGCCTATCCTATGTAAAAATAACTTATAGTATGCTTCCCATCCTAAACAATATGCTGATGCTTATAACAGTCCCTTCTCAACGACAATTTCCTCAAACATTCTTAACATATCCACATCTCTAACCAACATCCCCAGCGTATCCCGTATAATTGATTCTCCGCACTCATCCTCCTCGTCAAGTAGCACGCCCGCCTCTCCCCCTTCGGCAAGTCTATCAAATTTAAGACCAGGAGGTATACAATTATCCTGCGCCCTTGCGGCCCTCAACTTGCATATTTCCGCCTTTCTACATTGCTCATCACACTCGTCCACATTCCACCCTCGTCTTCTCCTTGCAAAGTATTCATTAAATGCCGTTGCGTTGCGCTCCAAGACCTCGGTCACGTTATGCCAAAACGCAGGTGACAGATCTTGTACCTGGAAATCCTTTGGCACGCGCCCAGAAGATAAATCCAGCCCGACAAGCGGCCCGTAGGCCTCCCGTGCCGAGTAGTATTTGGTCCATTTTGGTCCTGATGTATGGAAGGAGGGGTCGCTCGTATTGGCGATGTAGGTCGTAGCGTCAAGAACAGCAAAGTTCACCGGATCCACGGTATACACACGGAAGGCGGGATGACCCGAAGTCGGTGTCATGGACGGCGCGATGTACGATGTTACCAATGCGTTGGCGTGGGATTTGTTGTTGTAATCGGCATATGAGAGCTCGAATTCGTCGAAGTGCGTGTGGCCTATTTCTCGTAAGCATTTACCTCCAACCCCCTCCAACCAATAATGGAATAAAAAAAGGGGCAAAACTTACCAAAAAACATAGCTGCGATCGTACCAGAATACCTCTTCACGATCTGGTCAAGGTAATTCGACCCATCATGAAACGCATCCCGACTTCCCAAAGGCATATGTCCGATAATATACACAGCCTCACCCGCTTTCTCCGCAGCATCCAGCTCACCAACCAACCATGCCAACTGTCCGCTCGGATCTTTCTGCATAGGCTCCTCATACAGCCAATAGTTATGCGCGTAGTACATATTCGTGCTAAGCGATATAACACGTAGCTTACCAGTGCTAAGTTTACCGTAGCCAATCTTATAATTCGTAAATCGCGCCGAGTATCCCCCAAACTGCCTCGTCGTATCCGCAGCACTGGGTCCGATCCACTGGGACCAAGCCGAGGCTAGGAGATCGTATAACCACTGCGAGGTATTGCTATCTCCATCACTTCCAGATCCATCTTCCGCTACGGGTGGGAACGAATTTGCGGGCGATGCTTCGTGGTTTCCAGCGGTACCGTAAACGGGGTTTAACCCCGCCGCAGACATTCGCCCGTATGCATCTGCGATGCCGAATGTATTCTGTGCGCGGGAGGTATCCCAGACAGCGTGATCCACGATGTCACCCGTGAATATGCTGAAATAGACGTGAGGTACGATTTTCTTGATCGCTGCGTACATGCTTTCCTCTAGAGTAACGGGAGCGTCGCATGTGTGTTCGCCATTGAAGCCAGCCGGGAAATCGTTCTGGCCTGGTTTGTCGCTGTCGGTGTATTCCCTAAGGCGTATGTTAGCGAATTCCCTGTAGAGTATCGTCCTAAGCCACTCAGGATAAAGTAGGTGTAATCACAACCCCAACCCCCCATCTTTCGTCCCATATCTTGAGCACTCACCTGCAACAAATCGGCTTCGAACAATTCGCATTCGCACCAACGACATATTGCGGATCAACATGTATATCCGAGAAATGAACAACGTATATCGGATCCAAGTTACTCGGCAATGGCCTCCCATGCCCATCGCCAGGAGACGGAAACGACACATTATGCGGCGCGACCTCGGGATGTGCACACAAGCCCATAAACGCCACGCATGCAAGCCGCGAAGTGCGAGATCCGAGAACTAACCCACGCAGCCCGTGTGCAATAATTGGACCCTCGAGGGCGATGGTGCCTTCGCAGACGTCGGGGTCTTGGATCTGGGATAGGTTAGTAATAAAATTTTTGGGAGAAAGGGGTAGGAAAGAAGGGAGAATACGCACCCCGGCTCGTTTACATAGCGCCGTTGTAACAGAGACGAAGAAACCGTCTCCTTGTGAGGCAAGCAGCTTGAGTTGTAGTAAGACCGCCTTAATTCGATTATATGTTAGCATATATCTCCCCTATAAGTGTATTCGAGCTCTCACCTCACAACCACCGCACGACAGAGGACTCTGCGCATCTTCCCTAGTACTAGTAACCAGTGCGTCAAGACCCAAACCACCCATGAACCCCTTCGTCGTACCAGAACTCAATACTTTCTGAGGATCATCGGCAGCACCAACGACCCCCACGGTGGCACCAGCCAAAGCCGCGAGAATGAACGATAGGACCCGCATCTCGGCGTCTCTATGTTAGTACCTGACCGCCTAAGCTGCTGTAGGCTATAAGTCGTATTATATAATCCACGGTATTGCGTGTAAGTATCCAACAATTACCACCTTGATCACCTCAACTCTAAAAAGTTAAGAATCCAGAAATTGCAAAAGCAAAAGCAAGCGCAAATGTAAATCCCCAGATTCCATCAAATCCAATACATACAAAAGCCACCCGACCCGCGAGTAATTGCACATACACTTTACACTAAAACCCGTGCCCTAAGATCTGCTTACAAAAGCCGAAAGTACCTAACTTATAAGTACGGTACAGTTCAACACCAACCTCGCAACCCCAACCCTGCGCCACGGGTTGAGTCAATTGCGTACATGAAGCCCATCCTCCACCAATCAAAGCACGGAACACTGACACGTAGGGCGGGAAGTCCCCCACCTAGTCCAAGCCCATTATTGGGTCACCGGATCTTATTGTTAGTTCCAGCTTGCAGCACTAACACTGTATTTAGGGAAAGATAATAGGACATAAAGCTCAACAAAGTTATGACATAATTCCTTATAAGTCCTAGATATGCTGGTGTGAGTGGAATTATGCAGGGTCTTTTTTATTCTTACTAGCCTCTAGAAAGTCTGCGCTGCAACACGTTCCGACGAACCACAGTTACAACTATATTTCTTGGCTCTGTCCGTCTCCCTATCCAACCCTCAGCCTTATAGGACTTTGTTTCCTCTATGTCAGCTTGCTAACCTTATATGTATGTATATGTATGTATATGTATGCATAACTTTTTCGTTTGTTATAAATTACTAATAACATGCGGTAGATGATTGTACCTCTGAGAATATCTTCATCTCAAACACGCAGACAGATGATGTTCGATGCATGAACGCCCGCCTTTTCATGCAACCAAATTAGACCTAGCCGGTCGACGCCATGATGCCAGGTAGTGCAATAATTCGCTCACTTCCTTTTCCCTCTTTCCTCATTAACAATGCAAGCCTCAGTAAGTAAGCAAGCTCGTTCAACCCATTATGCTCCTCCAGCCCGTCATAAAAAACGCCGGGTACCTAAATCGAACAATATGATAGGATATGGATGAAAAAAAGGGAGAGGGGAATTTTCAAACCCATAAGCTTGCCAACCAGATATTTGAAATGCTACCAATGCCAACCGCTCAGTCTAATACGCCGTGATGAATTTTTGTTTTTTTCGCATGAGAGGAAAAAGTATCATGGTCATCCCGCCATGATGTCGTACTTTGTTGACCCTCCTGAATCTGAATTCTAGTCCAACCCGGTATCGTCATCTGCTGAATGATATCCTACACGGTAATGCCTTTTGAGGATGAATGGAGACACTCCTTACCCCTTAGAGAGAAGAGGTTTCAGCACCTCAAGCGCCTTCATAGACTGTTCACACGATAAGATAACCGCACCAGCACGAGCAGTCGAAAGATACGAAAGCTCGCTGCTAACGCCCGTTTCTTCCATTCCCATTTCCTGAATGAGTTTTCCCGCAACGCCAGAAACGATACCCGTCGCTTCTAGAGGGAGATTCACAAGATCTAGGAAAATAGGAACGAGATCACCCTCCGTATCACCGACAAGGGAATCTCCAAAAACGCCGAGGTATTCTCTATCCAATAATAACGACGGTGGGTCCTCCTGAGCTAGAGTAATCGAGAGAAATCTCGGTTGCTTGGCGAGGACGGAGATAAGGCTCGTATATAATTTCGTATCGACGTTATCAAGCCAACTCCTTCGATGGTGTCCGTTCCCGCTTGAATGCCTGCTTAGAGTCGGCCGGCGACTATAATCCACTAATTGCGATGGATCCCTGCCAGAGCATTGCACTAAACTGAGATAGGGACTAATATACGGAACGACGTTTCGCTTCTTCAATAGTTCAAATGTGCGAATTTGTAGCTCTGCTACGTTAGAGGGAGGTGGCGTTGACGGGGGCTCGCTACTTTGGCTTTTGCCGCGAACGTGCGACATCGCACTGGGCGATACGTACGCTGATTCATCCTTATCAAACTCGAAATTTCGAGCGAGAAGTACCTGCACTACCGTCTGTCGATCTTTGCTGGGAACCAAGATGAAGTCCGAGTAGTACGTCGTAATGAAGAAGATCGGTACACCTGCCAGGGCAAGAGGGGAAGTCAAGTCCATAACTCGGCTTCCCGCATCCATTCCAGCACTTATCACCGAAAGGATTAGATAACTGTCCTTCGAGATCGTGACCGTCTTCGACAGATTAGGAGGTAGGCGTTTAATGACCGGTTCAAAGACATTCTTCGCCCAATTACTATGACACACCACCGAACATTCAACCGGCGTAATGCTTATGTTGAGGAACCCATGCTTATTGTCGATGCTGAGTCCTTCCGCCTCAGGGGCAAGGGAGTCATCCCCGCCTTGAGGAAGAAGGACCTGTAAGATAGCCTGGAGAAAATTCGGATACAGATGCAAAGGAATGTGTATCAAGCGGAATGTTCCATCCTAGAGTCATACGAGTCAGCATGCTTGGTCAACTTTTTTTTTTCTCGCGCCGTGATGGTCGCGTGCATTGCAGGAAGTACCAAAATATGCGCCGAGAGGCCTTGGGTTGTGTTACACATGAGGTTGCCTTGTAACTTGACCTCGAGACAGAATTGTGACAGCAGCCGGTAGTATTATTGCTTCGCGAATAGGAAATTGGTGTAGAGGATTCAAGATAGGAAGGTGAGAGATCCTTACGAGAAATGATATCTGAGCATTCATAATGACAGTGTCGTATCTGTAATGCCGTAGATCGCGACCAGTGGCCAGAGCATTCGACCCCGATCTTCGGGGACGGGAAGACCCCTAAAATGCACGGATACAGTGACGCCCTATAGCGGAGGCCCGGGTTGAGTTGTGATTGGTGAGATGGCCCTCGCTTTTGGCTTGAAAGTTCCGTGCTCTTTGTCTTGGCTAAGCCCGACAAGGATCCTTGTGACGATGATGATAGGATAAGAACACAAAAAGAATCTTGGAAGCGTAGATAGGAACTTCGAGGAAGAGGGGAAAATACAAATAAATGTAACAATTATATCAAGTATCAATGAAACGGATCTTAACCCTAAGCAGGAGTAAAAAAAGATAAAGAAAACAAGATAAAATAAATAATAATGATAATTGGCCTTTTTTTGCTTTGAGAGATAGGAAGCCGAGATAGGGCGGAGGCACTGCGGGACAACGCTGGGACACACTAGAGCTGGTAAGGGACTAGCTCTACGTTGTAATATTGGTTGATAAAGAAGAAGCCTTCGCGATGACCCCTTTTTAAGACTTCGATTCCGTCCGAGAGTTTTAATAGCGTGACATGGCACCATTTGCAGGTAGAAGAAATCCCACAGGGATCGACGCCTAATACGGCCTCCAGGACCAGGACTGGGACGATTGGGAATGGGGACTGATAGGAGACGCAAATGCGTTGTGCCGCGGTCGCTTGTCTTTCGCCGCGGATGCAAGGTAGATGCAGCTGCAAACAGGCCGAAGCAGATCTACCTAAGGTAAGGGGGGTAAGAAGGGTCCGAGATGTGACCCTCGACAACCAGGAAGCATCGAGAGTGGTTGTGGGTTGTCATGTAACAGACCGACGTCGACCGGTGAGAAAAAAAAGAAAATGCGAGGACACCAAACCTTATTTATGTCTTTCATGTCTTATATGTAGGTGTATGTGCTGTATGTATGTACGTACGGGAGAGTAGAGTAACAGTATGGGTATGGGGATAGGCTGGGATGGTGTAATCTACTGCGAGTTAGCTTCGTGAACCTGGATGGTGTTCCTGGGCACGAACTAACAATACCAACCTACTACATAGTATAATGCGCGTCGTATGCACGCCATCTTCCCTTCCCTATTCTGGTAATCCGCTAACGCGCAAAGGGGTGTAAAAGGGGATGCAGCCACTCTCGACATATCGCATCAGCTCCTCGAGCGCGTGTCGGCGTCGGGGAGGGACAGGCTAGGTGAATTTGGGATCATCTTGCAGCACTACTCTTTATGACGGTGCAACTTTGCAACGCTGTCTAGCGTGGGGGGGCTTGGGTCCTAGGGGCCTTTTGGGTCTTGGATTACCGGGAGATGTATCCTGTGCTTGGTCTATCTGCAAGGGAATTTTCTACCCTTCTGCATGATGATGTCTGCCCGGGAGGGGTGAGCTATTGCCTTTCCATTCACCCAGTCATACCTAGGTAAGTCCCTAGCATCTGAAGGAGGGAAGCAATATACTGTTGCAGAACAGCTGGGTTGAAAAAGGCCCAGTAACACGACAGATGTGATGATCGCCCTTGGTAGGTAGACGGCGATATGCTATGCAGGTGAGTGCATTATCTGGAGTGCGACACTAGAAGAATATGGAGAATAGATAGAGATACTAAGCCGTACGGACGTTACTTTTTGAAGGACAAGCCGTCCGTTGGTACCTGAGTTTTCGGGGAGAATTCACCTCATCATTCAATGATGTGTTGTCGGTGCAGCCGTCCGCTTTTCTGTGGACGCAATGGGACGTAATGCACTGCTGCGGACTGTGGGCTGCAGTGGACAAGATGCTGGGGGTGAAGAGGTACGGTGCAGTACTGTACCTAACCACTGGGCACTCTTTGACCCCCTTGCTGCCCCGCATTTTCCTATCTCGACTTGCCCGCCGAGCGAATGTCTCATGGATCTTGTCATCTTGTCACCGTTGCCGTATCCACTACTACATTGTAACATGGTAACGCCATTTGTCTAAGGTTGGCGTAACGAGGCTGCTTATTGGAAGCATAATATCGAAATAATTTTATGTGACCGGTCATACCAATCACGATACCTTGCGTGATGTGATGTCGAATATTCGACCGTGGATGCCGTCTTAGTGCCGAAAAAAAAAAAAAAAAAGACAGAAGAAAAAGATGCCTCATAGAATGCCTAATGACTAGTAAAATGTTCAATTGGCATTGCTCCCGTCCCCCCAATTCGAATTGAGACTGGTTCGATCCGAGTCTGGGGTTCTCGATTCAGAGCCGAGTGTAACCATGTCTTCCGTACAATTTCGATCAAAATAAACCCCACGAAGTTGTCCTTCATCCCGTTATACCCGCACCATATTATTCCCTACCATCCTGCTGCGCCATACAGGATCAATCGCGAAATATCGTGCTTACAATTGCGCCAGTCAGTCGTCAGAGCCAGGATCATATTACCTTCGGGTCACGGGGATTTCCGTCTCTGCGGCAGGCATCGCGAATAGGAATCAATTGGGGTCAGCAGGATCTAGATGAAACTAGCCACCGTTGTCGTCATGAATGATGAGAGACTAGTCCTCATTAAATTTCGTACAGCTCGTCTCTTCGGCGCCACCAATTAATTTGGTTAGCCATGTTCCCTTTCTAGGGCAATCACCTATCACCTTGGCAAAAAACTACCATTGCTAACCGATGATGACGGCTCCCTTGAATATGGGGCTTTCGGTATAATTAATTGCGTTGAAGATGGTCTGCAGGCACGCGTGGGGTTATGCGTAGCATCAGGCCGTCATCGAGAGCCGGGGTCGTCCAAATAGTAAGCTTGCATCTCTCTGGCTTCTCGTTGGAAGAGCTTCAGGTGAGTCTGGCTACCTGAATTTTCTTTCTCGCGAAGCACGGCGAAAACCCGAATAAATTTTTTCTCGGGGCGCTGCATTTGTTCGAGTTGCCTTGCGTCGAGGCAAACTTTCCACCTTCTTAGACAGGCTTAACTGATCGATGCATCTTGTAGATAGGCAACTTTGCCGCGGCCCACTGAAAAATGCAGGTTCATGCATGACATAGGCTCTAAAGTATGCCCAATTATCGTTCCAGTTTGCCCGGTTACCGCCAAAGGCGACCCTTTCTGCCCCTAACCTACCTAGGGACCAAATTCTTGCGGGGCCGAACACAGGCAACTGGTTCAGTTGACGCGCGATCTGCGAGACCCCGGATTCTGACGACAGTTTCATTCGACTTGAATGTCGCCATTTTGTATTGCCGCGGCTCGGTCAAGACCGACGTCAGTATCTAGTCAACTTAAGGGATCGGGCGTTTAACGCCTACTACGACCAGGTTTCGAGGGCTTTCATGATAGTCGAATACTGTCTCCACCCAGCAATCTTGGACTAGCTCGGAATGCTGTCGGAGAAATAGCCATCTGTCGGTCACTATCAGGGATTCGGTGACGATGGCGCTGAAAGCCATGAGACTCCAGATAGCGCTGAGTTCTCGCTTCCGTGGTCCGTAAATTTCTTCATATCTTGCAATTTCCTCGTCCGTGACGTCACTCATTTTCTCTCTTACTATGTCGCAATACTCGTGATATTCCGAATTAGTGGTCAGCTTACTGATCGCACCTCTCACATATGAGCCGAATGACTTATAGCATGATTTCCGGAGAGAACCGATAATCACCGGGTTGGTGCTGACGTTGAACGGGCTTTGGGATGAATCGTCGCTATCTGCAGTGTCGCCGTTATGGTGAACCTTGGTGATGACGCCCTTGTCGAGAAACATCTTTTGTAGTACGGCGCGATAAAAATGTCGAGTAAAGAAGGTATCACTCTCGGCTTCGGTCCAGTTTTGCGGAGCTTGGCATGCCATCATCCGAGCCGTAATATTGAGTCGCACACCCATGCCGTTGTAACTGCAAAGGTGATCGCTCATCGGGAATCCTTGTGGGTCGCGCCTCTCAGATTCTCTGACCACGCGACCATTGAGTGCCTGCAGACTTGGTCGCATATACGGAAGTTTATATGTCGGAGGGCCCAACTTTTCTGTCATCAAATTGTAACAGCAACCGACAATGGCAATAGCTTGAACTCGCGGGTTCAACACTAAAGACCGTATGCCATGGTGCGATAAGTTCCCGCAAGAATGAATAGAGATGGCCATCAAACTTGGGTCGCCTCGTCCTTCCTCTTCAGCCAGAGGGTCTCTTTCTAATTGACTAATCACATCCGACAAGTCTCCTGACTCTAACCTCCCTTCTATATAACGTATGAAACCTTTGCCTTCTTCGGGGGTGTAGATGGCTTCAAATTCGGCTGGGGGTCTGAGATCAGCCACATACTCACTTGAGATTTTAACAGGATTTGCCGCCCTTTTTAAAGCCTTTTCGTCTAGTTGATCTTCGGGGATCATACTGTCGAGCTTTTGCATCCATAGTTTCTTGTTCCGTATGATTTTGGGCTTTTCTGCAACACCTGCGTGGATGTCGAGTTCTTTTGCACCGACAATATTGTGTTCTCTACCCTCGACAGCTACAATTTGTTTGTTATAAGGAGAGCTTGCTAATGCTCTTCCCAGGTAATTTTGACCACTTCCAAAGTCCACAAAATGGGTAATCTGTTTGTGATAATCGGTAGCAATATCACTGGCGAGTGAGTCCACGTAACTTGCGAAGTTACTCACTTCGTGAATTTTCTTCGGTTTCATTCCAACGGATACCATGCGCGTCAATTTTGGAAGTTTCTCTTTCTTTGGAGTAAAGGATCGTGCGAGGGAGAACCGTCTTATATCCTTGATATACTTAGCCAAACTTTCTGGCGGTTGGGGATCCGGAAGATTGTCTAGATTATCCCTCATTAGGAGATCTAGAAATTTGATAGGCTCACATCCTAGGAGGTATGGTTGCCAGTCATGCGGTACAACCGACTGAAAAAGTCCGGGTTCATTTGTGAAGAAATCCAGAATATGCACGCCTCCGCATAATATTTGGAAGGTATCCGATGTAGTCACAAACTCGAGGAGCTGCTCGATGTATGCATCAGGACTCTCCCAAGAATCTGGGTATGGAAGGGGTTTCGTTGGCCTCATATTTGAATATTTAACAATGTCATAAACGAGTGTTGAGTAAAAAGAATGTTGAAGTTTAAAGTGACTGAATTGACTCAGAAATATTTTGAATTTCACATCTTTTTGGCGGCCTGATTATACGAGTCCTAAATAATAAAATTTATTTAAGTTATGCAAATTTTGGGCGGTAAAACTTACAGTTGTTCGGCAGCTGCCGAGATTCTTCCGCCGATCTACCAAAATTGAAAGCAAGCAAGCACCACGTCATTCGTCCCAATCGCGGTTTCGTAGGCCCCTTACACTTTTAATTTCCAACCAACACATACAACATCTAAATCGACATAACACCCAAACCCACAACACCACAAAGCGCAGATGTAGCCTATACATGCATCGGCGCATCTTGAAGCCACCAGGATGATGTCCTCAACGAACGAGGAGGACCCTTTCCTCCAAGTCCAACAGTAAGCCCTCCTCTTTCCACCCCTAAAGACCTACGACTAACCTACCTACCCATTTTCTAGAGATGTCCTCTCACAAATGCAAACCGTGCGCCCGCTCTTCGCATCCTACCTACGAATCCGCAGCCTAACAAGCAGCACCACATCCCCAGAACTCGCCTCCGCGCGATCGGACCTCGAACACGCGCTCGCGACACTAGCTGAGGATTTAGCGGACCTAGTTGAATCAGTCCAAGCCGCTGAATCGGATCCCGCGCGCTATGGACTTTCTGCGCATGAAGTCACGCGGCGCAAACGATTGGTGCAGGAAGTAGGAGGCGAGGTCGAGGATATGCGGGAGGAACTGGGTAAAGCGGCGGCGGCTGGACCGAAAGGAGAAGGTTCGGCTGCGGCGCGCGCTGCGAAGGCTGCTGCTGATGGTGATTTACCACATCCGAATGCTTTTGCACTTGACGACGGGGGTGCTGGGGGGGACGATTACGCTGAGTTTGAGCAACACCAGCAAGTGCAGATGATGCGGGATCAGGATGAGCAGTTGGATGGTGTGTTTGTTACGGTGGGGAATCTGAGGAGACAAGCTGATGATATGGGCCGTGAACTCGAGGAGCAGGTTGAGATGCTGGAGACGGTTGATACTCTAGCAGATCGCGTTGGTGGACGGTTGCAGACAGGCATGCAGAAACTAGGGTATGTCATGCGGAAGAACGAGGATCGGTATAGTAGCTGCTGCATCGCGGTGCTGATTACTGTTTTGATTATACTATTGGTACTACTACTGGTGTTATAAGTAACTAGGCGTTCTTGGTACGGACGCAGGCCCGATTCACAGCGAATTTCTATACGCATGTGGTCACATAGATGGCAAATAATAGAGCGGCTACCTCAATGGTTCTCACATTTTTATACCATTACACCTCTGGGTATATTCAAAGGCGTTCGTCAGACAAGGGCCTCTCTGAGTAGCCCAGGACGCCTTCTAATGCTAGTTTAATTTACGTCCCGTTCCAGGTCCCCAAAACGCCATAAGAAACATGGGGTTGGAAACACCCTTATACCAACACCGAATCGGCCTTTCCTCGCGTACTGTACATAATCCTCTTATAATTCCAATCCTATATCGCGCTTTATGAGATCTGCCAGTACTTGAAGGCCTGAAACGCCGGGGGTTTTCTCTACCACTGTGCTAGGAAATTCCACCAACGCCTTTCTTAACGCGGCAATCGCTGCATTTCCGTAGAACTGAATGAATTTCTCCTCGCTTTCCTCGATCATCGATCGGAGAACCACACATTGCGTGTCCGAGACCTCCGCGGGTGGCGTATTGACTATTTTGGCCATAGCGGTCCAATAGTTGCGCGGGGGGTACGGATTTTTGTTGGGTGAATTGACAAAGTTCCTCAACGAAATTGCGGCAAAACCTGCTGCTAGCGCTTTCATCCGGTCAATGTGCTGTTGTTCGGGAATCCATCCTCCAGGGGTCTTCTTCCAACCTAGGAGAAGACGGCCTTTTTCCGTCTTCTCACTACCATGATAACCAAAGACAACGGGACAAGCCACACGGTACTTGGCCATCAAGATGTCGATCAGTGACTTGCCCCGCCACGAGTACTGTTCTTTCGAGAAGATCATCACAACCAAGATGCCAATAGGATCTGCATTCTTTGCCTGCGCGGCACATTCATTGATGAACTGGTTAATAACAGCCTTGGCAAAGTGGTTAAGGAGATATAGGAATAGGGAAGGGAGTGTAGCCTCGTTACGTAAGGCACCCTCTACGGGTTCCCTCTTGTCCGTAACGAAGTCAGACGGGTCGATCAGCTCGCTCGGAACAGCGCCACTGAGTGACTCGTTTAGTAGTGCTTGGATAGCTTCACTCTGTTCGGAGGAGTTAGAATCATAGTCATCAACATCTCCATCAACTTCAAAACAACGTGCCTGTGTACGATTTGCGCCCTTTTCGCCGACCAGTTGGCCCATGTTCTTTCTTAGTTCTCGTCGCATGTCCCCCAAACGCTGCTTCAAGAGCGGTGATGTCTTTGCCTGTTGCAAAAGAGACGCCCGTAGCTTCTTCAAGTTCCGATGAATCTGAACGTATCGATCGACGTTTGCGGGGGGTGAGCTATTGGTAAGGTTTGCTATAGACAACGCATTCGACGGAGGAGTCGCCGGCTTAGCTTGTGTCGAGAATAATTGCGCTTGAGGTTTGCTAAATGTATTCGGTAAACTTGGCTCAACTACCTTACCAGCCGTGCCATTGGCCTGTCCATTGACCCCATTAGTTAAGGGAGACTGTTGCGAAGCAGGTTGGTGAAGGCCAAACAGGGATGATTTAGGTTTTTGGATCGCTTCTGAAACCGCTGGTGCCGTAGTAGGTTGGAAGGCAGGTTTTGCGGGTAATGTTGCTGATTTCGTAGCAAGGGCCGATCCGTTAACTGCGGGAATAGGAGTAGGCGGTGCCGGCGGTAGTTCCGGGACCTTCGTTTCCTTTAGGATTCTCAAACGCTCTTCCTCTTTCCTAAGTTGTTCTTTAGCTCGTATGAGCTCTTCCTCTTTTCTCTGTTGCTCTAAAATACTGTTTTGTTGTTCTTCTAGCCGTCGACGCTCCTCCTGCAACTCGTAGTCATGATAAACTCTAATAGCAACCTCACGAACCCGATCGTGTTCAGCTAAGGCGGCAGCGAGGGCATCTTGATGGTTGAGCGCTGAGTTGCGCTCTTCGGAAAGGGGACTAGAAAGAGGGTTGGACCATTGACGAGATCTACGTGTAGCGGGAGAGGAACCAGCCATTGCATTCGACGAGCGGTGCTACTGCATTGCGGAGTGTGCAAGTAGGATCGTAACGTGGTTAGGAATGCTGCTTTAAAATAATCAGTTCTGTCCCAATGGATATTAAGAACAACGTACTTGTTGCAAGTCGTCACTTTGTAGGGAATAAAAGAGTGTGAGGTATGAACGTGAAAGAAGACGTTCACGATCCTTGAAGAATCGCTCAAGAACGAGGTCGAGGACAGGGATCAAGAAGAATAGGTAGCTGAATGGATAATGGGAATCAATTCAAATGTATCGATAAGAAATCCGACAGGAGGTCCGGGTTCATGCATCTCTGGGGAAAAATGATTGGCCGATCCACTTTTACAGCATGCACTATGCACTATTACATAAGAAACTTATGTACATATGTACTTACTTCATATTTCTAGGCAAGGGCAGAGCTTCTTGTCTTGGAGTTTCTTATCCTTCTCTTTTAGCTCCTTGTCTGTCTCTATGAGATTGTTTTCTTTGGCCGGAGTATACAAAGATCAAAGATAGCTTACTTACATAATCGGTATTGTATACTTCGTCAACAGTATCTATCTACATACATGTGTGCAGATATTGGAAACATTTTCGAAATAAGTACCTCCATAAGAGAGCTCACGTAGCATCTTTGCCATGTTCCGTGTAAATGATACTGATGCCATACAACAACTTCATCATAGCTGGCAAGGTTCTATGGTATTAATTAGAAAGGAAGAAAAATACTGATATCGTATTTGTTTCATTTCTTCAACGATGAGTGCCTTATGGGTTTGTTAGGGGTTTGCCGTAAAATACCTTGCATCTAAGCTTGGTGCTGTTCGGAACCCCGCCTGCCCGCTAAGGGGGACCTACGAATTCATTATAGAGCTTTCCTATCATCCCTTCGTCAGACCTAGACTAGTAAAAGTTCTACGCCGACTTAGTATAATATCAATTTTTGTGCGAAGTGGTTCTAGTAGGCTTAAACATCTACCTACTTAGACAAGCACAAGCAATATGCATTCAATTAATTTAGGTTTGCGCGAACTTAGGGTGTCCCTGTTCATAGTCCCCATCATAACAATTACTTAACAAGTACATATAGCTCATATATACACCTATAAGATACGCACATGTATACTTTAACGATCACAGAGGTATGAGATTATATGGTTCTGATATTACCTCGCTACCCGTCTGGTGGATATACTATTAAACTTAAATATTTTAATATCTGACTAGATCACCATGCGAAACTTTCCTTAGGTTGGTTATTCGCTTCTAGCTTACTATAAATGATGTAGGTTGACTCCGAGGGTTGAGCTAGGATGGGGGCATCATGTACCTAAATGACGATGTTTAATCAAATGCGATAATCATTTCTTAATTGCCCAATTTATAAATGGAGGAAGGTCCTGGGCAGTTGCTACTGCTACTACCTTGATCTATTCTGATTGGTTTTAAACAGGCTTGTGTGCTATTTCCTTCTTTCTTCTTCATCAATTGCCCTAATTCGTATCATCTCCCAAGGTTGAGCAGTTGCTTTCCATAAACCACACAAATGCACCTTTAACAATACCATTGTAGGTTGTATTATATAATCCGTGGGCGATACGATATATCATATACATGATACATACTTATATGTAGTATGCATCCTAGGTACTACCTAAAGTTACATCCTTCTGACATGCAACAATCTTTATCAATCAGAGGTTTTATACATGTATACGGGGATATCTTTCTTTGTAGATGTTACTAGAAATTTCAAAACACCCAAATACCAAATAGCAAAGCGTAGCGACGAGGACACAGTTTTTGTTTCCGAGTGAGCCTAGAGCTCGTGCACAAGCTGATAGGCGAGGTACTTATACGTTTTAGGATATACACGTACGTGCTAAGGGCTTAGGTATACGTTAGCAATGGTCAGAAGGTACCTGGGGAGGTACTTAGTACGAAACATGGACCTAACAAGAAACAGCATGCACGCTAGCGTTACCTAGGTAGCCTAGGTAGCTACACGAAAATGCTAGACACACAACTGGGGGCATGCCTACCTCAGTTCGTACAGTACTTCGTACCTCTTACCACATTGTGAGGGTAGTAGCCAATCATAGCCCCCAAAACCCAGCTAAGGGCCTGGTGCCGCCAAGACCTTTGCCCCATTTTGCCCGTCCTGGCTTTGGCGTCCTGACCTCACAGTCCTCTTCCCGTATCCCAGGGTGGCCATTGAAGCGATCTTCCCAAAAACTCCAAAGCTTCCCAACTTTCCACCATTCTCCCATCACCACTCTCGTCCTGTCCTGTCTTTCTCCCCTTATCTTTCCATCACATCATCCACCCTCTCTCAGCACTTCCTCACATTCCTTCTCTTGGGATTCAGACATTCACAGCAGCATCGCAGCCTCGTTCCATCCTCTCATTTACCCTCCTTTTGTTAGTCGCAAAAGTCCACGCAATCATCCAAAAAAGAAACCCAACTACTACTACTACTATCAAGTAACCAAGTTACCACCAAAAGTTTTGTCAACCAACAACTAAGCTAAAGCTTCAAACCGACATTGGCTCTCGCCTTCACCATTCATCCAATTATACCCAATTTTTTGGCATTATTCGCACCCGACGTGCAACTTATCCTGCTTAAAACGTAGCCCGGCATGGAGCAGCAACAGCCCGCTCCTCCTCAGACGGGGGGCGTCCCCGGCCCTACAGGTCGTCGTCTTCATATCGCCCATCGCAGGAGTCCATCCGAGCTTACCCCGCTGATGAGCATGTTCGCAACCCCTGGAAGTAAGTGATCATTCTTATCAATCACCTCATGCCGAATTCCTTTGTCGCCTATGCTCGTCGTCGGATCACCCGCTTTGCCGTTTACTGAAGCTAACCACGATGCTTTGTCTTGTAGTGGAGCAACTTGCTATTCAGCAGCAGATCGAGTTGTTGCAGCAGCAGCAACAGCAGATACAGGCTACGCACCAACAATACATGAATATGGGAATGATGCCACCGGGTCAGCTCGGTCCCGGCGGTTCCTTCAACCCTCTACAGCCAACCATGACCAACATGTCACCGCAGACGGCTTTTCAGTTCCCCAATCAGCTTCCACAGCAGCAACAAAACGTCCCTTTGGGACCACCAAGTCAGCCCATGTCGCACCGCCGTAACCAATCGGCCCTCCCCAACATGGGAATGGGACCACCGCCGGCTCCTTCCACTGGAGCCTCCGGGTCCAATTTTGGGCAATTTGATAATTCGTCTGGTCAGCAGAATCGGGAGAACGCTCCTCGAGGAGGGCGAGGTGGCGGCTCCGGTCACCAGCGAAGACACTCCTTAGCTTTGGCTGACGCCAAAAAGGCTGCTGAGCTTGCTCAGCAGAAACGAACGACCTCGGGCTTCCAGTTCCCGGCTGCGGGTCCTTCTGAAGGCACATCTGCCGAAGAGGCTAAGTCCGTTACTGCGGATACCCCTATAGCACAGGGCTCATCCATTCGCGGCGGACGTGGCGGACATGGACGGAGCCAGAGCATGGCTGTCAATAGCCGTGGGGGTAGCCGTGGTGGCGGTTCCATGCATCTCAATAATAACGAAAGTGGCGATTTCGCTCGCCGCGGTAGTGCCGCAGGCGGCCATGCTCGAACTTCTTCGCGCAACTTTGAGGGTAATTGGCGTAACCAACAAGGTCAAAACCAGGGCCAGGAGCAGGCTGGTCAAGGTCAGCAAGGCTTTCAGCCTGGCCATCGTAACCGTGGCTCAGTAAGCCAGTCCATCTCTAACATCGGATCATTCCAGTATCCAGGTCAGCCACAGCTCATGCAGATGCCTGGCCAGATGCCGTTAATGCAGATGTACCCTGGTCAACAGCTCAACCCTATGCAAATCAACCAACTCCAGGCTCTCCAGGCCGCTCAGATGAACGGTCAGCATCTCGTTGGTCTTCAAGGGAGCCAGCATGCGCCACAGCTCAGCGGTCAACAATCTCAGCAACAGAGAAAGACACTCTTTACCCCGTATCTTCCCCAGGCCACATTACCCGCGCTACTTGGCGATGGGCAACTTGTATCTGGTATTCTCCGAGTAAACAAGAAGAACCGCAGCGATGCGTACGTAGCTACTTCGGATGGTCTATTAGACGCGGATATCTTTATTTGCGGTAGCAAAGACCGTAACAGAGCTCTAGAGGGCGATCTGGTTGCAGTTGAGCTGCTTGATGTAGATGAGGTTTGGTCGCAGAAACGGGAGAAGGAGGAAAAGAAGAAGAGGAAGGATATCACCGACACGCGGTCTGGATCTACCAACGGTAACGGCCAGTCTAACAATGGTAATGGGGAGGAGTCGGCCAACGGCGAGGGAGGAATCCGTAGGCGTGGCAGTCTCCGACAGAGGCCTACTCAAAAGAAGAACGACGACGTGGAGGTGGAAGGGCAAAGTTTACTTCTCGTTGAGGAAGAGGAGATTAACGACGAATCTAAGCCCCTTTATGCTGGGCACATCGTGGCCGTCATTGAGCGTGTTGCAGGTCAAATGTTCTCGGGTACACTAGGTCTTCTACGTCCTAGCAGTCAAGCTACCAAGGAAAAGCAGGAGGCAGAGCGAGCAGCCCGGGACGGCGGTCGATCACACGACAGTCGCCAACAGGACAAGCCTAAGATTGTTTGGTTTAAGCCTACCGATAAGCGTGTTCCTCTTATTGCCATTCCCACTGAACAGGCCCCCAGAGACTTCGTGGAGAAGCACCAAGAGTATGCTGATCGCATCTTCGTCGCGTGCATTAAGCGATGGCCAATCACATCTCTGCACCCCTTTGGTACCCTTGTCGAGCAGCTCGGCAGGATGGGTGACCTCAAGGTCGAGACTGATGCTCTTCTACGTGATAACAACTTTTCATCCGACGAATTTTCGGAAGCTGTTCTACGAAGCGTTGGCCTCCAGGACTGGTCTGTTGCCAAAGAAGATGAAGCTTCCGTCAGTTCTCGCAGGGACTTCCGCGGCGAGAAGACCTTCACTCTCGACCTTGCAGGTACCGGAGAACTTGGTAACGCTGTTCACGTCAAAACCGAATCGGATGGAAAGATTGAGATTGGTATTCACGTCGCCGATGTTATTCATTTCGTCAAGCCCAACTCTCTTGTTGACCGCGAAGCTAAGAAGCGTGGTACCGCTGTTCACCTTGTGAACCGAACCTGCGCTCTGCTCCCTCCCAAGATCGCGTCTGAGCTTGGCACTCTTATCCCAGGTGAAGAGAGATTCACCGTTAGCGTTGTTTTCCGCGTGAACCCACACACTGGCGTAGTCGCTGAGGGTGACACTTGGATTGGCAAGAGTATCGTTAAGAGCAACGCTAAGCTGACCCTGAAGGAACTTGACGAGGCTCTATCGAACCAGACTGGCTTTACGCACGATGTTGTTCAGGTTAAGGATGTCCAGATCCTCAACGTAAGTGGTGTTTTCATTCCTTTCTCATTGTAGAAGTATTGCCTAATATTGAATGTAGGCTGTCGCGCAGAAATTCCGTGAGGCCCGTTTGGGCTCTGAGGGCGAGCCAATGGCTCCCCTTCGACTACTTCATCAACTCGACGATGAAAACATCCCTATCCAGCACAACATTTTTGATTCCACTCTTGGTACCGAGCTTGTCGAAGAGCTTTTGCACAAAGTTAATGCATCCGTCGCTCAGAAGCTTGCTCAGGGTCTACCTGAGAAGGCTCTTCTCCGACGTGAATCACCACCCAATGCTCGTCGCCTACAAACTTTTGCAGAGCGCATGCGGGCACTTGGATATGATATTGATACTACGAGCAGCGGTACAGTACAAAACAGTCTTTTTAAAGTTGATGACACAGACATCCGTAAGGGTATGGAGACGCTGCTGGTCAAGACCATGCAACACGCCAAGTACTACATTACTGGCAAGACTAACAAGCAGCTCTGGCCTCATTTTGCCCTGAATCTCCCTCTTTATACACACTTTACTGCTCCCACTAGGCGATACGCCGACATTATCGTCCACCGTCAATTGGAGGTTGTCCTTTCGGAGGGCAAGATTGAATACAATGATGACATTGAGAATTTGGTGAAGACGATTGAATCTTGTAACACCAAGAAGGAATCGGCTCAGAATGCTCAAGAGCAGAGTATTCACATCGAGTCATGCAGGATCATGGATAAGAAACGCCAGGAGGTCAATGGTGATTTGATCAGCGAAGGCATTGTTATCTGCGTTTATGAATCTGCTTTTGATGTTTTAATTCCCGAGTGGGGCTTCGAGAAGCGCGTGCACTGCGACCAGTTGCCGCTGAAGAAAGCCGAATTTAGAAAGGAGAAGAGAGTCTTGGAACTTTACTGGGAGAAGGGAGTTCCTAGCTCGGCTTACGTACCTGAAGACGAGAGACCTAAGGCTGGCGCTTCGCAACGCATTTCTAATGCGATGGCCGCTGCTAGACAGGCCGAGGAGGCCGAGAGAGCTAAGAAGGAACGTGAAGAAGCAGCTCGGAAGCAGACGAAAACTGAGACTATTTCAACCGATGACGTTGATGCCTTATTTGACGATGAAGATGACAATGGATCGGATATTACCGAGGCTATGGCTGGCGCATCATTGGCTGAGCGCCCTACCCAAAGCGTTCCGGGTTCCCCGGCTCGATCTGTATCGAACCCGGGTGTCCTCCATCGTACAAGATCTGATTCGAAGGTGCCCATGGCGGAAGCTGTGGAAACCCGCCTAACAAATAAGGAGAAGTATCTCAAATTTTTTAAGCTGCGAGAAGAAGGCGGCGATTACATCCAAGATGTAACAGAAATGACTCGAGTACCTGTGATCCTCAAGACGGATCTCAGCAAGAGCCCACCGTAAGTCAATCCTATTATCAGTCGAAGACACAAAGGCTAACAAAGAAGTAGTTGCTTAACGATTCGTTCGCTTAACCCTTATGCTCTCTAAACTCATCCAATGATGATTCGCTCAGCTCGATATACAGGACGAAGAATAGTAGAGCACTCGAGCGTTTTGGCATGTTATTGGGAATCACTTAGAGTGAGGCAGCGAAGAGCGGGGAAAACAAGGTAGATTGTAAGGCTGTAACGTCAGCCGGTACCCGAAGAAGTGCATCTCTTAATGTGTCGATAAAAAGTGTTTTTTTTGGACAGGCAGATAGAATTGGTAGCTGCCGCAGTCAACAGATATATGAGATCGTGCTAAGTACTAACTAAATCCGGTTATGTTTTTTCTGAATACCATCGTATCACATTAAGCCACCTGCACTTGTCCCGATGGAGGTCAATCAGCGATTTGGTCCAGCAACATTGTCTCAACAGTTGTCCCTGTAAAGCCTATCTAGGTACCTTATATATACAGATCGCCTTCAAGGTTACTCTGCTTTAACTATGGGATGAATCTGATTGTGTACAGGGTCAGTCCTACGAGTAACATGTATTTGTGCTAGTTTCCCTACAGAATCATCGCAAGCAGGCCCTCAATTGTGCTATTTATGCGGGTCGGGTACATGAAGCACCTACAGCAGGGCGTCAGACAGATCCGGTTAGATGGATCTCACGGATGTGCCACCTACCACAGCTCCCGCTGTTTTATGTGCCTTTCCGAAAAATGGCGACATTGTCTTTTGCTTTTCTTACCCGTAATTCCTCAAAAGCCCGATCGACGTAGATTTCCTTGACAGTCCCCCCCTCACGTGCTGCTTCGTTAAACGTTTGGAACCGAATTTGAGGGGATGGGCTAGGTTAATACCGAATCTCGCTTTACACCGCAGCACGGATAATCATATTTATGTACATATGGAATATGACTAGGAACATGTCGATCCAATATACTCTGTCTTCTCTTTGCCTCTTCCCTCTATTCGGATCGCTGAGCCTTAGCTGAGAGTAAGTAAAGATTAGCGGCGTTGAGAAACAAGCGATACGACATTTGCCCTTCCTGTCATTTCAACTCCGTCTCCACCAATGATGACCCTAGTCGGCGGTCTAGGGTACCAAGTCCCTGGATTAGGTACAGTACTACCACATTGTACTTGCAAAATAATGCCCTTTTCTACTCTAGCTTATAATTAAGTATAGCACCTAATCTAAACAAGAACACTTTTGACATACAGTAGGCAACGGTTAATGTTAACTCCATCGTCGGATCTTCGTCATTATCTATGATCTTTCTACGGCATCGATGAATCTCCGAGGCCTAAGACATACATATACCGTAACCGAATCTGGCAGGATCTGGGAGCGAGTAAGATCCGCCATCCTGTTGCCAAGCCGTGTCACAACATTGCGCCAGTGCGTCGTGGATCTTAAGTATACCCGGCAGTAGACGGTTAAAGCTACTACTGTCACTGCATCACCGTCATTTTAAAGCGATGAAGAAAAAAATACTAAGGAACGTGGCAGCGGACAAATCAATCGGGATACTCAGGTCTCCAGTTTCAGAGCTCGGCTCGTTGGCCGTCCGCCTTGTGAAACGGCGCCTGAAGCAGACTGGGCTCCAAAATCCCATGCTTAACCCCCGGTTCCTTTCCCCAAGGAGCTAAATGGCCCCTTGGTCGTCCCCACGACGGCTCTTGGCTGTGACCCTCCTTAACCGAATGAACAACGATCCGAGCCCGGACCTGACAAGCAGCCTTCATCTCAACTTTAAGCTATGAGCTTGATTGACAGCATCGGTTCTCATTGGTCCGAACGAGGCTTACTTTTCGTCTTTTGTTTCGTTTCTTCCTCCTGTTCTGTAGGCTAATCCACTTCCCACCACTATGGAGCCCTGTTAACTAAGTGATCCCAAGCCTACTATGGAATCTAGATTGCCCGGGAGTGCTAGGGGTGCCCCCTTGATTCTCGGAGACGGAAGCTCGTGGGAGGGATGGGTATCTGTAAATGAGAAATGCCCATTCCTATGTCAAGGAGCCTCAAGGGGCCGATGCTTAGGATCGCCCTGTCCATTGCCGGCCTGCAGTCTTTCCGGTACCCGCAACGTCTATCACAGCCTAATCTACCAGATGGCGAACTAGTTTTAATGAAGCGACGTTTCCCACATCTGAGGCTTATTTTCTTCTCTTTCCTTCTCATCCCGTACATTTCGTGTCCAACTCCGAACTCAAAGCGCTGGTCTGCTTCCCGCGGGATCAACGTCTTCACTCTCCTTTCGACCTCTTGTAATTCTTGTAATACCCAGGTGGGCCTTTTTATAGAACAGCCAAGCTAGTCTTGCTTTTCATTCACTTCAATACATTCTCTTATACTATTAACGACGTTTACGCTGTCGATATTTACTCGATTTACTCGAAACGAAACGGAGACGAAGACGATAAAAAATTACAAAACCGACTCTAATCAGACAAGATGCCTTCCATCATGAAGACTACAGGTGTTGTTGTAGCGGGATTGGCGGCCGTTGCTAGCGCTCTACCAGCTCATCCCAAGTTAACCGCGAGACAAAGCCACATCTACAACCTTTCCAAGCGCCAAAACGCCGCTGCCGCTGCTCTTGGCTTGCAAGATGTCGACATTCTGCAATTGTATGTGACATACATCATTCATCGTATCTATACAAGTAACTAATTAGCTCATAGCGCCTTGACCTTGGAATGGCTTGAGGCTTCCTTCTACCAACAAGGATTTGCTCAGTTTGGCGACGACCAATTCACTGCTCTTGGCTTGAACGAGATCCAACTTGCCGATCTTAAGGGTATCGGCTCCAGTGAACAGTCCCACGTCGGTCTCCTACAAAGTGCCATTGCTCAGGCCGGCGTTCAGCCCGTCCAGCCCTGCCAGTACAACTTCGGGTTTACTGACGCGGCGGGCATGGTTGCCACCGCTTCCATTCTCGAGAGCGTTGGTATTTCCGCTTACCTCGGTGCCGCACCTCTTGTCTCGGACAGCAAGATCCTCAGCACTGCTGCCTCTATCCTAACCATTGAAGCCCGACACCAGTCCTTCATCCGCATTGCTTCGGGAGTCGCTGCCTCCCCCTCTCCCTTCGACACTCCCCTAGGGCCCAAGGCAGTCTTCTCCCTTGCTGCCCCCTTCATTCAGTCGTGCCCCGGTGGATCTAACCTGATCCTCACCGCTTTCCCGACCTTGACCATGAGCAGCCCCGCACCGGTTGCTGGCGTCATGGCTCTCGCACAAGGCACCATGCTCAACTTCCAGAGCGACGCCGCCTCCGGCGCCAAGTTCTGTGGTTTCACCAACTCCGCTGCTCCCGGTGGCACTGCCTTCTCCCCCTTCGACGCCGCTCAAGGTTGCGCTCTACCCCCCAACCTAGCTGGTACCGTCTACGTCACTCTCACCAGCGCCGGTCCCGCCGACGGTGTCTTGACGGATGACATCACGCTCGCTGGCCCCATGGTCATGAACTTGAGCTAAACATCTTGTCTCATGCCAACAATAACGTCAACATAGGAGGAAGAAGCAAGCAAGCAGGTGGTGAGCTTCAATTAATGAACGCGCCCCAATACCCAGGAGAGCGCGAGTCTTAATGTATTACGGTTTGGGAGGAAAGACGGGGCGCTGCATTTACGCCAGACAAGGATTTTCGAGAGGAAAAGAAAAAAATCACGAGCACGCGGGGGCGCGGTGGTCTCGGTAGCTCGCATAGTACCGTTGTACCATCCAGCCAGCTTAGACAATATATCTCGTTTGCGTCGTTCTGTATTTGCAGCTCGAGCCCCGTTTTTTTATATGTATGTAATCTACTACCACAGTCCGGATCCCGCCTGTATATATACCACATATAACCAGAGACCAGGCGTCGAGGGAGAAAGGGATGGGATGGCCATGGCGCAGAGAGGAACCGGAGTTTTCTTTTCAACACCTTTTCTTTTATTTTGTTATCAGACTTATTCTTTTTTATTCTTAATGGACGAGGAGGGAAGATGATGATTGGTATAGGAGAGAAAGAGAGGTGGCGATACCCAATAGCGCGGACTAGAAGGTTCGGTCTTGTTGACTCGGTCTCTATCGAGGGGCTTGAGTAGAGATTTTTATGAAAAGAACACTTTTCAAATCATCGTTTGTTTAGCACCTTGGTGTATGTAAAGTGATTGTAACTCGCTGGTTCGAGACTCTTTTTTGTATGTCTGTCTATATGCCTGATGTGATGTAGCACGTAATAACATGTATGCTGGACATCCTTGAATAGATTAGGTGGTGGCTAGTAGGTGTTGTCCTTATGAAAGGAGGATAGATAGCCTTAGGTGTAACGAAAGTCTTATTCTTTCACTTACGCATATAGAAACATATTCATTATTTAGATAACTACGTGGGTATCTATATAACTTATGATTTGAGAAAACTATGCTTATACGTCCCCTTTTGTGCCTGTTTATAGCCGTAGACCGTGAACCGCATATAGACGTTCGATATAGAATTAAAGGCTTCAAGAACTAAACACTTAACAATATGTTTCGCTATTAAAATCTATGCGCCGTGTGAAAGTACATACTATTATCATAATAAATAGACCATATTCACAAGGAGTAATGCCATATACACTGAGAACGGAATGGATATTTCGTTATTGTTTCTACCCCCAACGAAGAGATCCTTATGGTGGCCTGGGGAGTAAGTCCTGTTTGATTTCTTCATCCTCATGCTCGTATGCTTTAAGATGCTCAAGCTTGGCCATATGCCCTCTCTGGTTACGAACCCGTCGCTTGAACGTCGTGTAAGTCTCATCGCCTTGACGATAGTCTCCGCCTGGACCTGCGTCATCTCCCCTCGTAGTTCTTTCTCTTTCCGAAACATTCCTTAGCAACTATCGTCAGGTAAACGAGTCCAACCCTAAGGCACACCATTCACGAACACGTAACCGCCCACACCACTCGAAACTGTTTACCACTACTGACCAACACTCCTCCCATCTCCCACCATCTTTTGAACTTTCACATCCACCACACATCCACTCCAACCTTCTTCTTCATCTTCCCAGAATACGAGTACAACACAACCAAGGACCACCAAAGCAAGTAAGCTTACTCAAGTTTTCTTTCAAAATTCTATAACATAAATCCTTATGATGAACCTATCGGTTTGAGCCTGTGGAAACAGGCGATGATGCTATCAAAAATAAGCGCACCATTCGGTGCGCTGGTAACTTTTCTGGACTGACGATCTTGCTATTCATCCTTAACACTCTACCTAACCACTTATTTGGCTCAGTTGCTAACTCGACGGTATAACCTCAAGTCAGAGGTAGCATAGGTCTTCCACACCCGATCGGAGCACCACTTTTCTCTTGTGAGATTCCAGCCTCCGTTGATATTCGAGAGTAAGTGCTAGATTTTATTTTCATCTCCATCTCTACTCTAGCCTATGATGACTTGCTTATTCCAATGCTGACATCATAACCTGATTGATCCTGATGGTAGTCTGAGGCGCTGTCAATAAATAATTTTCATTTATCTGTATTCATGGTAATGATATATCACTGACATATTTTACAGGCCTGAGGCCGAGAACATCAATTACCAGCTTCGCGCTGTCAGACACCAAGATTTCGAAAACCATCCCCATTGACGTGTGCCGTCGCTATCCCCACATCCAACCCTTGAGCATCGTCTCTGGCCCCCTTTCAGCCCATTTCCGGACCGGCAACCAGGTGGACAGTGACGCGATGGCGGTCCTACCCATCAATTCAGTGGACTTGTTGATCTTGACCATCCAGATATTCAACCTGGTCATTGCAATTGCTATTCTGGTGGAGATGGTCATGCTATGCGGCATGCTTTACAGCATACTACGCCACTGGCTTTAATCGGTTCTAATAATCATAAAATCCTTTACCACTCTTCTTCCCTAGCCAGCCAGCATCGACCATCTTAGTTAGCAATACACTAGGTCGATATTTAGAATCTCCCGTTTCCGTGTAAAGAACCTTCATGATAGCTAAACATGTGTCGAGCCCGATGAAGTCGGCGAGCTGAAGTGGCCCCATGGGCACGTTAGTACCATTCTTCATAATCGCATCAATAGAATCCCTGTCGCCAACACCAGTCTCTAGACATATTACTGCTTCGTTGATATATGGCATTAGGATTCGGTTTGCTAGGAATCCCGGTGAGTCCGCGGACACCGAGGGGATCTTCCCCATGGCCTTGCAGAAAGCGACGGCGGTATCCAGTGTCTCCTGGCTTGTTTGTAATCCACTAATAATCTCAACACCTTTTTGCACAGGTACTGGGTTCATAAAGTGAGTTGAAACTACACGAGAGCTTGCTGACGTATCGGTGGGGTCCTTGGTCGTCGCCGCGGCGATTTTCGTTATCGAAATCGACGATGTATTAGTCGCGAGAATAGCATGTTTCGGGCAGACCTCCGCTAACTTCGCAAATATGTCAAACTTTAACTGCGGAATTTCTGGCACGGCCTCAATTACGAAATCGACTTTAGAAAGCTCCTCGATAGCCGTAGTGGGCGAAAGGAGAGATCTCGCCGCATCCGCTTGCTCTTGGGTAATTCGCGACTTCGACACATCTTTAGATAACAGCTTCTCTAGGCAAAAATAAGTATTCCCAATTCATTTCACGAGGGGCAACATAGCTGGGAATAGCACAACAAACCTGCAAATCCCAATCCTTTATCGAGAGCAGCTTTAGACGAATCTACCAACGTAACAGGAACACCAGCTCTCTGAGCTGCAACTAAGGCAATTCCTAGCCCCTGAGGAGTTGTGAGCTTGAGTCGTGATAGCTCCAAATCACATGCGAAGGAGACGGCTTACCATTTGACCCGCTCCTAATACACCTAGACTCTTCACCTCAGCTGCATATCGAGCTGAGCTAGAGCTGAAGTATCTGGCCGTCATGGCCTGACGACCGAGCTGTACGGCTCTTATTCTTCCAATTGCACTTAGCATGATGTTATAGATTCAAAGACTACTTTAAAAATTGAGGGAACGGAAGAGAGTTATGAAGATGGTAAGTTAAGGTGAGGAATAGACCGGACGGTTACCGGATAGCCTCGGGTTACGGCTATCTGTGGGGCTAGATGGCTTTGTGAGACCTGAGACTGACGTAGTTCTAGCGTGTACCTGAGTACCTAGGTACCAGATCGGTGAAAAGGTAGCGAGCGCCGATGGGCTACGATACAGCGCCTATGCCCCGCTATTTAGCGTAAATAGCCCCACTATTAGCGAACAGATTAACGCGTTACTCACTAAATTAGGACGCGCTCTGTCGCGTTTGCAATTTATTTCGATTTATTATACCAACTCGAGCTGCCCCCTCTTGGCATTGATGACCCTCTAAGACTGAAATCGTGAAGAGAACTCTGGCGTAGGAATTCAATTCCTTACTGCCAATATGGAGGCTTCAGAAATTACTACCGATGTAGTGCATCCCGAAGTTCGGGCGCATATCAACAGTCTTGTCTCAGCTGTTAGTGGGCTTCCATCGCAACCCCTGTTTGAATAGTCAGTACTGATCACGATGTTCTAGCTTGGTGGTTTTAGTGCCGACGATGATGGACGATACGTGCTCGGTGATTCCGCATTGGAAGTCCTTAGAGATATTAAAAAATGGATTCGATTTTACGACGAGAAAACGAACCGAATGGACGTCGCGCGATGTCTTGCCGAAGCGAACGTAGTCGACGGCGATTTACTACACATCCTCGCCACATGGCCCGAAAATGCGACCGATAATAAATTTAGAGCGAGAGCTGCTTTGGCATGCTTCGAGATCATGGTACCATTGACTTGGCCGTTGGAACGAGATCTCGAACAGATGACCGTAAACCACCACCGACATCTCCCAGTGCTACAGCTTGCCCAAATTGGCTATAAACGTGCTATTATCAACTTCGATGCCGCCCAGATCCTCCATACCGCCGTACGAGTCGCATTGCCTTCGATGGCCCTCTCCCGAAGCGATCGATCTACACGCGACGAGGGTATCATCAAACTAGTCCTACTGTTTCTACGAAATGTGGCTATGATCTCTCCGCCCCCGGGTGTTAAGTACGATGGCGACGAATCGCAAATATCCCGTTCGGCTCTGATCGACGCATTTTCCTACCAAGATATCCTCCTTACTCTCCTAACAATAGCGTCGAATATGGGCGAGGACTTCAACCAAGAGGGTATCATTGTGATGGAGATTATTTTCCATCTGGTTAAGCGAGTCGATGTGACTAAGCCGTTCATGGACGATAAACAGCTTGGAAAAGCACAATCAAACGAATTGACAGCTATGATGAATAAGGAGGCGGCCATGCACCGACCATACAATCGAAAAGCTCCTTCGAGACATAACCGATGGGGAACCATGATCTGGGTGGACCGAGGTGATGGAAAGGTCTCAACGGTCACTGGCCAGGATGCTCTGCTTGATGCGGCCACTAGACAATACAAGATGGATAATAGCAAAACATACCGACCCCCGCGCAGACCGAGAAAGGAAGAAATGGAACCGAAGGACCTTGGACCTCCTGTATCACTCAATGCCCGAGCGCGCCAACAACTTAAGGCGTTTGTGGAGGAATTCTTAGATTCTGGCTTCAATCCTCTGTTTCTGCACAATCGGAAGAAACTTGATGAGCAAAAGGATTACGTCTTCGAATACCACCCGCGACAATTCTTCTATCTGGTATCTTGGTTTTTGGAAGCCGAGAGAGTACGGAAGAAGGCGGCGAAAGATAGCAAGACGAGTAGCGCTGAGGATATTGGGTCCTTCAATCTTGTCGCTGCTGTGCTAAATCAAGAGATGTTTATCACCTTAAATAGGGCGATTGGCGATTCGTTGGAAAGTAAGCGATGGCCGGAGTTATGTGCAGCTATGCGATGCTTCACCCAAATTCTTCTGACAGTTCAAGAGATGTCGGAGTCCGGGAATGAAGACGACGAGGAGATTGCGGAAAATATTCTCAGTCGTATTTTCTACGAAGAGGAAACACATGACCGAATCACAAATATTGCGAAGAACTACAAGGATCAAGGCTTTGATTATCTCGATGCATGCACTGAGCTTACACACACTTATCTCCGTGTCTTAGAGGCTTATTCGAAACAAAATGTGGATATGCAAGTGCGGTCACGACGACGAGTCCGAAAAAAGAAGAAGGCCGCGAACGCTGCCAGAGAAGATGAGGAGAACCCCGTTGAAGATGTGGATGATTCCGATAACGACCAAGCGAATGCAGAAAAAACGTCTAGGGAACGAAAATTCGACTTCAATCGCTTTGTGAACCGCTTTACTCCTCAAGGCGTTGTCGATACATTCGTCAAATTCACGAAATACTACCAAGATCTAGATGAGTCTCAATTGAAACGGGCGCATCGGTATTTTTACCGTATCGCGTTCAAGCAGAATATGAGTGTCATGTTGTTCCGGGTTGACATAATACAATTATTCTACAGTATGATAAAAGGCCAGGAACCTTTAGACAAGAGTTGCTCAATGTACAAGGAATGGGAAGAATTGGTGAAGCAAATTCTCAAGAAGTGCATCCGCAAGATTGAGGAGCGGCCCCAATTGATTATTGAGATGCTGTTCTCGAAAATCAATGCCACGGCACATTATCTCGAGTATGGATACGAAAAACAGACCTTATCAACGGCACAATCGAGACCAGGAGCTGAATTGGAATTCCGACATGTCGTGGATAGAGACCAACAGATCGCGATCGCAGTCGGTGTACTGCTGGATAAAAACCTAGAAGATCATATCAATTGGTTGAAGGGCCAGCTGGTTACTGCAGAGGTTGAAAGGAGAGCCTGGGAAGCAGCGGAAAAGGCACTACCGTCAGTAGAAGGTGGAGGGGGTGAGAATGAAGGCGAACAGCAGAATACAGAGAGTGCTCTTCCCGCTAAGGAAGCTCCCCCTGTTTGTAAGTCATTTTATGCTTCTGTTCATGAATTGCAACTGACAAGACCTAGCTTTACAACCGGATCGCGACACCCGTCGCATCGCCATATTCAAAAATTCTCAACTCCGTCTCCTTATGAAACTCGCCGGTTTTGAACGCCTCGTCCCGTCAGTTGAAGAGACGGTTGAATCAGCCTGGGTTCTCCCATCGAATATTACAGCCGATCAGATTCAAGATACCCTAGACTTAATTAAGAAAGCAGAGTTCAGCCCGCCAACCTTCGAAGACGGGAAATTGGCTGAAGATCAATTAAGAAGGAAAGCGGCGCCGCGCAAGAAAGCTGTCTTCGACGATGATGATGGGATCGCTAATGATGACGATGACGAAATCCTATTTCCCGCAGGAGGTCCGACGGCGCGGAAAGTTGCTGATGAATTCTTAGACGAGCCGAAGAAAACTCGGAGAAGGAGACGTAGACGCGGGTCCGATGCCGAAGAGCCAAGCGATGAGCAATTACAGGAGAAAGCGAAAGCAAAGAAAGAACGCGAAAAAGCGAAGGCGAGGAGGTTTAAGAGTGAGCTTTATGTGCATGCGAGTGATGATGAGTCGGATGAGGATAGTGGGAAGTGGGCTGAGTTTTATAAGAATGAGGAGAGGATTAGGCAGAGGCAGAATAAAATGGCGAGGGAGCAGGGCGCGGTGGGGGTTGGTACTGTTTCGGCGGCGGCGGCGACGAAGCCGGAGACTGTGGAGAAAGTTAAGACTGCGGGGAAGGAGAAGAGGAAAAGGAAGAGGAAGGCGAAGGTTTTGGAGGATGAGAGTGGAAGTGGAGGTGAGGGTGAGAGTGCGGAGGATAATGATGATGATCTTATTCTAGGGAGGGAGTCGGAGGATGAAGATGATAGTGAGGATGGTGATGGTGATACGCCGTTGTCGTCTAGTCCGCGCGCGTCTGTGGCTAGCGCGAAGAGGAGGAGGCTGTCGAAGGAGCCGTCTGTGTTGTCTACTGCTACTCCTACTCCGGCGGATGGGGATGGAGATGTGGATATGGAGGATGTAGATGAGGATGAAGATGCACCTGTAAAGGCCGCCGCTAGAAGGCCGAGGGCTAGAGCGGGCTTTGTGGTTGATAGTAGTGATGATGAGGAATAATGAAATTAGGTATGGATGGACTGCATCGGCCTGGCGTTATGGTGCGCTACTGGGTTGCTAGGTTGGCAGTCTACTGAATAGGATACTTCTTAATGCCACATATTGATGAATTCAAATCAAGCACATCGTTCAAAACTGATGAGAATAGACTTGTGAAGGATAGTTGAATTATGTTTGTAAGGAGTGACTAGCTCGGTAGCTCAAGTGTCCCTTGTAACATGTCCAAACAGCTCAATAATAAGTAATAACTATCTACAAGAATAGCCATTCATAATACAAAGACCGCATAGTGTCTGCTGAAATCCGTCATAATCCCATTATTCATCGGTCGTTCGCATGGACAGGGATAGGCCAATTTAATCCTTCTTCTATCAAGACTGTTAGTGTAACCGAATACATGGGAGGAAAGGAGTATGATGGGGACCAACAGGGCAGTTGGTGCAGCCGCAGTTGTTCTCACACTTGCAAGTGCCGGTGCTGGCACAGCTGCAGGCGCCAGAGTTGTTGCAGTTGCAGGCCATTGTGTATGATTGTGGGTTTGTATAAGTTGCGATTTAGAGATGTGATGTTGCAATGGTGTCAATTCAATCGCTGATTGGTTGGTTGTGATCGAAAAGGGTAATGTAATATGACTTTGAGATGGTGTGCCTGGCCATCAAGGTAGGAGACAATGGCCTATTTATATAGCTGGGGTACTGCCCCCGGTTGACATGATTAATAGTGCTGAAGAACACCGGGGAATAGGTACGTAGCTAGTTACTAGGCCTCAGGTGTTGGAGTCTTTGTTGAATGGCGAGGCAGGCTAGTTGAGATCTCTGACGACATTGATACGGGAATAATTCACCCCATAATGCTGTAAGAGAGACGTCAGTGGCCCCAGTTCCGCGCCAGCTGGGCTGTGCCGTGGAGTGGGAGGAACGCGGACTGTCCCGGATTGAGTCTAGGGGGCTGGGGGGGTTGACTAATGAGGGACTCTTACATAAGGAGTATTATTACTGCTATCAAGTGCCGATTTATTATTCGTTACGAGCTTTGATCTTTAGTCACAGGGTACGCAGATTGTTAGGCTAGTTAGTATAGTAAAGCCAGGCACTGTGCATAATAGAGAACTAGAAGACTTTCAAACTTCATCGTATTCAACACGCTGGCTATGCTGTAGCAACGCTATCTAGCCGCTCCCCTGTCAATTCTAGGGCTTCCATTCGTTGCTCATCGCTTATGTTTCAGTTGCAACTATACCCGGATTCCATCTGTCCGGTTATCCATCTACACACTCATCATCCTCCCCATATCGTAGGTAGATACCTACCAATAGTGATTTAAGTCGCACTACTATGATAAGATAGAATCATAAAAAGAACATGGGGAAGAAAAGGCCGAACACTAAAAAGCTAAATAAATAATAAAAATTAATCATTTATGCCTTTGTTCGCTGGCCGTAGGCCTTAGTGACGTAATCACCGTCCTTGACGATGAGATCCTCGAGACGGTAGTCGTGCTTGCCGGAGAGGTAGCTCTCGAGGATGGCCTTGGTGCCGGCGGCGTATCGCTTCTGCGCGTCGATTGAAGTACCCGACATGTGAGGGACCATGGCGTTACCGCCACCGAAGGGGTTCTTGGCGTATCGTAGTGGGTGGTCCTTGGGCGCTGGCTGAGGGAACCAGACGTCACCACCGTAGCCGCGGAGGTGGCCGGACTTTAGAGCCTCGGCGACGTCTTCCTTGACGACGATGGCGCCGCGGGCGGTGTTGACGAGCCAGGAGCCTAGTTCGAAAGTTAATTACGAATGGAAGGGGTACGTGAGGGGATGAGAACTTACCAGGCTTCATCTTAGCAATCAAGTCCTTGTTAAACAGACCACGCGTCTTCTCGTGCAGCGGGCAGTTAATAGTAACGACATCACTCTGCGCAAGCAACTCCTCAAGAGTGTCAACACGGCGTGCACCAATCTCCTTCTCCACCTCAGGCTTCAGCGGCTGGTAGTCGTAGTACAACAACTCCTTACAGTCGAAAGCCTTAAGGCGGCGCAACACACGCTCGCCGATACGGCCCACGGCAACTGTACCCACGACCTTATTCTCGAGGTCGTACTCGTTCTTAGCGGCTGCGGCGACTTCCCAGTCGCCGGCTTCGATCTGCTCGTGTGCGGGCACGAAGTTGCGGACTAGGACTAGGATCGTCATGACTACGTGCTCGGCTACAGAGACGACGTTGGAGCCGGTTACTTCGGCGACGGTGATGCCGCCGTTGGTCTTGTTGGCGGCATTTAGGTCCACGTGGTCGGATCCGATACCTGCGGTGACGGCGAGCTTGAGCTTCTTGGCTTTGGCTAGACGCTCGGCTGTTAGGTAACCGGGGTGGAAGCTGTTGTCAGGTTAGTCTTAGCTATCCCTGACGTGCATCACATTGTTCGTGATGTGTAATATGTTTATTTTTTTCCCCCGTCTCGCAATGTATCTTTATGTTGTATTGTATAGTTATAATTGGAATTCAGGTGAAGGAGGTCAACATACGGAGTGGTGATGATGATCTCGGCGTCAACGAGTTCCTTGTCGAAGGTGGAGTTCTCGCCCTCCTTGTCGGATGTGGTAACGAGGGTGTGACCTTGGTCTTCAAGCCATTTTCGGATGCCAAGCTCATTCTCGGTTGTTCCTAGGAGGTCGGGAACCTATAATTGGGTGGAAGAAAGAATACGTTAGTCTCTTCTTGTTGGAAAGTGGAGAGTAGTATAGATGGAGTATAGAAGGGTTGGGATTCGGGGATTTGTTTGTCTTCTTCGGTTCCTCGTCGAGTAACACTCTATTACCCCACAGTTCCGTTATTATTCTCCTCTTACTCCTCCTCTTCAAAGTACAACCAACCCCCTGTCCTCTTTTCCCCTCTCTCTTTCAACCATTACATCTGCCGCCCACGTCCAGTTACCAAAGACAGACCATTGCATGCATGTTTCAGCCAATTGCGTGTTGGGATCGTGTAATTGGACGATCCAACTTGCTTATGGCTGGAAACAGGTGCTGCGGGGAGAGACGGCAGAATGTAGAGAGATCTATGTATCGATTGCGATTGAATGTGGATCCGGGCAAAAAGAGAAGCAAAACCAGGAATAAAAAGAAATTATTGCGAAGGAAATATTGCTTTTTTGGCTTACCTGTTGGGCGTGAATGCCACCATCGTACAAAACGGCTAGAACTTTGACCTTTTCACGTTGCGTAGTTAGTAAACGCGTCGAGGCTGGTATTCGTGGTGGAGGGTGGAACGAGGGCGCGGGTGAACTCTTGGATATTGCTGGGGCTGCTGTCGAACGTGACGTCAGGCCAGCTCGCAGCGCCGCCCGCGATCCAGGTCCAACATCGCTAACAGAACGAGCTGCTGCTGTGGTTGTAGAAAATGCCCGCGCTGTAGAAGAAGAGATGGGACGAGTGCAGCATGAAGAGAGATGACGAGTTAATAATACCATTTTGAATTATTTTCTTCCTTTAGCGATGTTCTATATCTTCAACGAGGTAGTCTAACGGCCGTAAGCGTTAGGAAGGTAGGCAAGTCGAGGAGGGAGTGTTACACACTATTGCTTTTGCGGTGAGAAGCGAATTGGCGTTTCTGGATGAGCTTCCCGGTATTGATGATTATTACGGAAGTATGAAAGTAGAATGATCAATAAGAAGCAAGAAAAGCAGGTCTATGACGGGGGGAGGACTATCGACCATTTATGTATGGGAATTGATCTGGCCTCGCGTACAAAGAAGAGTAGCATAAGACCTACTCGAGAAGGCATTGAGGGGACCACAACGGCATCTTTTGTCCGTTAGTGTTTAACACCCATAGCATAGCTCGGGAAACGGAGGGGTGGACACTACTATCGGAGAATGTTTTAGCTGCTTGTTTCGAAATGTAATGTACTTGAGCTAGCTAGACGTAGATAGTCCCGCGGTGCTCAATGGTTTGCCTATATTACTCGATCATGTAGTAGTCTCCAACTGTAGCCGCTAGGTATGCACAAGAGCTAGGAACGGGATACATGAGCGAGTGGCCTTCCACCCATTGCAGATTCATGTACACAGTGGACAGTAAGGCAGAGGTACGCCAGTCAAGCTAGGCGGGTATAGGGACATATGAGGTATTCCGGAAATGCAGTTAGGGGTTCATTGTCCCTCGCGTCTCACAGCCCTTTGAGCGCATCCAACCCGCGTGGGACGTGTATATCCCGAATATTGATCCAGAGAGATTCGGCTGCCCGCCGGGAACCGCTCGGTGATGTCTCGGTATGTGAGCCAAGGGGTCCCGCACCTTTTTGGGATGCCCCTCGCCCTGCGGAGTTAGACGCTAGTGAGCGCCGGTCAAAGCCATCGATCGTCAGCTGAGTTTGTCTTTGTCGTCCGAGCCTCTGGCGATTTTATCTGAGAGCCTAGCTAGAAAATATAGATAGTTCGAATTTGCTACGGAGCTCGAACGTTATTATAATACTGCGCGATATTCCAATGGACGATGTCGAATAATAAGAAGCGTCACATAGTTTAACGATACGTTGTTGAAGCTACCTAGTTGTTAGGTAACAAGAGGCTATTTGCTCGGTCATCGGTGAAGTGGGGAGTATTCGCAACGAGACATACATACATCCACCTACATTTGCGGGGAAGCTTGCCAAAGAATTGGAGCTAGCCTTGCTGAGAGCGCATGAGTAAACGGCCAAGAGGAACAAAGGATAAGAAAAGGGGGTATGATCGAGGAGGGGGACCCGGCAGGTAGCGTCTCTAGATCTGGAACAATATAGGGTCGACAATAGTGATTGGCCAAGCGAACCCAACTAAGTAAGGAGATGGATACTCTTCACGTACAACGTTCCCGAGATACATCTCCAAAGCTTCGCGGCAGTTCTGATCTAATCAATGATCGTCGGTATAAGTTGTATGGACACCGGGCGAAAATGTATAGGTATATTAAGTGATAGCTCGTAATCGTAGGCACTCGGCACAATTCCACTTTCTTTTTCCCCGGGTGTAATTATTTACCCGCCCTGAGAACACAAAGCTTACTGTTACATGACTTCAACTCAACTCTTAGCGAGTCAAGTATATACCTAGGTATGTACCTTCGATGTAGGTATGTATGTATCCACGGATGTACGTGCCTTTGAAACCTCGGGATCACTCCGAGTTGGCTATCGAATGCGCCCTTGAACGGAATAAATCTGCGTGCTTGCGTTTCCCGAAACTCCGAGCTCAAGTACGCGTGCTTGGGTCATCAAGTCGCTGTAATTTTCTGTGGAACTTCAGACCAACGATGTCGGCAAACACGCGAAAATCTCCAACTTCGATACGTACGCTTCTTTTTTCTGCTTGCTGCATGCTGAAATCAATCAATTGCTTTTCCGTCTCTATCCAATTTACAAAGTAATGAACACTGCGCCGACAATGGCGATCGCTAGAATCATCCCGCTTGCTCTATTTGTTCCCGCTGCAGCAGGGACGAATGGGGTTTGGGTCGGTTTCATGACAGCGCCAGTTCCTGTGGTACCGCCCGACTTTCCTCCGGTTGTCGAGTTCGAAGAGCCAGAACCCGCCGCTGCTGAAGTTACGGGACCTGGGTTGGTCACGTTGAAGAAATTACCAGCCAGGACCTTGTCTACAAGTCCAGCCTGCGTCAAGATATCATTGGCGCTGAAGCCCTGTCGGCTCGCAGCGGCTTGTTGGAGAACATTTAAATCGTCTTGTGTAGCGTCTGATGTGTCGACTAGAAGTTGAGTGTATCGATGCGACAAAGGAATTCGCGCCGGAGGCGATGGTCCAAGATATTCCGCAAATGCCGCTTGTCCTTGGGACTTTTCGAATAGGAAGACGTTCTTACTTCCTGTAGTTGTGTTTACCGTTGTCGCTGTTGAGCTTTGCGTCAAGCCGGTCTGCAACCAATGGAGAAGTGTGTTCGTCTGTGGCGGGCTATTCGTCGGGATATCCAGGTCAATCATTAATACTGCGAATGATGTTCCGTCCACTTTGGATTGAGTCCCTATGTTGGGCGCCGTTTGAGTCGCTAAATGACCGTCAATAACTCTCATTCTGAGCACGGGTGAGATCCCGAGCCCAATTCACTTACCCGCTTTTTCTAAGACATTTCCGCCTTCCGCTGAGACAGTGCCGAAATATACATCTAAAGTAGACTCGGCCGCAGGTACGAAGCCTTGAGGAGTAGCAGCTAGCGTCGCTGACGCCGTCGCAAGAATAGCAAGAGATTTGTACAGCATTTTGATTATATGACGAGGGTAAAAGAATATAAATATGTACAATTAACGCAGATTGACCAGCAAAATTGCGGAGTTAATTAGATTTTGAACTGATTTATGATACAGATTCAAACCCGGAATTGATCAGACAGAAAAAAAGAGTTTCTGGGGAATGATTTTCGGGATGAAGGAGATATTTGAATAAGATTATCTATCTCTCGTACCATATTCATCGACCGAATTGCACGAGAGGTACCTTGCAGGGCGACTCTCGCAGCGTGCCATCAGATGAAACAGAGGACGCGCAGACCTGCGACAGCGCCGAGAATTGAACATGGGCGACGACGGTAAGGCGGGCGGACTTGTCTATTATGGACTTCGGCTGCGATAGCCTACTAAATATTGCCGATGCCCAAAGATCCTAGAACTTAAGGGCAATGTATTTTTCCACCGAGAAGTATTATCGCAACATTACTTTCATAAGCTTGCTTGTCGGCTTGCTAAGCAGCTCATTTCGGTAGGTAGTTTGGGGAGTGTAGAGTGGCCACTATCGTCAGTGTGCTTTAGTGATGATCTCTTCCGCTATTAGTCAAGTCTCGAGGTGGAAATGTCTGGGGCTGCAAATCCCCGACAATAAAAGTCTTCGGTTTTGCCAGAGCACGGCTTTTGTGAAATTATTAATAGAAATGTTTATATATTTGATGGAATTAAGGTTTACGTATCATTACAATGTTTCATTGTATTTAGTTTCGTTTTGGCTTTTAACTTATTCGACTTGTTGTTCATTGAACTTTATGATGTAGAAGACCGTTCCAAAAAGGGAAAGGCACTAAATTTCACAACTAGGGTCCATATTATTATGCATGTGATATGATCGAATATCAGGACCCTGACTGCCTTGATTACATGCCAATTAAACTTAGAAAAAACAACATTTCGTTATATATCACTTTAATATTATATATATTCACGATCTTTCACATTATCAGCCTCTGGAGATTATAAAAGACATTTTGTCGATCTTCCTGAACCCTAGAAAAGGCAAGAAGAGTGGTCGACCTGTAGCGGAATGACACAAAGCCACTGAGATTACTCAAAAAACGACCTGTAATAATTCTATTTAAACCCCTTAGTGTACACCCAGTTCGAGCGGTTCATCTTCAGCGGAGATACCTACTGCCTAGGTGCTTTTTTACCGCCTGGGATCCATAATAGGCATTCCGACTCCGAATTCTGAAGTCTGCCTTGTTCATGCGAGAAGGCTGTGGTTTATGACCATAACCACGGCCATGGTCATGATGGTAGGATCTATTCAAAATAGAGAAACTAGGGTGGCATTGTATGAAGGACGGTCATGAACATGTTATGGCCTTTTCCATGGTACTGGCATCGAAGTTTTGGGAAGACCAACGGCGTTTACGGTCGACATTCCCTTGACGATTGGCTGCAGGTGAGGTTATGCATAGTGAACCGGCTGGCGAAGGAGGCCTCGGGGGCTCTCATTTGCGGACTCTCCATAACGCCCACGGAGATCATCAAACAAGTCGGCTGAAAATGATTTCCGTTTTTTTGTTGTAATTGAAGCTAAGCCATATTATACCGTATATAAAACTGGTGTATTTTGATACTGCTAACGCTTTTTTTCAACAAAACAGCTTGTTTTTAATGCGCCAGCATTATGCTGTAGCTTCCGAATTCTGAGGTATCTACCTACCTAGGTGGAAATTTAGGTGTTTAGGTGGTTCATCCGTTCAACTTGTCACTGTGGCTGCATATTGACCGTCTGAAACAAGCTGTCGGTTAGCCACACCCAATTGTTCTTTTACTCACTCCCCTACCGTTTGCCCGGTCACACGAGCCCTTCGTTTATCGAACGTGGTAGCAAATTAGTGGCCTTGGATCTGACAGCATCCGATAGCGTTTCCCTCACTGAGATGCTGCCCTCTCACAAGGGAATTAGGCTTGTTGGTAGGCATGCCCACAGTTGCGGCCGCCTTGTTCGCTACCTCCGGCTATGGGGTGCCTTGAACCCGCTGTTTAGGCCAGCAAGCTACCTCAGCTCTTTCCTTTGTTATCCCTTCTATTACTTTAAATTCATCCATTGATCATGCTACCATAGCACTGTTGCTTCCAGAGACATCTTCATGTCTTATCGGAACAACAAATTACTATCAAAATAAATCCATCGCTTTACGGAGAGAGCCTTTCATCATAAGGCTATCTCTTTCACTTCCCCGCAATCAGACTTATTTCATGCTGATAGGCTTCCTGCAGTATTCAACCATCTCTATCAGCTCTCCGAGATATAGTGAGCAATGAACCGGTAGGATATCTTCCATATTCCCATCAAAACAGCCCATGGAGCAGCCATTACAACTTTCCTCTCTGTCCTGCTTCCTCTACCTGACTGACTTACATTTCCAATAGAAACAGGCAGGCGCCGAACGCCAATCGGTGCAACCAATTTTTCCAGAATGGTACATGCAGATTTGGAGCAAGATGTAAGTTTCGCCATGAGACCTCATCATCCCCAGCGGCTTCGCCTCAAGCATCAACATCACGTCGGGAGACGCAGGCTCCAGCCGAGGACAAGCTTCGAGAATGGAAGCGATTATTGAACCACAGCCCATCAAACCCACGTGCTATACGATCATCGGCCTTCATGAACCAGCAGGCGTACGACCGATACTTCAAGCTCGCTCTAGAGCTCATGGAAGGAGATATCGGCGCTTCACAAGCGACCGTAAAGCTTATGGCTACAGATGATGGCCTTGGCTTCATCAAGGATCTCATTGAGCGACAAATTCCCCAGGCCATAGACAGGCCCACGAAGATACGTCTATATCTAAACCAGATACAACCTATGTTCCAGGTTCTCACCCATACACGCGTTGTTGATTCCAATGTGCTTGAGCAACAAGTCGCCGAGATTTATAACTTCATCCAAGGGATTGGAGGACGACGGATGAGAAGCCTATTTGACTTCATCTTGGGCTTACTCGATGTTTGGTCTACTCTACCTAACTTGGCCGAGAAGGATGAGTGTGGAATTTCCACCTGTGAACTTTCGCTCTCGATATTGGCCACGATGATTGATTGTGCTACGAGTAACATCGTGAATGATAATTTTGAGCATATTGTCAAGCGATTCGGAAGTTTAGTTCAAGCCGCCACTTCTTCATCTAACGAATTCTCGAAGTTGCAAGCTAAGAAATTCCTACAATATCTCGAACAACGTCTTGGAGTTGGCGCCTCGCTTTCTGAAGCTAAAGTAGGGAAGCCGGTGCCAGTGACACGGTCCGAATTTGTTATGCGAAAGGATCTGCCGGGGCGACTTTCAGCAGATGGTCCAAGGCACGATAACGATCATGATGATATTTGCAAAATAAGAATTCTGCCCACACACCAAGAAATAACGTCTGTCCGTAATGAATACCTCCCGACTACAGATTCATCTCTGTTTCATAGACCTGGGATTCATGGTCGCCTGGATAGGGAATTTCGCCTATTGCGAGAAGATACCGTCGGTCAACTTCGAGACGCTGTCAGCTTGCAGCTTGAGGCCATGCGAAATCCCAAGCGCAAGCAAAACAACGGGAACAGGAATGCTCTTCGTACTTACGCCTACGAACAAGCTGCGATCATCGACGTTGGATTTGATAGAAATACAGGAATGGATTTACTAATTCAATTTCGGCAACCTATATCCAAGAAGAATATCCGCCAACGTCGAGATTGGTGGGAAAGCTCTAAACGTCTCCAACCTGGCGGTCTTGTCTGTGTCCTTTCCGAAAGCGACAGCGTGCTATTCTGCGTGGTTGGTGATGCCACTATCGTAACAAAGGGACAGAAAGGAAAAGCCAAGGTGGAAGAAAACGAAGGATCTAAGGATCTATCTCTTGCTGACGATGAAACTTCCGCCTATGTGCATTTACAACTCGCCGAAACCCGTCAAAACGATATTGGCCAAGCACTACGGTGGTTTCAGGACGTTTCTACCAAATGGTTGTGTCTAGTGGAGTTCCCTCGCGTCCTTCTTCCCTCATTTCAGCATACGCTCATGGCTCTTCAACGCATGTCAAAGAAATCAAGTGTGCCATTTGACGACTTGCTCGCGCCAATTGAACATAATCCAACGTTTGATATCACTATGGTGGGCCCTCCTCAATACACAACTAAACGAGGATTTTCTTTCAACCTTCGATCCCTCACGAAAGATGATACGGAACTGCAACATTCGCCCCAGAAGCCACTCGACCCTGAAGTGCTAGCAAAACATTCCGTTCTTGATCCTACTCAATCCAAGGCTCTTTTAAATACGTTATCGAGGAGGTTGGCGCTGATCCAAGGCCCACCTGGTACTGGGAAAAGTAAGTCTGACATTCTTTATACACCATTTCCTTCGTGAGGCTTCCTATGGGGCGGTCACGGGTGATTGATGGTGGTATTAGGGACTTCAAGGGAACGAAATTAGCTAATATGAAAATATAGGTTTCACCGGCGAGAAAATAATCAAAGTGTTACTTGCGAACAAGCGCCAGGCTGACCTCGGGCCCATCCTTTGCGTATGCTATACCAACCACGCCCTTGACCAGTTGCTAGTCCATTTAAAGCATGCCAATGTCAAAATCATCCGAATCGGATCTAGATCCAAATCAGAAGAGCTTGAGGGTGTCAATCTTCGTGCCGTAGCCCGAATCGCCGACCGTACCAAGGCTGAAAAGGGATCCATGTGGAATTTAAGTCAAAGTCGGAATGAGGATTCTCAATCAATAAAAAATTCACTCCGAGAACTTGCAACCTGTCAAACTCCGAGCACACTTCGCGATTACCTTCGAAAAATTCACCCACACCACCATCAGGCTCTATTTAGCTTCGAGGACGAAGAAGGATTTATACAGGCAGGGCCTCGCAAACCTGGACAACTCCTTGAACAATGGCTTCATAGCGGTGGTGAAGACGGTTCACATCGCGATATCAACAGTCTTCTAGGTACTGAAATCTGGTCTATGCGCAAAAATGAACGATTGCGCCTTTACAAACACTGGCTACGAGAAATACGCGACCCGCTTGTAAACAACGTTATCAGCAGATATAAGAACTACCAGAGTACCAAGGATGAGCTAGACAAAGTGTCTCGTGACGTCGATTTACGATGTCTACACGAAGCGGATGTCGTTGGCGTTACGACTACCGGTCTAGCGAGGAACATCGAGCTTCTTCAGAAATTGAGATGCAAAGTTATGTTGTGTGAGGAGGCGGGCGAGGTTCTGGAGGCACATACCCTCGTAAGTGATGTTAACAATTTTTGGGGGTTTTCCCCCAGATTATATATGATATAATGCCTCCTTGTCGAATTCAATTTGGAGCTATACCCCCAAGCTCCTTGCCTGGCGAAGTAAATGCTGACTCATTTTTTATAGACGGCCCTACTCCCATCTGTCGAGCATGCAATTCTCATTGGTGATCATCTACAATTGAGGCCACAGATAGTAAACTACGAACTACAGAGTACTAGTCATCGAGGAGCCCAATACTCTCTCGATACTTCGCTGTTTGAACGCCTAATCGAACCTTCGTATGATACTGACCCAAGGCTACCATTTGATACTCTGGAGACGCAGAGGCGAATGCATCCAAGTGTCTCGGAATTAATTCGATCAACTTTATATCCTGGACTGGACGACGGCGGTGACGTGCACAAATACCCTGGTGTTCTTGGGTTGAAGAAGCGCTTATTCTGGATGCACCATGAATCACCTGAAGATCAAGCAGCCAATCCAGATCCAGCAAACACTTCGCATACGAATACTTTCGAGGTTGAAATGACTATAGCTCTCGTACAACATCTCGTCAGGCAAGGATTATACGCCGCAGATGACATCGCAGTCATCACCCCTTATCTAGGACAGTTGAGTCGACTTCGTCGCGAGATGGAAAAACTGTTTGAGATCTCTGTTGGCGACCGTGATATGGAAGACCTTGAAGCTCTTGACGCAGAGAACGTAACAGACGAGAGCCTGGTTGATCAACCACATAAACAACCCGTCGTCAAGAGGACATTATTGAAGAGCATTAGACTCGCCACTGTCGATAATTTCCAGGGCGAGGAGGCTAAAGTCGTGGTGGTTTCACTTGTGAGAAGCAACGAAGCGAATAAATGCGGATTCTTAAGCACGTCAAATCGTATCAATGTGTTGTTATCTCGAGCTCAGCATGGAATGTATCTCATCGGCAATGCCAACACCTATAGGCATGTTGATATGTGGGATAAGGTATTGCGAATTCTGGCGCAAAATGGGAATTTAGGGACTGAGTTGGAATTACAATGTGAGTGCTATCATTCTAATAACAGTGATCAATGCTAACTTTAACTCTCATAGGTCCGCGACATCCTAACCCTGACGAACCACTTCTAGCTTCTAAAGCCGACGATTTCTTACGACTCGCCCCTGAAGGAGGATGCATTCGTCGCTGCGACCGGCGTCTGACATGTGGGCATTCGTGTATCAATAGATGCCATCACGAAGTCCTTCATAACGCCGTTAAATGTTTAGAACCATGTCCTCGGCCCAAGAAGGGATGTCAACATCCATGCAAACTGGTCTGCGGCGACCCTTGTAAACCCCGATGCGACGAGCGCCTACAAAACCTGAACATCACTCTTGCTTGTGGCCACAAAATTTCGTCGGCATTCTGCTGGCAGGCACAGGATCCTAAAGTTATTATTTGCAAAGAGATGGTCAAGAAAACTGTTCCTGGTTGTGGTCACATAGTCGAAGTGCCCTGCAACACAGACGTTAGTCTAGACACTTACAAGTGTGGTCATATGTGCCTTGATCCTCGACCTTGTGGCCACTCTTGCCGCAGTTCATGCTGGCAGTGTAAGCAGAGGAAAGATGGTAAGGTCGACAGTACCAACCACGGGATCTGCAAACAACCTTGCGGACGGCAGTACACGACTTGTCAACATACTTGCCGACAAGAATGCCATGGTGGAACCCAATGTCCTCTTTGCCCAGCACCCTGCGAAGTTCGTTGCAGCCATTCAAGATGCAGTAAAAAGTGCCATGAGCCTTGCGTACCGTGTGCCAAAGAGACTTGCGAATCGCATTGCGTCCATTCACGATGTACCATGCCTTGCGCTGCTCCTGTATGTTTCAACCCCTCTCCTACTTTTATCTCTCTTTTAGTCCATGTTACATGCTAGGACTCTCAGCCCAAGTGTTTTTTTTTTCATTTTATCTTGGAAGAGGACCGTGGCTAACTCTTATTGCCATAGTGCGACTGGGTGCCTTGTTCGAAGAGATGCGACAAGGTATTGAGTTGCGGACACCGGTGCCCATCTATATGTGGCGAGACATGCCCCGATGCGAAGTTTTGCCAGACGTGCTGCTCCGAGTCTATAAAATCGCGTGACGTAGATTTTATTATGGGCATGCAATACCACGAAGTCGATCTAGATGACGATCCTTGCATTTTCCCGGACTGTGGTCACTTCATTACCATGACGAATATGGATGGCATTATGTCTATGAAAGATTATTACGACATGTCCGCTGAGGGAAAGCCTGCCGCCATTGCAAAATCCTCCGAACCTTTTTCAATGGATGAGGTCAAAGCCTGTCCCACATGTCGTGGATCCCTGCGAAGCGTTGCGAGATATGGGCGAATTGTCCGGCGTGCTATGCTCGACGAGGCCACCAAGAAGTTTATTAGTTGGTCCCAATCGGAGTATGCTAAACTTGCGGACAAGCTGCTTGATATACGGGAGGGCATATCGAAGTTCTCGCCTCCCCAGATTTTGCAGCAAGATACGAAGTCCAAAAAGAAAATATTTTCGACTAGTCGCCTCAAGCCCCTAGGCCTCATCCGTGAATGGGTGGGCGGTACCAGATATGATGAAGCTTTCAGGTTCTGGAATGGAGTCAACAATTTTATTGGGCAAGTGAGAAGAGAAGAACAACCCTTGCAACGTGTCCAAGACTTTGTACAACACGCCGCGAAACAGCGAGCAGTTCAAGGAGACTTCGTCCTCGACGAAACGATCATCCAAAACAAAGCTCACCTTCTAGCATGCTCACTCTCCCTAAGATGCGATGCCCTTATTGTAACCGATTTTATGGGGCTACGAAAAGACCTACTTGAGTCTCGACCCAAGATCGAACTAGACTTCTCGGTGCAGATGAAGGATTGCGGGATTATGGCGGAACGCGCTATGACGACAAAGCACCCTAGACAAGAAGCCGAGGCTTATATCTACTTCGCTCAGTTCTGTGCATTCAGCCGGGCGCTCACTACTGGTGATGAATCGTCGGAAAATGACTCTAGTAAAGTAAAGATGGAAAAGTTTAAGGAACAAGGTACCGACTACCTTGTTGCTGCTTGCGCAATAGTGGAAAAGCACCCAGCTCAGAGCAAGGGCCTAATGGCCGAGATCGAGGTTGTATCAAAGATGCTTCGCGATAGTGTGTTCTACGAAAAGGTATCCGCAGAGGAAATGCGTGCCGTATACCGGGCAATGCAAAATGAGTTTCTTGGAACGGGACATTGGTACACATGTGAGAACGGGCATCCTTTCACGGTCGGCGAATGCGGGATGCCAATGCAAGAGGCTAGGTGCCCAGAATGCGGAGCAGCCGTCGGCGGCAGAAATCATGCGCCTGCTCAGGGAGTGCAACACGCTGCTGATATTGACCGACTTGCTCGTCAAATGGACGGCATGGGCATTAATTAAGCCGGTGCCCCTAGCTAGTTGCCGTGCTAATAACGCAGGATTGTGGACAGGACTCATAGGGATATAAAAATTTACTTGCCTATCAAGGTACCGTACCTGGCCATCCCCCATAACATACGATCATGACATGATTTCGTTCCGTTTTGTAGGAAATTTATTCACCATAAATACCTATTTAATACCATTAAGAAAACTTAGTCTAATGTGAAAGTTGACCATGGTCGCCTACAATTGTTTTGAGGATTTCACATCGTCTCCGACATGTGTAAGAGCAGAATTGTCATAACAACAAAGGGAAATTTCATATTGAAGACTACATATAGTACTTATGGAGTATGCTCAATGCCCCTCTCATCTATCTGCCTTGTGTATGAGGCGATCTAGAAGATATGTCCTACCCTCCCCATCCAGTACACAACGAGAGACAAGAAGGACCCTCCCTCATTTCGTTTGTCGGGAGCCCTTGAGGTATAACGACCGATAGCCAATAGGTAGGTTGGTAGGTATCATCCACCCAACTATCTTTTCCTCTCTAGAACCCCTTTCTTCACTTTTATTTCTTATCTAGTCAAGAAACAACGGGAATATTGATCTAGTATACCTGGACGGTTTCCTTGAGGTTGGTAGCGCCGACGATAGGGCTAGGCGCGTCCTTGGACTCGGCAGCCTCAACGTCGTCGTCTTCCTTCATGCCACCGAGGATCATGGAGCTAGGGGCTAGGGCCTGGATCTCGGGCGGGCTGGTGAAAGCGAAGAACTTCTCGTCGTGCCATTGGCCTGCCGTGATGTATCGGCCCTCGCTGTCGGTGAACGGGGTGTCGTTCTCCGCGCGCAGGAAGTATGCGATGGAGTAGCGGTGCTCGGTGGGGTCCAGGGGGACTACGCGGTGGATGCAGGATTGCATCGTGTGGCCGCTGGCGAAGCGTAGGGAGTCGCCGACGTTGATCACGGCCATGCCGTCCTTGGGCTCGACGAATCCGAATTCTTTGGATCCCGGAGGACGTACTTGGAGACCCCATTGCTCGGCGAAGAGGAATGTGAGGGAGCTGATGTCGGTGTGCTTCTGGTGCCCGATGTTCTTGGCTGTTGGGTCGGATGGGATGTAGTGCATCATGGCGATGGTGCTGGTGGAGGGTTGGTCGTTGCGGTGGGAGTTTTCGAAGCGGGCGGCGCCGGTTAGACCGAGGCCGGTGGAGAGAGCCGCGAGGATTGTCTTGGTGGCGATGTTGGCGCCGGCGATGGCGTGCTCGAGAACTTTCATGTCGGGGCTGTTCTTGATCACGGCCGGTAGGTGCGGGCTGTCCTTTTGGATCTCGTCGCGCGAGACCTTGATCATTTCGTACCCGTCCTTGGTGTTGTCGAGGACACCGGTGCGAGAGCCGATGGGCTCGTAGCTTTTTTTTCCTTCTGTTAGCAAATATCCGAGCGATCGGGATTTTCAGTAACAAGTGTTACTCACCCGAGGTGGGGAGCGACGAGACCGAACTCGTTCTTGGCCTCAAGGGGCGCATCGAAGAAGCGGTACATCAGCTGGAGAGTGTCCTGCTGGTCCTCGAGCATGCGGCGACCGTCAATTCCTCGGAGGTCTAGGTAGAAGTATCCCTCGTCCTGGCAAGCCTTAACCAGTCTCTCAACCTCGGCAGGCTCCTGGGAGAGCAGCTTGGAGAAGTCGATGATCTCCATAGGGTAGACCGGGACATTCTTCCCGTTCCACACCTTGGTCTGCGGGACAGTGGTTGAGACACCCATGGTTACTACTACTTGCTTTCAGGTAAGACTTATTGTGGGATACGAATTGGTTGTTGAGGACGACGTTTTCGAAGTTTCCTCCCGCTCGTCTTCTTTTGACTCCCCCTTCAAGCTCCTGACAGCTTCAGCTTTATAGGCAAGGCGATGACGATAGGAGACAGTTTATCGGAGCGCCATCTTCCATATCCTTGGAGAGTCTGATGTAACTTTCCCCTCCCCCCACACTGCCTCTTTTCATTTATCCATCTGCATCCCAGATGTCATTGATAATATTCGCGTCTCCTCCCTCCTTCCTCTTTTCCCATCTCCACCAACCACCATCTCCGCTCTTGGTCGCCTACACCCAAAGACAGATTGGGGACCGTCTAGATTGGGGTGCGACACCACCCTCTTGGCATCTTATCGTTATCGAAAAGGAGTATAAGCACTTAATCTGCAAGTTTAGCCGGCAGGGGAACTGGCGTACCTAGATCGCTGGCCCGGCTGCAACCCTCCGCATTATTTCTACCCACTCACTTACTTAACCTACAAAACGCGGGTTTGGCTAGCAGATATCGGGGAACCCTGCTTTGGAAATGCAGGCATGGCGCCTAGTCGGCCTCCCAAGAAAGGTGTCATATATATTATACACCCCGCCAAGGCCGGCAGATGTTTCTGCTAGCTCACCTTTTGGGGGTCTTTGAGTTAGTTTCTTACGACGATCTCGAGTCAATAGCAGTCAACTCCGCATTCGATCCAATGCCTTGGCTCCCCAGCTATATTGGATTTCTACGCCGTCGTAGCCGAGGCCGGCGATGCTGTTGTTCGTTCGTCAGGGACGAAGCTTACGAATACGGCCTCGACGTGGAACGTTTCCCCTCACTTGTCAACCCGTGGTGATATATTGGATGACGAGCTAAATAGGAAGTCCCCACAGGCCTTGGACCCCTCGTGACGATCTGCCATGCCAGAGTGAAGGATACGCGAGGACGAGGACCGAGTCGAGACTGCGTAAGTCATCGCTTACTGATAAGAATTGCGACTGAGTATGGAACGATCTTGATATATCGGGATGTGTATTCCAACTTCCTGGTCCCATTCGGTTTGTATATTGGAGAGGGTTTGTACGTAATGGAAACTTGGCGGGAATAAAGTAGAGATATTGAATTGAAGCTTTTCAGGGCCGTGTTCTTTATTATCAGGGTCCTTTGCTGTTGCATGATTCGACCGCTTGTTTTACGTTTATGGACTTCATATGCTGATTTTCTTTAGCCCATTGAAAGTTCGGATGGTATTTCGAAATGGCATGTGAAGTACGTTATCTAAATCATGGTTTTATATTAATGGTCATAGTGGTGGCGTAATCAAGCTCGTATATTAATTGACAATAATTTTAGATGATATCATATTACTGTTGGGATGCAATAATAGCATTGCCTCATAGATTGTAGTTTTCACGATTTTGATCTCGACCGGGCCTGAATTCTTTGATAAGTGATACTTATCGGAGATTATTCCGTGTCAGGGTATGGAGAACAAGTCAGGTAGCCATGCCCATGCTTTCTATGAGGCTGAGAGTTGTGATTGTATGCGTATTGATGTGATATCTTCTCTTGATAGACTTCGAAGCTATATTGAATACCAGCAGTGGAAGAGGGGAGAGCAATACACCTGGGGAAGAGAGGATGAGACTCATACTATCTCCCTCCCGCATAGGTAGGCGATTCTATATAATACGTATCGCTTACCTACCTAAGGTATCTAATACATAATTTGGGAGCTTAATATAGTATCGCTTACCTAGTAATTAGTGTGTTTTCGTCTTTCCTTTTTATTTGGTGGACGATATACTCGGTTCCGTCCCCTCGTTCATATTTCTACAACTTTATGTTGAAGGACATATCGCATGCCACTCATCGCGCATCTCATTTCAGGTTGTCCTCCGTGGTTGCAAGGTGAAATAGCAATATTTAGCTCAGGTTAAAGATTGCTACACTCCATGAATCTCCATGGATGATTGCGGTAAGATACCATTCCATAACTCCGCCCCCAGACAATGAAGTCCCCGTTCTATCACACTTAAACGCCGCTCTCCTGGAATGAAACCGTTTCTAAGACCTTTGAACTCGGCGCTGTACGTCTATCCGCCTAATCGGACGAGTCGGGAGAGCCACCCGTGTTGGCGCAGTGTGGACATCTTTCGCCGGGCTGTTCGACCGTCAAATGATCTTCATACTCGTCGTAAAACGGGCAATCCCGACTGCCTTCTTTCTCGCCGGCGCTCACTTGCGTAACTCTCCAGACGTTGCACGCTTGAAAGTGATTGAAGACCAAATGTCTCTTCGGTGGAGTCTTGCGCAGGTTGCAGTCGTACAAGTACCAGACCTCATTACACATCGTGAGTTTCGTTTCGCGGAAGGCTTCAGTCTTCGATGTTGTAAGGCTGCGACGAGACTCGTGTTGAGGAACTGGAAAAAGGCTATTGTTGTATTGAAATGCAACTCGATTTTGCGCTGGAACCCGTCCTCCAGCTTGCGGTCGCATCGAGCCTTTTGAGTCATGCATGAAGAGCGAATCAATCACGATCAATGTCTTTCCGACCGTAAACAAGAAAACATACATATGTAGGTGGAATCTTTATCTTTGACTCACCTCAAAGAAAGCTCAGAGCCCGCAATCACCTGTCCTTTGTCCTATGCGCATAGCCCATGGGCCATGGTCACGTACCTGTGAAGAAATCCCACCTAGGCAACCAATTCATTGCCATGCTTCTTTACCGGTCGTACAACAGAAAGAGGGTATGCCAGAATGCAAGGACCGGAGGTTCTGAAAACGCAAGCAGGGTAGCATCTCTTGCAGGCATGACGATCCTCATGCCGCCGCGTTTCACAGTGATTGCGACATATACCGCAGTTGCTGCAGATACTAATTTTGGGAGTTGCATCGCATAATGATGTCAATGAAATATTTATAACAACTCTACCCCCTCGCTCAATCGTGGGTTGGATGATACCTTAGTCCTAGTTGGTTACGACTCACGATGCTGAATTGTGTGGTACGGGGAAAAGTGAAGCCTCACCGCCAAATAGTCTGCAGGCATGAATCATGATCATGGACAGCAACCCAACCACTCAGGCGACTATTTCGCAACGGCGAAATCGAACGAACGAACCATTGATAAGAATTATAGAAATTGATGCCAAGTATTACTTGGAATGATGAGTTTAAGAAATAAAAGAGTTTATACAAGCAATAGCTAACTTTTGGAATGTAGATGGCTATTCTATCAAATAAGATTAATCGCATTTCCTTACTAGATAGAAATACTGTCTTGATTGCGGATCTGGACATAATGCTATCACGAAGCACTAGTCTTTGCGACGATAATACCTCCCTAAAAGAGTATCATAAGGTGGTTACTCCCTTACTCCTAGCTCGGCGACAAGAGAGAAGCGAAAATGAGCATACATTTTTCTCTGTTGTACATATGGAAATATCAGGTGACTCTCTGACTGCGTCATGAACCTTGAGGCCGGGGAAATAAAAAGTGCTCACGAACCGCTCCTCGAGAGTGTGCTACCCCGGAGTTTGGAGTTTCGAATATATCAGTCATGTCGACCCAAAATGACCACACGCCCCAACAGTATATTGGCGCGGTCATTCATTTCGGTTTAGCACTACTAGTCTAGGCAGCTTACATGCGACTCCTATCAGGTTGATGAGGCAACGCTCGGAAAGTGAGCTGACGACTAGTGAACGTCAGCTAAGCCATCAACGATAGTTGCATCATAGATCAGCGCTTCGAAGTCAGAAAGGCCAAATACAATATAGAATTAGGGTCATATGATACTTGAATCGTTCCAATATCATGCGAATGTGCACTTCGTCGCGAGGTCAGATGACCGTATTTCGCGTCCATCTGAGGAATAAAGGGACCGACTGAGAAACCTATCGGGGCTCGAAGACCTAAATAGCAACCCGATACGTTGGTGACGGGGTGAGTGAGGGAACGCACACCCATTAGTCCCGAAAGTACTTTTAAGACCACAACAGGGTCTATCGCCGTACCCCGTATTGAGGGGACAAAGATTATCAAGTAGATCTCGGATTGATCGGGGCTAAGTGGGCCAATAATAGGGGCATACGGCCTTGAAGGCGGCTATTCATTAGGACGTTAGTCCACTTGAGAGCTTCACAGCTTGGTTTCCCGATTTGGCTGATACTTGTTTGATGGGCCGACGTTGGCCCAACCAAAAAGTGGCCAAAAGGGGAATTCCGCGCTTGATGGCGCAGTCGGCGCTTATTGAAGAGATCCAGAATATTGCTCTCTGTTGGTTGGTACCTAGGTAACCCAAACATATGGTTAGTTTAGATTGGTTTGCGTAGGCTCCAGCTCACGAGGCATCTGAGGCTTTTTGGTCTGTGGTTAATCAGCTGAAGAACAGCCTGGCGACGCTTAGGGAGGATAGATCTAAAATGTCTGAGACATACATGCTTACCCGCATGCTCTAACTGGGTCCTCAGCATTTGGCGCATCGAAGATCGCGCGCTCTAGTGTGCTGCAGTAGTGGGAGGACGGTCGTGCTTGTGGAGTCATCTCCAATCTTGATAAGTACCTATTACACTGTCAATTACACGGGAACTTGTCGATGCCAACCAGCACAGTCTAGGCAGAATAGAAGCGCGCTAATCCCGCATTCTTCGTGACTGAGCTGACGACGCCACCTGGCTACAAGTTGGTAGTGACTCCAGAGCGACGGGACAAGGCTTGCGTATGGCAATAATGAATTCATTTGCTCCAGTATGAAAATGGCCGATGCTCGGATATCGTTGGATGTCGTTGGGAAATACATTTTCGAGGCTGCGGCAGCAATTTGACCGAGAAGATTGATCCTTTCACACCATCTCTTCGTCACGTTATTTGGACGCTACCAAAAGGCCAAAGTCTTGGTCCTGTTTGTCTCACTCGGACAATCCAATCATTTTGCTGAAGACCCCTGCTCACCTGAAGAGTACCCTGCTTGGGGCGGGAAAAGTGCCCACGATTGGGTTTAGAGCCCTGTTCGCTAAATGCCAAGGAGGATCATTCCGTAGTTTTTTGAAGATCCTGTCCCTCTTCTTAGTGTACGTAAGTACTTTTCCATGTCGCGGCTCAGTGTTGCGGCAAACCAGATGAGTATCGTAAATTTTGCCTACGGCTTCCCCTACTTTCGCTATCGACGATCTTGACAAGAAATCAAATTGTTTCTGGATAATAAGCATGCCACGTTGACAAGCACTACCCGCACAGCCATGTTGAAATTCGGCTAGGGCGCCTTGAATCTCTGTGTCGCTTAGTATACGACTGTGGCGGAGTGCATGTTCGGCACTCGCCACAGATACTAGTGGGCCCGAATATCCGGGCCTGCAACGATGAGGCTTCTATAGCTTCTTTAAGACACGTTGACGCAACGGTGCTTGCTATACCAATGCAGCAGGCCTGTCCCCAGGCCATGCACCTTTCAGCTTGTCTTGCCCACACGTGCTTATTTCCACGCTGCACGAAACAGGGGCCTTTCGGCCGGGTAGATGTCAAGAAAGCTTGTCGAAAGTTCCAATAGGCATATCTCTTTCTGGAAATGAGATATGGTCGTCTTGTCGATCGGACTTGTTGCATTTCAATAGCTACCTCCTGAGCAAATATCTTGGTAGACTTGCTGGGTAGCCAAATTAGGTAGGTTAATCGCGTACAAGCCGGAATGGATCCATTGATGTTAGGGTGTTCTATTCTAGGACTCTTAGCACTCGCTTGGGGGATTTAGGGAGGAGCTTCTTCTCAAATCCGGTTACCCATCAAGGGATGGATTAATAACCATTGGCAATGTCCAAAGTATGCGAATAATGGTGATAATGCTAGACTCCAGATACCTAGGTAGTACATCGCATCTAGAATCTTACCCCGAGCAAAGGACCATTGCCTTCCGATAGGCAACTACTTTGTATATGAAACATTGGGATACCGAGACCGGTCGCAATACTCATTGTCGGGATACCGGAATTGATTGAAGAAATGAGACTGGCTGGACTGGTTGAAGGAACGGATATAACAATCCTACCCCATTCCCTCATGCAGAGTCATCTACGTGATCGGCGTTAATCTGTATATTAACAGTCCAACAAGCTTCACCGATAGAGAGCCGGGGACGAATTTGTTGAAAGCAACGGTGGCGGCCTCTATTGGTCAAAAAATCGAAGCTTATTGACCAATCAAAAAATTCATTCATGGATTTTTATATCCAACCCTTGGCCACTAACACCCTTGTCGGCCGTAAACGTACTTAGGTAGAGGTTTAGGGTTTTACCTAGTCGGCTTCTGGATGTAGCTTCTGCATATCCGTTGTGTCGCTGGTTGGATATTTTACGTCTGTGATACATCTAATTCCCGAATATGTATATGTCAAGGAATAAGACCCGTGAAGTGTATCAATGCGAGACATGTTGGTTACTCCTCGAAGTAATATCTTTTTCACTTGTAAAACTTTCAATGTGATCGCAAATGTAGAGTGAGGCTTCACCATGTTGGCGAGGGATACAGAAAAGGTGATGGCGAGTAAAGTACCCGTTGAATAATGATACGTCTCTCTAGAATACGTATATCATTCAACGGTACTTACTCAGATAGGTATGGGTAGGACTTACAAGCGCGTAATAAGTGGAGGTGCAAGGATACCAACGCTCAAGTCCGGTTGAACCAAGATCGCCTAAATTGGTGTACGATTTCGAGTGTCCTTAGAGACAGGAAAAAGTGAGACATGCAGACGCCATCACTCTGTGACGGGACACATAGAGGGGGTTCGTTTCTTGCGAAGCTAACCGTCTGAGACATGATAGCAAATTTTTCTCTTTTTCTTGCATTTTGTGTCAAGTGACAGAATTGACTTATGGTGATGAAGATATTTGAACATGTGTATAGTCTGATGACTGAGACATTATAGAATCAAAGTGCAGAATTGGTGGAGTTGGTAGACTTTGAAGGTCTCGACCCAAACCCCATTAAGCGCTGGGAAATGCGGGTACAGCACTGTGATGTACCTTCCTCCGCATCTACTGTTCTATAAAATAGCGAACTTTATTAGGGGCGACTCTTACCTGAAGTCAGGGATTCCTTGTTGTGTCTTTAGCAATTGCTGACAACCAAAGGCGGCCCGCTCCTTGAGATAAGGTTCCGCTAGAATTAACAACGTGATGCCTTCCACGTTGGAATTGTCAATTCAGGGAAAGTCCAATTCAAGTCGATTTCCACCGCCACTGCCAGTTGTCATTCAGCAGGACTACGTACGTAGTATTGCTATTAAGAAAGAGCTAGGTATAGTAGAAAAAGTTGGAAGGGGCTTGACGGGTTGCCTCTCGCCCGCAAATACCCGATGCGACCGGCAGCACCAGCCACTGCATCATTGCAGTTATGCATGCACAATACAAGGTACAATATACCTAGGTAGCTAGAATTTTCTTCCTCCCCGGCCTCAATCACCACTTTTTCGTCCCCGCAACAAAAACACTCACGAAATACTATTCGACAATCCTCCAACTGCAAACAAGCTCCTTGCTCGTTATCGCATCATATCACTTTCCCATGTCTTATTCCTGCATACACCCCTTTCTACCCTTTATTTCTCGTATCAAGTGTCAAATACCGCCCTAGTCTTTTGTTGACTGGACGGGGCCGGTTGAGGATTTGACTAGGTAGATACTGGAGACTGGTAACGTCGTATGACCCCATCTGTGTAGAAGAACTATTGTGGGTGGGCTCTGGAAGCACTCGTCTATACTGAGCTTGACCCAACCAGGAATGGCTCTCCAAATATCTGGGGTCTTCTTTTGACGAATAGGATCGTCAAGAGCCTAAAGCTCTCTTCTAATAGGACATCAGAATATGCACAATCCAAGACCAGTTTACAGGCATGACTGGTGCGGTTCCTCTGGCTTTGCTCACGCGCATATTGTCCGTAGTCGGGACGTTCGATTGTTTGTGTGTATGCGAGCAAAAGAGAAAACGCGTGGAAAAAGCAAAATGGTAAATCTACACCGGTGTCAGATAGAGAGCCGTTTTACTCTATACGACAACCTAGAGGAATATCCAGGGATATCGACAAAGCCGATCTACCTTACCACTCCGTACCTTGTCCGGGCTTCGGTGACTCAGCGTTCAATGTTGCTTTCTTCACTGACGTTAGCACAACAAGGTGCTTATGACCCTTGCTAAGTACCGGCTCAGGCCTGGCTCAGGAATTGGAATCTCAATGTTCTAACCCACAACGGGTCGCTTCCAACCAGACCGCACACTCGGCGATTCCATTTTGAACCCCCCAAAATGGTCGCATCTTGGCTATTGACAGGGGTTTTGCGCCACACTTGTCTAGATCTATTATTCGTCTACATACTATGACCCTTGTCCAAACCCTTGGGTACATCATCAACTTGCGAATATGCAAGGTGGAAAGCAGATGGAAAGCCCTTGCGGGCTAACAATTACAAGTATCTTCTTATATACAGTCATACATCTCTTTCGCCTCTTGAATACCTCACCTCTCGAGATACCATCTCTTTTCTCTTATTCTCAATTTGGTGGAATTTGTACATCGGTCTCTTTTACATAGTATTCCTCGTCCATTTCTCAGGTTCAGACGATTCTCTTTCGACGGATTTTCTACCTAGCTGCCCTAATTAATTGCCTACCTTTGAGAACGCCCGCGAAGCACCGGATCCTTTAGCATCTCCGACGACGGCATCCACAACGGAATCACTTTGCAGAATCACCAAAAGACGGCGCCACTAACGCTTGTTAAACGCCTCCAAGTCCCCCACAGTTCTTGTACTACCACACTATCCCCCAGCGTACCTATCTAAGCTGGTCAAGTCAACATCAGCGCCGGCAAGGTTGTCCCCCCACCCATCAATAGAGAAGTCGATTCAATCACTCCCCGACCCCGGATCACATCGTTACAATATTGTCTACTAGTTTTACCCTTCCCGGACACTTGTATACTTGCTTCTCTTACCTAATCTTGTATACTTTAATATTTCTCCTTTCATACACTTGCTCTGGAACTAGCAAGTTGCATTCGTTCCATCCTAGCCATTATTGTGTGCCTTCCCGGTTCTGTGGCTTGAGAGATCTGGATAATAGGAATCTTATAATACTTACTGGATCGTAGTCGAACGCCGCCGGCTTTACTTACCGCCCCAACCGGTCTGGAATTCCTTTGTGTCCGTCTGGTTGCCTCACTGAAGTGGTGTGACAAGTCAGCACCTAATTGAAGAGCTGTAATATCCGAATCCAATCGCAACAATATCTACTAGGTTGTCCCCTTCGGCATGCATGTCAATGGGCTTTGCCGCTGACCACCCTTCCAGGATAGCTCGTGATTTTATACACAATTGGTAGTGAAAATGGACGCTTGATGTTGATATGATCGAACCTCGAACCTCTCCCCAAAAGTTATAGAGGTAGATATGGCGTCCTTACGCGCGCGTTCGGATTCTCGGACTAGGTCGGGTGAAGAATCACGATCGAGGCGAAGAGGAGTCATGGAAACATCAAAACAGGATTTTCCACCAGCGCTAGGCCAGATCGCCCGCAGGGAGGTTGAGAATACTCGGCTTGGACTTCCTTCAACATCGCAACCCAGGGCGCAACAGAGCCGAATCCCCCAGAATGCCTCAACTCGAAAGCTTTCCGGTCAGAAAGCTCTAGCAAGGCCTCCCCTAACTCACGAAACACAGTCATGGTCGGCAACATCCGCGCGTTCCGCGGCACATGCCCCGCCGCCTTCTATACCGAGTACACGTGGACGAGGGGATCCTACTAAACCGCCTCGTACTGTTTTACGCCGGAAACAGTCAAGCATATCTCAGGGAAAGTCCAGTATGCAAAGCCAAATTCGCTCGAACTCCGGTAGGTCCGACTCATCGTCTTCGATACCAAGGTCACAGGCGTCTTTGGATACTAGCGGGAATTACTCGGATAGAAGTATCACTGCTAGTCCCGTGGAGATTCGAACAGCGCAGAGGCTCGAACTGCCGCGGACGGCGACACAGTCTCCTCAGATCTACCCTGAGTTAGACCGCTACCGGGATCTAGAATTCCCTTCTTCGAGAGATGGATTGGGTATAGATCTCCCATTCAAAATTTCAACCGAGAACCTTCCGCCGCCAACACCACTCTTCTCCGGTGGAAGCAGTCACAGCCAGCTGAGCACTTTCAGTGCCAGTCCTTCCACTAGATTCTCCGAGTCGCCTGGCCCTGGACCTTACAGCCGAGACACAACTCCGACCTCTATGACATCACAGTCTCCCGGACTCATTCTACCGCACCGTTTTCCCGTTTCTGGAGCGAGGCGAGCGAGTCCAGCCGAAACGAGGCCGCCGGTGACATGGAGAAGGGCCGGCAGTATGTCGAAGGAAGGAGATGCAATAGGTACTGATCCCCATGGTCTTGCTGCGGTCAGGGAAGCGTTAAACTCGTCTTCGTCGAACTCGACAGTGCGTGCAGAAGAGAAGGAGAAAAGGACGCGCCGAGGGGTATCGCCTGCGCCACCTAATCCACCTCCGAGAAAATCATCTCAAAAGCTAAACAAGGGTAGTGGGGAAATCCAGTCGCCGTCAAAAATTTCTCGGGTACCAGCTCAGCCTATGGCAAGGTCTCCATCCCCAGCCAAAGCGACTCAACCATCCCACCACAGATCTCAGAGCAGTGTAACATCCCCTAGGACCCGCCCAACTCCGCCCTCGCGGCCCAGCAGAGATGGGACACCGGATCTTTATTCTCAATTTGGCGGCCCAGTCCCTGTCATCCATAGCAATCTCTCTTCAACGAGTCTCACCGATAGACGCCAGAGTGGCCAATTGCAGCCTAGTTCGTTACCAAGATCAACTACCCCCTCTACGCAGGAACGTTCGATAACTTCAAAAGCTCCCGTGGCTCGAGAATCTACACCGGCACCACGACTAGGAGTTCCTCAGGCTGCCCAGCCAAGCCAAACAGAGCGGAGCAAACACACTAGGACACCTAGCCCCGCCACTTCGTCATTTAAAACGAGATTTCCTCTCTTTGGGCGGCGAACTAAGACGGCACCAGAAGTACCACAGGCAGAAAAGAAAGAAAAAACTACTCGAAAAGGTCCAGCTGCCGGGACAGGTCATGAAGGATATGGCAGGATCGGCTCAGTCAGAAGACGTAGTAGTAGCACGGCAAATCCCCCACGTGGTCTACCAGGCTCATTTGAGAGTCTTGCGAGCCTCCAATCGACAGATCCTTTCTTCCTAGAACGGATGAATCCAGTGATAATCGCGGGCGGTGAAGTGGTGGAAAATCGAAACGCAAGCACCGAATTGACGCGGGCTGAAAGCGACCAAAGTATTCCATCAATTCGTCCAGGCATTAGCTCAAGGAACAACTCAACTATATCTAATTCTTCAAGGGAAGAATTGAGACAGACCCTGTGGCCTTCGGCATTTCCTCATCGGTCGACTCAGTCTCGCCGCCCTTCAGAAAGTAGCGACTCGGAAGGAGTTTCGATGAAACCTACTATTGCATTTAGAAGGTCAATTCAGCGGCTCGGGTCCCCGAACCGGGCTCCATTGAACCTACCAAAGCCTATAGTAACTAGGGGAATGACTTCTCCCTCGGTGGGAAGCATAGAGACGACTATCTTGTCTGATGACTCCCTTCCTGATTCTCGACCAGAAAATCTTCGCGCGCAAGCTGAGTCGAAAGCAGCACCGCGGAAATTGACCAAACGAGCCAAATCCCCTCGAAAATGGAACCTTTTCAGCCGGTCTCAAAGCCAACCTTCTAAGGATCGGAAGAAGGTCGAAGCTAGTGTATCCGCAGCAACAAAACCTGTCCAGGGCAAGCCAGTAGCCTACTACACAATGATGGATTCTTCTGAACAAGATGAAGGTGAAGATCAAGATGTCTGTACTATCTTGAGGGAAGCAGAGATTCTGGTCCCATTCATGCCTAAAAATGATGACGATGAAGAATTACCCGAGAGCAATCAACCTACAGACCCAGCCCCCATTCATAGACCACAGGCCCGGGAGACTGCAGCAGGATCAACGCCACACGACGTCTGCCCAAAACCGCTGAAACCATCAGTGCCAAAAAGACAAGACGCAACCACCAATCCAGCGCCCTCGGCTAAGCCAAAATTTCGCCCGAGCCGACTCCCTCAAGTTGGTAGGATACCCAAAGTTGTTACAACTCGCCCAGAACAGACTTCCCCGAAAAGCTTCTCCCGGCCATTCTACCGAGTTAGCTTACAACTACCACCTCCCAACCTAAGTCGAGTTGACCGGGACTCAGTTGCGAAAGGTCCTAGCCCCACCAGGGCTTTATCTCCGGAGCGTACTCAAACAGAGCCACCAGTAACAACAGGCGACTTCACTGGTGCCCAAAACGAGCCGCCCGCTAAGTTATCGCCTCCTAAGCTTGACTCCCCTGACAAAGAGTTTCTTTCCTTTCCGCCCAGAAAAGACTCGGAGTGCACGACAAGTTCTGGGTCTGGCAATTCTGGATCAACAAATCCCGTATTACACCAACCGACAAATGCCCTACCTACCGAGGATGATATATGGGATGAGTATAACGACTTCTTAGGCGACGCTCCACCATCGGCAACATCTTCTCGTTGTGCCCCTTTCCATCTGGAAGCCTACGGGTCTAAACTAGCAGATCAGTCAAACATAGTACTCGAATCACCCACATTTAGCGCTCACCCAGCTAGGGAGATTCGTGATTCTATTGAAACTGGAAGAGCAGCGACATCGTCGAGTCACTTTAGCGCTGATATGACGGCTAGAATCAATCGCGCTTTCAGATTTGATACCGACCCACCAGCTACACCATTTTCGGTCTCGGAGTTTGTGTCCGGGTACGGCGACCGCAGTAGCAAGAACTCACAGTTAAATAAGGCAGTCTCTCCGACTAAACGAGATAGTTCGTCTTCAAATAAGAGCTCCAAGACTACGAGGGGCTCGGTCAGCAGCGAGGAAACGCCACTTTCTCAGGTCAACCTTAGAGTGGGTTCAATGACGGTTAGCAAATGGCTCTCGTTCGGCCATGTGTTGTTCAGCCCAGTTCGCGAGGATCTCATCAATGATGTTGGCTCACTCAAGCGACACTCGATTCTTGTCATCGACGGTCTTGGCAACGATGACTGGTCCTTTTACGCAGCGGAGACGTATCCTGCTGCAACTTTCTTCAACTTATCTCCGCGTGCACCATTAACTCCCGAGCAACAATCGACTCCCTCATTCCCTTTGTCGCCGCCTAACCACCATCAAATCCAATTTTTATCGCACAAGGATAAATTTCCTTTTGGATCTGACAGCTTCACGGCAGTTGTATTCCGATTCCCAGCTGTAGCCCCAGAATCCCACTACCGCAATATCATCTCAGAGGCACTCCGGGTTCTGAAACCTGGTGGATATATCGAACTTTCTATTCTGGATGTGGACTTGAATAATGTGGGCCATCGAACTCGACGTGCTGTACGTCAGCTGAAGGAGCGAATAAGTGCACGCAATCCGGATTACAACCTTAGTAGCACGGCGGACCTCATTCTTCGCCTTCTTGGTCGGAAAGGATTTGTTGATGTTAAAACATGCCGTGTTGGGGTGCCTGTGGCGAGCGCGATCACCAACGCTTCTAGTGCTAAGGGCAAGGGTAAGGCCAAGAAGGACGAGCGAAGTCTTGCGGAGATGATGAACGATAAGACTGAGGTCGGCGACGAAAACATCACGAAGATGGTGTCGAAAGTTGGGCGATGGTGGTATAATCGATGCTATGAGACATTGCCTGGAATGGGTCCTAGCATCTGGAGCGATAAGGCGTTGCTGGCCGAATGTGAGCAACAGGGAACGAGCCTTAAGCTTATGGTATGCCATGCGAGGATGCCAGAGGCGAGAGGAAGAGTCGCAAGTATATGATATATTTTGTGGAAATAACGGACTGGACGCCATCCGATTCTATTCACGACCGCTTCGACAATTTGGATTCGAAACCCCAACCTTCATTTCTCTATGGATGGATTCCACTTTTATTCACTGGACTGACTACCCCGAATTCAATCAATGTGTACAGCACGCATACATCACTGGACTTCATCTCAGCATTGCGACACAGGAAAAACGAAAATAAAACATTATCGCAAGAAATCATTTCAGAAGATTTAAAGAAGGCGCGAGCCTAACATGAAAAATCTAGTTTCCTATCTACTAGACACGGGCAGGGACCAAACGACTCAATGTCAATGCATATACACAGGAGACCGGGAAAACAGTACGGCTCCGACATTTCACTCTCTGTACCCTCGATCGGGATTACAACAAATATTTCACTTCCGAATCTATCGACAAGTTATTTGCATCTTATTTTACTCACGCTGGCTAGATTTACCTAGCTGAGGCAAAATTAATATTTTATTACTCATTGTCGCGGGACCGGCCTCTGGGGATACTTCTAGTGCTCTCAATTGAGAGTACTTAGAAGCTGGATTTAATAGTATGTTTATTTTGGAAAGGGAGGCTTGGTCTTTACTTGGATGTCCCGCGGCAATGGCTGGCTATTGCAATTTTTGAGATCGCTCTAGTCAGCCAATATTTTGAAGGATAGGTGAGCGGAGGGCTCTGGAAGCGAGAATATTATGGGGAAGTGGGGGATGGACTAAAGTGACGTGACGGATGACAATGAAGATGCGACGAAGTCATGATATACATATACCTATCCTTTAATGGTTTTGGTTGGAAGAAGTAAGCGTTGGAGTCTTTTTTGGATGCAGAAATTTGTCACGACATGAGGACGTATAGATTAGCGGGCGCGGCGCGGCGAGTCTTGAGATACCCCATTCTTTTCTGATATATAGCGAAAGCATTGTTCAAAGTTAAATATTATCTTTTCAGAAATTGTGAAATATGTGAATTAACAAAATGCGACCGTAGAGTTTGTCCTAGGCCTCACGTTACACCAAGGTGTCTCGCGCTTGACCCTAGATTCCAAGTCACGATGAAAATAGATGAGTGGGTATCAGGAGATACTATCTCCATTGGCTTAATGCTATGTATAGTGCCTATTGCCATCACATATATACATCCATAATCCTCCCAAATTCCCCGAGTCTTAAGCTCGCCATATCCTAAACGCCTTGTAGAGATCTTACAACCCCCAGGACCGAGACTGCGGCTCCCGGGTTTGGGTATAGATGCCATAAATACTCTCGCGAAATACAGAGGTCCTGTTCCGTCCCTTTTATATGTACCTAGGTAGAACCTCGTCTTCTCACTAGCGTCATTGTGTCATACTAACGATCCCAGAAGCACCTGGCCCTGGGACCGTTTTCTGACTGACTACGCTTTCCCTCTATTTTTCTAACTTAACATGCGCTCCTTCGCTTAAACATCACCTCGGCGGTCATACTCGGACTCTTAGTCATCATAAACATATTCGGCGCAGGTCTCCCCTCGCCATCCTTAAGTTTGATATCGTAGTTTAATAGCAAATACGCGAGTATCATCTTGATCTCGCATCCGGCGAAGAACCGCCCCGGGCACGCGTGTTTGCCTAGTCCGAAGTTCATCGATGCGTCGCTGATACTGGTGAATTGGTATCGTCCGTTGGCTGTGGATTGTTCTTCAGGCGTGGGGGTTGTTGATTGAGGTTTTGATTGTTGTGGGGATTGGGAGTCGGAGGAGGGCGTGCGGGAGTGGGTGTGGGATTGCGATTGTTGGCGCAGCTTGTAGAAGCGTAGACCGTCGAAGACGTTTGGGTCGGGATAGTACCGTGAGTCGACTGCGACACCGGCCATTGGGGCGAGGAGGTTGGTTCCGGCGGGGAGGTGGGTGCCGTCGGTGAGGTCGATTGGTTTCATTACTTTGCGGATGAAGGATGCTGAACGGCATAAGCAATTTGGTCCGGGAGTTGGTTAATTGTTTGAAATACTCACTAACGTTGCCGGAAAGACGTTGCGACTCCTTAATGAAGGAGTCCATCTTTTTTAACCGGCCCATACTATCTTTCCTCTCCCAAGCCTCTTCATCCCCTAGTACTTCAAGCGCCTCTTCGCGGAGTATTTCTTGCATATCCTGGTGCACGGCTAAGTCGTATATGCAATCCGTCGTCAGGTTACTCGTAGTATGTATCGATGCCGCACTCAGCAGCAACTGTAATTTTCCCTGGATATAATAATCCCCCTTCTGGTGCTCTGGCAGCGCATCATGCAACCACTGGGCGAAATCATCCGGCTTCTCATAACCAGGCGTCTCGGCATCACGGAGACGGGCCTCGATAACAGGGGCTAACATATCGCGGGCGCGAGCCAGATCTCGGTCTATAGCACGCAACTCAGAGACTAGGTATTGTGCGAAGGGTCGCATCCATGGCGGGAAGAATTGCAGCTTGATCACAGCGATGAAAGCCGTTATCGCGAAGTTGATGCTCACGTCCATCCACTCTTCAACTCGGTTTAGCGTGGGTCCGACGAAAACACGGCCGCTTAAACGTGCGATGGTTCGAATCATGAAAGGTTGGATTTTGAAGGGCGTCCATTCTGTGATATCGATCAGTTGGCTGGTTGCTATGAATAGTTTCAGTCGTATTTTGTACCTTGACACTCAGGGAACTCAGTTGCGACAATGTGTTCGAGTTCCTCTTTAAGTTGTGGTGTCATTCGCGCCAATTGCCCTGTCATCTTGCATTTGAGGAGTAAAGATAAGGTGTCGGTATGTTCTCCTGCGCAGAGCTTGGTGTATTCGCTCAGCATAGCCTGTTCGGAATCTTTAGCATATTGATTTTGGTGAATGGGTCCTCCTTATAACGAACCTCCCTCACAGCTGTCCTTGCGCTCAAGGTATCCTCTGGAAGGCCCTTAAGCTCACCAACCATTGACGCCGGGATGATGGTTCTCACACCCTCCGTCGTCTTAATCTGATATACCATATCACGGAACTAAAGTATGGTCAGTATAGGTACCTAACGATAGGTGGTTTAGGGCTCGTCAGCATGTGCACACCTTCGAATAGCTATCCTTCACTAGCGCATCAGCGCTGAACATCCATTTTAATCGAGAGGCTTTATAGAAGGGTGCTGAGACGCCACATTTTTGTTTAGCGGGCTGAAACAGCCATATACACAACAATACAGCGCTTATAGCTATGTAATAGCTTAGGCGGGTACCGCCTAGAACTTGACTCGGTAATACATCCGCAACTGTTGTGAAGTTGGTCCGAGGGCTGGCATCCTCTATCATAGAAGGCATCTTGAGGTAACAAGGGAAAGAAAGGAGTTGGGATGCGTTAAGAGAAAGGAATGGGGATTATGTTTCGACAACTTTTGCGATGCCTAGCGTTTCTCATGGATGTCGTCGTTTCTATCCAACAGTCGGTGGTGATATTAAAATGAACTGGAGTAAAGCCGTTAAAGTCGACGGCACAACTAACCGATATTATAAACCACGATCCACGCAGAGAATAGAATTAAATTGGTTTCGTGACCTTCGACTACCCGTTTATTTGAACCATATAGCTTCGTCTATGGCCGTCTCGTTGGTAAACGTCGTACAAGTCACCGTCATGTGGGGGTTTGCGAATTCTTCCCACTATTGACGGCAAGCAACAGTTCCGGCTCCTAGAGTGGAATGACGAATAACAAGGGCAATCAAGAGCCGCGATAAGCAAGAAGGGGAAAAGAGAAAGAAAGAGACGAAAGAAACGTTGGCTCAACCAACTACTTGGATTAAAACAATTTACATGAATAAGTTCTTCATGATGAAGAATGAGCAAAGTAGAGATACTTGCGAAAGACAAAACATAGGAAACACTCGCGACCGAAGTCGCGTCGAATACCTAATCCCAGTCCATTTTGACGAACTCAGCCAATTCGGCTCATATCTGATGCTTGATATCGATCGCTTTTGCTAGGAGATTATGGGCTCGTGAGACTCAAGGGGGCCTGACCTTGTTGCTGCTTTAGGTTTCTGGACTGGGACCCTGAAACGAGGGTTACTGAATGGAAAAGGACCAAGAATGAGGGAGAAGACACCCCCGGGAGTTGCCATTCCCGAACCCTAGTCGGACTTCTAGTTTCGCGGCTGACGGCACACAACGCCTCACCTTTCCGGTTTCGGTAGGGCTTACAGAGCACTGACACGTACCCCAGCATATATAGCAGGTGTCTACCTAGATGGGTATGTAAGACTGTTGAGCGGGTTGATAATAAGCTATTTCATGATTTTATCGCCGTTAGATGTGGATGTTTATGGGAACAACCCGATATTTAATTTGCATTGTAGTGATTGAATCAGTCTACTGCTTCGCAAGCATTTCGGTTGTCCTAAAACAGAGCTTGGGGGCAAAGCTCCCTGAAGCCCTTGGCACTTGGCACTGTCTCAGCGAGGAGATCCCCCGACAAAATAACGAGTCTGATCTCCGTGGGTAAAACCCGCTCGTTCTGATTATCCTACAGCCCATGTTTTTTCCTGGGTTATGTCCGTGCAGCCTGAGCCGCCAGTAGATCTATGATCCGACAAACAATTCTGGTTATTTAAGCGACGCAATGAACATGGGATAGGGACGCAAATGGGTTATAATGCTAGCATGATTGGTCTACAAGGCAACTTCAGCCGTACAAGCTCATAGTGCCGAGACGGCCCCATAGCTTCGACCTACCTTCTCAAAAGCTTCCATAAGTCTTACCTCGATCCTCAATCCTCCATCCACTTTTTCAACGCCGCCACTCCACTTTATCTGGATGGCGTCCACAGCTGCCTTTTGCGAAATGGCACAGAGAATCGATCTCGTTATGTGATAGGGTTAAAAGCGATTTCGTTCCGAGGGTCCTGAGCCATGTTTGCGGGCCGTTTCCCAACAAACTCCAGATTGATCAACTTTGGAAGTGGTGAGAAGCGGTGAACATACCGAAAGATGGCGTCGGTCCGTCACCAATATCCCGCTTATGATGAACGTTGCCGCCTATCGAACCAAGTTCTCGGCACTCATGGTATCGTATGTGCCTCATTCGGCCAGGGGCGTCCGTAAGGCTCTGAGCGAAGCTTAACGATATGAACGAGACAGTACATGAGAGCGACGTATGGCCACATAGAATACAGCATGAAGCGTCACTCAGTGAAGCTACTTTGTTCCTTCATTCTTCCCTACCGCGGCGTCTTGTTTAAGCAGGAACAGCAAAATATGCTAGGGCAAAAATGGAGGCTGTCGCAGTGGTTGGACTTGCGTCGAACATACTACAGTTTGTTGAATTCACTGCTAAATTGATACGTATCTCCAACGAACTTCGCAATCACAGAACCTGGTCAACAAGCAGAGACCATGAGATTGTCACAAAACACCTCAAATTGCTCACTCAAAACATTAGTGAATCGGCCAAAGTGATATCTCAAACCTCTGCAATGGCCCTACCAGAAGAAAAGGCATGTAACATTGATAGGCATCCATTTTGTGCTCCTTAATATTAACAATAGGCAACCAAAAAGGCACTCCGATTAGTAGCCGACAGATGTTGTGAGCTAGCCAAGACTCTTCTCAGTCGCCTTAGCAAGTGTGGTATCCAACCGGGACAGAATGGCGGTCGGCTCCAACGCGCAAAAGCGATTCTGAACGGCATCTGGAATAAGCAGGAAATAGAAGAAATTGCCCACAGACTACAATTCTTCAGGAGTGAACTCGAATTACATTATACGACCCAAATCAGGAAGACACAACTGGACCAACAGATTCGACAGTCCACAAAGGAAGACCTCCAACTAGTGCTGGACAGGCTTGATGCTCTCGAGTCCTTAATCAGTGAGACAGTGACTAGTCGCCATTCTGAAATCTTGAAATCGATTGCTGCGGCGCGAATTGAGAATGCTCGATTCGAATCTCGAGCAATACAGCAATCTGCCGCAAGTCATTCAATAATTACTAGCAGGTTGGATGAGCTCGAGTGCTCGATAGCCGCAACAAATATGAATGTACAAAATATATGCGCTCGTCAATCAGAAGTCTTGGAGTCTCTTGCGCATGTTAAAGTAGAAAATAGGGAATTCTTAGCTAGAATAACCCAGCAAGTTCCCCCAACCAACCACTTCGGTGCCTCTTTTCAGCATGCATTGAAGCCTCTATTAGAGGAATACATGGGGAAGTTTCTCGCGGGGGTTAAGAAGGAATATCGAGGGACGGCTCGGTCCGAGATGGACGCCCTCCTAGAAAATACCCTTCCTGCTTTGGGTAATATACAATACCGAACCCAACCAGACCCCGGAAATGTAGCGGATGAAATTGGACTCGAAGTAGACCAGTATAATCAGACGCCAAACGACCCCTCATCCGCGGATGAAATTGCGAGCTTTGCTTCTACCGATAGACGTGCTACGTCACAACTCAACAAGAGCGAGCTCGCGAATATTTATCATTATTGTTGGGGCAAGAAGACTAGCCTAGGGATATTTTCCCTCTCAATCCGAGATAAAGTTCATTTGGACGAATCCAAGCACCCGACGCGATTATACGAGCTTACAGTGCACTTCATCCCATCGCCGCGCTGGTTTTCCACCGGCTACTCGATGACATACCATAAAAGCACCGACGCGAGAGGAAAACCGGAATTCGGCCTCAGACTGAAGACATATCGTCTCCTTGGTGAAGGCCATCCAGTCCTAGAAGCTATTGAAACCAACGACATTTTGAGCCTTCAAAGCATGCTCTCACAAAAGCTCGTTTCGCCCTCGGATCAAACCCCGTCGGGTGAATCACTGTTCCATGTGAGTTACCGGTTTTCATGATACAGGAGATACGAGCTTAAGCTAAAGGAAAGTCAGCTTGCTATATTGTATGGCCATTTGGATGCTTGCAAAGCGCTAGTGCAGAGTGGTGCAGATATCAACGCGCTCGATATGTAATATGCCCCGATCAGTTACCCCTATACCATCAAAATGCACTAACCAGCAAGTTTCTAGATTTGGCTTCGGTTCTATAGACATTGCCGTTTGCGCACCGTACCTCTACGACCATCGAGAACGCCTCGACATATTCCGCTATCTCCTAAGTTTACCCGGCATCGAGGTCGAGAGTCTGTGGTCAAACGAATTCTTAATTCGAATGGTGTCGTCCGCGATAGCCGACGGGCATCTCGAGATCGAGCCCGAGTGTATCGATGAGTTTCTACAAGACTGGGCATCTGCATGCCGTTCGGTGGATTTTGATTTCAATATTCCCGGTGAAGCTACTTTTTCAACCTCTATTCTAGAGAAATTCTCACGGCCCGATCCTCTTCCACAGGAGGGTAATAAAAGGCACTTTTATCTTACGACAGCGTTCGATTCGATCGTACGGAATCGAATTGGGGTCGACAAGATCGTAAGTGTGTATGCTGCACAAGCCGCATCTTGGATAAGATTCAGGCTCGATAGAGCTTATAATGATTCACTCGTAACTAGTGAGGCTTCATCTGCACGGGCCGTCTTTTATCGAGGCTATTACGTGGAGCCCACTGTAGCAAGCAGTGTAATCTTCTTAGAGAATGTCATATCAAAAGGAATTCTCGAGCGTCCGGATTGTATCTTTGATAGGGATGATGGCATAACGATATCCGATTGGTTTTATTTTTCTAATTGGCGAAGTATATGGGAAGGGATACTAGAAGACCATGGATTTGATCTAGATTGGGTATATGAAGAAGACGATAGACGAAAACGTATGAGTACAGGCGAATCCTCAGCCCATCAAATTGGCACTGAAGTAGATGCCTTCAGGGGAATAGAGATAAGGCAGCGAAGGGGTTATGATAGGCTCGACGAGTAAAATAGCTATAATAATGGGAAGAATGACTCATAGATAAGGTAGACAGGTCGTGTTCAACATATCATAGATTTAGCCATTCGCTCAGAAATAATCAAATTCAACTTGAAATTCAGACTCAGCGCTTCTCACTGGAAAACGCTATTAAACCACCAATAAATTCACCACGTAACCCAATCCCTGAGAACGCACAGGTAATTATACAAGGCCCGGCCGCCTGGCCTATATCAGTAGTAGTAGTAAAAGTATTTCCTTCTCAAGACGCCTCGTAGCCGCTGAGCTTTCAATCAGCACACTCCTTTTTTGTGATCAGCATTACCTTCCCTTCCTTAGCCCTTAATCCTGTATCTATTATGCATATCCCAATCCAAACACCAGTACTGGCCCAAAGTAGAGAAGACCACCCAATCCAAGCATTTTATCACCTATCCCTAATCAATCTACGCCGTAGCCACACCAACAGTCCTAGCCGCGACCTTAGCAGCAGCCGCGTCCTCAGTAGCATGTGGTTCAATCACACCCGCCATATCGGGCTCCTGAGCCTCAGTCTCAGCCTGCGTAGTCTCATCACCATCGCTCACCGCAACCGTTTCCCGGGCCGCGTCTTCGTCATCTGCGACTTCGCCCATACCAACAATATCGATCCAATTCCACGCTTCGACCGTAGTATGTCCACTACGATCCAAAATCGCGCGATCATCATAGATGCCGTCTTCGGGGCCTCTATCCACGACCAACTTCGCATCCTCACTACCACTCTCACTCTCACTAACAACCGCCATCGTACTCTCATTCCCGGTTCCCTCCGACTCCCTCACCCCCTCACCCGCACCAGCATTCTCCCCAACCGCCCTAACACCACCAAATTTCTTCCCCTCAAATGCCCCATCAATCAAATCCCCACTCCAAGTCCGCGCAACCTGTACCCCATTCCCCCTCAACATCTGCAAAAGCGCCCTCCGATTCAACCTAAGCGCCCGCTCCGGCTCCTCCGACCCAAAAACCCTCCTGGTCAACCAAGGAAACAGAACCCCGAAATCAGATTGACTAAGATGCGCCGAGCGCTCCACGAAAAAGAAATGCGGCTCCGGGAGTTTAACGCCGGAGGCGTAAAACGCTGTTGCTTGGACTGTTTTCGCGGAGGGGTCTGGGGAGAGGGCGCGGGCTGTTTCGTGGAGGTGCGCTTTCCATTTGAAGAAATCGGAACTTTCGATTGCGAGGAGGGCGGTGCCGCCTGGGGATGAGGGGTCGTCGGCGTATACGGGGAGTGGGAGGTCCCAGAGGGGTTTGGTGGTTTTGGCGAGGAGGGGGACACACCACATATCGAGTAAGATGGTTACGTTTTGGGGCGTGATTTGCCGGTATATTGATGAGTCCCGTGAGGGTACGTAGAGTGGTTCCGACATTGATTCTAGTTCGGGACGGCCGGCGTAGAATACGGATTTGAGGAATTGGACGGTTGTCGCGGAACCGAAGCTGTGGCCCATGAAGATTATGCTGCCCGGGTCGTGCACGTGTAATTGGCCCACAAACGGCGCAAGAGAAGGCGTGCTTTTGTTTAGGTTGGTCATTTTAATGCCCTTGTCCACGTTTAGTACAGCCTCGTGTATCAATCCCATCTCCCACAACCGAATCCGTAGCTGGTCATTACGCAGGGCGTACACCTCATCGGTCGGGTCGTGAGCGATTCGATGGTAGGGCACTACGCGCCGCGTGTTGCGCATGAAGAATCGATGCTGTTGGTCCGGGATTCGGATGAACGAGGCTACGGCGCTGCCGTCTCGGTGCTCGGGACAGATCACGACTACGCCGTGAGAAGCTAGAGAACCGACGATTTGAGAATATGCGTTTCGACTACCGCCTAGCCCGTGTGAGAATATGGCTGTGGGCCATCGTCCGTTCGGTGTATTGGGTTCGAGGACTGGGGCGTTCTTGATCACGGGTATGGATGTGTAATGGAGGTGCCTAGGGAGGAAGCTATATTCATATACGAATTAGAATCTTTATTCCCATTAGAAGTATAGCATTGGTAGGTAGTTGACTTACGATACAGCTTGTGCCAGCATCTGGCCGACACCAAGAAACTGTATGTAGGCAGATAGATGTTCGCGCTGGGGAGCTGGCAGCCATGTTATGCGCTTGCCTTGGGCTTCCGGTTGCGCCGGGTAGAATATTCGGAATTGGACCGTCTCGATACCGGCTGCGTTGTCCGGTGCAGGAGCCGGGGAATCAAGCTCCGTGACAGGTATTTCAACATCGACGGTACCGACTTTGTAAGGCCCTGTGTAGTCTGCGAAGCCTGGTATCGGATTCAGTCGCGACAGGAGCGAGCTCCATTTGTCGGAGCGAGAGGGATTCGCCGGCTGCGCCATTGGTTATGTGATCGTTGCCAGCGAATTTATGTTCTCTTCGTCGGTGTGTATGTATGTATAAGTGTGTTCGGGTATAATTCGTAGTTTAATATCAGTTATGATAGTTATGTAAATCGAGATCGAGATTTGGATCGTGTGATTCTCGTGGGCTTGAACGGTGCAATATTGGGAAAGAGTGTCTTAGAACCGTTGGGTTCTACACCCTATAATAAGAAGGAAAAGTAATTAGTTCCCCCTAAATTCGTGCGTCGAGACTGAAAGATAACAGGATAGACTCGAGACTTCGCCGGCGCTAAAGGAGTAGCAGAACCAAAGAAAAAAATAAAGTTATTAGTTCGTCTACCGGTAACACAGCCTCGCCGCTATGCCCCCAAAGTTAATGTAGAATGTAGAGTTAAATGTATACAAACGAAAAAGAGTATTCTTTTTATATAATGAATAATGGTAGTTTCACAAAATGAATATTAAATTGGAGTGTTTGCTTGAATTGACAAAATACAGGTGAGAATATAATACGATCGAATTGTAAGTACGAATAAAAAAATACAATGCTAGAAATTTGAGAATGGAAGATGTCAACTATTGTATGTACTTGTAGATATGTACATGTTGCAAGTACGTGTAGATGTATTGGGCTAAGAATAAAAATAATGGCCTGATGGTGCTAAATGAAAAGTCAGAATATAATACAAAGGATGAAATGCCCCCCCTTGTCAACGACAATTACGGTCGAAATACGCCAAAACGAACCAATTGCAGTTTACAATTCCTTGGCCTTTCTACTTCAGCTGCCAGGTATATTTTAGTAGGACTAACACGTCATCATTTTGTACATTCTACCAAGTTCAAATTCAATTTTCAGCTGCCAATCCGGGCTTCAAACGCTTCCGACTTCCGACTTTTTAATGTGGGGGTAAAGCCGCCTACCATTAAAAAATTATCACTAACAGGACTATTTCTAACTTCAAAATTCAAAGAAATATTGATCACACGACAGTCGCGTGCCCTATCTCGAGATAAGTTTCCCAAAAAAGAAAATAATTAACTTTAATGCCGTCTGAAGTTGTGTAGTGTGTAGTGCACCATGAAAAGTTTCGACGCACCCTGACCATAATTGCATCATGGTGCATTTGACATGTGGAGGACCGGGGACTGGGAGGGTAGGAGGGACATTCTACTCCGAATGGCTTCTAGTTCCTGCAGGTGGCGATCAATTTTTCCCCAGATTAATGCTTACGTACCTATTATACCGTCACGAAAATACCGCGTGGTATTGTGGGATTATTCGCCCTAAAATGGGTATGTTCCGTCATGGATATATATTTCTACCTATCGCCTCGTCTAATTGTATCCGTATGCTGATGTATTCTATTATGTGTAAGTACGCAGGTATACACTTGTATGTACATGGTGGAAAAATTTGCGTGGATTTCAACAGTCCGGTTTCGGGTCAGACACTCAAGCATCCAATCATTTGCTGACTCGCTCGGACCAACCGGACGGGTTTCGAGATATTGTTACACTGACGACAAAACAAATGCCATGGCTTGATGGCCTCACTGCCACTCCGCGTCCACCTTCTCCCACTTGTCAAGGAAACCCTTGAAGAATTTGGCACCTAACCCAGGGTCCAGCGAACCGCACGTAGCGCGGATCGAATGCATACTGAGTTGGGCCATTCCCGCATCGGCGGCCTTCACACCCATGGCACTACTCAACATGGGACCGACTGTGCCGCCGCTTCGGGAGTCATTTCGAATTTGAAAGATTTGCGGTGTGCAGTCGCTTAACTCGCATACCCTGGTGAGAATAGCCGTAGAGACCGAATCCGTAGTCATGTGACCGTTACTATCCGCGGCAATGGAAATTCCAACATTAAGTCGGGGCGCGTGGCCATCCAAATATCGGGAAAGGAAATTGGGGTTTGCAGCATGCGTGACATCGGCCGATACAAGGAAGGATTGCGCATAGGTCTGACCTATAACACCGGGGCCAAATGGCTTGTTCTCTCCGGATAGTGCTTCGACTGCCCTCTCAATGGTTGATGGTAGGAAATTACCTCTCGCACCTTGGCGTAGGAGAGAACCAATCTCTTCGTCGTCGAAAAGTGCAACTAATTTAATAACACCATCATCATCGTTCGATTCTGAGGCTAAGAGGCCTTGGAATGCCGCCCAACTGCAGAGCTTATCGTCGATTCGGCCAGCAAATATGAATTCTTTGTCCAAACCACCTACTGTCGCAGGTTGCGAATCAAAGAGTTCTAGTTCCCAATTCACGATTTGTGAATGGTCCTTAATACCCAATTGCTTCGAAATTAAATTGACCAGTTTTGGTGGTTGAGTAGCTGTAAACGATCCTAGTGGACCGAGGGGCTTGATTGGTTCGGCGTTCGGGGATAAGATGTCAGAATTGTCGAGACCAATAATTGGTACGGCTTCAGTCTCCTTGTTCTGCGAACCTAGCATGCCAACACCGAAATGTGGTGCGAGCGTTGGTATCCGAGCGACTATTTCCTGTTAGCGCCATAGACCCCATTACCATTCACAAGTTACTTACTAGGCCAGTCAATCTTGACGAGCTTGCTTGATGTCTTGCCAGATTCATCTCGTACAATGACTCTTCCTCCGATGCTAAGATCTCGGTCCCACCATGTCTCGTTTAAGGCACCAGCATAGGGAGCGACACCAAGCTGAAGATAACCCGCCTTAGTCGGTTTGTTGCTAACAGGCTTTAGTCTCGCAGTCAAAGCGTCAATATGACCCGCGACCATAGCGACACCATTGCCGGGCTTATACGCTTTTCCAACCGTAAAAGCAATGACCGAGGTACCATTTCGCGTTACAAAGTATTTACCACCAGCCTCGAGCTTTCCCGACCAATCGTCTCGTGCAGGTAACTTCAACAGATGGTTAGCAAATCATCTCAAGTAACACTACCCGTAACCAGGAACACCAACCTCCTTGTAGCCAAGCGATGTCGCCTTATCTTTGAAATAGCCCACAGAATGGAATACGGTAGGATTCTCCTGCAAGAACTTGCAGAACGGCTCGGTAAAAACCTCGGGTTTCGAAAGCATGACTTGGCATGAATGGCACTCTTTTTGGTCTTGAGCAAGTTTGAAATTCGACACGAAGACGAGACCCTCTGGCAGGTCGCAATAGCAAGGGCTGCAAAGATTTAATGATTTGCCATAAGAAGCTAAATCGCCGACGATAAATGCCTTCTCTGTATTAGACATCGCAGGTTTGGTCTCGTCGAAGTCGGATGGGTTTGCGAATCTCGACAATCGAGAGGTGCTTAACGCGTTCGCGGCGGCCATGCTTCGAAGGGATAGGTTGGAACTGCGCTGGCGCAGGAATTCGGAGGTATGCTGCACCATCTTTTATTGACAGTATTTTCTCTTTAAATCAGAAATAATAAAAGAATGTGAATATACGTCGGGATGTCGTATAAATAGGAGAAGAAGCGGTGAATTTGTTGAATTAAGAGAGAGGTTGGAAAAGGAAGTTGAATAGACAGTGCTCCCTCATAAACAGCCGGAATCGCTGACGGCGTAATCAGGGAGCTGTCGCAATTGATAAGAGCCTTGGACACATCTTATCACCACCATCAGCTGCCGTTCCCAGCTGACCTTCTGCCCCACAGACATCTCTAGAGCTTAGAAAAAGTAAAATCGTGTTCATAATCTCTTTATTACAGAATGAATATCTTAAAAGGTTTAAATGGTTATGAAAATTGCATTTGGTTTGAAATAATGGAAGTTTAATTCACAAGGAGTGTGGGGGGATGGACGAAATTTAACCCCAAGCTTACAGCGCTGTATATACGCTAATAACGAACTGTTTTTCCATCGGATCACAGGCAAGATGGCCGAGTTGGTTATGGCGTGAGGTTAAGGTCACCTTAGCATCTAATTCCTCATGGAGCAATCCGCGTGGGTTCAAGTCCCACTCTTGTCACAAAATATTCTTTTTGAATTTATATCCTTTTTGCTTTGGATGTCATCAATATCTAGAGACACTTTCCGTATTTTTGGTGGTTAGAATCTAAGTGGTAGAAGTTTCACGCCTCTTTCAGCGGAAAGTCTCTAGACGCAGTGCGTTTTTTCTTTACTGTAGTCACCCAATTAAAAGTCTTTTGTGAAATGACCTTTTTCAATCTTCAACTTGAAGTTGTTCTTACATTACTTATTATAAAATATCATGCTCTGGGTTACTTGGCTGTTTAATCCTACATAGCCGACCATCACTTTCTATTTTCCATGCCTCGCTGCCCACCGCTGTCGGACTATATAAGAAATCTTCGGGGTCCCATTTCTCTTTGATAGACTTGAGTCTTCCGTAATTACTGTCATAAATGACTTCCTTGAAATTGGACTCACATGAGTTGCCTTCATTGAGATATGCATCACATCCAGGCATGATCTCTTCTATTCGGGGTTCGAGTACATCCGTAAGAACCTTCAGGTCCTCTGTATTGGCCTCATGGTCGTTTTCGTGAAACATGCTAAATTGGATGTGTTAGTGGGCGGTAATAAAAGGGCACGATAGCACTCACGCTCCATACGTAACAATGAATCCCGCCGTGCGCCACATCGGGCGTACCGAATTAGGGAGAATTGGCGCTCTTGAGACGTTGAGAGACATTCCCAACAAACCTACATTGTGTGTAGCTAGAAATTTTATGGTGTCCATCAACGGCGTGATAGCCGTCTCAGACTCTATCAGATAGCGCGGGATAAAGCGGGAGTTGACGTGGGTTAAGGGGGAAATTTCATACTGAGGGCTCATCGCTTCGTAAGAATCGAAATACGAAGGATAATTTTCACTTTTGAAGTCTTAACCGTGTCAGCTCCTTTCGTGTTCCGGGTTTCCACGAAAACTTACCATAAGATATGCCACTCTCATCTAACGCATCCAATGAAGGTCGAAGTAAGTCAGTCAACTCATCAACCGTTAGACTCGGCGCAATGATCGGCTGTATCTCAAAGACCCCGTTTATAACGGACCAGAGGCTTCCAACACCTGCATTATTCATAACCGGGTATCCCAAAAGTACTGTCTTGATCGCGTCATAAAACGTATCCAAGGGAACCCCATCACTGGAAAAGCTCAGCTTCGCAGCCGCAACCTGGGTCTCTGGGTACGCCCGAACCGCCATCGACAACACAACGCCATACGCCCCATTTCCGCTGCCAGTCAACGCCCAGTATAAGTTCGCATTCTTGACCGGACTCGCGACAAGTAACCTCCCATCCGCTGTTACAACTTCCCACTCCAGGACCTGGTCTGCTGCTAACCCATACTTCGAGAACAACGTGCTATGCCCGCCTCTCTGGGTATGTTCTACCAATCCGGCATCCGGACAATCGCTACCCACAACTAGTAGCCCCTGTTCGTGCGCCGCAGCTTGGGCTTCCCAACTTGAAACTCCAGCATCGATTTTCATCGCTTTGCCGACGTAGTAGGGGGTACCATAGTCTAAGAAAGAGATGTTTCGTAGGCTATGAGTCCGCAGCACAAGTGCCCCGGGTCCAGTTGATTCTGACGGGCAATCAAGCTTCGCATCTTGCAATATGAGGCGTATGTTATGTTGCTGTGTGAAGTCGAGCGTAAGTTGACAGTCTCGTGCTGAGGAGACGTTGACTGCGTGTTGCATGTATGGCACATCCGGAGACGTGAAGGCGTTGTTAGGATGGCAGTTGTTTAGGATGAGTTTTCCGCCGAGAGAGGTATTGAATTGGGACCATTCTGTCTGCGAAGGCCAACAGGGATCCCCGGGGATGCAACGACATCGTGGTGGCTCATTATCTACTTGCTGTTGTTCTAAGAAGGGAGCTATCTTCTCCCGGAGCAAGATAGCTATGCTCACGATGTAGAGAATTATCAAGGAAGCTGGTCGTATATGACGATCCATGTTGAAGTGTGAGCCCTATTCCTTCAACTGCCTTCAACACTGGTTAGACTCAGAGCAATTTGATTCAACCATGTATATAAGTAATCTGCCCACCATTTCGCTGATATCTAGATAGCTCAGATTTCATCCTCGTACGAGATAACCTTACCAACAAACTTAGCTTATATCCGTGTAAGTGTAACGCGTTTCCGAATCAACCGGCTTCAAGCTTACTCCTTGATGGTTTATCTTTCGACGATTAGCCTATCTTATACACATATCTCCTTGCGTATGCAGAGTGACTCACTGGAAACAATGGTCAACTCATAACACATGTAAATGATACTAGCTTTCAAGCTGACCAACGCCATGAATGCATGCCATAATTATGGACCACTGCACCGGATCTCCCACTACCGAGTTTCGATCTCACTAATACGCTTCTGAGGTATTAATCAGAGCCGCATTTATTATATGCCCTGAATATAACCTTATGTAGGTGCTGCTGACAGTCTGTCACTCATGGAGTTTGATAGCATTCAGTTGCCCGCGAGGAATAACCTACAGTTAGTGAGATTGCTATTGACGTAAGACAATTCCAAATCTCCGGAATTTGAGCGACGGGCCATAACAAGTCCCTGGTCACTAACCTATTCCTTGCTAATATGTCTCAGAAGTCGTCACTCGGCTGCCGCGGCACGGGCCGCGCTCTTGCCCACCTAGGCAGTGATCGAAAACAGATAATCCCACCCACCCAACCCTCCAGGCTACTGTCGCCGGACTTGCCTTTCGTGGTCATTTATGAAAATCCCCATAACGGTGGGGGTTCTTGAGGCAAGTGGCGTACACCACAGCGCGTACCGGACCTTATCGGCGGAAGGGAAGTCCACCGTATACCGAGTTGCTCTTACTGTATTTGTATCACCAAAACATAGATCGTAGGAGGTTGGTGTGAATAATAGCATTAATTAGCATTAAATGATACTCAATATCGTTCATTCCTCCTAATCCAAATGCTTTTCGCTTTTTCCAACCTAAAATCCCTCTATGCGCCCTTAATCAAGTACTATCCCCTCCACTCTCACTCTTGACTAATCTCTCCGAGCGTCTAACCTCCATCCGTTCATCAAGCATACTCCCCGTATCATCGTCATCATCATCGTCATCTTCCTCTTCACTGGGCACATCCTCTTCCGCTAATTCATTCCCACCCGCCCCCGTCGTAGGCCGTCGTTTCTCGAAGTCCTGTTTATGCGCATCGGCCATCATACCACGAATTGATCGCGCGCGTATAACTTCCGGTCGTCTACGCCACCGCATACCCGCTGCTTCGGCTTGTTCTTGCGTCTCCGTACCGCTTTGTTCGCGACCGAGCGCTGAGGCTCCGGCAGTGCTTATATCGACCGCACTCGCTGTCGCCGCTTCGATGGGGAGTACGTTAGCGGGCGCGACAGCCGTAGTAGGACGTCTCTGTTCCTCTTCCTCGCTGCTCGCGCGCTCGACTAGAGGCTCGTGGGGGTGGAGATGATACGGCAAAGGGACATCGCGACTGGCTTTGTACTGAGCGACATTGGCGCAGTGTTCGTTCTCGACACGGAAGAGAGCCCACATCCCACGCCGAGTAATTTCTGCTAAGGCAACGAGGAAGGATACGATGGTGCTGTGTTGCTTGTCGTGCGTGAATATGGCGTAGAAGATCCAACTAAACCGAAGTATCGGATCGATGAACATAATGGCGTAGTATAACCACCGGCGCTTAAGTCCGAGGATGTCGCGTAAGAACCTGTGTCGCGTATCGGGCTGGAAGAAAGAGAAATCCATGAACAGATCCCAGACCGCTAGCGATTATATGATCAGAAAAATGACTTGTGTCTAGGGGAAGTAAAACTTACATGTGTAAATGCCGTTCATAATGGAGAAAGTTATGAAGAGGCCAAGAGTTGTCTCGTTTCCTCCCATGCGATATAACGATAATGTTACAGAAGACATAATAGTCATACCGTATTTACCGCCGTTGACAAGGTGTGGGAAGATATTTCCGGTATCGCGGTATCGGCGAATACACTGCAATGCACGCCATACCGGTGGCAGTGCTGAGAAGAATCCGAGTAAACGGGAATTATTTGAGTTGCATTGAACTGGATTATTCCAATAATGTGCGTAGAGGCAGAAAAATAGTTCGATATTCTTATTTCGTGATTAGTTACTTGATAACTTGCTAGAAGAGGAATTCGACTTACAGAAGTTGCATAGGTGAGAGAACAATACATGTCGCCGAGAAAGAAATCGCGAAACTCCACGGGGTATAATCCTGCGAAAAATAATCGATACTAGAGAACATTAGATAAAAGTTTCCGTCTGTAGAATGGTGACACTTACGTGGGAATACATGAGCCATTGGCGACTTCTATGCCATAAGATAGGTGCTGGAAGTAAGAGAATAATCAACGTGATGGCTATCAGAATAACTGGATAGTAAAGATACAACTCATCCGAGCCGTATCTAGTGAAATTAATCCAGAAAAATACACCAAAGAGCAATAGGAAGAAGCTAGGGAAGTTCGCCAATTGTCTCCAGTCCAAGCTATTTCTCGTATCAAATTCGAATATGAACGGATAGTTGATCTTGTTTATCGTCCACATGTAGCAGTCAAGACAGAACAGGAACATCAGGGTTAACATCAGGAAATAACCGCCGTATATCTGCATGAGGTAACTGGTCTGTTGTTGTACTGCCGGGTCCGGGCCAAACAAGAGTTGTGAGCCGTACACAAGGCCCTGGAGGGTGAACACGGCCCCAGTACCGATAAAAAGTCCATTCCGGAACGAAATGGCCGATTCATCTCCTGGTCGTCGATTGAGGCGATGGAGCTTTCCCGTAGCGATTTTGTGGTTTCCTTTTTCAAAGTACCTGGCGTAAAGGTCCTCAACGGCATGGATGTAACCATCTACAGTGTTACTATTCACGAACCACGACTTATTGACTTTCTCATTCATGTACCGATAAGGCGGTCGAGCATTCACGGCCTTGTCGTATTTCTTGTTCAGCTTCCGAAAAGCGGTCCGATTGAGTTGAGCATATGACTGAAGGAGTTCCAGGCCCCTGTAAAATTCCTGCAGGGCCAGTTTCAGTTTTCGCTTTGCCGTCCTGTAGGGTACCTCGTGGCTGGCTGGTCTTCTTATATAATCCCGTCTCGCATCCCCTCCAATTGCCCCAAGGACTGGGGTGAAATGTAACTTTGAAAATGCTTTCGAATTTGAGCCAGGCTTAAATATTCTGGACTTAATCGGGTCGACCCAGTGGCGGGCACCATTCGTACCTGACGAGACCGCTTTATTGTCACTATTATCCCCGCTCTCGCTATGTTCCTTACGTCGTCTTAATTCAGCAAGTTCCTGGTTGCGTCGATCCCGCATTTCATGCAATTGCTCCCGCAGTACTGCCAGACGATTGCCAGCTTGCTCCTCTTTTTGGCGGTAGAACACCTCAACTTTATCCAATTCACTATCCAAGAAATCGAAAAAGTCCTTTTCCCGTTGCCTAACGGTGTCAATAGCTTGGAGACCATATCCGAACTTATTACTGTCAGTTCTAGTAAACCGGCCCGTGGCATGTTGCCCCGCTGAGAATATCCGCCGCAGTTTACCAGGCGAAGCGCTCTGCGGAAATGTAGGGGCGGGACGGATGCTCTGAGTGGCTGGTTGGGAGGCAGTTCCTGAAGTTACTGCGCCCGTAGAGATACTACGTTTCACAGACTGCCGACTAATAGTCTTCCGAAGCGTATCGGTGGGACGTGATGGTGGTGGCTGATCAGTTGGGATCGCAGGCTCGCCTAACGCGGGAGCGGGCAACTCGAAAACATTCCAACTCTCAGCGACCGAAGGCGGTGTGGGCACGAAACTACCATATTGCATGTCATTACCCGGCGACGCCGTTAAAGATTGATGCTCTGCCCGCACCGGAATCGGTGCCGGTTGGGATCTTGGAGCATCATTAATTCCCCGATTCGCATGCCCAATCGGTGCGGGGCTTCCTCGCAGAGATTCAGTCTCATCAAATATTCCAGGTCCGGTATTTTGCTGACGGGAGAATTGATTTGGACAAGGTGTAGTCAAGCCACGCGACGGTAAGTCCCCTCGTTTTCCCAGACCCAATGGTGTCCCGTTTGCTCTATTGATGGCTCTCGACACGCCCTTAATGTATTTCTTACCGGCCTTGTAGTTGAGATACTTGACTCTCCATTCTGACTGTTACGTTAGTACTCGCGGCTATGCGACCTCTCAATGCTATGGAATGGCTAGCTTATCTAGAAGGAAGCTTGCCTAAGATGTAAACTAGGCGTACCACTCACCTGGGACGAGGTCTTGGTCAAGTTCCTTAGCGAACTTCATGACGTCAACAAGAAGAAAGGGGTTAACCTTTCAGCCTTATCGAATCTACCCTGATATGCATATGAAAGGAATCGAATTAGAATAAGTGTCTAGGTATGTAACGAATTAGGTATGGATGAAGATCTAACATAGGTTCTAGGATTTTTGTGCTCCAATAAAAAAGAAAAATTGATTGACAAACGAAGAAATGATAACAATACCTATAATACCAATAAATAATTAGTTCCCACCAGTCTCGGTATATAAATTGGACCTTCCCATTTTACGCTCTAGTTTAACAATTAGCAGCGTAAGGCGCGATTGCCAGGGCTTACCAGATTTTTCTCCAGTGGGTCTACGGGTCTCCGCTGGAGGTGACGGTCTAGAACGCCTACTCCGTAGGTACCTAGGTACCGACAAGACGTCAAAATGACCAATTTGATTAACACAGTTTCACACAGTGTCAATTATACGGCTTATATCTGATTTAATGCCACTACACGTCACGATAACTTCAACAATGTGAAGAATTTAAGCATCAGACCAAGATATTATCTTTCGAGGTCGGAGTTCCCGACGGAGTAGATATTACCAGGTAGGTTGGAATGTCGGGGTTAAAAGATGCAAGGGAGACCCAACTCTTTGCGGTCATATGGCCTCGTGTAACAAGGCAGCCCGCATCATGGTGGTTATTCGAGGGTTTTCGACAATGAGAAGGAACCAACATAATTTCATCACTCACTCATCATCATATTATCGTAAGTCATAATCAACATGTCTCAAACAACCCCGCATCGCAGAGCTATCCGCACGAATAGCCACCAACACAACCAAAGTAGACGAGTATTTCACCACACACTCACTACCCACCCCTTCATTCAACGCAAGCGCCGGCGTGCCCCGGGAATCACCAATCCCCGCTTCCGAGCCTGCCATCCAAGCCGCTCGTCAGAGCGTCATACAGGATACCCTCGAACTCCACCAACTCATGCTAGGTCCACGGGAACACATATTCAGCTACTCCCCGACTCATCTCGTGAGTCAATTAGCAATCGCTCGATTCGGACTGGCACGCATAGTACCAATCGACGGCGAGGCTACCTTCGCCGAGATCGCTAAAGTTACCGGTTTGGGCGAAACCCATGTGCGCAAGTTAATCCGTCATGCTATATCGCAACATGTATTCCAGGAACCACGGCCAGGCGTAGTTACGCACAGCGCGGCATCGCGTTTACTCGCTGAAGACGCTGATCTAGCGGCGTGGGCGCGCTGGTGTGCTGATGATTGCTGGTTAGCTGCGTATTATACATGTGAGGCCATGGCTCGCTGGCCTGGGTCCGAGGAGCCTAATGAAACCGGTTTCGCTGTTGCCAATCAGACGGATCTTCCTATGTTTGACTTTCTAGCTACCCAGCCGGAGCGTGGGGCGCGTTTCGCTGCGGGTATGCGATTGTACGCTGCGCGACCGGATCTTAATGTGCAGTATCTCGTTGACGCCTGGTCTTCGTCCTGGGGCAGTTTACCGAAAGGGGCTACGGTGGTCGACGTTGGCGGATCTCATGGGGAAGCAGCCATCGCGCTGGCTCGCGCGTATCCCTCGTTAAATCTGGTCGTGCAAGATATTGACGCGCCTACGATACGAGATGCGTATGCCCGGAAGCCGGCTAATATCAGCGAACGGGTGCGGTATATGACACATGATTTCTTCACCGAGCAGCCTATTCACGGAGCCGATGTGTAAGTATTGCGGTGTCTACAAGTTTGATATCCTTGTGCTCAAACCCATTAAACCCGCTGTTCGTTGACGAAATACTGACCAATCTATCCCAAAGCTACCTATATCGAGCGTGTTTCCACAATTGGTCCGATAAATACGCCATACGCATGCTGCAAGCGCTAATCCCAGCGCTAAAACCGGGGGCGCGCGTGGTGCTCAACGATGTTATAGTACCGAGCCCAAAGAATATGCCTCCGGGCTCGGCACTAGGGGTGCGGTCCGGCGATCTTAGCATGACAATGCTGTTTAACGCAGGAGACCGTGAGATGGCCGATTGGGCACGCCTGTTCGAAGCTGCTAGCTCAGGGTTCCACTTCGACGACGGAAAACAACCGCCCGGTTCGGGGTTGTGGGTGTTGGTGGCTACGTGGAACGGAGTCTAGATAGGATTTAAGACGATGTATTAGTGTAGAAAAGGCCATGGGAGGGAAGAGAATCGCTAACCCTAACCCTAAGTGAATCGATCCTAGTTTAAGAATATATTTCCCGAGGCCATTGGAGGACTTAGCTGCTAGAGACGACGTACTAGTTATCAATAGTGTCGATGTTTTCGGGGCGCTTTCGTGGGTTATTTCGTAGATGGTTTCGTAGGTATATTTTAGTTACCACAATAGGACAGATGGAAAACCGTACACTTCAAGAAATACGCTCTTCGTAACAATGGCGAAAGTAGAAAAAATACGAATCCCATTGATATCCCCTCCTGGCGGCTTGGTCAACTTCTTTGCAATAGGCCATCCGATTCTGCCAGACCTATCCAATACCCAGGTAGGTATATCATGGTCATAGTTTGGCCAAGAAGACAAGCGATGAAAGATTTGTGCACTTGTATCTGGATGTACGCAATGTAGGAGTAGGTCTTTAAGTGTTATAAACCAGCTAAAGGCTTGTGCTATGTTGTTTACCAATAATACTAGGGTTTCTTCTTGCTCCTCATTTTCTAGGAGTTCGAGCAAAACCTCGATTTGACACTCGATTTGACTGCGTTCTACCGAAAAAAGAATTTGTAGGGCAAGCCTCCATACGAGTATTGTCCAAACATCGGCCCATTGGCAACTTCGGGAATCCTGAAGTTTGATCTTTTCCCTAGCAGAAAACCCCCTTTTGAGGAGAGACTTTATAATATTACGACTTACGGCCCTATCACCGATTTGGTAGGCCTTGAAGTATTCGTTAGATAAACATGCAGATAGAAGGATGCTCCTCGAGTTTGATTCTGGATCTACAGGAACATTTATCTGGAGCGCCGAGATGACATCATAGCTCTGCCCAAGCAAAGCCGCAAGATGAGGTAGTGACGTCCGATCTGATCGACGGATATTGTGTTTTTTGGATAGGACTGCCATACTTAGATGGCCAAATACACACCCTTTGCAATAACTCGGGAGTATTTCCGCGAGCTCCATGGCGTGTGGCCAGGAAATTCGCGAGGAAGCCAGTCGAACTCCACTATAGGTCGGTAGCTCGCTAAATTTCATATCCAGTAACTCAAAGCCGTACTTATATATCTCCCGGTCAACTTCAGATGAATTATGGCTCATAACCTTTAACTCAGCCAATCGCAGGCGCGTATGTAAGTCAGATACTGGATATTCGCTACAGTCTGATTGAATCAGATGGAGTCGACTTTGTTGCATCAGATATTCTTTGACTGTTCCATGGAACAATTTGACTCGGTTTGTGAGAAGTAGGTCTCTATAGCTGCTGCTAGGTACCATTTCAACCAAACCTCGAGTCCATCCATCCAGATGAAATCTCACGTATTCGATATCATGTTCGGCTTCCTTCCTGTCATATGTATTTCGATTGAGAGCTTCGCGCCATTTATCTTCGTCGACTAGCCACCTCAAGCATAGCGCACTCACGGCATCTTTAAAGGGGTTTGTTAGCACAATAAAGAGGATGCGATGTGCTATCTTCCGATCCATATATGAAAGCGCCCCGATCATTTTCTCATAGAGATTATCCATGTCCCTAGGGAGTTCTTTTAGTTTTTTCATGAGGTCTCTTGCCATTCCTTGCACCCTAGCCTCAGAAATAATGATCCGAACAACAAGATAGGCCCAAATAAACACGCCCTCTGCACGATGTACGATTTCTTGAACGAGATATTGAGAGTGCACTTGTAAGTCAGAATGAGGACGTGGAAGGTCAGTGGAGCCTATAGCTTCTATAAACATCCTGCGGCAATGATTCTCGATGTCATAGCTGTTGAGCTCGTGAAGGTGCAATTGATGCCGCTGCGGGTGTTCTGATAGGCCGAACGTGCTCTCATATTGGACGTGCGGCCGGGAGCTAACACAAAATTTAACATTTCCTTGACTTTGGTCGGCCCATTTACAGAGTTTCCTGGCAAGTTGCCAATGACTCTCACTATCAGCCTCGTACTCGTCCAAGCCGTCGACGAGAAAAAATAGACGGCAACAGCCTTCCTCCACGCCAGCATGGTTTATGAGTGTTTCGAAAGCTCTCTCAATGTTCTGTGGCCTGGTAATTTCAGCAGGATCAGCACGCGATGTGTGTTGGTTCTCGTTAAAATATTCCGGAAACACCTTCAACGCTAAATCTTCGTTTTCCTTTAAGACGATGTATAAGATAGAACGAAGTAGGCCAATGAGCGATCTTTGTTCGTCAATTCCGGAACCATTGAAGAAGAATGTAGCCAGACATAACTTCCGTGTTCCTGCCCATTTTTTGAGATAGGCTTGAGTTTTAGGGTGTGATGATATAAATTTCATCAACGTCGACTTCCCGCAACCGGCTTTACCAGAAATATGAAACACACCACTACCTGATTCAAGCCACGATGTGAAATATTGCTTTGACTCTCTCAATCGTTCGTTCGGGTGGTGATCTCCTGTCGCACCTTCTAAAGCCCAGATGCACGTGCCTTTAGTGGCATCCCCGATTTCATCTTTGCGACGATATATGCCTTCAAAGCGAAGCGGCATGAGAATCCTGTCTGATAATGTGACAACCGAAACCTTTGGGAACTTTAGCAATAGGTCATGGAGTTCGCTAGCCATATCTAGTTGTCCACCGATGTCAACCCCAGCTTGAGTGCTGCCATTGTACATTTCCAAAAGTTTAATCAAGCTTGAACGGTATTCGGCGAATTCTTCGGACCGCGCACGATGAAATTGCCTAAGATCGTTTTGTAACGTGTCTAGCTTTTGGTTGATCGCTGACTGCTGATCTCTGGTGATGTGCGTGTAAGCTCCTGTCCCGAGTAGTCTGAAATCGAGGTATTTTCATACTTAAAATGCGGAAGAAAACTTGTAGTCAACTGAGAGCGGTGTCTTTCCAACCTATTTACCATGGAGGTGATATCTGATTTCTTCCAAAGCGCGTATATATAAACCCTGCCACGCTCTAGAGTCGAATCGCGTTTCATCTTCAGCCGTTGTAACAAGCTCAATAGTTCTTGACATAGGGCGTTGCAGTTGTTAGCGATAAGTTTCAACTCTGAAGGTCCATCGGCGGTAAGGCCCTGAACCGTTCTTCGTAGCTCATCGGTGATATTCTGTAATTCTGCGTTTTCGTGGATCATTTCCAGCCCGCTGTGTAGAAATTGATTGAACTTTTGTCCTGCCTGGATGCAACCGAAAATGCTTGCTGCGAGCCCAATGGCTGAAACTGGGTCCATGACTACCTAGGTTAACTTTTGCCTTGCCTAAGGAATTTATGAAGAACGGTGTTTTTGACCGAAAAAAAAAAAGAAAGGAAATCGACGCTCCTATCCATTTCCCTGTATTTACTTAGGTAGCTAAGGATGGCATATAAAGTAACATTGGGCACCGACGACATTGATCTGTGCCAGGTATTGCGAGTTTGCCATGGCTCGAATAATATCCGGGTGGATACTCAGAGCTACGTATCGCAAATTTATAACCATTCGAATGCCACCACACCCTACCCTCCAAAATACACTTCAAAGACTACCATACAGGAATATACATACCTAACCTCTTTTAAACCCGTAGTAATAGTAGTAGTAATAGTATATTGTTTAACATCTAAGCGAAAGGAGACCAGGTTAAAAGACCCTGACCTCAATCCACAACCTCCCAAGGGATATAAAACGTAACAAACTCAACATTACATGAATAGTAATTGCTACACCTCAATCAACCTATTTCCAAGCACTTTGTTCTACAGGTCTAAATCTAATCTTCCTATCCCATAAATATTCCCTCTTTTTTCTTATTACTAACCTACCATCACAGTATCTCTATATCACAGGCCCTCTCAATTTATTCAATTTGTTAACAATTTAAATAAATCGTCCCTAGAATAAGCCTACTTATAATAAACAAATTAATTTAAAACATTTTCAATAAATAAATAAATTGAATAAATAAGTAAGTTTGAATAGCTCCAACATAAAGGACAAAACTCTACCATATCGTGTTAGCTTACTAAGTTTCTAAGCATACGTCCGTGATACCTTCCTAAATATAAAAAGCTTTCTCTATCTATATTCCACTATCTTTCGTATGTTGTCATCATCGTTGTCGAAACTCAGAGACAATTACCAGGATTTTTAATTAATAATAAATTCTTAATATTACACATAAAAATCGAATATTTTATCGTTTGTTAGTGTAATGTTAAGAATACCATACTAATTAGCAGTGGATCCTAACATAACACTAACAGAAGATGCCAAGAAAAAATATTTTTGGGGCGAAGTGTCTTTTAAACCCGTGGTGACTTCGATAAGCATGTAAAAGTTTCTTCCCACCTTTTTGGGGCTACACGATTGGAAGTGACCACGTATCTAGAATAAACCTGAAGATCCATGTATGTAGGTAGCTAGGTGGGTATGTACCTCGGTACCTATGAGAGTAAGTCAGACATTATGTTCGTATCGTAGTTTGAAAATGATGTACAATATATTTAAATGATTTCCCATTCGGACTTTTTATATACGAGAATTCATAGTGAAAATACACAATTTAGCCAGTAAGTCCTGCAACGCTGCAGGACCTAAGTACATATACCTGAAAAGTCACCGGGCTTATTTCGACAAGTCAGAATTGGGACGGGGTGCATTTTTTGTATTCCTCCTCCATATCCAGCCTTAATTGCGAACACGTGGAATAGGGGATACTAAGTAAATTTATATATCGCTAAGCTTCATTTCCAAACTTAAAACAAATTTAGCATTATTCTTTCATTCTCCTCTTTGACCTTAAGTAAACCAACATGGCGTCATCTCCGACGAGGACAACCCCTCGCATCATCGTGTACCACCAAACCACCCACGATCCCAACGGCAACCTAATCTCAATCCTGCCGCTAATAACCCAACCCAATATCTCACTTACCCATATAATCGTAGCAGCAATCCACATAAACGAGGATCCAAACGGTCTAACCCTGAACGACCATCCCCCCTCAGACCCCCGCTTCATCACAACATGGGCCGAACTACGCGTAGCCCAAGCCAGCAACATCAAAGTCCTGGGCATGCTAGGCGGCGCCGCGAAAGGATCCTACGCGCGCCTAGACCAGGACCAATCTTCCTTCGAGACATACTACGCTCCGCTCTATAACCTCATCCGGGAACGAGATCTCAATGGACTAGATCTCGATGTCGAAGAAGAAATGTCGCTGGGAGGTATCGTGCGGTTGATCGATAGACTACGCGCAGATTTTGGGCCGGAGTTTATTATTACCCTCGCGCCGGTGGCGGCTGCGCTTCTAGATCCGAGGAGGAATTTAAGCGGTTTTGATTATGAGGCGCTAGAGGTTATGCGCGGTGCCCAGATTGCCTGGTATAACGCGCAGTTCTACTGCGGGTGGGGCGATGCGAGTAGTCCCGTCATGTACGAGATGTGCGTCGCGCGGGGGTGGCCTCCGGAGAAAGTCGTCGTGGGACTTGTCACGTCGCCGGAGAATGGGCCCGGGTGGGTGCCGTTCGAGGTACTCGGCGCGACGTTTGCGGTTCTTCAACGGCAGTATGCGAAGTTTGGGGGTGTGATGGGGTGGGAGTATTTTAATGCGCGGCCGGGTGGGAAGGACCGGCCTTGGGAGTGGGCGCAGCGCATGACGGGGTTGTTGAAGGGTACCCAGACCGAAGCTGCGCAGAATACTGGTACGGCGGGCTCTTTGAAAATAGGAGCTGGGGAGATTGATCCGGATGTTGGAACCGGGCCGAAGGTTGAGGTTCCGGTGAGCTTTGAGTACTACTCGGATGGTTTGGACGAGTAGACTGACAAAATCATACAATACCCCTATAGATCAATTTAAGTAGGTTCACTGACTATTTTACCTGATAACCGCGACCGGGCGTGAAATCCGTGAGTTTATCATCCCATTATGATCGTAGAATGTCCGTGACGTCCAAGCGTTGCTAACTTGTTCCTTCAGGTGACCGTGTTACTAGATGTGATGGAATCTTAGGTCACCGAGGTCATTACTAAGAACTCCGTGCGCAGAAGCCATTTTAATGGATTCACGGGGCGATAAATCCTGTTAGTACTACGCCTGATTGGGTGAGTTGTACAAGCCAGCGACGAACTTGTAAGCTATTTCCTATTCACAACACGCCAATACGTATCACGTCTACCTATGTGGTCCTGACTGAGATGATAGCAAACACCCTAAAGAACTGTACATATTCTCTTCATCCTACTATGGATTCTAGAACGACCTCCATAAGGCTAGACTACGTATTTTCATATCTTCTTATGTCGGCAGAGCAGCACATTGAGTCCATCGATAATCCGAAATATTCCCTTGGCTATCCTCATGGTATCCGAGAGCATCAAGTCACGCAGGCGTTCCCTGTCCAAATATGCTCGACTGGGTGGTGATTATGCTCATACCCTACGATCCCATATAAGAGCAACTAAAAGACCCCCGATGCCCGGTGAAGAGCTGACTAATAAACAAGACGAAACCGCAGCAAATAACGCAGCTAGCCCTTCTTCCGAAAAGCAGGAACAGGAGGAACAAGAGCAGCAGGAGGGGACCAAAGAATCGAGAGTATCTTGGAACACTGGGGAACCGGAAAAGAAGCAAAATAGGTGGCGTCAAGTGAAAAGCAGGCTGCCGGACATTGTTAATACTTTTAAGGTAGGCTGCATAGATAAGCCAACGCCATGGCGGGTTTTATTCGTCATTTTGTGCCATCGCTAATTTTTGATAGGAGTTGAACACCGGGATCGGCAATGATGAAAAGCAAGAGCGCAGAACGTCACAGAAGACAATAGACAACGACCTTAGCCGTCACTCAAGTCTCTCCGAAAAGGGTAGGGAGGTAGCAAGGTTCTTGGTTTCTCCTACAGTCACCAGTGTCAAACAAAAGTTTAGACCGAAGCAGAAAGATCCTCTCCACCAATGGTTTGTGGACCATTCTGGGGGTACCCTGAAGGAAAAATAGGCGATGGGCCGCCAGGCCGCCTTCGATACGTGTGGGGGTCAGCATGTTTGGCGTTTAGGTACTTCTCGGGTGGCGTTAAAAGGTTACCCATTCCTGAGCATGGGGGGTAGTTATATATTACAGGCAGCCATACGTACCTGATAAATTTCTGTTAGCAATACATAGCGGATGCTTTGAAGAGATACGTTGTCATCTTGATTCCCAGATTTGTTACCTTGAATATCCAGACCCTTAAGCAAGTATCCATAAACCGAAGGCTTCTCAGGAAGGTCTGGGGCATAATTCATTCAAAGGGCGATGCCTATCGTATACAGGATATTTTGGCAGTCGTTTGGCTGTTTACCTAGGCATCTAGATGCCCTAAGCATGACCAAGTTAATCAAGGCACTTACCCGAGATTTCGAAGCTTGAAAAAACTGATATATGATAACGTGCACTGATAGTTGCTCACTTGGGTTTCTTGCATACACGTATCCAGGCAACCATCCGTTTAGGGTGGTGTGACGAATATTCGCTGCCGCTGAAGATAAGATCTCAGATCTCATCCAAGGATGTCCCTGACCCTGAAGCTGACGATCTTAAAACGGGAACCGTGTTTGCATTGCAAAATTGTGGCCTGTGCGTGTAGAACGCGCCTTCACCTTCAAAATATTCACGCGTCTCCATAGTGCACAAGTGTGTTCTGTATCATGTGCAAACCTGTGCTTAGGTTAGGTACTTCATGGTTTCTACTAAAAAACAATCAACCCATTCTTACCCACCCAAAGACATCAATTCCTTCGGCCGCTCGGCATCTTCCGAATACGGATCGACAACCGCAACTATGAAGACTCCGATAGAAATTTCGGACTCGTCCGGAAGCGATGAACCCAATCTCACTTTATTTAAGGAGATGAAGTCAGAGATATGGGAATACCTTGATCATATCAAGGAACGAGTCGTCGGAAATGTTGCTACCTTGAAGCTACAGAAGAGCTTCATCAATCCCGGGTTGGTGGTGTCCGACGCTCTCATCCCACTACCCTTGACACCTCGAGATGCTGAGATTATTAAGAAAGCGTGCGGACAGGCTGCGCCTAACCAGGCCAATGAGGTAGGTAATTCAAGATACCAAATTCCTATTTCTACTTTCTATTTCTTCCAAATATTTCATTTCCATATATGCCAACCTGGAATACCCCGGACGGTCGTGTCACTAACAATGTTACCATAGACTCGTGCGGACTCATCAGTACGCAAGAGCTGGGAGCTCGACCCCACCCAATTCAAGTTCACCAACCCGGATTGGCAAGAATATGCCACCACATTAATGAACGAGACTGCGCAAGCGTTGACCATGTCACACGTAAGAGCAGTCCCTTCCAAGCTCGTACTGCATGAAGAGGGCGCGCTTTTCAAGAACCCCAAGATCGTCCCGGGAATGGTCGGAAAATTGATTATCTGCCTCCCCTCGAAACATGACGGCGGTAGCATCCACTTGTCTCATGCCGGCAAGAAATACATCCTCGACACCGACAAGGCGTGTGATTTCGGGCTAACCAGTCTCGCATGGTATTCCGACGTCGCTAATGAGGCCAAGCCCCTCAAATCGGGATGTCGCCTTGCCATCATCTACAACATCACGCAAACTAAAGGCGACCGGTTCTCTGCTGAGCTAGTCGACAAGCAGTCGGAAACCCTCCGTTCACTATTTTCTAAGTGGGCGGCAATCCCGGACGATCAACTACCGAACGAGCCTCAGCTGATGTATGTGCTCGCACATCGATACACAAACTCCAGTTTCTCGTTGAGCAATCTTAGAAGCTGGGATAGGATCGTGTGCCAGAGCTTGTATGAGGTTGGTTTGGACTGTGGATTCACTGTATTACTCGCCAACATGACCCGGATCCGATACACAGAGGATGAGAATATGGGCGGCGAAGGAAGGACAATACTAGAAGATATTAGGGCTTACGATGGAACCCTACTCTGTGCTGAATGCTGGATTGAGAACGATGACAACGTTTCTGGGTACGACTGCGAGGACCTCACTCCCGACGAGAAAGGCGATGAGATTTACCCAGGCTATTATACGAAGCGCACCTATAATGATACCGTAAGTTTGCCACCATTATATTTGTCTATTGCACGAACAATCGATGCTGATTCGTCTTCTAGGTCGCCGTCATTGTACCTATGAGTCGCCTAAGTAGGTTCGCTTTTGATGATACCTATGATCGTGGTGTAATGAAGTTCTTTCGCGAGGCTCTAAAAGACCACGCAAGCGACGAGCGTGTTCGAGCCAACCTCTTCAAGATGCTTATAGACACTATTCGATCTGCTGAACCTAATGCTGAGGTGCTATCCGATATGCTAAGGATAGCCATCGAATCCCAGAATAATTCACTGCGTCATGAGGTTATCAGCGGACTGCTACAGGACCCGAAAGTTCAACCAGCAGTGTTACCGATAGTAGCGCAGTTCTTGAAAGAGAGCAGCCTCAAGAGCCCAAAGCAGCAGCCGGACTGGAACTACTGGTATGTTGTTACTCTGGAATTCATGGCCCTGATTCTAATTACGTTCTAGGTTTGGTGATTTGGTCGGTAGAGCGTCAACGTATCCATTGACAGGCTTCCTGGAATTTACAGCTCGCTTCGAATCGATACTTGAAGCTCAGAATCTGAAGTCTTCGTTTCAAGACTGGAAAGGACCCGCGACGGATAAGGTGGTTGAGTTAACCCAGCAATTGAACAAGACCAACTATAACTTTTTGGTTTGTCTGTTATCTTCGCGATCTGGGGATATGTCATGGTTGAGGAACTGGTAGGTCATTCATTTTCAAGAGCATGGCAAGTCATTATTCGTGATCGGAAGCTGATATCCTTATTTCTCTTTTCAGGTTCACCCCGGTATTGGTCGATAAAGCTACGAAGCAATTGGTCTGCTTGATACTGAAAGCTATCTACGACAAACGGGAAGCAAGCATCCTCCCCAACGCCACGGAGATGTTCCGATGCATACTGGAGAAGAATACCGAAAAGCTGGCCTTGGAGATTGGTGATTTCCCGAACAATATTCAGCCGGCTCTGCCTTACGGAGCCAGGCGCCAAGACGAAACCAAACGCCAAGACGAACCATGCCTCAAGGACGTTATCCAGGTCATTGAACAGGGTTTCGCCATGAAATTTACCCAACAAACAACCCAACTTCTCGAGAAGAGTTGTACGGACATCCACCAAGGCTGCCAGAAGCTGAAGGAGAACGAAATGCCTTACGTTACTTCGGTCCGAAGCTTCTTACAATCCATTCTAGCCATTTTGAAAAAATATCAGGTCCGCCCGCTTGAGTCGGTTAGGGATATGTTCGTGACTCTTCTCCGCAAGGTAATGGTCGCCAATCCACCAAGGTTGCGGTCTGCTCCCAGACTAGGTAGTCGAGGTCCTTCACCTTTGAAGATAGACTTTTCGGCCTTCGATGATCGAGTCATGGGTCTTCGATGCGAGTACGTGGAGTCTTTGTTAGGAGAAGACCTATATCGCGAGTTGGTGCTACTAGAAGGCATTCAAGGACGGGACGAGGTTAAACAAGCCGAGAAGGGCGCGAAGAGAAGGGAAGTTGCCATGAGAAAAAGGGCCGGCTCACAGCTGAATAATTCTCCCGCTTCGAGGCCTAAACTCATGGACGGACAATCGGGGTTGATATGAAGCTTGGATCTAAAGGTATACCTAGGTTGGTATTTGGCTTTCGCAAAACGGTCGTGAGTTTGGTTGGTGGTCTTCCTGCATTGCGACGGTGAAAATTAGGTAGGCTAAGGATATGGTCAGGTTCTGGAGTCTGTTGATTACCCATGATTTAGAGATTAAGTATCAAGCATGCAGCAACTTGATAACCTCACATAGTAAGATACTACCTGTATGATGATAAATGGATCTCATGTGATGTCGCTCGTTCGTTTGTAGGTCTCGTAATTTGGCGATATAAATGCAGCAAACTAGCCTTGCGGCTATACCTTAGTCCTCAATGGTATTCCCATCCCTAAACGCCCCAAACATATCCAAAACTCCCAGCGCAAAAACGAACACAGAACATCGTCGGACATATCCCCCCAACTCCAAGTTAACCACATCTTACTTCCACCCACCAAACGCACGATCCAACTCCTCCCCCTCATCAACCGCCGCCATCTCACTAATAACCACACTCCCGGTCCCACTCCCATTCCCACCCGCACTCCCCCCATCAACCTCGACCCCACCACGATGCTGCCCCTGCCACAAGTGTTGCGGGTGATGCGCGTACGAGGTATCCGAAATACTCATCTCCGCGAAATGCCCCGCGAACTCACTAGTCTCGGCATCGGCATCCGCTTCAGCGGCTGCGCTGGGCCGGCGTTCAGGTTGTAAGAGTCGGGCTTCGGAATCTAACCAGCCGGGCGCTACGCGACGTTTTTCAGCTAGTTCGCGCGCTCGTGTGCGTTCTTCGAGGTCTTGGAGGGACCGGGTTGCGTCTTCTTCCATGCGCAGGAGGTGGGCGCGGAGTGCGCAGCAGGAGGATATTATGTCGTCAGGGTGGGCGGCGTGGCCTGAGGTGGCGATTACGTAGCGTGGTTTGTCGGAGGCGGAGGGGTCGTTGCTTGGGGTTGAGGAGGAGGAGGAGGAGGTGTGTGCGCCAGTTACGCCGCTTTGGGGCGGTGGGAGAGTTGAGGGCATTGCTTTGTAGGTGTAGGGTAGTGTGGCGGCGGTTGGTAGGGAGACGAAGGGGGAGACGGTTAGGGGGACTTGCGCGAGGAGCGGGTGCGTGCCTAGTGATGATTGTTAGCTATGGTGTTGTATAGATATGTGTACAGCGGGGGACGGCGGTGGCTTACGGTCGTCCCTCATTGTGGCCATTGTATAGGGAGCCTTCTAGTGATGGTGGTATAATGTATTGGATATGGTTCGCTATTGAGTTGTTAGATTAGAACGCGTCGCGCCTAGCCTGGTATGTACTCTATTTAAACGGTATAAAGTTAAGGTTTAGGTTAGGATCGGTCGAGATTGAAGGTATGCTGATGCTGTGACGATGCACTGTAGATATTATCGATAAGGGCCTTTATCGCCGATGGACCCCGCTGTACGACCCCCAGCCCACTGTATTTTCAGCTAGGCAGTCGGCGCTATTCTTCTCACAAGCTTTAACATAGCCTCAACGTAGCTTCAATTAAAGTACAACAGCTTCTATTTCATTTCTATTGAGTTAATTGGTTTTATACCGAAGTAAACTTAATTGAATAAGGCCTTTTGTTACTGCTGACAGTTATGTTGCCTCCGACCGTAATTAGGACTTGTCCTTCGGCAGACAACGATTTTCAGCCCTTGAGTGAATACCAAGCTCAAACTCCGGACACGTTCTTCGATGGAAAGCCTGTTCTATACTATCACGATGAGAATGTCAAGGCTTGGGTATCTGCAGAGCAATATGAACGCCTATACTTCTTCACCAAAGCTTCAGGAGATGGAAGCGCATCTTTAAATCCCACACCACCAGAATGCTACGCCTTAGAAAATAACTGGGGAAAGCATCTGCATGAAGAAAAAGTTGAAGTATTCGTAGCCTCAAGGTGAGTCTGCCTGTTGAATAGTGTTTACGGATAAAACTAGCTGACTCGTTTTATAGCAAGTTCATTCTCTTCTCCCACAGCAGTGGGACTGGTATTGAAATTCCCTACCCAGCTATCACACTCCATGCTCTCAAGAATTTCCGCCACGTAGAAAAACCTGACGAGGCTGCATCGAAGTTTATCGGAGTTTACATGCAGCTCGAATTCTCGGGTTCAGGCGAAGATGACGACGAGGGCTTCGACCCGATTGAACTCACACTCATTCCATACAAAGCATTGCCAAAAGAGCAACCACCTACAGAGGCAGTTACTGTCGATCCCTTGAATAGCGAGCGAGCTACCGCGCTATTTAACCAAGTATCGGCATGCTCAAATTTGCATCCTGATCCTCATGAAGAGGGCGAAGAAGAGGACGAGGATGATGATTTCGATCGCATTGTCTTTGAAGGGAATTCCGAAAGCGAAGCTGTTGAGGGATTGCCCGGTGTTTTTAGAGGGGACCTTAATGGCGGTCTCCCACCTCCGATGCCCGGGAGCTCTGGTTGGATTACTGCTGAAAATGTCAACCAATATTTTGACGAAGATGGAAATTGGATCGGAGGAGAGGACGGCGTGAGTGGTGAGCTCGGAGATGGCGCGGGCCGTGTCCGAGGTCGGGACGAAGTGGAGGAAGACGGCGCGAATGGAGTAGAAAATGGCGAGGATACGGATTCGAAACGCCCACGAACCGAATAAACGATTTCTAAATAGAGCGTCGAGGGCCCAGCGCTACAGACCCATGGTTTTCGCAGGTCTCTTCATTTGAGATGCGAGTCTGCCTCATAATCAATCAAGGATATGAATAAAAAATTCAATGTGTTGCTAAATTTATGAGATTCAATGAGGATTCGCTAGAGTAAGTTCTGTCATTGCCTTCGACAAAAATTATACTTATTAACAAATCATTAGTCCGTAGCTAATATTCTACGGGCCGCGCCGTCCCGTATACTGGCACGCGAACTCTTATGGCATGAAATGTTACCCGATAATCTGTCTTATATGTTACATGTTACAGAGGAAATTATATTGGTGACGCCCCAGCCCGGCCTATTCCAAAGCATATATCCAATACGGTGGTTAAAGATACAAGCAAATCGTTCACACAACAGAAGGAAAATTAAATCCCAATCCTCGCCCAACTAATTCTTCAAAAACCCCTTCGAATCATACAAACTCTCCACACTCACCCTCTTCCCCTTCGACTCCTCACGACTCAACCTCGCCGCATGCGACATGAGCTGACTACTCCTCTTCACACTATTCGTGCCAATATTCGCACTCATCCGCGAATCCAATCCCTGCAGCACAACCGTTCCTCTCCTACTTCTATTCACACTACCCCGGCGTATAGGACTTTTAGTCACAACCCCAACATCACTTAACGAGCCACCCCCAATCCCATTCGAAAGTTGCATGAACATGCCACTATTCCGCAACCCACCCCCAAGCGAGAGATAATTCTTTCCACCATTACTCTGCCGTCCGGGACTCGACCCCCCGCCTCGCATGCCCGGGAGCGTGGAACTGGCTACGCTGACGTCGCTCATGGTGCTGATTTGACTGTTCATTCGGCGCAGCTCGGTGATGGTGCTTGACATGCGTACGCTTTTGTTCTTTTTCACTGTTGATGCGCGGAGAGGCGGGACGCGGTCTTCATTGCTGGTGTTGGTGGCGGGGGTTATGGTTGTAACGGTGTCTTGCGAATAGATCGAGCCGTCGGAGGGCACGCTGCGTCGGGGTTGAGGAGGGGAGCGGGGACCGATTAGCATTGGTGAGCATGCTAGTGTGGGCGTTGCCATAGTGTCTTCGTTGCTTTGGCCATAGTTGGGGATGCGGAATCCGACCCGCGATTCTCGACCTGTTGACACGCTGCTTGATCGCCGAGATAATGTGACGTCGGATTTAGTGGTTGTGTCTGTGCTGCTGTTTGCGCTGGATCCACCTGAGGTCTCGTTGTAGGTGTAGATGTAACTGTCGTACACAGAGGATAGCCCCGCTTCGGAGATTACCGGGCTAGGTGCTCGTCGGTTACTTGGGGAGTTTAAGATTGTCCGTGGAGATGGCAATACTCCTCTCCGGGTGGGGGATGGCGTAGGTGTCTCAACGTATTGGCTGTCTTCTGGTATGGGTCTTGCGCCACTAGGTGGTTTCGGTCCCGATTCTTTTGGCATTTGCGTTGGTATCGGAGAGAAAACTTTTGATAGCCGCGCTGGGTTTTGTGGCGTTGTGACCGCCGTGAATGGGTCCTCAGTGTCGTTCATCGCGTGGATCATGAATGATGTTCGACTGCTAGGTAAAACCGCGGATTCTCTGTTCTGTCGTGATCCAGGTCGAGAAGCAGGTGTGGTATCGGGCGCAACAATTCCTCCCAAGGTTCCCCGACGAATTCGCAGGGGCGAGGGAACTTCCTCGTACTTATGTTTGGGGCTTGTCTCCCCAATTTGTCTCTGGCCAGAGAATCTGTTGACGTTGGTATCAATTCTCAAATCATTCGCGGGCGGGCTGCGAATTGACGCTTCTTCCATGCTATATAATGTCGATAAGGCAGATGATAATGTGCTACCGTTTGAAAACGGTCGCATTTGCTGGCTTTGCCTCATTCCTTCGGGGCTAGGAGTTGGCTCCGCTGACCTCCCGGCACGGCTTGGACTGGATAAGGCAGTGTGTATTTCCTGCAATGATTCCCTCTTTGGTGCAACGAGACTATCTACTTCCGATATCATGGAAACTTGTGAGATCTGCGACATGTGAGATATGTGCCGCGAATGCCTTGGAGTCTGCATCTGCCGTTGAGGTGATTGGTTCCTGGGGGTACAGCCCTCAAGTTTGGCATATGACATTGTTGCGGGGGCACTCTTGTGGTTCTTGACGGGGCTAACGTCGCCTCTATCCGAAGGTTCGTAGTTGATATCTGGATAGCCTCCGTTATGATAACTTTGACCTCTTCTCATGGGGAACCTTACGGATGAGAAGGGCGACATGAGTGTCTGTCGTCTTGAGCTCCTGTTTCCGTCCTGGAGTCTTTCGGCGGTCATCCGAAGGATCTCTGCCAGCTCTGTCTCCGTGGCGCTGTGCTTGAGTATCGGTTGTCTCTGTCCCTGTGGAATACCGATTGGAGCTGGGAGACGCGCTCCGCCTGCTAACTGTTGCGCGGCTTGGAAAGAAACCCTTTGTCTATATCGTGGATTGTGAACAATATCTGGTGGTGACTTTGATAAGTCATTGGAACTAGAACCAGGACTCGGGTTGTTACTAGGGCCATATGATCTTTGAGGACTTGTGTATGCTTGTTGTTGCTGTTGGTGGTGCTGCTGGCGAACCGAACGTGGTGGTGTTGTGGCATACGAAAACCGCTTCCCCTGCGCAACTTCCCTCGATTCTCGTTCGTCGTCACCTTCAGTGGGCGTCTCAAATTGCGCACCATCATCCGTCCCAGTATATGGTAGCGTGGGACTAACCTCTCCCATACCGCTCCGCGTCGACAGACGACTAAGAGAACGTCCTAGTCCTCCATCGAACCAGCTCACACGACGCTTGTGCTTCTGCTTCGACTTCCTTGGCGATGTAGTCGGTCCGTGAAGCGCGTCCTCGTCGATCCATGATGTCTTGCGTCGATGTTGGTACATGCCATATCCGCGTTGCTTCTCTGGGGAACGTTGCTTTTGTAACTGTTCCAGGCTTTGCGTATTGACGGTATCAACACTACCGCGACCACTTCCATCGTTTGCTGCTGAGAAACTACCCTGTCGTGATTTTGATGGAGATATGGAGGGCGCGACGTGTAGGCTTGAGCGGCGACTTTCACCTTCCTCCCGACCTACTTCGTCATCTTCCTTATCGACTGTTACCGGCTCGCCGATGAAGCTCTTTTTGCGTAGGCGTTTAGGTCCGGCGGTCTCCTCAGGGGTCTCGCCGAAGGCCTCGGCTACTGATATAGATGCCCGTCGTCGCCGCTCTTGTCGTTTGGCTAGCTTGATGAGGAGGGGTGCTAAGGCTGCGAAAAGCACCACGGCGCCGCCGACTGCGATGCCAGCTATGGCGCCTGTGGAAAGCGTTATTGGGGGGGCTTCAGCGGGACGGGGGATGACCCCATGGTCCTCGAGTTCGCTGGACATTGCTTCTGTTCCCAAAAAAAATCGCGTAATCCCCTAAGATTCAGTCTTGATCGATACGATTCCGAACTCCTGCGTTGTGCACTTATCCACAGTTGATTATCTATCCAGCCAATTATACTAATATCACATATAACCCAAATTAAACGAGTGTATAAAGACCTCACTGTCTCTCCATCACCTCCAATAGCAATCGAAATAGTAACGAACGTAACGGTAGCATAATACCTAAACAACTGGGATCAAAAAGAGGAAGAGGAAGAAACGCAGCATGGTATCCATCTAGCAAGAGAAAGTCAGGTCGACACTATGGGGGGTCAAGACACCCAAATCAAAACACAAATTAGACCACATATTAGCAGTAAACAAACTCTTATCATCCTACCAACTGAAGAATTTCGGAATGCGTCATACTATGCTATGAACCCCGCGGCTGGAATGCGTTGCTAACCCACACATATGATTATGCGCGCCGGCGTGTGCTCTGGAGAGCAGGATGCATTCCAGGCGACATCATCTACATCTCAATGGTTCTAAGACAGATATTTGGTCTAGATACCTAAAGATTGGGAATTTTATCGCATTACACGCACTTCGCCGCTATTCTTCACAGGGCCTAAATCTTTGGGATTTATTTATTATATGCACCGCCCTAGGTAGGAGTTATATGCTGTGAGGCCTATAATAACTTTGAAGCTATCGACGCGAAATGAATAGAATACATGCACGAAGCGAAAATTGGGAATTACATACAAGTAATTAGCGTACTAGGAAGATACGGAGGTAGAGCTAATCGAATAGGACATATCACGCAAGGAAACGACAACATTAGCCTCTTTAGTTCAATTCGTTGATATTGTTGAGATTGCTCCTCGATGCGTGTAAGAACTTCTGAGCACTAGGGAAAAAGATTCCAAAGATCTCTTACCAGAAGAGATGCGCCCCCAAAATGTGAACGAGCAACTGGGGTATGCTTTGCTTTGCTGTGCTTGCTTTTTTATGCTTCAAATCAGGACCTCAAACAATCAATCAATCCCACCGCCCCTGTTGTTTTGTTGAACGCCTACAAATGTTTCTTCATGTGCAATATCCCTTCCGGGCGAGACCGGCTTTACATTGTGGGGCGAAATCAGCGCAATCGTTTCAACATGGATGCTTTTGAATTCATCGTGTCTGCTCCTCCTAGAAATAGCACCCTGTCATAGCGAAAAAAGTCTCTGGGTGACATGATCAGACCCTGAAACATGATGCAAAATTTGATCATCAGTTACCGATTGATGAGTAAATATTTCCACCGAAACGAAGTTAAAATGAACGACTTGATCGATTTTCTTACGACATCCGGATGGGGTGTTGGTGTCTTCGAACGTGTCTCTCACGCAACTTCCTGACTAATTTCTGCTGAGGTGCCGTGACAGTAGTTACGGAGTCTTCTGTCACATACACAACGGGCTCTTTCCAGACGATCTCTTCAACTTGAGCACCATCTGTGACAGTTTGCGTGCTGACAACTTCGTACGATACGCCTGGCTCGGGAGTAAAAATCGGCGCAGGAGTTGTCGTTGGGGCCGGAGGCGGAGTGGAACTCGATGACGTGGGGGCAGCTGGCTCCGCAAGGGCGCCGAACTGCTGAGACGATGCTGCGGAAGACGGCGATTCAATGAAAGCGCCACCCGCAGGCGTAGTAGGCGTGTTTACGCTAGAAGGTGTGGGCGACGGGGTACTAGACGTAGTTGCCGAGTCACCACCAAATACACCATCGAACCAGCTCGAGGCAGCGGAAAGGGCAGAAGAGATTCCGGCACCAGCACCAGCAGCACCAGGTGTAGCGGATTGTGGGCCAGCCTGGATTTGGAGGTTACCTGGAAGGTTCTTGAGATTCAATGCGGAGCCATCTTCCTTAGCTAAAACTGCCGGGACATCGAATTCGCAAGAATTTTGTTCCTCGTCACTCTGAAGGGGGCCTTCGTTCACGAAGAGTTGGCAGTCTCGGATATCGCCAGAATCGTTCGTGCAGGTGTCAACAGCTTGCTGTAGGAAATCTTGGTCCCAACCACTCATGAAATCGCCATGGTATCCGAATCCTTCCAACCAAGTTAGCAATTGGTCTCAAAAATAAGATAGCTATTAGCTTACCTGTAGGATCACCGTTAGAAACGACGAATTGTCCATTACGACCCTGGAATGATTTGTCGTTGGTGTTCCAGATTGTCTCATAGAATAGAGTAACCAGGCGCTGGGGATGAGTGTCGGGGCAATCGCCATTGCCAACCAAGCTCGGGTATGCAACGTGGCTCTTGTGGTTCGTAGATGTGGTTTCGCCGTTCCAGCACGAAGGGAACATCAGTTCGATTCGAATGCCATCGGGGCAATTGGCATCGAGATAAGCCTTGTCAGGCAAATAATGGCGGAATAGTGAACCCTCGGCCGCCTTCGAATAATCCAAACAGTTAAATCCGATGGCTCGCTGCTCGAGGTCGTCCTGGCCGGTCTGTTTCAAGGCGGCCCAATCAGACTGAGGGGGGTCAGGCGATTTGGGATCTCCAACGGTATAGTCGCGGCGATAGTTGCTTCCAGCAATCATTTGAAATCCGGGTGGGAAGGCCGTGACGTTATCTCCACGGAGAAGATAATACCTATTTTGGACATTAGCATCTATATAATGTGTATACCTAGATAGTAATAGCATTTCGAAACTAGGAAGTCGTAGCCATAACTCGGTGGATAGTATGGTTGATGAAATGAGACCGGGGGTTATAATTAGGGGTAACCTTCCGCATCAACAAGAACATGTAGGAACAGGCAACACCAATCAAACAGTTACTTACGCAAGCATTCCACCAATTTGGGGGACAATATCGAATTCCTTGGTTTCGCTGTCCTGAAAGTAAAGAGCAGGGGTCCAATACGCAGACATGTCCTGCTTTACGGCGCATGAGGTACAGCTACCTCCATTGAGCTCACTGAAAGTAGCGCTGAGTGAGAATCCTAAACAAACGGTTAACAAACATCCCTCACTCATCTACCTCGATATATGCCGCTCTCGAAATGAAAATCGGCCGTCGCATGCGCAAGAGTACTTACCAGAAGAACCATGAACAGTATGGATATGCGGTGAGATCGAACCAGCATCCATGATCGGATCGATTCGAGCTAGACCCGTGCGACCTCGGCACTCCATGCGCCAGAAAGCCGAGACATTGGCGATAGCGCTCAAGAGAAGCAGGGCGGAAAAGCTTTTAGTTGCCATTTTAAGATCGCTAAGTTTGACCTAAATAGCGAAGTTTGGGAAGATAGGTTAAATAGAAATATCGGCGATGCTATTCAAGCGCGCCGCAGGAAATTCTTGAAGTCGAAGCGGTTGCTGTTCGGATGATATCCACGAGTTGCAGGTAGGTGTCACTTGAGAAAAGGGCTTTCCGTAAAGATGCTTCGTATTGAGGAAATGTGTAGCCGGCTTCCACTTTCCTTAGTTTCGGTACCAAGTTGTTTGTCGACAAACACAGTGGATATCGGCACTGGGATAGTGTACGACTCGGGGATTGTGGTAACCACCGAAGGTTGATTGGCAGACACTCTTAAGTCCCTTAGGTGGATAATAAGGCTATCGCCAATTCCGTCCACCTCGATTCCCCCAATTCCTTATTTCTATCAACTCGCGATTGCTATCCAGAGCGTTTGGGACAACTTCGATAGGCGTAAGTTGGTTATGTGACTGGTTTGTGAGTACAGGAAGCAGGATTGATGGCACAGAGTAAACACCAATTGCACGGTTTGATAACAGGTTGTGCGGATGGATGTAAGTTTTCTTGTCTGTGACCAGCCTCACTCAGTCGCGATATCAAACGGTGACGGATATTAACTTGCTTGTTCGGAGTCGAAAACGAATGCGATCAACACAAGAAAAATGAGCGTGATAATGGTCAAGGATCCAGATGAAAAGTCGAGATGATCAATCAAAGTGAGTAAAGAGCGTGGGTGACGTTTGGTCGTCGATAATACGAATGAATGGAATGCTTCGGTGGTGGTAAGGGTGAAGACCCAAAAGGAGCGAAAGAACAATCAAAGGAGAGGTGCTGGAGAGAGGCGGAGGGAGATATTCAAATTCTAGTAGGGCGAAGAAAGGGCTACGGTCGCGGGAGGGTAGGTGGGGACCTGTCGCATAAGGAGGTTGACCATCGTGAGACAGTACGGGGTAGGTACTATCCTGTGTACATGGGTACGTGACAGTATAGAGTTTACCTCCTATTATTGCACCTATGTGATTGGGTGTACACCATCCACACATGTACCTATGGTTATTTAGGGTACATCTACTAGGTATTATAGTCTATCAATATTTGATCGACATTATAATGCGAAAATGTGCAGGCTGTTGATTCGTTCCTATAGCTAGCGTATCATCTAATAGTACCTAACACGCACATCTCTATTATACAAACATTAAATACCTTTTAAGCCGCCGGAGCCCAACCTAACTACATACCTAATAACACTTAAAGTCTACATCCGATATCTTGGCAACGTGACAGTCTGGCTCTAGGGGATCCCTGCTAGATCGTCATTCCTACCGAAGAAAGATTAGGCAGCTTACCTGATTGGGAAATCTCCATGTCTGCTAGTGTTATGTCATCAAGGGGTTCCTTCCTTAAGTTATGCTTATTGGCTAAAAAGATTCAGGAACCGCCAGGAACAATATGGACAACCCCACAAGTACCACGACCCCATCTCTCCAATCTCCGTCCTGCATATGCCTACGTCAACTCTAACTTTCGGCAATCAGAGCCTTCTCTTCCTTTCGGCTTAATGATTGAATCACCCGAAAAAAAGGTAAAAAAGAAAAGTCTCACCCTTAAAGGCAAACAGTCTTATCAATCGGAATAAAAGGCTCCCCGCGTTGTCAGAAGGTTTGCCCTATAAGATTAACAAATCGGAGATGATATAATGTAACATAACACATGTACCAACGACCCGTCCTTGTTAATAAGCGGTCTACCTAGTGCGAGCGATATTCAACTTTCCGTGTGCTGCGTGGAATATGTAACAGCAATATTACAGGACAGCACCTACATATGTACCCAGGTACCCAGGTAGGTATTTGAGACCGCCGAGGTACCAAGGGACATTGAAAGCTTGAGGCATATTTGTATACACCTGTTTGTCGCGCACTATATAAATGTTTGCATTGCCCACTTGGTTGCATTTCTATGTGATGCATTAAAATCCTCAAAATCGTATCGATTCTGGAATATGGGAACACATACAACCTGCCTTTTTTCACCTCATCTGTGTCGCATTTTGCTACCAACATAAGGTTCTGTAAAAACTTTATGTACCTGCCAAGTATCAACTTAAACAATTAAGCTAAGGGAGGGGCAGATGAGAAATTCCAGGTTCCTGAAACAAGTCTCAGGCCTCAAGGAGATTAGCCAATAAGAATTAGACTTTTGAGTTGATGATTACTACGTTGGGAATGTCACCCTGGCCCTCGCGTAAACCTTGCTGTGCCTTAGCTAACATAACTTCCGCTCCTTTGTAATAACCTACGCGACGATGTACTAAATACCTAACCAGCTAACGTATAAAAAATCTAATTGATTTTCGTCCAAGCAAATTCGTACAAGGCCATGATAGTGATGCCCCGTCAAATCCAAGCCCAACCGATAATTACTCGTCACTCGTAGGTATGCACGCCGCAAAGGTGCAATATTGAGGCACAAGACCTCCTGTCATATCGGTTAATTGTACCGTCACTAGCGTTTCCGTCCGATGTCTACCGTATACACGTACCTGGAAAAATTATGACGACATGATCCGCGGGATGGAAATTTTTCTGGTCGTACAACGGGGGGGATATACCTTATCATTGGTCTCTTCTAGAAAACGTTATTCAGCTCATCGTAATTAAATTCCAGTGTCATGGGATATTTTTACTTAACCACCTGCTATAATTGTGATTTGTTACGATAGTAAATCGATCCTCATTTTGCTTAAACTTCTATCGCATGAATATTTCATGGGGATTCTCCTAATAATCTTTACGCAGAACAGCACTATATAATTACTTGCTTACCTTTGCAAGAATGTCTTTTACCGGAAGTATGGCACTTGTACGGTTTATGGAATACATTAGAGGGGAGAATCAGTGCAGTGACATTCACAAATGAGTTGTCAGTGCCTGGCTTTGATATTCATACAACAGCCCCAGCTGAAGTCCTTCGTTCGTAGCGATCGCCACACTGCAAAAGGGGGATCGCCACTATAGCATCCTGAAATATCCAGTATACCAGGCTGGTACCGATCAGCGTAGAACAAAACAACGCCTCATCGACAAGTTAGTCTCCCAATTCTGATACCAAAGGACTGGCATCTGGATAATATCGTCCAGAGCTGATTGTATGATGGATTTTACATAATCTCGATTTAATTGCCAAGATATAAGATCGGAATCGCATAGATATTGTGAATGGAAGCTGAATTGAAAATCGAATCGGTTGCATATGTGGGTACACGTATATTTAGTGGGGTAAATGGTTAGTTCGACTGAATAAAGTTCTGACAGAGCCATTGTGTGATTACATAAGGAATGGAGTGATACTCAGCCACACTTCTACAAGTCGGTTCTCCGACTCCGACATCACTAGCCACATTTCAGGCGGACCCATTAATGTTGGCAGTACCTAATCGCATGACTTTGAATCTGTGAGAAAGCGAAAGCATATGCAACTGATTTCTAGATCAACACCGTGGCCATTGGAGGCGCAACTTAATAATGTGGCATCCTTGACATGACGAAATTCTTTTTTTCTCCCGCGCGACCATGGACGATCTCTCAGGACTTGATTGGTCCTCGACCAATTCGGGCAAAAACAACAATAAGCCCGCCCCTATGAACCCCATGAACCCGCCGACATTCTATCCCTCTTTACGCCCGACTCCGTCTCCTCAACCTTCCGGTCGATCTACACCGCTATCCACCCAAGTCTCTGGCTTCAACGCCCCTAAGCCAAACCCCTCGAAACCGGCAGCCGACAGCTTCAGCGGTCTCGTGAGCTTTAGCGGCAACAAGAGTAACACTAATCTAAGTCTCCGAGAACGTCAGGAGCAATTAGAGGCACAGAAACGCCAGAAAGAGGCGGAGCAAAGACAAAAACTACAATCGCAATATGGCGGTGGTCAATTTTGGGATAGTATTGGGCAGGGCTCGACGCCGGCATCTAGGACTATCTCTCCAGCTATTCCATCAGCTGGAAGTGGGGTAGGAAATCAGAATGGATATAAGAAAAACGATGATGATGATCTATTCGCTGCATTCAATCGAGATACGAAGGTGGACAATGCTAGCTATTTCCCCCCACCGGAACAGCAACAGTCCAGGAAAAGTACGCCAGCGAATACCGCTCAGCTTGACCTGACCAATGCTAGTGCGTGGAATAAGCCCGCAGCATCAAAGGGGGGCGAGCTTGGCGATGATGATGATCCCTTTGGCTTGGGCCAAGTGGAATCTCAACCGCAGCGGCAACAAACGCTTGAAGCGGACGAGGATGATGACTTACTAGGAGATCTGGGTAAGCCGGTTGATGAGGTACGACGGAAAACTCAGGCTGCTCAACCAAAACCAGAACCCGGCCGACCTATTGAAGAGTCAGATTCCGATTCCGAGCCTGAAATTGCCCCAAGAGGAGGTAGCTCAGATCCATTCGACAAAGCAGTAGCTGAATTAGTTGATATGGGGTTCACAGCCGAGAACGCAAGACGAGGTTTAACAGAAAGCGGCGCAGGTCTAAATGTTCAAGCTGCAGTTGGGTGGCTTTTGGACGACGCACATAGGCAAGCTCGTAACAAGCAGGGTCCCTCTGAACCCGCCCCTGAGCGTGCTAGAAGAGACGAGAACCGCTCCAGGAATCGTGGTAGTCCGGCTTGGATGAATGCAGATCAAGCCGACGACGTTCCTTCTCGGAGAGATAATGACTCCCCCGCTTCTGGGGATGACTTCTCGAAGAGGGCAGCGGCAATGGGCTCGAGTTTCTTTAAGACGGCCAACTCCCTCTGGAAAAGTGGTCAAAAACAGGTCCAAAAGGCAGTTGCTGATTTCCAGCAAGAAGGTGGTGATCTTAGCCAGCCAAAATGGATGCGTTCCGCTCAGCAAGAAAGATCACATTCTGGAGGGCGCGGATCTGAGACCGCGACTGACGAAGCTTTAATGCTAGAAGCTGGTATGCGGCCAGAGAGACAACCACCCAGGCCTACCCAAAACCGACATGCTGATCCTCGAGACCGGTCCCCAGCTTTACCTAGTCGATTAGCCGCCAATTCTCCCGGGGTTCCTAAATGGCAACAAGCAGCACAGCCAAGTTCCCACGATCCTCGTGCACGGTTGAATAAACAAGCTATTGAGGAGCAAAGCGCACAAGCATATGTGAGCCCCGCAAGGAGGAAGAAAGCAACGCCCCAACCAACACCCCAACCCGAGCCCGAGGCAGATCTCCTGTTTGGACAACCCACTCAACAGCCTTCCCGATCCCAACCTCAGCCTCAACGTTCAGCTCAATCACCAGTTCCTACGACCAAAAGACCCACCCAAGCCTCATCAAGAACTATTACACCGCGGCCACCAGCACCCACCCGAAAAGTGCCTAGCGTCTCTTCATCGGTTTTGGAAGCTTCTACGCGACATCGTCTCGAAGGAACTGCACATTTCAAACGAGGAGACTACGATGCTGCACATACAAGTTACACGAATTCGCTAGCTGGCGTGCCACAATCACACCCTATCTGTATCATTCTCCTCACTAACCGCGCCCTCACTGCGCTCAAAACTGGCAGCCCTAAGCAGGCTGTCGGTGACGCAGATGCTGCGATTGGAATCATAGGACCATCCCATGGTGAAGGTGAAAAGGTTACATTGCCTGATGGCGAATCTCGCGATATGAAGGATCTATACGGCAAAGCGCTTAGCCGGAAGGCCGAGGCGCTTGAGCAGATGGAGAAATGGGCAGACGCTGGAAATGTCTGGCAGCAATGCGTCGAAGCAGGTGTCGGGGGTGCCAATGCTATTGCTGGCCGGCAGCGGTGTCAAAAGGCACTTGCTCCTAAACCCAAACCTACGCCTAAACCCGCGCAAGCAGCCCGACCGCGGCCGAAACCATCTGCTGTATCAGACCTCAACCCACAAAAAAGTTCGGAAGCCGTACAACGCCTCCGGGAAGCTAATAAAGCAGCTGAAGCGGCCGATGATGAGAAATTCGCTCTCGGTGAAAAAGTTGACGCAAAGATCGCTGCTTGGCGAGATGGCAAACGGGATAATCTACGGGCACTTCTTGGAAGTCTTGACCAGGTGCTATGGGAAGGTAGCGGGTGGAAAAAAATTGGCTTGCACGAGTTGGTAGTTGCAAACAAAGTCAAGATACACTACATGAAGGCCATTGCCAAGTGTCACCCTGACAAGGTAGGTTTTTCCCTCTATTTCCTCCAATACCTTTATGCTCTAAGTTCTGCGCATCCACCCCTATTGACTTCCAATCGCTAATTTACACATCTCAGCTACCACAAGATGCCAATACGGAGGTAAGACTAATCGCCGGTACGGTATTTGCCACTTTGAATGAGAGTTGGGATAAATTCAAGGCAGAGAACGGATTGTAGAATTTTGTCGGTACTTTCGGAGAGGGAAGTGTACCAGATTTAGATGAGGCAACGAAATAGAGAAATGAGACTACGAATTTACGGTGCGGCACAGCAATCGCAAACGGCAATCCCGATTCAACTTAGTGCCACCACACAAGCCAAGCAGTTATAGCATAGGATATCCCAGACCCCCCCAGACCCCAGGTTTAGGAAGTAGATGAAAAAAAGAACCAGTGGCGAATCAAGATGATGGTAGTTGATAAATTAGTCTTCTTAGAAGAGTATTCAATCACATCCCATTCATATTAATGCCCCGGATTTTCCAAATCCTCTAATCCTTCCTCCGCGTGACTTTCCGCCTAGTCAGGCCACCGAATGAACGGAAGTCTGGGACGCCTGTCCTTTTGTAATTCATTGTGCATCGGCGCCGGGGATTCGGGTCATGGATATAAATCCAATTGGGGGAACAAAACAATGAATTTTCTTTTTTCTTTGTCTCGTCTTTAACTTGACGTAGTTTAAAGATGACATGGAAAAGTCATGATGCATCATTGATAGATCCGACAACAAGAATTGTAGGAATAAGAATAATTTGTCAACCTTCAAGAAGTTGCCCCAATGAGCAGGTTATCAACCCATTGGTAGAAGTAAGAAACAGCTAAGATTGCTTACACCATAAAGAGTCCTATCGCCGATATAAGACCGCTAGCGAAGAAAACCGCCCAGACATCCCCGCTAGATCGACGTCATTTTCTAACGATTTCGTCTTTTCTTCTCTAGGAACTCCAGGTTTAATCCTTTAGGTTACGTCAAAAATTTCCTATTCTGTTGTATATCCTTGGTTATAGTCGTAAGGCTTTTGGCGCGGCGAGCCCCAGCCCGGATTACCAAAAACGGAAATCCGAAGATGAGTCGTTTCCTTCTTAGCGCCACCCATCGAAACGTTCTAGCATGCATACCTAGCCTAGGTACCCTAATTGCCCCAATTTACCTAGGTATCTAGCGTACCTAGGTTACCACGAGTTTCTTTCCAATCTCCTTTGTCCCGGTGTCTTTTCAGGTCGATAGCGGCATCGACCAGGCCGAGTTAGGGGGTTGATAGTGGACTTCGTGGATGCTCTATTGGGGCCCCTTATAGGTACCTAGGTACATCTCCAGCTAGGATCGATCCCATGCTCGCACGCTGGATGTTATGTGAGTGATGTTAGGATGGGGTTTTTAATGGAGACCCCTAAATTTCTGGGGGGTAATCGGGGCCCCGATACGATGCATCCATCTTGAGTTTTGTTGCTGTCCAGGCGCTTTCTTAACTGAGAGCGTACGAGCTAAGCAACTAAAGATGTAACTAATCTCATTTAGCTCGTCAATTCATCGCTCTCGCCCCTTTTGAAGGTTTACGCTTGCAGTGATTAAATGAGATAATGCGATATGACCCTTACCCAAACTTAACTTTCTCCCCCAGGTCTGATCATATCATCCTAAACCCGATTCGCCATCGCGGGCCCCCCTTCTCCTACTCTACTCCTCATCAACCTCATCTGAACCTGGGGCTGGAACATGGGATTTCTCCAACATTTGAAAAAGTCGCGAAGGGGGCCTGTGTGCGCGAACGACGAACTCCATCATCTCCACGAAAACTCCAGGTTGTCCAGGTCTTGCTCCAGGTCTCCCCCCCCTCCACATTCCACATTCCACATCAGCGCTCCGCCGGTTCAGGTACGACGCCATGCCATCTCTGTCGATCCCGTGGGTTTTTTACCCCACTTATGGATGAGTAGCTGCCCCCAAAGTCCCAGTTTTATTTTTCCTCTACCAGCTACGACTCCGTATTTTGGTGTACTTGCTGGTTGGAGACCCCGGCTTCCGTGCTCTTCTTGGATTAGGATTGGGTTGCTGCGTAGCGGTCTATAACAAGGCTCTCTGACCTACCCTTTGTATCACCCTTACGTGCAGCTTCGATTATATATAATGTCATTCTTCATCAATTTTATTTTGATTCAACAACCTTATTTCCTCACTCGGGTCTCTTTTCCTTGTCTTGTGTCTGTATAAACGAGTATACAACATATACCTTGGTACATTTTTATAGTCCAGGTATAGCTCTGATCACCAGCAGCACATACATACATACACATATCCCCCCGTCATACGTACATACAGATCGACGCGGGAAAAAAAATTTATATATAGACCCTGGACGTGCTTACACGACCCCCGTCAAAACTCAACATCGATTATCTTCTCCCACCGGCCCGTAAGGAAGAGGCCTCGTTATTATAAAAGGCATCGAATCATCCCGACTCAACTCAGCTTGACGATATTTTCAAAAGCAAAAGTCTAGGGCTAGTCTCACAATCTTCACAATGGGGAAATTCTTCGGCCTTCGGGGCGATTGGCTTAATTATGCCATCGGTATAATTGCAGGAACTGATTTCCTGCTATTCGGTTATGGTAAAACATCTCCTTCATCTACGCGCAAACCCACAGAAAGCCTAACAAATTACAGACCAGGGTGTCATGGGCGGAATTCTCACTATGCACCAATTTCTTGATGATTTCCCTGCCATCAATCCCAATGGCACAAAAGACCCTCTCGAACAAGCACAACGATCTTCCACTCAGGGTATCTCAGTTGCAGCATATAACTTGGGATGCTTTGTCGGCGCTGTTGCTACTATCTTCATTTCTAATCCCCTCGGCCGTCGGCGCATGATCATACTCGGCACTACTATTATGGTTATCGGTGCCATCCTGCAAGCTAGCGCCACTACTCTCCCGCACTTAATTATTGGACGAATCATCACCGGATTAGGAAACGGCGGTAACACATCGACAGTACCCACCTGGCAGTCAGAAACATCGCGCGCACACAAGCGCGGTAAATTGGTTATGATAGAAGGTGCCCTTATCACCTGCGGTATCATGATCAGTTACTGGATTGATCTTGGCTGCAGTTTCGTCGAAGGCAGCAGTGTTGCCTGGAGATTTCCGCTTGCCTTCCAAATCGTCTTCTGTCTGCTCATCTTGGCTACCATCTGGAACCTGCCCGAGTCTCCACGATGGCTGATCCTCAAGGACCGCGAAGAGGAAGCCCGAGAAGTTCTTGCTGCTTTAATGGATACCGAGATTCACAACAAGGAAGTCGAGAACGAATTTACGGCTATCAAGGAGACCGTCGCTGAGATGTCTAAGGGCAGTTTTGCCGACCTATTCACTATGGACAAGGACCGGTACGTTATTATGGAGTTTATCAATTTGCGTACACAAAATTCTAATTTTGAAATAGAAACTTCCACCGAACTGTGCTCGCTTTTGTCAACCAAATGTTCCAGCAAATCTCTGGCATCAACCTTATCACCTACTACGCTCCTGTTATCTACAGCGGACTTGGCATGAGCGATTTCATGGCTAGACTTCTCGCTGCTGTTAACGGCACTGAATACTTCATCGCTTCGTGGCCCGCTGTGTTCCTTGTTGAGCGCGTTGGTCGCCGAAAGCTCATGCTTGTTGGTGCTGCTGGCCAAGCTATTAGTATGGCGGTCCTAGCTGGTGTAAACTCAAACCCAGACAGCAAGAGCGCTCAAGCCTGTGCTGTCGCCTTCCTGTTTGTCTTCAACACATTTTTCGCCATCGGTTGGTTAGGAATGAGTATGTGCAATTCCTCCTTTTTTCTTATCTACCCACTTATCCCTTACATCTTATACCGAGACATCGTCCCATGTCTCTGTCAAACCATATTTGGCATTACATATTTAATTATAAGAACTCGGCTAACTTTTTTGCTACAACAGCTTGGCTATACCCTGCTGAGATTACTACGCTCCGAACCCGTGCGCCCGCGAATGCGTTGTCCACCTCTTCGAACTGGATATTTAACTTCATGGTTGTCATGATCACGCCCGTAGCATTCCAGAGCATCAAGTACCAGACTTACATCATCTTCGCGGTCATCAACGCATTTATGGTTCCCTCGGTTTACTTCTTCTTCCCCGAGACCGCCTACCGATCTCTCGAGGAAATGGACTCTATCTTCCACAAGGTCAAGGGCGCCAAGGGCTGGTTTACCGTTGTCCACACCGCTCAAAACGAACCCCGTCGCTACGGAAAGAATGGCGAGCTACTCATTGCTTACGAGGAGACTGACGAGCATAAGGCGCACGTCGCTCCTGCAGAGCATCATGAGGGCGGCCCCGGTTCTGGCACGGCTTCGGTTGAGACGGATGCGGAGAAGGCGTCAGGCGGCGTGTTTGTTGAGAACCGCCATTAAACTTTGGGTTCTAGCCTGAAGTGACCGGACTTATACCATTTTTGTTATGAATTTTTTTTAGATACCTCGACTTTTTAGTCTTTCTCTGAGATATGCTACTCGCTACCCTCCTTATATATATAGATGCAGGAATACCCTGAGATGGGATGGGAGAAAGGAAATGTTTATTTTGAAACTACCCAATATTCCAGTCATGTTGTTTTTCGCGATAGATATCCATCATTGGGAGATACGATAACTTCAAAAGCGCCATAAGGGCTGAATTGAGAAAGATGTTCTAAAACATTAAATTTCATTGATTATTTTGTGATTTGTGGAGTCTATTGTATACATCTATGATTGACTACCTAGGTACCTAGGTACCTAGTTACTCTCTTGATTCTACTATTACTATAGTCCCAATTTTGTCTACTACAGACACAATACAACTATTGGAAGTGTCTTTTATTTTGCACTTACCAGAGTGTTGGTGGACCAGTTCATAATAACAAGGATGTGTTCGGCATCACCGTTGGGGTCGACAATAGGCTTTTACATCTACCTAGGTAATTTCTATTCCCCCCTATTTTCCCTCTCCCTCTTGTAGCAATAACGGTTGACGAATAAGCTACAAGAATGGGTATAGTTTAATGATCAATTTAATTTTAGAACAACTAAATGGTACTAAATAGTATTAAGAGGTATTACTACTGTCTAGGTTCCTATATGACTACGAATCCAGAGACTTCTAATAAATTTTTTTTCCCATGTCCATCGTTAGTTATTTCGTTTGTAGTTTTGTATTTGTAATCGCAATATTATTAATGGATATCTCACAGTCTACATTCTATGTTTCTTGTATTAGAAAAACAATCGCGCCTGGAGTCATGTAGACTATCAGCCTACTATTCACCTATAGGGCGGTAAAACATCCACCTCATCAAATGATTAATACTACAAGCCCAATTTTACGATCCTAAATTGAATTATCATGTTAAGTGTATCCTGAGGTCATATTTGCGGTATTTCGAAGATCTTGCTTTCCATTACACGAGGCTGAATCTAGTATCCCATCATGGTAATCCGAGGGCGCCCTATGGTTTCGCAACGATGATCATCCTGACAAATTTTATTCCCCATGGGTACCCCGGGCTTTTTCGGAGGGCGAATATGTGGTTGGAGGCGGCGCGGCGCTCTATTAATGGGGTTAGGGATAGGCAAGGTTTATTCTTGGCTTTTTACTGTTGTGGAATTATGTTGTTGATGGTGTAAATGCAGACCAGTATAGGTAGTTCATTTGTGGTTCATGATACCGATTTTGACGCAGTTTTCGGCGCGACTTCTTGCAGCGAATATGCAGAAGTAATGCGACACTGCTAAAATGACGATCATGCTCGTTCCTGATCGTCGACGTGGAAACACGTTGTTGACGCCCGACTCTGGGTCCTCTGTGAGACGGACCAGTATAGTTCCATCGCGGTCATATCCTCTAGTTACTAGGGAATTGCAACAGCCTGGGGCTGTAATTGGTTAGCCAGTTAAATCGGGTCGGTTGATCAACAAGTAACTCGAACTTAGTAAACGCGAGGAAAAAACACATGATCGACACTACACTACACTACTGCCAAAAAAAAGGCAATCCACTTCTGGAAGCTCCAGTTCGACGTGTTTTGGTTCCGAACGTGAACCCTGGTTCACTTGAGATAGGCGAGTGGATGCGAAATGACGTACTTTGTATAAAAGCGCTCGCCTACGCCCCGCCCGGCTTGCTATTTTGGTCCATGGCGGGCTCCGTAGATTTAGGTGACTTGCTCCGTACCTAAATCCGGTACGCGGTATAGCGTAGTAATTAATTATTGTGTGGTTGGCGCTATACTCCTTGGTTTAGGAGCATGTGGCGTTCAGGGGGTTGAATGACCGGTAGGTTCCGCCAACGCCTTTGCTATTACTTGCGTGTGCATTGCGATGAGGCGATTGATGAAACATTGTTTTGACGTCGTGGTAAATGCGTGGAGCCGCGGAATGCTCGGTTTACAGGTAAAATACAATTATGGGGATTAGGCTTCTTGGTTTCTATGCGGTGAGTAGGGCCGGTTATACCTAATGACGACAACGCTTCGGTGTGCGTTACGACTAGCAGAATCTCTATTAAGGCATTCCTGGCATATCGTCATTCTACTCTAGTTGAGTGGCTACCCCTGATCTCTACGAGTTGAAGAAAAAAGCCTCAGTCTCCAGATGCGTGATACTTCAACAGCGTCTGCATGGTTTTTATTGCTACCCACATCGCTTTGGCGACTTGACTTATCAGGGAAGCCGCGAGGAATGACTGAGCATGTGTTTCACTGAACTTGAGAAAGGTTGTCATAGAGAGGAAATCCGAGAGTTGCGTTGGCTGTATAGTCAGCTACTTTCCGTCTGAATCACATTTACGGGCCAGTTCAAAGATGTTCGCTGAGTAACGTTTGCCGGATTGACATTGTATGAGGCTCAAACCTACTACATTGACGAGAGCTGATCATTGCTTTAGAGTGTAACTACCTCAATCATACCCGGATGGCACAAATATGGGCCATCTTCATTCCAGTGTCCCTGACGTGTCTATACTTCGAATCAATAGACTAGACGAGCACATGATAGCCAATTTGCATAAGTGTACTCGCTAGAGGCTCATGGGATGGTCTAGATCCCCACCCCCTTTTCTTCTAGATTCAGGGGTTAGGGCACACAATAAATAAGGAGCACCTTTTACGCAATTTTGCGATCACGGAGATGAAAGGTATTGTCCAATGTAAGTCTGGTACTAGTAGTGCGACTCGCTTGAATGAGCTGAAGACAGTTAGAACGATTGGTGCCTTCTGCTAGGCTAGGTATCTTAGAATTTCTCCTCTGTAAACCCTTTAAGAATTTTAACCAACCTGATTGCTTCAATCCTTTCATTCGTTTTCTATCATATCCTTTGTTAGCTGTGTTAGCCCAGATATATAAAAATTCTTCAAAGCTGAGTTGGTACGAGACTAAGGTTGTGTCAAATGAAAAAGGGGACGGCTACCCTTATTGATGAATTACCGCGGTTGAAATAACTTGCGTATTATTAACCTGTTGCAATTATGAAGGCATGCGGTGGCTAAGTATCTTCAGGTAGTTTCAGGAAGTATGGGCATTTTAGATCTATAATCTAATCCGAGATAGAAGTCTGGTAACAATTTGTTTAGCTTAGGCATAGTGACTAAGGGGAAATATTATGGTGCCAGACATCACCATGATGTGGGCTGCTATGAAGACCCATGGAATGGTAGGAATAGTACATATGTGCTAGTGGCATACCAATATTATAAATGAAGAGTTTGGTGAATCTTTTCTGCTTCATGAATTCAGGGGTTGACTCTTCATTGCACTAGGTATGCGGTTACACTATGGCGTAGATGATTGATAGTACTGTTTAGCACATAATTTATATCAAATAAATGGTATAGAAGCTCTCCAGTTTTTAAATACTTTTAATGATTCTCTACATCAAGCCTACTCAGATCTTGAAGCCGAACAAACGTAGCACGCGAGAACAGGAGCGTCGTTATTTAGCTATCCAGATTGCAGTTAACGAGTACAAACATGTATGTAAATAGTAGTTTCTTTAATAGGGTCATTACCTAAGTCTCTATCTGATTCTGCCTTTTCATTGGCTCGGTGATTATGTAAGGGACAATAGAGTTTAGCCGAGCTGCAGCTGGGTGGCAGCTGTTAGCTCCCTAGGATAACCCCACTAGGATGCCCCACTATGACTCGATTTTTCCTAGTCTGCAGGTCCGTTTCCCCTCAGCAAAAAACCAATCTCAGTCTGCTTCTTCGATTTAGGACCAACATCTTTCGCGCTCACGGGTTAGATCCCCGAAGCACATCGGTTCGATCCTTTTAGCGTCTAAATTTTCTATCATCGATTTCTTTTTTTTCCTTCTTCCCTATTCCCATGCCTGACCTTCAACTTGCAGTATGGAGACGGGTCTCGATGAGCTGATCGAGTCGCTGCTAACGGAGATCGCTTTCTCTGGTGTTCGAGGTGAGTTTAATGTCGATCGGTCGCATCACATATCATTATTGATCGACTACTCTATTTAATGCATCGAATCAAATCTTACTTATTTTATCAGGATGTTCCGTCTCGGCTTTATTGAAAGCTATTGATTCATTCTACAGCCAGGCACGAGGCGAACTTCACAAATCTACTAGAACGCACCATAATGAAGCGCATAAGCCAGGCGATGCCAACGACGGCATAACTAATTCTAATAATGCAGCTCCTAGCCAACGGAGCCATACTGAATACGATATTTCTACGGGCTCAAAAGTTTGGGGATGGTTGGTAGCTAGGAAGGATGTCTCCGTTGGCACCGATAGACAGTTTAATCATCTCTCATTAGAGGAGGTCCTAGCTCTGCCGGAAGAGGATGATAGTTCAGCTCCTGCAGATGACACGAAAGCACCGAAAACCGTAGGTAGTACTCCAGCAAAAAACCAGCGATCCTCAAAATCCTCGCGCGAGTCAAAAGCAGCCTCACAGAAGTGGAGACCTCACCTATATGTTTCCGAAGAACGTCAATGGAAAGCCCTTGCTGGTCACGGACCGGACCTTAAGCGGATACCCCTCTTTGAATGGAGAGCACTCGTCGACATTGCATCTGTGAGGGAGGAGGGGATTCTTCAAGGAGACCTGGTGCGATTATCTGGCCAAGATAAACGGTCCCTCCCAACGCGCACCGATGCTTTGGCGAAAAAGGGATACGTAATTAAACAACCTGTCATCCTCCGTGGTTGCCGCTCAAGTAAATTATGGCTTGCTCAATTTGCAGGCAGCGCGAAGCAAGGTCGCGATGGGCTTAATTTTGACAAGCTCGATTTATCGAAAAATGCCCTAGCTAAAGACTTTACCCCGGTTCCATTTAGTGATTCTTGGAATGGCGAAAAGCTTGACTATATAGCTATTGCTCAAGCTTTCAATGCCGTCCTCAAGGCGTGGGGCATAATGCGATATTGTGATATGCGAACCAAACTAGATGCCAACCGCGTGCCCCAGATGAGAGCTCTAGCGAAGACATCGCGGTGGTTTACTAGTATTGGGGCCGCTACCTTTGTGGCCGCCAGATTCGCACACGGCCAGAAATTATTCAAGGACTGCATTAAATTTATCAGAGAGCCGACGACCGAGGAGTGGAAAGTCTTTCGAACTACGCCTACTGCCCACATCAAAGTTCCTTCTGCGCGCTTAGGGAAACGGGGACAGGCATCTCGAGCCAAGCATAATAAGGAAGCCAAACCTAGTGGGCATAGCCAGGTGAAATCGAAGAAGCCCTCGGATGAAGAGAGCCGCAATAACCCTCAGAACGAAGAACTAATTGCATCTTTATGGATTCCATACAAGCCCATGATCAATACGGCATTCGAGATAATCAAGAGGGCTGGCCTAGAAGGATCCTCAAACGGCGAGCTCGGTCATGTTACGCTGGGGCATAATTATCGAAAGTACATCGCAGCACTCACTGGGTCGTTGTCAGTGCCCAATTCACAACCTCCTCACATAAAACATTTCGATATCACCTCACAACTTAATCGTCTGGGGAAGACCATGACCTATCAATTCTTCACGACCGACGAAATTAGTGACGTTACTAAAGAATCTAACCAGGAGAACGGAGTCGAGGACCAGGAAGATGCAGTTGCACAAATTTCGGGTGCAGGTTCTCTAAACCGAGATTTAGTTGCCCCGGCAAGGCAATATGCGTTCTCCTCATTCCTGAAATCCAAATTCGCGCCGATTTCCAACTCGTCCTTCTCCCAACTTCACAGTAAATTACTTCGCTCGAGGCCTAAGCAAAGCAGGAAGCGAAAACGAATTGTGGACAACGAACCTACTCTCGGAGACCATGCGCGACGAAACAAGAAACCTAGAAGAGGAGAACCTCCATCGGCCGAGGGCGAGAGATTTGATTCACGCGGAGGAGAGTCTGGTTTTATGTCTATATTGAAATCAGAGCTACCCATGAACGATATAGAAGTGCCAATTTCATCACCATCTCCGCCACCAAGGCCCTCCGGCGTCCACCGTGAACCTGACAACATGCTAGACCCACCTGGGAAGAAAGGCCGACGTAAAAGGTCCATTGTCCTGACGTTTAAATTCGACTCACTCAAGGACCAGTCTTTTCTTGAACGTATGCGAAATAAGCGTCCAGCAAACTCCGAGGAGAATCCCCGAAGCCAAAATGAGACCCCCCCCGCGGTCGGAGATGATCCTACTGTTTCCGAAACACCAGATACGGCAAAAACCAAGCTAAAACCAACCAAACGCAATGGCAAAACTGTGTATCGGTGTGATAAGTGCGGTAATAGTTGGAAGAATTCGAATGGCTTGGAATATCATATCAACAAGTCTCGTACTACCTGCAATCCCGACTACGTACCAGGTCCCCCTCCACCCCCAAAGCTTTCTCCTAAACCAAAGCCTGCACTCAAGGTCGCAACAACGCAAACGCCCGCAGCCCCAAATGAGGACCAGACTCCAAGCCCAAAACGACTCTTGGAATCGGCCCGTAAATCAAAGCAACGTAACTCCGGAGCTGAGGATCGCCGTCCCGTTTTACCTTCTAAGCGTGTCCGTATTATCGAGGATCATACACACGACAGAGATTCTGTAAATGCACAGATATCTCATTCTATCCAAAATCCTATCGTCTTACAAGACCTAGAAGCTTATGATGTTATCGACCGCCGAAGACGAAGGGAAAGAACGCATGCTTCGCACCAATTACGCCAGATGAGTCAAGTATTGCCACAAGCCGTCTCGGAACGACTCGAAACCAGTAAAGCGAGCAAAAAATCCGATTCAGGAACAAGGAACGAGCCGCCAAAGGATACTTTGGTAGAAATCACCCAGGCGAATGCCACTAGTCGCCATACGACACCAGCTACTAAACAGAAAGCGAAAGCAAAGGGGAAATCTCAGGTTCAAGATAAATCCTCCCGTCCTCGCACGAAATTACCGGAGGTTCCAAACGCCACACCAACCACGTCTGATTTCAATCTTAGGCCTACTCCAATAAAACCCACAACGGCCGCGGTAGACTCTCCCATCGTTGCTAATGCTGCGGCAAACGATCAGGGTTCTGGAGATGCCAGCGGCAACCCAAAGAAATCTAGGAAGTCATACACGCAAACTCTTGGTGCATTACGTAGGGAGCGTACAATGAATATCATCCATTATTTTCTTGATAATAATGACGGAGTCTTCCCAGGACAGCGGTCTTTATACTTAACCCTGGTGTCTGTCTGGAATAAAAGACATAACGATTTAGAACCTCCAGATCCGAAAGTTTGCCAAACAGTGGTGAATACCATGGAGAGGACAGGAGCACTAACACAAGTGCGCTTCTTCTTCCTCGATGACAACGGCAAACTTCAAGATTGTTGTGTACTAGTTAAAAATAAATCAGATGCGGCCAGTACTACGGATCTGGCTACTAACCCTAAAGTGGTTATCCTTAAGGAAAAAATGAGGGAAATGTTCCCGGAACCGTATGTCCCAGAGGCATTTTCATCGTCTCAGGAAGATAACGAATTCGACCCCAATGATGATACTCAACATGGAAACGAAATTCGGAAGGTACAGCGAAATTCAAGCGCAACTGATGATATTGAGGTGCTGCCGTACTCAGTACGTTTTATACGTGATCCTCCACCTTCAGCTGGTTTAAAACGGCATGCTGAAGATGAAGTGGCTCGTGCGTCATCTCCCGCTAAGAAGGCTCGTGTTAGCGTTCGTGACACCAACAAGCCCCGGAACACACCCAAATCCCGAAAGCGAGGTGAATCTTTGCAGGCCAGTCAAGATGCGAAGTACAGCTGGAGCCAGGAGCAAAACCCGGATGAGAAATGGGATCAAATCCAGGCCAATCTTCAAGACTTTTCGACGGGGGCATGGTCAATGTTGCCCCAAGGAGTTACCCCGTCAGAAGTTTCTCGCGAGAAACCGCTGTCCTCAATACGACGACGGCTGAGCGGAAAATCAAAACCATCTAATAAGACCCGCGCAGAGCCATTCGAAGCAATATTTTGGGACCATGATTCGCAACATGATGACTTTGATAAGAGCAAGGCTGAAGATTCCGCATCTGAGGACGAGGACGATGTGGTTATGACCGATATTCGGCGTCGTGATAGTGCGGATGATGATGAAAACCCGACTGCTGAGCATACTAGTCTGAGATTCACAAAATACAAGAAACTTCGGGGCACACAAGCAGGCTGCTGGCCTTGGTTACCGGCTAGCTTTTTCGAGTCGAATTCGGCGAGCTTCGTCTTGGATGGAGAAATGCCACATGCCACGTGGTTCCAGCGAGAGAATTTACCGCATAATGCTGAAGAAATTATCAAGAGCTTCCGGAAGAGGCGCCAGTTCAGCTCCTGGGCGGATCCGTGGTATGGTAAATTCGTATGGGATGTGAACACTATCGAGAAATGGGAGCTATCGCACGAAAATAAATGGCTCTTGACGGTTGGATCTATTGCGCCAGATTACAGGTTCATATCTCTCTCGCCCGATACCTCACAAGTGAACATGAAGCCTATAGCACTTGAATGGCCGAGTCAAAATCAATACACCACGGAGAACATACCCGACGAGGTAAAGAATGCATCTCCTGACGACGACGACGCGGGTTTACCGGAAATGGTCAATCGCGCCAGAGGCAGGCCGAAGAAAAAGCAGGAAACCAATAAAATGGGACCCGTGAAGAAATCAACTCCGGTACCCCACATAGAAATTCAATACACCACACGATCCCTAAAACCAATACCCATTCAAAATCGGGGTCGTGTGAATAAACCTCATCCGAACGAAGAGAAGCTTGGACTAAGCGGAGAAACCGAACTAATCGCCGCCTTTGTAGTTTTCAAGACTCTCCTAGGCGGCGTGGATAGAAAGATAGATATCGGCTCGATCCTCAAGACGTTCCCTCAATTTTCTCATTCATCTCTCAAGAAATTCTGGCCCAAAGCTTGTAAAGAACGCAAGACATATATCGATGCTTTGACATCGAAGTTTCAGTCTGCCTTTTTAGAGGCGTACGAAGCAGGAGATATCCCGCCACTTGACTACGATGATATTGATTCTTACGATTGGCGATCCCTTATTCTTTGGGCGGCTAATCTGGAGACGCACGAAAATGTGTACCTCCCCGAGTTGCGAAATGAATTAGAGGAATCCTACTCATTAGACGATGCGATTAACGAAGCCCCCGATTGGAGAGAGAGGTGGTACCAGAATCTAGCCTCCATATATTCCCGAGTGGAAGCAACGTCAAGCGAGCCTATCTCAATCCCTGTTGGTGGCGGTGTCACAGCTGAAGAGATACTGCTAAGCCGCGCGAGGTCATGGGTCCGTTCCTTGTGCATCACCCCAATAAAAGGTGTTAATACGCCAGATGAAATCCGCGTAAAACTCCTGAGATTGAGCGGTGGAAGTGAGGCTGAAGCGAATAAACTACTTAAGAAGGTGGTTAATCAACTCACGTCAGAAAGGATAGCTGCAAGAAGTAAAGGGAAGATACTTGGCCAGTCCTTACGGTTGCACGGCGTTTTTCAGAAGCAACTTAAGAAAGCTTCTATTGTTGAGAAATTTGTCCAAGCAGCCAATTTCAAAGTACTACTCGACGAAAGTTTCCGCAGAGGAGAGGGATATGACCTACCCTATGTTGCCGATGACGGAACAACCATGGCAGTCCTCAACCTCCAAGCTCTGGGGCGTATTCGCGTAGAATCTGTCGACATTCCCCACATTCCTTTTGGTTTCGAGCCCGGCAACTACGACGGAAGAACATTCCCAAAGTCTTACTATCACTTTAACGTAAGGCTATTTCCTACAGAGAGTTACATGTACGATAAAGACCTACCGGTCCTCGGGCAAGCAGTACGCATGAAAGCGCCACAAGAAGGGCCTCATGGTGAGATACCTATTTGGGTCGATTTCTTCGGAAAATTCGACAAGAAACGCTGGGTTACATATTTTACTATGATGACTCTAGCACTTGCGACTAAGGGCCCATTGACTCCATACACGGCAAGCGTGCTTATGAAGCCATTTGTCGAACCATTCGAGGCGAAGTTGATTATGGATTGGATTGATGGCCTAGGCCTATTGGAGCGATTCGACTCGGACCAAAGTGCGACAGTAGGAGAATGGTGGTGGCTAGTCGCAGGCAAGCTGGCGTTGGATTGGAAGGGGAAGGATGTTGCTCAGGCCTAGGTGGCGAGAAGATTTCGCCCTGTATTGATATAGGGTTCGTTGCATTTTACGGCGCAGTAATGTACAACATGGAAAAATTACAGGCGTTTGGGAGAGAAAAACCAAGATACCCCATACATCTTGCTGCGAGGCATTACGGGCCGCATTCTCAGGGATTCTGTAATTTTAAATGGTAATAGATGAATTCATAGTTGTAATCATTACTCGGGATATTAGTCCGTCTTTAAACAATTCAATTACGTACCAGATTGTCTTCTTCAGCATACAGTAAATCCGATAGCCCAACTTCACTCAAGTTGCAGCGGGTCAGTCCCATCACGATGGCTCTAGGGCGGAAGACCTAACATCTAGACAGCTAGACCAGCAAACAAAAGCTCCTGACATATAAATCGAAATGGCACCATAATATTTTCATGCAAGTTCAAAGGTGCTATCGTCTAGTGGCAGGACAATACGTTGTGGTTAGCAAATTCTGGTTTAGGGTAGCTTGTTTCTTCTCTAGATAGATGTATTTAAGACAGCATCCGTGTAAACGGCGGTTCGATCCCGTCTAGCGCTATTGATTCTTTTTTTTTTTTTTCTATATGTGAATGGTGGTGTTGGTAGACGGTAGCGATCGTGATGGCATTCATGAAGTGACGAGATAAAAATAAGATTGAGTACGTATAATGGCCACAATTCAAGTAACACAATTGGACAAGTCAGATATAACTTTAAGCATTTTGTAAAATCAGTTTACAATTCAATTCTTGGTATCGATACCCAATAGCAACATGTAAAAATACTGCAACGCCATGACCTTATTACGAACGCCAACCGCCAATGCAACCTGCTCTCAGTGAATCAATCTTACATTTATCGACCAATTAGAATCTTGATAAGCATCGCAACCAATAGAATCATTAACGATGCGATGGCATAATCAATCCACGGCGGCACTCCCGCGTTCGGGTCTACGCGTCTTGTGGTCGGAGTAGGAGTCGTAGTCTGCCCTACCGGATCTGGCAATGGTGTCCTCCCCGTCGGCGCTGGAACACCTTGGACTGGTCTAGCAGGAGGCGGTGCCGCCGACGTACCTGCTGTCGGCGGTTGTATCTCCCTCTCAGGCGCGGTTTGCACAAACCCCTCCGCCAACTCCGCACTCTCAGCATCCTCTTTTGCTGCCTCGCTCTCAGCCTTCGCCTTCTCCATCTCATCCCTAAACCCCATCCTCAGCTCCGCGGGTATCTGTACCTCTTCCTGTTTCCTCTTCCCATCGTTCTCAGCATCTAGTTCTTTACACCGTTCCTCACTCTCCGCGATTATTTCCGCGTTTGTGCGGCCGCATGTCGCACACTTCCACTCCTTGCTTTCGATAGCTAATCGCTTGCGTACGGCATCACTTGTATCTAACCCGCCCAATTGTCCGCGCGCATCGGTCTCCATGAATGAACGTAAGGCGACGATTGCGGTGCGCACGCCCCATGCTGGTTGCCAGGTCTCGGCGTGGTGTCCGGAGATGCTGAGACATATCTCGCGGTTCGCTTCGAAGCGTCCGCTTGGTGTTACGAAGCGGAAGGATGGCGGGCTGAGGGGGTAGCTGGGTGGGAGAACGATGCGTCCGTGGTAGAGACCGTCGGCGTAGGAGGAGTTCGGGGGCCCGCGGAGGGTGAAGTGCCATTCGAAAAGGTCGGATTCTAGGGGCGATGCGGTGTAATCTGGTGACGGGGAGTTGGAGAGTTCGGCGGCTTCTTTTACTGTTGAGATTGGGTTAGTAGGTGGTTGTTGATTGTTTGGTGGAGGGTGGTATTAGGGAAATAGGAGAATAAGAGATAGGGGAAACATACATATGCGTCGGATGGTAGGGGATTTGGAATTGAACTTTGGGGTAGCCATGTTGGCGAACGAGTGGATAGATAGATAGTTGGGCGGGTGGATAGAGTGTTCACGATGGTCTCTTCTATTCGCGGATTGTGACCGGTTACCTGCAGGTCATTGCGCGATAGAAGAATGTAACTTTAGATAATAGAATGCAATTAAAAGGGGAATTGAAGCCTGTCACAGATTCTATCGTGTTACGGGTTTCTTTGTTAAGCAGCAGTCGAGGCCAGGTTGTCTTGATACATTTCGGGAATTCGTAAATTGAGGCCGATGGGACAAAGGAGATGTATCGGAATGGAGGATCCCTGCTTATGACATCCCACCATACGTAAGCAGGCGATGACGAGTTAGCACGTGATAGATTAGCTTATCAGTCACGTGGACCCATAATCTTGACAATAATTCCCAAGTTGAAGAAAAACGCGAAATAATAGATACTTCAACTATGATTCTATAAAATCTCTATTAATGTAAATATTAGAGGCATTTACTGGAAGAAGATCGTCAATCGAAATTATAATTACTAGATCGTATTATTCAAATAGAAGGGTCTCCTCAATCGACACTCATCTTGTATCGCGTCTCTTCTAGGCTGTGAAAGGATACATATGTAATTCATGAGCCTTTCTTTGAAATATGGACATTTACCCATTGAATTTAGCTGAAAAACTCGAAGTTACGATGGGTGTGGTATAGCAGAATACCTACGTCAAGGCAATCGCTACCTGTATGTGGCATGCACATACAAGTTACTTCTATATCTTCAATGTGAAGTTGCCCTATGTTATTTATGAATGGCTCGTTACATGTAGTCGGGCTTGCCTTGTTGACTCTATACGTTCTCGCCGCTTCCCTCTTAAATTGTTGAGTGTCAATTAACTCCGCCCACCGAGGAAACTACTCGTCGCAATCAACGCCGTTCCTTCCCCTTTGATAAATATTGTGAAGGGATGGGTCTCTTTGAAACACGTCGTTTCCTAAAAATTTAGGTGGAAGGCGACCACGGTAACTCTAATTTTAAGGTAACGACGGCTGGCCTGCGCACCAAGGAAGGCGTACCGGCAAACCCGCCCACCCAGGTACTCGGCGCAACACAAAAATAATTGAACTCCTGCATCACTCCTCTAACTCTAACACCTTCGTCGTATTTTTCATTGAAAACATAAACGATCCATATTCGCAGTCCTTGCCTGTCTCCATCCATCATCCCACTCATTTTCTTCTAATATCATTCATTCTATTCAGTTATCTGAATTCCCGGTGATATTACTCCAAAATAATCGAGACCTTTTAGCATCGAGGAACAATGGCGTCTCGAGCGGGCCCCGTTATCAATGCACCTCCTCCCATGCACCGATGCGACCAGTGCAATGCTATCTTCGAAAGTGAGAAAAGACTTTTCTCTCACCAGGAGGAGGCTGGCCATTTGGCTTGCGAGTTTTGCGACAAGCTCTTCCACACGATGGATGCAGTTTTGGACCATCTATCAGCTGTAAGTCCTTCCCGCTTGAAGAAGTCTACCTGATGCAACACTGACCCACCATAAACAATGTAGGAGCATAGAGAGTCCCAAGACATAGTCTGTCCTGGTTGTGAGAAGAACTTTTTCACTGCTGGAGCATGGGTCAACCACGTCGAGTCTAACGAATGCTCTGGAGTTTTCCCCTCGGATTTTGCTGGCGACACGGCCGAAATCATGGATTATCTCTCCACAAGATTGCTCAAATCTACCGAGGTGGTTAAGCAAGAAGTAGAACTCTCTGGTCCTTCTCATATCACCGACACCTGGGGCGAAGACTGGGAGGATCAGAACAAATTCGACGTGGAGCGACATCCCGAGAACTTCCCGAGAACTGTGAACCAGGAATTTTATCAGGGCAGTTCAAAGCAGCCCAACTTCCTCACGGGAAGTGGTGCTGGTAGCCTTGAACAACGCCCGGGCAACGCTTGGGCTCAGAAGAAAGATTTGTTCCCCGAGAGCAAGGCATCTCGTGCTGTACCACCCCCTCGATCTATGATTGAGAATTTCCGGGAACCTTCTCAATCTGCGAAGCCTACAGGGGAACGTATTCTTGATCCCGACCACCCTGATTTTAATGTGGCGTTGTTCATGAACCCGATCTTGGAGACCTATAAATGCCCCTACAAGAGCTGTAGGTGAGTATTTCGACAACTAAATAACCCTATTGGGGGATCCTGTGGTATTAACCTGCCTATAGCTCGAAGTTCAAATATCCAAAGGGGTTGATCAATCACTTGAGATCCCCGGCGCATTCTGGTAATGAATTCCGATGCCCAGGATGTAGGGTCGTGTTCACAAGTGCCGCTTCGTGGGCCCAGCATGCGGAGACAGTTAACACATCCAGATGTCGCGTTGCACAGACGGAGGTTTACGGCCTTGCTTTGAATGCGATCACCAATGGCGCTTTGGAAGTTGAACTTCACGAAGATATCATCGGTAATAAGGCCAAGGTTAGAATCGTTAAAGGTGTAAGTGTTGTTATTCACTTTTTTTTTCTTTTGTCGCAGCACTGCTGTATTAAAAAGTGACCCTAATCGAGTTGACTGGGGAGTTATGACCTCCCAAGCAATTTGGAATATGGACCTCTTTGCCCGGATTTACTAATTCTTATCATTGTAGTGGCCTGCTTCGAGACAACTTCGAAAGCACGATCCCGCATCTAAGCCTGTACCCGGTTCGGAAGGATGGGCCAAAGCCAAGCAAGTTGAGGCATCTGAGAGAAAGTTGAAGTTCGAGCCCAAGCAAGAAACCTTTCATGGATCTTGGTAATATCGTGGACGGAGCGTTTCGAAATCTGACATCCAGATATATGGGGATATCTCACGATGCGAATGAGCTGCCCGACAGTTTAACTGCATAGCTTTTATCGTTGATGCACTCAATTTGCGCTTATTTTTTTCTGTTGTGGTTACGTTGATTTTTTCATCTAAGGTAGAGAGTTATGCTGCACAGCTCTGGCGATGAATTAGACACTCACGATAGTTTCGCAATGAATTTGATAAAGACCATAACCCTATCATTACGCTCATTGATAACGTATCAAGTTGCCTTTATCGTAATGCGGTCCCTAACCAATAAGCTAGGAGAACACGACCCCGGATTTCACCGCAGGACATTTTATCCATGTGTGGATGGTAATTAAATTGCCCGCAGATCACTCTATACAATTCAGCCGCGGATGTTAGAGCTAATTACCAGAGTAGGCAACCCACCTTGTTGTCCCTACTTTCAACCTCTTCATTCTGTAGAGTGCAATACGGCCTCTCGACCTTACTTATCTCCACGTCCTGGACTACTGCGTATGTACCTAGGTAGGTAGGGAATGGAAGCAATGATATTCTGCATTGTTTCTACCATCATAGCATGTAGGTAGTTTCGACGAGATATGTTGCTCTCGCGCTTTGATTAGGAGTGACCAGGTTCTCCACCTTCTCCAAGCCCAGACGAAGGAATCTATCATTGCGACGGGTATTGGCGTGGCATTGAACCCTGCATATTGATATATTGCCTAGTCGGCTGGTGATCAGCGCTGGTTTGAAGGGGGACCGGCAGATGTATCCTCGCGTGAGGGTAGGACTCTTAGTATCGGATCAGCGCCATGACGATAGAGAGGGGTTCGGTGTGTGGGCTGGGTTGCTTATATAGGGTCTCGATCTCGATAATACCCCTAACTTACCTGGTACCTACCGTTTTTGTGAGACGCTTTTTGACGATCATGTATTTACGTGTTACTGGGGCGGTAGCGACGACTGCGTGGCTTTTTGCTAGCCGGGTTTTGGCGCAGGGTGTTGGGAGCGCGGATACGCATCCTCAACTCACAACGCAGAAATGCACGAAAGGAGGGGGTTGCGTACAGCAGAATACGTCGATTGTGCTAGATGCGAGTTTCCATGGCCTGCGAGATGTGAATGGAACGAGTAGCTGTGGTGGATATGGCGGCGCGTTCAGTAAGACGCTGTGTCCGGACCACGAGTCGTGTGCGAAGAACTGCGTTCTTGATGCTGCGGATTACGAGGGCAGCGGTGTGCATGCTGAGGGTAACGCTCTGACGTTGAATCAGTATGTACAGCGCGGCGATAACTTGACTTCGCAAAGTCCGCGGGTATACCTCTTAGCCTCTGAGGGAGACGACTACGAGGTTTTGTATTTGAAGAATCAGGAGATCAGTTTCGATGTGGATGTCTCGAAGTTGGTTTGCGGTATGAATGGCGCATTGTACTTGGCCGAGATGAATAAAACCGGGGCCCGCAGCGCCCTGAATCCAGCTGGTGCGAAATATGGTACTGGATATTGCGACGCACAGTGCCCGACGCTACCATTTATCGATGGCGTGGTGAGTTTCGACGTTTAATAACCTGCATAGCCTACCTCTCATCAATGTTCCTACCTCAAACATATTTCGGATCAGAGCTAATAAGGAGGAATCTAGGCAAACATCGACTCGAAAGGAGCGTGCTGCAACGAATTCGACGTCTGGGAGGCCAACGCACTAGCCTCGTCCTTCACAGCTCACCCATGCAGCAACTCGGGGGTATTCGCGTGCACCGGCGAGCAATGCGGTAGTCTTGGCGTATGCGAGAAATCCGGCTGCGAGTATAACACGTGGAAATTAGGGAACACGACGTTCTACGGTCCTAGCTCGTCGGCGTCGTCCCCGTCGGATGGGTCGCCGGGTGGGGCCAAGAAGTTTACGATTGATACTACGCGCCCGTTTACGGTTACTACGCAGTTCTTGACTTCGGATAACCCGACGGAAGCTAATCGTGGTGTTATGAATGAGGTTAGAAGGTTGTATGTTCAGGATGGTGTTGTTTTTGCGAATCCGGGTGTTGCGGATCCTATGATGCCGCCGGGTGACTCGCTGCGCATGTCGCATTGTCAAGCGGCGGCTAGCACGTTTGAGGAGTTAGGTGGACTGGGTACGGCGGGTCGCGCGTTGGATCGCGGTATGGTGCTCGCGTTTAGCATCTGGAATGATGGACGGCAGTTTATGAATTGGTTGGATGCGGGGAAAGCTGGTCCGTGTACGCTGGAAGAGGGCAATCCGGACGTTATTAAGAAGCAGAGCCCAGAGACGAAGGTTACGTTTATGAATATCAGGTGGGGAGATATTGGAAGTACATATAGTAATGGGACGATAGCGTAGGATAGTTGTAGTTGAAGCTATCCACAGTATGTATTGAGTTGCTTTACATAAGGCATTTACATAAGATTCTAGTTGATGAAGATGATGACGTAAGGATGTAAATGCTGAATAAAATAATACTTAGATACTTAAAGCATCCTTTAGTCAGCCATCAGCTAAGCCTCTGCCCCTACTGGACGGCTCCACGTACGTAAGGTAGCACCGGTGCATCCGTTGGTATGCACCGCCACAACCAAGCTTACAGCGCCGTCGATAGAAAAGGTAGCCTAGAAGCCTACTATTCCAGTAGTACGCATCGCTACGACGCTACAAACAACCCCTGTATCCTTGTCACGTCAGCTCAAAGAAATCGGATCCTAGAATTCGTCAGGGGAAATGCCCAACCGATAAAAGTAACCAGTCAATTCTTTTGGAAAGGAAGTTCCAGTTTCATGATGTGATGTTTGCTGTTTCTTGACCATTTGTCAGTTCGCTTCGTCATTCTTTATTTCTTCTTTCCTCTTGTCGAGTATCTGGATTCCTTTTATTTTTGCATGTTCGCATCTTGCTGTTGCTCTTCATGGATAGGACCCCTTCATCGCCATCGTTGCGATCGTCGTCACCAAATATGGCTCGAAGATGGGCGCGGAGGATCGAGCGCTATTGCTGTAACTGCCTAACTTACTTCCCGCTAGCTTTCGTGTACGGCCTCACGACCTGGGCAGTATGGGTTGTAGTCAGTATTGGATCAAGCAAAACGACAAAACCATATTGGATAGGTTTGTACTACCCCGAATCTTTATTGCTTTGTGTGCGATGCGACAAGTAAATTACATCTAGGACTTGGGACTCGAGCTGACAGATCGCCTGTAGGAACGAAATCTTCCATCGTCGGTGTTCTACTCTACCTTATGCTAAACTGGTGCTACACCACCGCCGTTTTTACGAATCCCGGTAGCACGACCAACTCCTCCGGTTATTCGAGTCTACCTACCGTTAACCCCCCACACGCTACCTCATTTACGGTCAAGTCCAACGGCGAGCTACGGTTCTGTAAGAAATGCCAAGCCCGTAAGCCTGATCGCGCACACCACTGCTCGACATGCCGACGATGCGTACTCAAAATGGACCACCACTGTCCTTGGCTCGCCGGCTGTATCGGATTGCGCAACCATAAGGCTTTCTTGCTATTCCTCATATATACTACGCTATTCTGCTTCTACTCGTTCGCTGTGGCTGGGTCATGGGTGTATATGGAGATGCTGACCCAGACTCAATATGTCGATACCTTGATGCCGGTTAACTTCATCATGTTAGCAGTCGTCGCCGGGATTATTGGTCTCGTCGTTGGTGCGTTTACTGGTTGGCACATAATGCTTGCGAGCAAGAATCAGACAACTATCGAATGTCTCGAGAAGACACGCTACCTAAGCCCTCTACGAAAAACGATGCAACATCAGTTCGTCGCACAACATAACGGCGAAGGCATCTCGCTACCGAAATACGGGCAACAGCTACTGGATCTTAATGCGAACGCCCTGCCCGGTATTACGAGACCCGAGGAAGGCGAAGTGAGGTCGAATGCGAGCGATGATGATATACCCCGCCAATTATCATACGAGGAAATGGAGCGATATCGCGCCAGGAAGCGATACGAAGAATACATGGACGAGCAAGACTCAGAAAAACTACCTCACGCATTTGACCTCGGTGCCAAGCGAAATCTATTACATCTATTCGGACCCACCCCGGCGCTATGGTTCTTCCCTATTATCAACACAACAGGTGATGGCTGGAACTGGGAAGCTAGTCCTAAGTGGTTGGCCGCGCGGGAACGCATCGCCAGGGAGCGCGACGAGCAAAGACAAAGGGAAAGAGCGGCCGGGTGGGGTGAACCCGATCCGTCATTCGTCCCTGTCACTGTTGAACGGCCGACCGGCGCAGGAAGGCACTACCTATCACCCCCACCACAACAGAGACCGACCTCGGGCCGACGCACGCCGTCGAAAGCCGACCGTATACTCGGCCGGGACCCGAATTTATACGTAGATGAACCTACGAGCTCGGTGTCGATGCGCACGCTTAACCGTCGAGGTCATGATATAGAAGATCTTGATTACTCGGATGACGGCGGGGATTACCATGACGATGTGCCAAAAAAGGGGGGTGAAGAGGAAGAAGATGCGGAAACTAGGGCTATGAATCTAGTCACTAATGGTGGATGGGCGAGAAGTGGAGCGAGTGGCTTGTTAAGGAAACCGTCGTCTTCGTCGAGGAGTGGTAGTTATGGGTTCGCTAGTAATGGTAATGGGAGTAGGAGACCGACTCCGCCGAGGGGGGCGGCGAAGAAAGTTGAGGATGAGGATGATGTGGATTAGGAGGTGACTAAGCTGCTTCGGGAGTGGAGGTGTAAGAAAAGTGGCAGAGTTGTAAAAGGTACTGCTCAGGCACGGCACCGGGGATACGGGGATGACGGCAATAAGGATTAGGGAATGGATAACATGGTTCTGGTATTGTTTGTGTATGTATGATTTTCTGACTTGCGGTTTGTGGGTTGTGGGTTGTGGGTTGTGGATATATCATCGCATGTATGCATGGCTGGGCGTTTAGTTTATTCGTGTATTTGATTTTTATTAGTTGGTTTATGTAACTGGTATGATTATATTGAACTATTCTGCTTTGATGTTTAATAAGGAATGTATGGTTGTGCTAACTGGTCCCTAACGACACTGGTGGGCATCCACTACCTACCCAGCGTCAGACGAAGTGTCGACTGCACGAGAATATACGCAGCATCTACTCTATCGTATGACGCTAGAGGTAAGGCAAAAAGTAATAACAGCGTCATACTCAAGAGAGAGGGAGGGAGAGTGCGTGCGAGTAGTAATCGAGCTTGGAATTGAGGCTTCGTCCCCCAAAGTAGGATGTGGCCCAACTTAATCTGCCCCGCCGAGACGACTGACACCGCTAAACTATTGAACCACCGTACTATGTAGTCCACGAGAGACGCACCCAAAAGACCAAGTCGCGGGGCGGGTTCATCAATTCCAATCCATGTACCGACATAGTGGATGGTGAGGACGGCGACAAGTGAACCAACAAACGCGGTAGGTCTGGAAAAGCACAATGAGGTATGTGAGGTATGTGGGGGTGCTGGATTTGGTTTTATGCCTAGCTTGACCCAAGGCTTTGGCTGATAGGCCTCGCCTGTCTTATGCGAAAGCAAATTCAATCCCGCTAAAAAAGGAAATGCACCGGCGCAAAATCGCCACGATAGGGGAATGAGCTTTTTATCGGATAGTGTCGGCGCGATAGTGGCGATATAGGCGTCGTTGGGTAGGTCCGGCCTCAATACAGCTGCGAGGCATATGATGGCTTTATAATTGTGGAAAAACTTCCACAAAAAGAGACACATATAGGAAGGCAGGATGCGGATGGGGTCGTAGACCAGGTGGAGCATCGTGCTGGATTCTTCCCGTACGTCGACCACATCGATGAAAATCTGGTGTTTCTCAAGTACCGTCCTACGTAATACGTCAACATGCAAAACTTTGTCGTCGTTCGGCAAGAAAAATTTTTTGGGGCTGTGTATTTTTCTAAAGCCATCAACTGTGCTCGGATATGGAAAGAGCTTAGTTGTAACTCTGTAAAGGCCGAATTCCCTTATTACTGTCTGGAAGCGTATTCTAAGGCCGACGGATCTTGATCTATTTCGCCCTAGGACACAGTTGATGTCTTTTGCTTCCTTATCTTTCATTGTGCGTGGATCAAACTCATATAGCCTTTGGGCTACCCTGAATCCAGCTGGGGTCTTCCTGATAATTACACTCCATGTTCCCGGCTTCTGTCTCCCGAGCCATTCAACGCGCGTTACAATATTGATGGTTTTTCTCTTCCATGTATACAGCGCTCGGGAATCCACTTCGCTTGCTCGGGTCTCAATTCGTGCATATGTGTCACCATATAAATGATGTAGCGGTATAGCTATCAGCTTAGTAAGGTCATCTTTCGAGTGGCATTCGAGTAGTGCATCATTCCCAAGCATAGGTAATGTGATATTCAATCCCTTGTTCGTTATCGAGAAAACCGAACGTCGGAGCCCAGGTGGACACGGAACAAGATCCCCAGACCCTGCAAAGGTAGAGGGGGAGGGAGCGAGCAGTCCGACCCATCGGCGACTGGGATTGAAGTTATTATTAAACCAAGCAAAGAGCGATTGATCATCTGAGTGCTGTATAATCTCCTCCTGTAGCCGTCGGAACGCACGTGTTCCCTCGCCATACAACAAAGGCATGTTTATAGAGAATATTCCAAGAAGACAATACGCAATATCCTCTTCTCTTGTTGTTACTCGTTCAGACGCCCAGCTCATACGCTCCGCAATACTCGCGGTGGAGAGTAGCCGGCGGACCTTCGAATCATTATTTACCTCCATCATCTCCAATACTTCATTATTTGTCGGAGCCCATCGGTCCAGAAAGATTTCGTTGATTCCGGTAACGGCACTTATTTCCGCAGAGGAGTTTGTCCTAGAAGTGAATTGATACCAATCCGAGTTATAGAAGCCAAGTCTTTTGGGGGCGAGTAGTTCCTGAAGAGTCCAACCTCTCTTAAACCATCGGCTCGATGTAAAAGATTTCGTTGAATATGGACCATCTCCATCAACATCAACCAAGTAGGCATAGCATATCTCAGAGCGTTCATACCATGTAAACATAGAATTTATTGCTTCAGAAAGCTCACTGCTACTAGATTTGTCAATGCAGCATGTATCAACCCATATGTACTTTAGACCATCACTTCGAGCTAAGTTACAACTTTCTTTTACCTTTTTGTAGCGTGGCTCGGAAGAGGACTTAATATCTTTGTTTTGCACGTCTTCGAAATTTGCCTCGTTTTCTCCCCAAGTGTGTGATAAAATAGCATATTTGGGGATCACCCTGCCTGAAAAGTCTTCCAGCTTTATGGTCTCGGTGTTGATAAGGCGCATCTTTAGTATAATCGTGTCGTTGTGATGGAGCGGAAGAAAGATGCGACACCTGACGGCGCCCAACCCCTCCATATGTATGCGTCGCTACCTAGGTACCTAGGTACTTACCTACCTACACCCAATGACCGGCATGACGGACATACGAGGACCAAGTACGTACCTAGGTACTTATACCAAGGCGTTCTGGAGGCTTATTGTGGCGCGCCTTCCATCCCGTCCTGCTTAACTAAGTAAAGAAGACCTAATCTGCATTGCGCCATGAGCTCCCCACGCAACGATTAATTTCGATTTAGACGTCAATGGCTTTTGACTGTCGCAGGATCGGCTATGTTTGAGGGAAGGGGAGGGAAATAGTACCGGGCGGTACCCGTCGCGCGAACCCGGTCAAAATCAATCCCTTGAGCTGATTGAACCGACGTGCCGGTGCATATAGGGGAAGCCCGGGGCAGAGAATTTATGGGTTTCGCTAGCAGGTAGTTACCTTCGTATTATAGGTGGCAGTTTTATCCACAGGTAGGCCATGGTGAAAAATGGTGGCGACTTGCCTCATCCCTACTGACATACGTTATTATACAGTATTAGCAAATTCCAGATGTTTATCGAAGGATTTTATACCTCTGAGTCTCTACAACGCGTATTCCTACTAAGGAGACATGCCGCTCCCCAACCAGCGCCTTTGAATCCCGATAACTATACACACCCGAGCCGAAACGGTATTTCACGAACTCGAATTCCAAGCATCGTCTTGACCCCGCTATTCGATCAGATACCTATTAGACAGCTGCGAGGTCGACCTCAAGACACGGATATAGGTATACCTAGATATGAAAAGCGACGTGAAGTAACGCGCTTGATGGGGATTTGACGGGGCAAGGTCCGGTCTAGTTTCGCCCTGAGATCCAAGGCGACCGGCGCGCGACCTATTCTAGACGGTTTGGGGGGGGGGAGGCTGAGCATTTCGCGGAAAACAAATTGATGGTTGATGAGTGGGTGTGAACCATATGCTAGCATGGGCAGGGATATGCGCCGGGTATAATCAAGGAGCTTGGTTTTGCATAAGAGTGAACGTGTGATACACTTGGGAAATTCTAGCTATCGGTAGACTTTCACCTTCGATGCAAGTTTAGTTCGGTAGTTTGGGCTGTGATTTGTGATTGTATAGGAAGAGTTTGGCGTTGATTGAATTCTAAGGAGCCCCCTTTTGTGGGTACGTTGTGTTCTCGCCTTTTTGTGGTAAGCATGCAGAGTACCTACCCAAGCTGACTTATGCTTATTGACTAATGAAAACTTCCTAAGTTCCAATTTACGCTAAGGTGTGATTGAAGTTCTCACCTATGGAAGTGGGGACATGCGCCCCTTTTTATGATACCGTATCGATCCAGGGGGTTAGGTACTCTGCTTCTTTTAACCCCTAACATGTCCCTACATATACCTATTCGAAGTAGATTCTAGTCCAATATAAACTATAGTAAAGATATAATAGATATATGTTCCTATCAGTACCCCATTACCAACACTTCATAGGAGTACCATCTAGTTTTCCGAGAAACCATAATGACTCGTTGAGCGCATTTGATCGCGAAACTCCTTGCAACACACACCTCCATATTATGTTATACACGGGGCTGTAGCCGCATTGAATTATGAGGGATTGAAAGTAATTGGAATAAATTATTATAATCATTGTGTGTAGAGGCGCTGGACAGAAAAGGAGGAGCATATTATTGTTTTCGGTGGATAAACCAACAGACCAATATTAACATTAACATCGCGTGGAAACTGATTAGAATGAAATAAACGCCATTTTGTATCATCGGGATACTAGATATGGATAAAACTAGCGCGTGATGGATGGCTTGGTGTGTGAGGCTGGGATGCCATATTCAGAATCGCAGGTGCGATGATGACTGGGGAAGCAGTTTACGCACATAAATAGTGGCATTGTTCTAGTTTGAATACGGATATCATCTTTCCCACTTTATCCTCCGGAACCAGAAGGCACGGGACTACAATGCCAAATGAACCGACAACTTCCCAACAATAGGTATGACTTGGTAATTGTTCGAGGCCTTACTTTTAATCCAACGTGTTATGATAGTTTTCTTCTCGGTCGATTCTCTTTTGTTGGCATCGCCGACGTTGTGCTGATTCTTTCCGGATAGCCCGTCGACACCCTGTTTTCAGGAGAGCGTGTATTCCACCGAATCTCTGGAAGATCAGGAAGGCTCCCGAGGCATCGAGAGGTGGATGCGCTGCCCGACTCCTCCTATATCATCGAAATTAGTGGGTGATTCATTCGTGAGAGAAGTACCTACAGTGGTGCATCAGCAGAGAGTAAAAGGAAAAATTGCGGCTGTTGAGAGTGTGATATCTTCTCATCCTTAAAGACATTAATAAGATACCTCCTCGACGCATTCGGTATGTCGGCTAAGCGGCAGAGGTCGTGTGGGAGTAATGGGAGTTTCGATTGTCCAACCAACGGGGCTCGAGGAGGCGATGCGGTCCCCTTAAATGAAGTTATTCGACTATTCGAGATCAAAACCACGATATTAACACAAGATGATGAACATAAAGATTACCTAGCTTGCCCATTCTGGAAGCATGATCCTAACCGATATCTGCATGTTAAGAACTCGTGTACGGACGGCGTTGGCTTCAAGGATATTGGGAAATTGACGTAAGTAATCTGATTGGCCCCCCAGAAGAAATTATGCTGAGATACCACCAGTGAGCACATAAAAAGGGTTCATTGCTTGTGGAATGGATGTGAGAGGTGCAGAAAGAGGTTTAATAAATATAAAATCACAGAAGCTGATGAAGTGAAACGGAAGCATATGGAAACATGTGAAGCACTCAAGAAAGAGCTCACAGATGCAGATGCCGAGTGGATGAATGAGGCCCAGGATGAAAAATACCGACTCCTCAACTTCCAGAAAGATAAGGGTGATTCAGATCGATGTTACAAGAAGATATGTTTTGCATTGTGGGGATCAATTAAGAATGCGATCGAAGGGCCCTGTAAGCTTTGAAGATAGTAGATTTAACCGAAATACTTTGCTAATCGAACCAGACCACTTACCTGGCTTCCAAGTCTCAGTCTTACGCTGGCAGTTCCTAGAAGCCTTGAAATCATTGCAAGCAGTCGAAATCCACCAGCAGGGTGCGATTACGCCGGCGTCGGCCCTTGCCGTCGACCCGATGCTTCTTTCACAGCAGGCGTTGCATGATCTCTCCAGTGGTCCTCCTCCCTTCTATAGAGGGCAACACAGGAAGGACTCTGGTGTGTGGTCGTGGGACCCCAGTTCAGAAAACCAGCCGAATTATAATAAGCCTACATTCGACTTAGCCCCCGATGGTGACGAATCGGAAGATGATACCCCCATGCTAGAAGGAGGTAATTCAAATATGGATAAGGCTGGAACCTGGACGAGTTCGGCGGAAAATTTTGGAACCGGTTATGGTGAATTTGAAAAGGATGCTGATGAGGATCTCTTTGGAGGGTCTCCTTAAAACATCGCAGCAAGCCTGACGATGACAACATTTAGTCAATTGAACTAGCTCATTGACTTAAATCGCTTCTTTCATGGGAAGTAAAAAGTTTGATTGATCGTTCGCATTGATTGGAGCCGAAAAAACTCGTGCTTTCTGTCCATTGGGGCTCGCTTGAAGTTTTAATTCGCTTTCATTTTCTCATTCGGCCCCCAAATTAGCCCCTGAACCCTTATATCCGCCCCACACACAAATCTGAGTACCACTCTCATACATCATCATCGTAAATTTACACATTTCGTGTCGTACAAACACTCCGGTCAAGCAATACATCCAGATGATCAACCAAGGAAGAGGTTGAGCTCTTCAATGTGTACCTAAGTACCTTGCATCTCAACGCCTCTATTGACGCCATAAACCGAAAATGTAAGGGAAATGTAAAATCCAACGAACGCCGTCCAAAACAGACTTGTTTTACCCATATCTCATTGACTAGAATAAACTGCTTGATGATACATCCACGGACAATCCTCTAAGTCCGGATGTCTCATGCACCTTGCACGGCCCCATATGCAATTCCCGGTGTGGTGGTACACCTCCGTCACTGGTTGGGAATTGCAGGAAGACGGTCTCTGTAACACCGGGAAATTGGCTTACGTGGCCCGTATAGCTGATGTCTGCGGTATCGGCAGCAAAAACGATGCCGTTTTCGCCAGCGGGGATGTAGGCGGAGGTGGTGTTATCGTGGGGAAGAGAGATGTGAAGTAGCCCCGCGATCACAATAGCCCATCTGCGAGATTTGTTAGCGACATGGAAAAATCGTCTCTGTGTGGGCAACAAGGCGACCTTACTGTTTGCGCGGCGCATTAACTGAACCTGTATCATAGCCACGGGGGACGAAAGTATATGTCATGCTGGAAAGACTATGAAATGATGCTGCGAAGGCTCCATTGGGATACCAAGAGAACGGCTGATCAAGTTGCCAACATTCGATAGTTGACCGGCCGTCTCGGGCACTCACGGCTGTTACATTCAGCTTGAGGTGCTCCGTTGCCGGACTAAAGAGTAAGCTCGAAAGCGCTGCGAAGGGCTTGAGGCCGTACATTTCGTCACCCGGAATTGAGAACAACTATGTGAATATGACATAGGGGAGTAAGTTGCTGTTGAGATTTCTGTGAGTTGACAGCACATAGATAGTTTCCTATGAATGGATTTGTGTGTGTGAGAGGGTTTCCACAACATCGTCAGGTGAACAGAAGGGTATAGCGGTCAGCACATAATGGTTGAGCCCCGCGATTCCACACCTTTGCTATTGTGGTTGGATCGACAACGGCGTGGAGCAGGCACAAGCATGTGAGAACACATCTTTCCAATATTTTCATAGTTCGTGTAGGGGAAATCACAGTTCAATCGCCACCACGGCGGCTACATGGTGATCTATCCCGTGCCTGACATCATGCAGGCGTGTTGCTCGCCCAATGGATAGTCTGTGAACCCTTATAATGTTCCCATTTTTGCGTGCTCGCTGACGACTTCGCTTCTATCGAAAAGCCACTATGACGTCAATGAGCAGCCATACAATTGCCCAATTCAATTGACTTACTGGTTTGAATTATTTGGCTCGGTAATGAAGTTACACTTATTTGGTAAGTTCAAATTGAGACATCGAATGCAAAGGAAGCATCGTGAAGTTATTTACATCCGTATGAATGGTTTGTTTCGGTTAAAAGCCTGGTGTTTAGCGAGTCGGCTGTAATATCGTTTGCTTACCTTAGGTACCTCTTAGGCATCCTTAGCCCCTGTAAATGATCAGCGCCAGTAGAATAGAGGGGGTTGTGACACCCACCATTCTTGGGTTTGAGGATTAAGCAGGTCTAAGTAAACCCTGAATAACCTCAACTAGACAGGGTATACTGTCAATTGACTTGATTCGACTCGTTATACGACGTGAATAGTCCTATATGAGTCAATTATGCCTCGAGAAATTATCGCGGAGCCACTTTCTTATAATTAGAAACGGTCCTCGCTTAGTTCCGACCAAGGTCGACATTTTTAGCTTACCTAGCATGGGTACATGAGTCATGAGCTGAGAACGCAATATGGAAATAAGTGGCTCAGTAAAAAGTTACCGACTCAATGCCCAGACACGGCTTGATATCCCCCCCGAATAGTTTCGAATCACATGACATACTTTCATAAAATGGATGGGAAGGAGCTCCCCGGAACGGTAGCTATTCCTGCTGAAGTAAGGTACGGAAGTGGCTTGGAGCCCCGATGCTTTAAAGTTTGGGTAAACCGACACGCCGACCATTCGGTTCTTTTTGTGATTGGTAGAATATGCCGGTTTCATCGGTGGGACGATTCGGGGCGAGGCCGGTTTGATATTGGGTAACATTTTAGCTTGACATCTCGATCTTCTACATAAATATCGGCTGATGTAGTGTTAATGATTTGCCTCAATACTTGTGTATTAATTGCATTCTATCACTCAATTCAATCATCAATTACTTACTCAATTGACCTAGGGTCATATCAATATATCAAATAACTCATTCCCGAATGGCGAGCACTGATGTCCTGATTGTTGGTGGGGGTCCCACCGGGCTAGTCTTGGCCTTAGAATTGGCTGCTCAAAAAATCCCCTTTCGTATCATCGACAAGGCCTTGAGCCGTTCGGACAAGAGTCGTGCTTTGGTAGTTCAAGCTCGATCATTGGAACTACTGAATCGCCATGGTGTCGCTCGTGGCCTACAAGAACGGGGCAACACCGCTCATGGTGCAAGATATTGCGTCAACGGAAAGCAAGTAGTCAGAATTCAGATCGGCCCAGAGACGGAACTACTAAATACGGCATTCTCAAACCAGAAACTCATCTCGCAGGAAGATACCGAGTATTTCCTCGATGAATGTCTAGCTAAATACGGATTCAGCGTGGAAAGGGGACTCGAAGCCAAGACCATCATTCAGGATGCAGACGGTGTGACAGTCACACTCAGTGAAGGTGACGAGGCAGCAGGGAAGACGTCGACAGTGAGAGCCAAATTTGTTGTTGGTTGCGACGGGAACCGGAGTGTGGTGCGAGAGGCCGCTGGCCTCAAGTTTGAAGGAGCGTCTTACCAGCAACGATTCATTCTTGCTGACACATACGTCGACTGGGCCCCCGACGCACCGAAAAACGATGCTTTTCTTTGCTTTGGCTCGGGCGTATGTGCTTGTTTCCCATTGGCGAATGGAATGGTCCGGGTGTTTGGAACAGGGGCCATCGTGACGAAAAGAGAAGGAAACCCACATCTCGAAGATTTTCAATCCCTTGTTGATAGGATGATGCCCGTGAAGGGAACCCTACGTGACCCGTTTTGGCTGGCACGCTTCTACCTTCACCATAGGGGCGTAGACAGATACAGCAATGGCCGACTCTTCGTCGCCGGTGACGCTGCCCACGTACATTCCCCCGTGGGCGGTCAAGGCATGAACACGGGTATTCAAGACGCCGTCAACCTTGGATGGAAACTAGCAGCGGTTATTCGTGGAGAGCGACCCTTGTCATTTCTGGAAAGTTATCACGCAGAGCGTTTCCCTGTTGGTCAGACTCTACTCAAGACCACAGACCGAATATTCACGTTCCTGAGCTCAACAAACCCCATATTCACTTTCATTCGCAACTTCATTCTGCCTTGGATCTTACCTTGGGCATTGGGCACCCCAAGCCGCGTCATGGAGATGTTGCGGGCCATGTCGGAATTCGACATCACATACCGAGATGGCGGAATTGTCGGCACCGCCCCAGGCCTGAATGGGAACAAGGTTCGTGGAGGAGACAGGATGCTCGATGGACTAGTCGAAGGACCAGATGGCGAGACGTACTTGCTCAATTTGGTAGATGCTACATCCTACAAGCTCTTCCTATTTTCGGGTGTCGGCGTCCAAGCAGCTTCCGAGGGCGATTTGCATAGAGCCGAAACCAAGTTTTTAGAGAATAGTCCCGTTACTGTCAATGTCCACGCGGTATTCGACGATAAGACACACGGACAGTCGGGGTATATCGATGTAGACGCCAAGCTTCATAGAGACTTAGGCTTTACCCAACCCACATACGTACTACTTCGACCGGATTCTTACATCGGCCATGTCGGGCCGTTGTCAGCGCTGGATGGTCTCGTCAACTGGTTAAAATAACTGATCGAGTGAGATCGAGTATCTCCTTGTCCGATCTATTACCCCTTGGTCGGCTACCGGTCTCCTTGCCGTCGTCTCTGCTCTGGATTTGCACATACAAAAAAAACCATATTGTTACCATATGTACACTAGCCAAAAATGTATATAGATACTATACCCTTGAATCGTTTGAACTGAATTTTGAATTGATATCGATCCGTGATCTCCGTGATTTTGGACCTGGACATATTAACCTCGTAGTTTACTCAAGGCAGATTATCAAGTCTGATAACTCCATCAGGACTAGTAGGCTTGAAATAGTTGTCTCCGCCAACTGCGGTAACTTTCACGACTAGTAGTACTAGGGGGGATCGAAAGTCGGTTCTGACAATCGAAGCTCACCCAGGAACTCGCGATCACATTCTTCCCGAAGTGTCACTAACAGACAAGTTTTATCTTCCACAGTCTGCTTATCAAGAATGACAATGTGGTCGGGCACGATGCCTTGCTTGAACCGATCGAAATGTGCTTCAGAGAACTGGATGACATCTTCGACGGACCAGTCGATAAAGGGGTATGTGGTCGGCTTTCCTATCGGCGGTCGGGAAGGTTTGGTAATGGTCGCTACGTCAAGGGTATCAACTAATACAGCTATTCCTCATTATGCTTAGTGTAATTCTAGATCCCTTAGGACAAGGTCATATCTTCTTGAATATACCGACAAAGTCGGCGCCTGGATTCGCGAGCTCCGGCGCGCCTAAGCCCTGCACGAGGAATTCATTTAAGATCTGATTAGGCTTGGTGAGCTAGCCCTACATGCCGATCTCCGAAAGGGTTAGCGGACTTCGTGAGATATGGCGGCGGTGCAGAAGACAGGTATAGTATCTTGGAGAGCATCTGGATCCATTATTTTGATGAGTGTCGGGAGATGTCGGGACCATCCAATATGACTTGCCCTTCCTACCTCTGTCAGAATTCTTCGTCGGGTTCTCTTACACGATCCACGACGTTTTCCTGGAACAGTAATTGCTCATGTGGGCCAAATCCTGGTCAGTTATTTCTCGGTAACGGAAGTCGAAGAAGTGCCGTGTAAGCTGTGCATGAGTAAAAATATCAAACTTGGCTAGCAACTTGGAAGTGGATATTCTCCTAAGGTCCTGGTCACAAGCGAACCTCAACGCCACAGAATTAGTTAAGCCACACACGTAGTTTTCTCCACTCGGACATAGATTCATCCAGAAGAAAAACAAGAATTACTAATGCAGGCTTTATATCGCCTCTCCACCCTAGGGGGTGCAGCGCTTTAATTTATAAATGGTACAGTAATTAGCAATTGCTGAAATACTTCCAGAAAATATTAAAATCTTATATAATCGGATATACCTAATCTAAATTTAAATATTGATTTAACCAGGACCGTAATACACCACAATCCACAATACCTAACTTCTTATACAATTTGTATGGTATCAGATGTATTTCGGATGATTTGCAAATCAATGCACCATTTATAAATTAAAGCACTGCACCCCCTAGAGGCGATATAAAGCCTGCACTAGTAAAAGAGGAAAAAGGAAAGCAGAAAAAGGCAAAAGAAAATATGTGACAAGAGTGGGACTTGAACCCACGCGGATTGCTCCATGAGGAATTAGATGCTAAGGTGACCTTAACCTCACGCCATAACCAACTCGGCCATCTTGCCTGACGTAATTCGTTGGTGACAATTTTGGTCGTTTTTTTGCATTATATTCCAGCAACCGTGGGATAGTGCCGATAATACTATTCCCGCCTTTTTTTCCGACCAATCAGAATGAGTGGATATTATATAATCGTCCTTAGCATTTATTAGGTAATTATTAACGTCTAAGCGATCTAAATCGTGACACAGCTAGAAAATAGAGAAACCCCCAATAAAATCAGGGGTTAGTGCACGTGCTTTGTCATGTGACAGCATCCTCAACAAATTTGAGACAGCATGAATCAATGTCTTGCATTTGTGCACATTCTATATACTCACTGATCAGTGGCCTCTTCCGTCTCTCACCCTCCGTTTCTATCACTGTCTTGTCTCATAATTATATCCTCCCTTCTAGCCTCGGCCTCCCAACTCTATGCTCCAGCGGTTTTCTAGAATGGGTAACCCAGCGGGACGAAAAAAGAAATATACCCATCTAAATTAGCAGCGTGAACCCTCTAATAATCTATACTCTACATAATTTGCTATTCTGCGAAGGTAAATTGCCCAATATCATCTCAGACATCTTCCAGTCTTCGGAACCCACCGCGGTATGAGCATAGAAAACCCCGAACCCGTCGTACCGCTGTTTGATACGATATAACCTTGGATAATTATTACCCCAAAACTCTTTCGTGAAGCTGTTCGTCAAATAATCGGCCTCTGACATATAAACGCCCGGATATGGGGCTGCTACGTCAGCCCACCTTTGAGACCAACCGTAGGTAAGCCTGTCGCTGGCAGCCTTGGCCTGGGCTTCAGTGCTCGTCTCATTCCAGAGTGTTGCCATAATAGCGTGCAGAACCGTGGTCCTCCACGCAGGGTTCACAGCATTGTCCGGATAGCCTGTCTTAGGAGCGGCTGCAATATTGAACGCGACTATGTATGCGCCCTCCTCTACCACATTCTTAATGACGTCGAAAGTTGCGTTCAATTTTGAGGGGTTCTGCCAGTTAGCTTTCGGGAACAGGCGGCTTGCCTGGCGAATTGCATTACTCCCCCATGGCTCAACCGGGAAACTCGCATACCAGGCGTCGTAATAGTCATCATATTCAGTGTACACAGGGTTGACTTCGACGCCTATTTCTTTAAACCGGGCTAGCAGCGGGGCCACCAATGTCTCAAGTTCAGCTTTGGTCATATTGGGGGCGAACCATGGACCCATGTCGGTAGCATATTGGCCTTCAGCAACCTTCGAAATCCGAAAATATTCATAGTTTCCAGCCTCGGTATAGATGATGAAACCCTCGAAATATGCACGCAGAGCGTCCCAGAATTGATTAATGGAAACTGTTGGTCCTGTGGCAAAGGCATAAGTCATGGTAGTCACCTTAATCTTCGGGTACGCCTTCACGACAACGGAGGTAACTACGCCAAAAGTAGAACCCCCACCACCGCGCAACGCCCAAAATAAGTCCGGGTAGCTGTTCTCACTCGCAGTAACGAACCGACCGTCAGCCAGAACAACTTCCATCGATAAGACCTGGTCTGCACCCATCCCGTAAATGCTAGAGAGAGGCGAATGCCCGCCACCAAGGATGTAACCACCCGCAACGCCGACAGTCTGAAATCGATTAGTCAGCATCAATTTACAGCTTAGAATGGGTCATGCACGACTTACTCGACCTTCGCCCCCAACAACCGTAACATTATTGTTCCTAGCTGCCTCATATGCCTCAAAAGCTTGGACACCGGCACCAAGCTTAAGGGCTGGACCGCGATAACGACCTTGTCGATAGTTCTGGAAGAATTGGATCTGTTTAAGGTTGTGAGTCCAGAGAGATAATGCTCCCATCCCGACTGACTTCGCGCTGAAGTCATGCCCAGTGTTCTTGATTACTACGCGCAAGTTGAGATTTCGCGCAAAGTTTAGTGCGAGTTGAATTTGAGCTACGTTGCGAACGTCAACTGCATACACAGGGTAGCCACCAAGTGTGCAATTCCCCCCGGAGGGCACAAAACCCGGTGGCATGCATGTTGCGCCCTGAAATAGGACGGCATTGACTGACGTAGGGTCCTCGGTGCTATTGGACGATGTTAGCTATCGAAATCGTTACATCTGCGAAACATTTTGCTGGAGACTTACTGGTAAATGGATGCATTGATCCAATTGTTGGTAATGAAGGCACATTTTGTCGCATTATAATTCCCGAAGGAATCATAGCAAGAGGCTGCGTATGGGACCGTCTGGATTAGAGCTCCTCCCAAGAGGAAATTGAGGAGAGCCCAGGTGGTTGGGAAAGGCCAATAGGGATCAGTTGGGTAAGTCTTGCATCCTCCCAGAGATGTCCTCTTAGCCAGTGCCTCTGTTGTGGTTGAGTTGTCTGGGAAGCTGAATAATGTGACATTAGACAACTGCAAATTCGTGAGGTTGGCTAGGACCGCATCGGTTAATTGCAGCGTCTCCCCCTCGAAGAGATCCGCGGTTGCATTCGATTCCTGGGCGCCAACCTTGGCCACCGCAGGGGCAATCGTAGACTCATCGGCCGCTGATTTGAGAATTAGTTTTACCGTTCCATCTTGTTCATCGGAGATGCAAACTAACGAACTATGACATTGTTCACGAGAATCGTCTCGGCGCGGACGAAGTGTAACACGTGAACCAATAGGGTGGCTACAACGGCTTTCCTAAGGCTAGACATCGGCGTTACACGTGCCCAAGGAGCCGGAGCGGTTTGCGATGAGACAGCTTAAAATGGACGAGAGATAATCAACAGTCCGGCGACAACTGCGTCTCCCAATGCCATATATAATTCCACATGGTTTCATTTATCTTACGATGTTCCTCTAGATCTAGTGGAGCCTTCGGCAGAACCACCGTCGCCCGCCTGCTTTGTCAGAGCACCGGACATGGATGGTAAGTGGCGCTGGCCGCTAAGTGAAGTGTAACAGTAGCAACGAATCTCTACCTAGCACGAAATTTCCTTTTCTCCATGGATGTTGATACAGCTCATACATATAATATTAAGCGCCACTCAGCAGTAGCTATGCCGCGGATCCGCAAAGGACTTTAATTTGGTAAAGGAAATCGGGTTGGGTTACCAAATGATGCGGGCCCAGGATAGCTCAACTGATCAGAAGAGGCTCATATATGTCTCATTTCCATCCTGTTGGAGCGAGCTGATATAGAATACGAGCAGCTTGTACTACGTTTATTAATCAATAGTAGGTCCAGAAGTTAGTCGTAAATCCTTCTTTATTGGGAAGACCATTATTATTAGAAAATGCAAATACACTTCGAATTTTACCACCAAGTAGGGTAAGAATCCCCGGATACGATATTGGTCAACTAGCTACGTTGTTAGTCTTGTACGCCCAACTAACAGCCATCATATCTTACCATTGAGACGTGCCGCGTCTAGGAGCGCCGTACGAAAAATACATCGGATATGTTAAGGAGTGGAATATCGAAACGTCCCCCGCAGAAACTATCAGTTATAATGCAAATAAATATTTGCAGATCCAACAGCACGCAAGGGAATCCCTTCTCTATCTTCTCTATGAGTTTGTCCTTCGTCCCGACATGCCGTGAATCCAGGGGTTCTGAATTCTCCCCGGACCCTTGCAGGTCGGTTACATTGGCGGGCAGCCTGGATAAATACTCCAGCGAATGGAATCGGAGTTACTAGACCATTACTAGATGCGGTCCCCGATGCAGGTCCTCTGATGGAACTTTTACCCCAGGTATTGCCCCGACACTCCAAAGACGGCCCGCGTTCTAGATTTTGCAGGTCCTTACCATCTTACCTCCGCATCAAGACCCTGTGATCTCCGCCACGATTATGTCCTCTCCCCCCTGCTATGCAACACAAGATAATTGCCATATCTCGGTTCTGATTCGGTGGGTCGCCATCGAGTACATTAGCTTCGGGAAGGCCGCTCTAGAGAGCGGCACCGGTATACGACTCAATATTACTACTAGTCGCAGAGACAACTAATACCGCGTTGGGTGGGTGACCACGAGAAAATTGAGGATGCACTCTTGGGGATATGACACATGCATTTGTCACAGGCACTTCATCCCATTAGTTGTTGGCGACCGCTATTGTAACATGTCAACCGAACAGAAAAACTCCGTTCGAAATTATACGCGGCCAACTAGAAATGCCGAAATATATGTAGGCGTTCTTCATTTTTCATGATGTCTAAGAAACTAGCAGTTCGGATAGGCCCGAAGAGGCGATCCCGTCGCACTGCAGGTGCAGGTTAATACCGTTGAAATAAGGAAGACGGTCTCTAGCATATGCACAGCAGTAATTGGGAGCACTATACGGACCTCTTGGCTGCAGACAGATCCCGTGCGTGCCTTGCCTAGCTCCGGTGATACAGCTGCGCCTTTTAACCAAATAGGGGATGTGGTGTATTTAAGAGAAGAGGCTGAATTCACAAAGCTCTCGCGGTGGGTTTGAACCTGGAACAGTTATATGGAACGCGCAACCCCTTCCGAGTTTGTCTTGCCCCTGGAATTGTTGTGTTGTCGTCATGTAGGTAGGCAAGGCTAGTAAGTATGTCTTGTATTGTTTATGTGTGTAGTCAAAGTAGGTATGTATGTCATGGATGTATTGCTACGTAAGTTCCGTCCCCAATATCTTGGGCAATATGCAGGTATATAGATTGATGGGAGCTGCACGTTCGACGCGGGCGCCGCCACCCTTTTCGTGCTTCATTTGAGTGACCCGACAGAGATTGCTGTGCGACTGTTAATTAGAGAAAGCCGACGTCGACGCCGACGCCGTTATCCCACGATGGAGTCCTCCATGTATACGTTTCTATCGAGCGTAGCGAAGCGACAGTCCCTCGAGGGACCCGGGAAGCCTTCCGGGGAGGTTACGGATGCGTACCCCTATTCGCCTCTGCAGCACGGCGGGTTCTTCATCTTGTTCTTCTTCCCTGCGACCGCGCTTCTGGTGGTGGCTCTAAGGATCTACGGTAGAGTGAGGAGTAGACAGTTCGGATGGGGTAAGTGGTCGATCGGAAAGCGGAGTGATGGAATTTGTGTCCCGTTCCACCGACCCGTCGCTGACGACATTTCGTAGACGATGCTTTGGCGTGTATGGCTATGGTAGGGAAACAAAATCCTCTCATTTGAAGAAAAAAATAACTCACATAGATAAAGGTGTTTTCAATCGCCGAGACGGGATGCTCTTACATGGGTAAGTGATAAGACTGATGGGGTACACGGCAGAGGCCTATCAACAAATTGCGAATGTGGGCTGACATTCTCCTCGTATCATAGCGATGCGGACCGCGTTCCTAGGCGTCCACGTTTACGATATCCCAATGACGGCCGACGTTAGTCTCGGGATGTACTGGAATTACGTGATACAGATCCTCTACAATCCAATACTGGCCCTAGTCAAATGCTCTGTGTTGATGTTCTTACTAAGGATAGGGGGGCAGAGGAGGAAGATCAGATATTCCATACACGCGCTCAACTTCTTCAATATCGGGCTGATGATCGCGATCTTTGTCACTGTCATATTTCAATGCTCGCCAATTTCTTATTTTTGGGAGCGCATAACCAATCCGACGCTGGAGGGCACGTGCATCGACACAGGTGTATTCTACGTTACGACAGCTTCCTTGACGATATTTACTGATGTGTTGGTTCTCGCACTTCCTATCTGGATCTTCATAGGATTGAAAATGGCGCCTAAGGTTAAGTTCGCTATAATGGTGGTGTTCCTTCTTGGAGCCATGTGAGTTGAAATGGTCACTTGCACGTGAGACCCCTGATGCTAATAAAGTCCAATAGCGTTACGATCGTTAGTATTCTCCGAATGTTATGGATTGTGGAGACTTCTTTATACCCAATGAAGTATGACTACTCTTACGACATCCGATTTACGTACTCTGCTGTCGAGACAAACTTGGCGATTATCACGGCGTCGGGCCCGGCCCTACGGCCATTGGCTATGGCTTGGTTCCCCCGGTTCTTCTCCTCGCTGCGCGGGACCTCGAACCAAAACTACCGCTATCAAGATGGTCCTTACGCATTAAACGGCACGGGGAATAGCAAGAAGACCCCAGCCCCAGCAGGTAGCAGCTCTAAGGGAGACCACATGTACGGCACATCGTCGTTCGCACTCAGGGATATGAAGAGGCGAACAGAGATACGGAGTTACTCACCGACGACTAGTGAGGAGGAGATTATGACATGTAATGGTATTATACGGACAACAGAGGTTGATATCGAGTTTGGTACAAGGCCACCCTCATCACCACGTCAACATTGAGCACTTCACCGGGTAAGGAAAATAGGGGACTGGGGCGGTAATGACTTAATACGAATGGAATGTATATAGGAATAATGAAAACATGCGAGGTCTGGATTACCTTGCTGTAAATAGGAATGAATTCTCAATATTCGTAGGACTTTTGGTTGCTTCTATTCCAGGTCGGGGTGAGATAGGCTAACATACAGTACGACAGGAGTGACTTCTCAGTTCTTATAAATAAAGTAATTCGATGTGTTTAAATAATTCTCTTACATCGTCGCCGTGTATAGTGGCTCAAGGAGGCTTGTCCAGAAATTACGGATTTTAGCTCGGTACTGATCTTATTTACGTCCCAGGATACTGGTATTTCGTGAAACATTATGAGATGATGTGAAGAGATATAGTTAGTACCTTCTGTGTGGGATCCTATGCCAAATTCGACAAGTTTAATTCCTTAAAACCCCTTTTTTCACAAAGCCGTGCTGAACTCAGAGCGTGAAAAACTCTTATTTCTCCTTGTTCTTCTTAGGTGCTATTTATTAGATGTCCTTTTCAATCACATACTCTTAAGGGCCACTCTAAGAAAAACCAAGGTGAAAATAACAAGCTCCGTTCGTAATGGTCTGCAGGTACTTAAGTATCTGCCTGGCTCCCTGGCTACCTACCTGGATACCTCTTGAGTAGCTGTTCTCGTGTTGCCCAGTTGGTTCCGTGCCCAAGTAGGCAGATCCCTGATTTAAATAATAAATCGATTCATGCGATAGTTTACCTATAGAAATTAATTGAAACTTCCACACACAGCTCTATTAAGGCTTTCGAGTCTATTTATCACGTTGTGTCGATTCAGGGGTAATATGGTGCACAGCTGATCAGCTCACACCATACCTGGTGACACAAAGTCCGCACCATAGAAACTTGTTTATAATGAATGATATATAATCATAAAAAATAACTGGATATCTAAGAGACCCCAAGAGAGAAGTAATAAGTACATGTACGTGAATGTCAGGTAATTATTTTTACACGAAGGCATGATTTCGGCGTTCTTACTCACCTACCTACCTATAGGTACCTCCTAGGTATCAAAGTTGCATAGATGCCTTAAGCTATATTATAGTACTTGTGTCCGCTAATTAATTAATTATAGGTTGCCATGGTGTTTTAAAGCCAAAGTGTAACTAAATATCACATTGGTTTTTATAATAATTCAGATTCAGAGCGTCTTACCAGCTTTGGAGGTGCTATAGCCCAACATAGGCGGGCAGAAAACAATACCTTTACTATTACTGAAATGAGTATCATAACTATTTGCTTATAAATTTACGTAAAAGGTTATATCTAGCCGTTCTCATAGTATATATACGATTTTCTCTTGCTAGATACTCGGACTGGGTGTTTTAGTTGTCTGATTCTAGGCGCCGATTTCCCTTTGAGGCACTATAGCGTTGCCCCTATCTGGTCTATACGAACATCAGGCTCCCTTGTCAGGAGCTGCACCTTTCTGGCGCAGGGCACGGCCCGGACCGAGCCCCTCTACGGACCGAACCTAGTATCGATGACGGAATCACTGCGTAGTTGTATATCAGCTGATAGAATCGAACGAGATCGGGCAGTCTACCGAGTTTTGATGGAGAATAAGATGGTCGCCCACTTTCCTCCCGAAATTTCTGTTCCTCTGTTCTTTACCCACTTTTGACGACCAAGTGCCGAGAACAGTAGGACGAATTCGGTCGCATTATTCGAGATGATCCACGCTGGATAACTACACCTCGGAATGATGATATAGCGACTATCAACAAGGCAAGATACAATATTTATTGTTGCATATAACCATGGGGGCGTGTCAAAATGGGAGCGACTATATACAGGGAGGGGTCGGTCGAGTCACAACAGTATCAAGGCAAAGCCTTACCAACAACTAATAACTTCTGGTTCTTGTACTACACCTTTTACATTGATCTTCAACTGATGCATCGAAATGGGAGGCCTCACTAATCGCGCAGACAGGGCAACAACATTACGCTATGCATGCATTACCCGCCCGCCTAGTTTCGACACCGCCTAGTCTCTCCGATGGAGCTAGGATATAGGACAAGGACAGTACAGTACATTGATGACAAGGAATTCAAGTCTTCAACGCCCTTAGCTTGGCAATTCGCCGTGATACTTGGCAAAATCGCCGATCTTTCCGCGGAATTCTGATAAACCACCGCGTTTCTGCTCCGCCCCTTCATCCCCGCTCCCTTACGTGAGGCTTGAGGGAATCCGGTGAAGAGACAAAAAGTATCTATCACCCGCCACAAGAACTATTTGTCATACCGGTTTCAACATCACCGCTTGACAAACCGCAAGTAGTCAAAACATTCGTCTTTCGGCATTATGCTCTATCGCACAGCAGCTTGTCCTTGTCGCGACCCCATCACCACGTCTTCGTCATTCTCTCGCCCCAGGTCCGCAGCGTGGGACAAAAGAGGGGACCGGGAATACCTTTCGTGCTGCCGTACTTCCTACATACGGTAGCGAAAAGGGGAAAGAGACGTACGGGCGTCAGAAGAAGCGCACCGAGCCGCGATCAGCTCAGAGATCATGCGATTATTCATTCTCGCGCAGTTTGTATAACTAAAGGAACAGGAAATAAAAATAAAACTAAGGACGAGATCAACAGGATCAGGAGTAATGCTTCATGCAAACAGATCTTCGGCCATCGCGATGCCGGAACCTAGCGATATCGGATTGCTCCCCGTCCAGTAGGGTAAAGTAGAGACGCATCAGATATATAAAACATGGGGTTGCACGACGTGAACGAGAGAAACCATTCGACCAAATTGGATCTTGAGAAAATCAATTAGCTCGCGTGTTCCCCTTGACACGCACACACGCGTCATATCGGCTGAGGTGGAATTATATTCTCGATCGCGCGGGGAGCCGTATTAGGTGACCGCTGCTGCCACACAACTGTACTACAGCGGACCGGCGTCGCCTAAGCATAATTGCACACAAGAAAGCACGTAACGACGCATCGAAATTTAGGCATTGGCCTGCGAAGTCGGCCATGGGGGTCAGTATCATTCCATCTTCTACGTATCTTTTGCGCATTGCCGAGTAGGATGATGTGGCATGATGGGTGATCCGGCTGTGGTATGTTTGTGGCCAGCGTGGTAGGTAGCAAAGTAGGAAAATAATATTGATTTGTGACGAGCGACACACATACCTTGACGGACCGCACGGGCTTCATGATGAACAATTCCGGCACAGAACTTCGATGTCCGCGAGACATGCATACCCAACTTTCAAGGCCCGACCTTGTTCATTACGGCCCGGAGGAACCAACCAGAGCTGCACCCGGCGAGGCAAGATATGAGGCGTCCAAAGGTGGTAGCACGGCATTGCGCCGGGATTAGGGATGTGTGGCCCCGGAAGCATACATATGTACGGTATAAGTAGCTGCATATTCAGCAGGGGGAGGAGGCCATCGTGCGGCCTAGGTACCATTTGGCCGACCCTTCAATTATTCCTTTTAATTAATAATATTTTTTTTTCACCCTTTTCCGTTTCTGTAATATAGAGGAGGGACTGTGGTACGTTTCACCACGATCCCCACAGAATCTGACACTGTGGGACGTACAAGTCTGCAGGAGAGAGATGATATCGACGGGAGGGTACCTAGGAAAGTTGTGTAGCAAGCAGAGTAAGCAGCTGAGCTGCACTGAAAGCTCAGCTGCCCGGCTCGCAACCGAACTAAATCGTTACGGCCACTATGTTTGCTTTCTTGGCCCTATATCGTTTAGACACTCAGCACTACAAATACAGACCACGATGTAATCAACAGATGCATATTACGATGATTAGATTTTTGTCCCCCAACCTTTTTTCTACCGAGAGTAAGCGCACAATTTATTAGGGAATGACCTGGAAATGCCACGTCAAGTAGCGCGGCATGTAATTAAGGAATAAGCCAAGCAGGTGTATCCTGATAGCACGTGCGGAAAACAACAGCATGCTAAACTCCTTACATATGCATAGAGCGTAGCCTTGTGACACGGGTGAGCCTCACTAATAATACGTCAGCCGTGTAAGTGTGATTGAGGTAAGTGTGGTCTAATATGTAAGTGCGTGCGTGTGTAGTATATTCGTGTATGTGGTATGGATGTATGTGTGCGTGTATGTGTTGTGATATTTTGGACGACTTGCAACTCGCTCGTCATAACGAACTAGCATGGGGCTTTTTTACGAAGCGAGCTGCAGAAGGCTGTTAATGGCAAAAGCAGCCGTGCCGAATAACGATCACGTCCGCCGATCCTAGCGGAAGTCAGACCCAGCGCAGTGACCGGTTTGGTTCCCAGGGCTGAGACGAATGAAACTCGGAAATATCGTCCCGATCAGCGTGGCATCCAAAACCCGTCTGACCGGTATTCTTCGGAGAGGGGAAATAATGGCCGTCCCCTTCTGGGGATTTTGACCCCCAGACGTGTTCCAGCTCGTAAGCTCCAACAGGACCGCCTCGGACCGAATTTGGCCTAGGGCAGCGGAAAGGTGCATCAAGCGCCGAGTGCATCCTGCTGCATCACGGAGCTATTTCTGGGGCCAAGACCCAAGGGACGGATAGGCGTGTTACTACGGTGTGTCGCTATTCAGACCCCACGGAGACATGGTGATGACGCTCAGATGACCCAAGATTCCTAGCTGTTGCTTGCTGCTACCGCAAAAATGTACGATAGGAAGATCTTGCTACGACATGTAACTCATGCTAATCATTGCTCAGGCGGTCAGGCGCCTAGGGGAGCTAACCTGGTCTAGGCTCAAGGGAAATGGAACTATAGAATGACTGCAGATAGAAGGATGGGGTTGTAGTAATGGTAGTATACAGCTGATGGAACGCTGCGATAACTTCTGAGTTGTGAGTAGCGGTCGGGGTGGTGTTGAAAACACCAAATCAACGTTGGGTGTTGTAGATGGATAGATTGATGCGAATGTTATCTGCTCAGCCTGTTTATACAGACGTCAGAGGCTTTGCGAAGAAACTAAGGTACCCAGGGGCCTGGAAAAGCGAGGGACGGGACGCGCGGAAAGGGGGGGGGTGGGGGGGGGGTAACGAAACGGCACGATGCGTCATTCGACCCTGGAAAAAACTGAGTATGCCGGGACCTTGCTAGGTAC